CTAAAATTTTAAAAGAATTTTTGTAAACATTTTTTTTTAATAAATTAATAAAATTAGATAGCATCAATTAAATAACACTATTTTTAAAAATAAAGACATTTAGTTTCTCATTAAATAATGATACTTAAAAGGAATGCTTTCTGGCTACCAATATTTCGAATTAGACAAAACGACAGCACTCTTACTCAACAAAGATTGGACGCATGAGCTATATGTCAAGTTTGCCTGTGCCCAAGGCTTGGCAGGTTCAATCCTGATGAATGTCAACAATGGTGAAGCCAATCTTGTGAATACGGTAGAGGTTTATGGTCGAACCAAATCAGTTGACATCCACCGAGAACTGTCTACTTTGGCTACCTCCTCAATCCTCACAACCACTCCAATGTACCCAAACCTCTGGCCATGCATCCAAAGCACAAGGGATGGCTCCAAGCTGGTAATTGGCACCCAATCATGCGATTGTCTCATTATGTTAATCGTTCGCCTCGATCGGAACGAAGAGCCCAAAGTGGGACCTTTGGCTTTTTACTTTGCTGCATCACCAAAACATACTAAGATATTTATCGACCAAGACAGCTGGACAAAAGCCAAGGATATAGAGTCAAATGAATCAACACAGTCAATCGAGCCCTTCAATTTGGTTGGCCAAGCAAGACAGCTTTGATCACATTTTCACCATCCAAGCACTTATTTCCTTTGTCGTGCTTCAAGTCATCTCGCTTTGCCACATTACTGCCAACTGTATACAGTGTTTACCTACTGTAATCATGAAGGTGTGAATAAATCAATAGACAACGAAAACTCGTCAGCGATTGCTTCAAGACTATTCCAGCGAATTGCATATACCGTAATCAAGTCATCTTCCGAAGCACGTATCAAAAAGGATTTGGCCGTTTCCTTGCATAGTCAATGCAACAATGATACCAGAATCAAGCTTCTTTTCGCAGACCTGATCAACCTGTGGCGTCCTACTATTAGTTGTCTAACCAATTATAATCTACTAGCTGTAATATAGATAATCAAATTGCTATGATCGGTATAACCATCAGTGGCCGAATTAATTATTGATTTACAATAAAAATAATAAAAATTGAATTTTTTTATTTATATTGGTAGCCTCCCACGAGAAAAAAAAGAGCGATTGTTTAAAGTACATAACAACAAATAAAAATGAACACAACACAACACACTGAACAACTCGATATCGAAATTAAAAATTTAATTAATAATAAATGGACTTTTCTTGATAAATCTTGGCCTGAAATGCAACATAGATTTAATCATAGAACAGCTATTAAAGATATGAAGAATAATACAATAAATGATATAAAGGATGTATTACTTAATAGATTTGGATTTATACCTGTATTTTATTTCTTACAGTTTTATATGGAAATATTGAATATCTAGGGCCATACTGCGAGATTGAAAAAGGACTTACATTATTATATCATATGGTATCAGGTGTATCAGGAAAGGATATGCATACTGTTATGCTATATGCAACATTTTATGATTTATATAAGCAGTTCTGGATTACTAACTATAATGAATTGAATAAAAAGGTAAAATAAGATCTAGATAGTATGTTCTCATCACCACGTATTCGCATTCTATCAGCAATAATAAACAATCCAGATGGTTTTAAGAATGTTACACTATTTATTGATGGACATGATAGTAAAATAAAGTATTATAAACCAAATGAGTCACATTCACAGTTATATTCATATAAATTAAAAGGGCCAGCTGTACGTACACAAGTTATACAGGATATGAATGAAATAATTACACATGTTTCAGTATCTGAAAAATGTGCTATCGGAAATGATGGTACTATGTTTATTAATATGAAACTATATAAAAAAATAAGTGAGGCAGATTGTTTAGGAATGGATGGTGGATATAACTTATTTATACAAAAGTTTAAAGATAATGCGACAGATGCTGGATATAGTTTTTATGATCGTAATTTTTTACATCCCACAAGAAAAGAACCAGGACAAAAGTTAACAATCAATGAGACATACTTTAATAACAAGTTTGGATCATTTCGTTCAGCAATAGAAGCACAGTTCTCTATGTTAGGCTCTAAATTTGAACGATTTAATAATAATCATGCAGCATTGCAAATAACCGATATAAGATATTATAATATTTAGTTTTGTGTTGCTTGTATTCTTACTAATATATGGCGATTTGTAAATAAGTATAATATAGAGGTACAACTACATCATAAATTATGGTATGGAAAAGATTTTGAATTCCCAAGTAAGAAAAACAAACTTGACTTAGTATTTTCAAATGAGCAAAAAGTAAATACTGAATATAATGAAATGGTTGACATGCAGCAGAAATTTCTACAGCTTAACATTAATCAATCGATAGATATGGCTATAGATAGTGAGGACGAAACTGAAAATAATACATCTAAACGCAAGAGAAAAAATCAAAGAGAACAGAGAAATATAGAACATAGTAATTCATATGAAATTGAGAAGATTGTAGGACATGTGTATACTGATAATAAGTACATATTTGAGGTTAAGTGGGTTGGATATAGTGTAAAAGATAATAGTTGGTTAACAGTTGATAAGTTTAATTCCCGGGAAATGCTACATGAATATATGGCCACACATGGTATTTAGCTCTAAATTAATCTCTTACTTATTTGCTTATTAAAAAATTTCATATTGAAACTGACCGCATCAACCTTTCGTTTACTTGCCCAATTATATTTATGTTTTATGCATTCATTAGTTATACTTGTACTTATATTAGTATCTGTTGATTTATTTTTGACGTCGGTTTCTTTTGTTATATCTATATCATCTATTATAGCCTGTTTTATATCCTTATGCTTTTTAATAGATTCTTTTGGCTGTATTTCTTCTACTATTTGCTTGTTTCTCCGTTTATTTTTAATGTGTCTTTTTTCCTTTTTACGTTTTGGTATATTATTTGGTATGTTGCAGTCACTGCTTTTCTCTGATTCAGATGTACTTACATCTATGTATTTATGTTTCTCTATATCTTCTGGTGGGTTTTCCCAATCAGTAGTATCATTTACAACATCATCACATTTTATATCATTAAACACATCTTCCCAATGCCTACAATCTACTGATGGTGGTACCTTTACAGTTGACCATCCTCTATTATTTTGTTGAGGCGGTTTATATTGTTTATTGTTCTGTGTATTATTACTATTATGTTTTTCTTCTTGTTCCTTCATATATTCTTCTGTATCAGCTAATTCTTGTAGTTCCTCTACTGTTTTATCCATCGGTGTATATTTTTTAATATCATCCTGACCACTATTATGTGCATAACAGATAAATGTATGCTGATCTTGGTATTCGTTTTTGAATTCACCTTTGTATAAGTCCTCATACATATCCATGTTTTCATAATACATGAATTTATTTTCATAATCCTTCACCTTCATTGTGTATGAATTCCATATTATATGACCTTTACGGTTCTTATCAACATAGATAATATATAAACGATTGAGCGTTGGCTCTAACTCATATACTGATTTGTTTTTGTATAACATGTGCAGCATATAGTTACTATTCAGTATTATTGGCATATTTTTCTTTTTAGTTATTGACTTTGTGAATTTGCTATTAAGTTTTAACCGTGTTCCTTCTAACATTTGGTTTAAAAATGTTAATTTGAAACCAGAACCTGTTTCTTCATTATACATAAAATCATAATCATCATCCTTATAATCTGACCAATCATTTTCTTTATTCATTAGATATGCTCGATGACCACCTTGTTCTAATACATCAATGTTATATGTCTTACCTACATTTGATGGACCTACAATCCAGTATTGTGGTATCTTATTTTTGCCACTAAACATTGTTTCAATACCAAACATAGACCACATATGTAATTTATTTCCAAGGTTATTTTCCATATCTGCATCATGAAAGTAAGAATTTAAATTTGATTTTACAGTATCATATTTCCATAGTAATTCTGGATATATTTCGGTAGCCTTCCATATATTAAGCTGCTTAGTAATTAATTGATATCTAAGTAACTGTTGGTGCATTTTTCTGGTTTTAATTTCATAATTTGGATCTATATTATAACAAATATAATCTTTTCCTTTCATACAATAGCTAATAGACTTTTGTGGATTACCACCTGGTTTAATATTTGGAGTAACACCATCAATAGTAAAGAGTTTACGTGCTGTTTTTGTGTCGAACCGCTCATCCAATTGTATCTATATGTGTACATGTTTCTCATTGGTTTCTGGTGCAATTTCATCACATGCAATTGCCTTTTCAATTCGATAACCAATACATTCATGTTTTATAAACCATTCCATGATTTGCTCTTTTGTTAAATGGAAGTCCTTACAAATGTATATGAACAGCCCTTTAGTGTTTTGGAATCGGAATTCTTTGCCGCCCTGCGAGGAATCTGCACCAGAGGTGTTACCCTCTAACATTGCATCAGAAAATTGAGGATTTGAGGATTTGAGGAATCTCACATATTCTCGAATTCTTCCAATTATTTTATTGTGTGCATTATCTTTAGTTTTTTTATCTACTTTAGCCTGTGTAAGGTCTTTTTCGAGTTCTGACCTCAGTTGTGTGACAAGAGGTTCATACTCAATATGCTGATGGTTTTCAGCAAGGTGTTTTGCTCTTTCAATTAAGAGCGTCAATGTAACTCCTAAAATAGGAACAAACTCAGCCATAATGGCTAAGAATGCGAGAAGGTTGAGTTGGTTCATGTCGATTGTTGAAGTAATAAAAATAAAAAATATAACAAATATATTTTGCTTTATATTCTGTGGTGTTATTTTTATATTAAAAAAAAATTCAATTTTTATTTTTTTCAAAAATTTAAATGTATGCATGCCAAGACATTCGTGCATGAATTATTTCAATAAAAATTAATTTGGCTATCCTGACATATCTTAGCTAATAAGTCATCTAGGGTTACTAGATTGCATTAAAATCATCATAACCATGGCCGGTCCCCTGTTTGGCGACCGCACTGAAGTACCCATCATCGGTAACGTGGAATTAAACAACCATATCCTGAAGAACATGGCTACGATAATGTCATCGGACATCTTCAAGGCTAATGAAGCGGTGGCCGTCAATATCCAAAAATGATTGCATGTATATTAATCCATACTACCTGATGATTGCTTTTCATTAACATGATTCATACCCACCATTCTCATCTTTTCAAAAATAATTATTCTGATTAAAACACGTCCCCCCTCATAATTCCATCATGTTTCTTATACTCACCATGTTTTATATAGTATCCATCTAGCCACTAGTAGTTGTTTTATTAGCAGGGCATATCATCACAAATAAAAAGTTGTATCCCTCTTTTTTATAGTTGCGTTGGCTTGCAAGATGCTACACTCTACCGCAAGTCCAAGAAACGACACGTCTTGGGCAATGGCATATGCATTTATTTCAAAGATAGGCGAGACATGATCTACCTATGGCTTTAGATCAAATTGTTCAATGCCAGTTGTAGCTAGATAATGACCAGCATGATGGGCTTTCTGTTATTAACGCTGGACACACCTTCTGTTACGTGCTCCATAGGAAGTCCATTCGAACAAATTTCCTATTTGGAAGTGGAGTATCTGCAAAGCCCCTAAGTTACTCAAGTGATATGGTTGGACGCGTCTTTATTTCGTGTGATTACAGCAGCAAGTAGTAGCAGCAACAACGAGTATAATATTTTTCTGCCTTGTCCTTTTTTACCATTTTCTATATCTTATTTGCACTGACGAGTATTATAGTCAAATTCTAGAACGACAGCCACACCACCCATGTCCCCCAATGAATACACAACTGCAATCGAAACTGGCGACCATGCTACATCGAGAGGGTAAATAATACTTTTTAAATGTTTGAAGTCAAAAGATTTTAGACTACTAGGTAGCTGCGTCTTGGATCAATATCTACATTTTATGGATGATTCAGACCGCCTAAACCTGAGTTAAGCAACGATAAATGGTAAGATAGTCTTTACTTCTGTTCCTTAAATTTTTCATGTCTTACTGTAAATCATAATATATACTCACATTAAACACTGCGAGTGGTATATAGATCATCAGGTACGAGGTCAATATCACACCGTTCCTGTCACGTAAGTCATGTCCTTTTTTGGTGCTTAATTTGACACTCTACATGTGTTCTCACACGACCTCAAACCCAATCTAGATCATCCTCTCTACAAGAAACCACTGCTCAGACAATTCAAAGTGCTCGCGAGTATGTTTACTATAGAAGATATCGGTTTTGCGCAATTTGTTTTAACGATAATTTATACTATATAGTATCTCGGATGCGCAAGAAACTGTTGCTCCCTTAAACAAAACCGTTTGCAAGTAAGTATATAATTTCGGTTAGGAAAAAACAACAACAAGACAACTCCCCTAACCAGGGTTTCTCATTGATCTTCCATATAATGCAGTGATGCTCTTAGATCGAACCAACGATGCCGTCAAACAAGACAAGCAACGTAAGTTACATTTTCATAGAATGTATATTCAAGGCATAAGAAGAGTAATGTATGTACATTTCATTTACACTGTTTATCATAGATCTGTACTAGACGGACAGCATCGAGAAGGAGGAGCAACAGAAGGATTACGAGCACCAAGCAATCGAAGAGTAGAACGTAGACGTGGAGGTAAAAACGACGTCAGAACGTCATAGTAGCAGAAAAAAAATTCCTCTACGATGTTCACAAGAGAGCAGTGAAGATGACACGCCTTTGAAAAAGAAGAGCCGCATGTATTAAAGGTGTAGTAGTGATAAGTTTAAGTGTGGAAGTTCGCAAAAGAATAAAACGTAGTTCATATTTTTTTTTCGCGTTTGACATTTTCGCGTTTTCTTAACTGTTTGACACACTGTGGGAATTGCGACAACGACATCCGAGCAGCTAAATTCCACGCTCAAGTTGCATGGTGTCTGAAAAACTGGCAATAACAACAAGCACGCATGCAGCAAACCCAACCGCGAGAAATAGTAAACGAGCAAAAGTACTGGTTTTCCTTTTCCTTTTTTTTGTCGTTTGAAACTAAACGATGCATAAACTCGTAAAAATATGCAGTATACCGATGCCTGCTACTTCTTTGGCAAGTCAAACATCGTCACCGAGAGAGGGATCGCTCCAACACAACTCACAAGAACAATCTGCTCGCGATGATAATGTCTCTATTGATGACCATGACTATGGCGATAGGCCTGGTACGGAAGCAGCTTCTGAGGAAGAGGACACAGAGGAAGAGGATCACGATCTCTTTGACGATGAGAGCTCGTTTGCCAGCATGGCAGTAATGAAGAAAGTGATGAACAACAACAACAACAACAACAACAACAACAACAACAACAGCAAAGCATTGACGATGATAGAACGCCACTTCAGTATACCATTTACTCCCAAGAAAAGCTCACCAAGATCCAGGAAAAAAGTGTGGAGCTTTACAACCTATTGTATAGCAAAGGAGTCTCGCGCGAAATGCAGCAGGAGGTGGTCACCTTTATCAATGATTGGTTGTTGGATGATGACTTTGGTAAGTGCAATTGCTTCGCGTCGATATTACACATACAGTACAACAAAATTCTAACTACAATTTATTAATCGTTTGAACGGATAGGCACAAAGAAGATATTAGTGCTCCTACGTTTATTCAAAGGCATCAAGGAAAGCAAATATGGAATGCCTTATCGACCCCCTCCAGATGACGAACGTAACAATAGACTTTATGTTGCCGAAGCCGATAACATTGATTGTCTAGCTGGAACTTTACAGTCGATCAAATCGCCTCAGCACAACGTCTTTTACGTGTATCCAGGGATTCGGTCATATAGCTCAAAGCTTGGTGATACATCAAAAATTTGAAAGCATCATTACAAGTAGTAACCACCCATTTTTACTAAAATAAACCTGATTTCACATATTTTCACCCTGGTGTTCACTATTTTTCACAATAAAAAAATTTGGTTATTTGGGTTGCAACCTTTGTTTACTATGTTTTACACAAATTCACCTCTTTAACCTATTTCAACGTTGATTCACCAGTATTAACTAAAGCATTCAACCAAAATTTACAGAAAAGTGCTTAGTGATTTCTGGTAGCAACCGATCGTCCCCCTTATTAACCAGTTTTGACAGAGTTTAACAGGACATCACCTATATTGACCAGTATAAACCCAAAATTTTCCCGTGGTGTCTATTCATATAGCTAGTGGCGTTATATTTTTCTCCAAACCTTTACGATAAAGATAAGCTATCTAAAATTGCCCAGCACTTTGTGTATGAAGGAGGCGACAATCAAATGTATGTCACGTACGAAACCAGACAATGGAGCAACCTTAATGGACGTTTTTTGAGCGACCAAAGGGTCGACCACCTAAAAGGCTCACGGCAACACCACCGGAGACAGAATTCATGCCTACCTGGCTCGTTCGGATATTTGATATGAAAATGGTTCCAGGTTCTAGCATCAACGAAGGATACTGCGCATTGTTCTACTCCTGGAATTGGTCGGGTGATATAGTCAAAGATGAAATTACCGGCGATACCACTCGAGATGACCAAGGTAACACAGGATCATATTTCCTGCGCCCAAACACCGTGTTGTACGAAAAATCTAAGAGGCCGAAGCGCATACCTCCTCGTCGTCATAGCACGATGGCGTTAAACTTGTAAAGTTTGAAGGCATCATCCAACAAGTATGCAATGGCTTCAATATCAGATACATTTGGTATGACCGGTTGTGTATCAACCAAGGCGACAAAAAGGAAAAGTATCGCGAAATTAAACAAATGCATCAGATATATAGCAATGCCTACTGCACGATAGCATTGATACCAGATTTTTACGTGGATCCACAAAACACATCACAGTTGGGTCAACCTGTCCAAGCGCCTAATACATTATATACCTGGATTGCGCAATTTGAATGGTTCAGCCGCGTGTGGACACTTGAAAAAGCAATAATGTCTTCACGGATAATTTTTGTAGGTCGCAATATACATACGTGGTGGTATGCCGCACGCAATTTTCCGCCTCTGGCACCCCTCTGCCTACCATCGCAACAATGACACAATGCCTGCACTGTTCTGCAGCACGCGCAGATGCGCACAACAACTAAAGAACATGATCGAGTATTTGTCCTTAGCAATATCTTCCCTGAAGCTATGACAAACTTTACTATGACTTACAAGAGTCCATTAATCGAGTCGATGGTGCACTTTTACGGCGAGTAAGCAGAAGAGGATCTTTCCATTTTGTGTTTTTCTCGGCATGGTACTTCCAGAACCATTGGACGCGTACGGTCCGCCAGGAACGGTAGAATCACAAGACAGTACAACGTTCCTATCCAAAAGTTTGATCAACCTTCCTGGACTAGTGTTGCCGGAGAACATGTCTTACCTAGAACGGGCCGACATCTTGAAGCACCCTTCAACAGTACGCTGTGACAGAAAGGATATTACAGGTGACTTGTACCGCTGTTTCCGGCGATTCTTCACTCGTACTAGAATCATCATTTCGACTCGGCTACAAATATCTACCTCCTTTGCCTGCAGAGCGATATTGCACTGCTATTGCATATATTGTAATCCGATGATGGTGGTGCTACTGACGATGACGATGATGACTTGCAGCTAGCTGCTTCAATCACGTTGCCCGGACATTAAAGCCCTAAAACAGTGTTTTTTGGACAAGTATCCAGCCGTGATGCCCAAGACAAACTCATGCATAATGATGCCTCATACCAACTTCGGCTGCTGTCGCATTTGATCCCTTTCAAAAAGATGGACCTCGCCTGGTGTGATACTACTTTGTCAAAAGAATCTTTTACACGGTTTCTTGGGTTTCGCATAACTGAAATGGTTTCTCTTCCACACAATATGTAAATCTTTCTGGATTCCCCTTCGGATGCATTCCCAATCAAAAGCTTTATCCAATCATCCGTAAAGATGGTGATAATAGCTCGTATTACAAGGCAACTTGGTATATGCGGAGTAGAGAATCCCGACTACTTCTTTTCAGACTATGCCGTACCCGAGCAAACATTCACAATTCATTAAAACAAGTGTCCTCACCCTTGCTCAACTTAACTTCTATCCTTTCCCCTTCCTCAAACCCTCATATAACATAATATGGTAGCATTAATTTATTTATATATAATTGATATTTACATGCGATGATAATTGATTACTTCTTGTTATAAGCGAGCCATACAGCCAAACCACCCACCAAAGCACCCACTGCCGTTGGCAAGCTCAACAGCTGCTGACAGGTGCTCTCTGTCTTCTCTTGGATCGTGGCCTCGGGGTTACAGTAGTATTTTGCAAAGTAATCGTTTTGGATCCACAAAAGTTTGTTGAATGCGGACAATGCGGCCCCAAGCTGGTCCTCGGGCAATTTCAACGACAAAATACCGCCAACCAAGGTAGTCTCGACGTATCCCATGAGCGCGTTGATGTGAATGTAATCGACGTTGATCTTGCTCTTCTTTTGAGGCGTGTCAGTATGGATTTTGGCAACCCAGTCCAAGTAGCGGAGCATGCGCTCGTCGTAGGGCCCGGACAAGAGCTTGTTCAAGTACTTTGACAAGAAATCTTTGCGGAATTTGATTTGCGGATGGTCGAGTGTCAAGTCTTCGAGCGACGCAGCTGTTTGACCTTCGAAACCTTCGTTCTTTGGCAAAAAGTGCTTCTTGGTGATATCGTAGGTGAACAGCTTGGCATATACGGCGTCGACAACGACCGGCACAAGCGGTCTGATCTTGTCGGCTACGCTTTCGATGGCCTTGATGTCGTCAGCGCCTGTTAGAAAATTATGCAATAGCGTTTCAGTAAACAGGAATAAAACGAGCTGCGAGTGCACGTGCGGGAGACGTGCGGAGAGAAAAGGTGTGTATAAAACCTACCAAAGTCCATGAACTGGCTGACATAGTTAAATCGGTATTCACCGTCAGAGTAGAGTTGGGAGCGATCAATGTGCTGCATAGTGCAAGTGTTGGAGAAGTAAAAGAGGAATAGTGCTGTGCTTTTTTTTGTTTGGCGCGCCGTCAACCCCCATGATTATATATATACCTGTTCCATGGCAAGTTTTTTTTTTTTTCATTCGGCGACAATCGTTTTGCCATTTTCGGATAACAAACAAATGTACGCAAAAAATCGAACGATGTTGCCTCCCGACATGCTCCCTTTGGGTTACCGATTACTTTACCATCTGGCTAAACTTTAGATATCTTGATTTCATTAAATCAAAGAGAGCAATGGCTTCTATCTCGGTGGCGTGCTTTACTGGGTGAGCATACTCTGTCGTCCATGCTGCTCTAACAAAGAGAAGAAAGATGATGCTGATACGCACCACGCAAGAAAAAGGAAGTTGTTGATATCTGTGTGCAGATTGAAGCAGTGGCATGAGTCATCGTGTTCAGCCGTGTACTTGAATAAGAATTCCGATTCCTTCTTGTTCCATTACAAGAACATGCCATCAATACCTGACAGATGGCTTGGTTTTGCGACAACTATCACACGTTTTGCATGTACGTTGCACAAGATTCGTCAGCACGTTGCCTGCCCGTTATGCCTTCTTTATGGCAGAAGATATGGGGACAGACTGAGTACTTTGTTATTGCCGGCCCAGCGGTTTGGGTGAGAAATCCATACCATCTGATTCTTCTGTGCACATTGAAATATGGTGTTGTTCCGGTCGGGATGTAGTCTTTGAATCTATCTAAGCGCTTTAATCTGTATGATTTCACATATCATATCCAGGCTATAGGCTTTTGTACAACTATCTATCCATCATATTAACTTTTAAGTGCATCCTACTGAAATCATGCTTATTTCTTGGGATAAACACAGAGATACAGACATAAAGAGAAAACGCTTGTTCTTTGACGATGTGTGATTATTTATTAGCAAAACAAAACTGGTATGAAATACGCGTAGACATAACGGCGTTTTTCCCATTGTGTTTACAACAGCATAGATATAATATAAAGATATGATACTTGACTAGATTATTCAAATGATTAGAGGGTATTTACTCTTTGTTGCCATATTGCTTCTCATACACCTTGAGATAATCTTCCAGCTCCTTTTTATGGAAAGTGACATAATCTTGTGCGTAATTGCCCATCAATTCTACGAATTCTGGCGTAATAGTTTCGGCTAATGATTGGAAACAGTCAGTCAATACATACGAACGTTGAGTACTATGGATTTGCAGCAGTTTTCGATATACTTACGAGCAGGAGGAGCAGGCTCTTGTTCACGAATCACGTCACCAGGCAATGCCATCAAGGTTTGAGCTGTTTTTTTTATAATGAATTAGGATACGACTGCTGGTTCAGGTAGACTTTTGCGTTGTCATCTTTTTCCCCCTTACCATTACGAGTCTCATCTTCGATGAGCAAAAGAACTGCATTGACAACGTTCTCAGTAGTAGTTTTTGGGATCTTATCAACCAAATTGAGAACAGGTCCACCGCGGGAAAGCTGATCCGGGTTTGGCACAAGCATATCGGTCTCTTTTTAGGCCCAATAGAATTTTAGAGTTAGTGACCTATTTGATTTTATACGGATGTACTATTCTTTCTGCTACATACCGACAAAATGGGGGCACACTAGAATGGTATCACATCAAAGGCAAACATTTAGCACCTTTATCACTCACTCGTATACATATTCTTTCTTTTCTGCCGTATTGTTACCTGCATTCACACGAACGTTACAGATTTGAGGGAGCATGGAGAAACAGCGTGTCCAACCGTTCATAGCGTGTTTGGAAGCGACGTATGCAGACATGGATCTATTCATTTTGTAATTACAGGTGTGAGCACGGCAAGCAGTTGCATTTTATATAAAGCACACCCTTCCAGCAATCTCATCGCTCAAAATTACATACGGCACAGCATTCGATCCAAGAGTGGATGAGCAGTTGATGATAACACCTCCACCTCTTTTGGCCAAGTGAAGCATGGCAATTTTCGTTCCTATGGCGGTACAAGCAGGTGGTGATAGCTGTCAACATAAAAGTCCCGCTGGGCTCTACCATCCCATTGAAAAAAAAAACTCTTTCCCTTTTAAACCCTCTACCTTTCATAGTGCCTACAGCGTTCACATTCATTGCTCGTGCATCATTCTCATCTTGAAAAAAGTCAGAATTATATCAGGCCCATTTCGCAAAAACAAATAGTTCATTGTGCGTCAAGATCGCTTACCATCAGGGGGCAAAAAGATAATGTCGGTAGCATTACCAGCGACACCAGCATTCAAATAAGCAATCTATGTACATAACTAGAATGAGCAACAGCGACAGCTACATCAATCTCATAATCCTTTAAGCTTTTCAAGCTAAGTTTTCTTTTTCTGTTACTTACATCAACTCCTCCGAATTCCTTTTCGGCAAACTGGAAAAGAGCGATATTGTCCTTGTAGGTGGTAATATCGGTCTGTTTGAAGGCAGCTACTTTGCATCCAGCGCTAACAGTATCAAATCAGTTTATACATGTATTCATTGGCAACAACTATCTTCTTTGGCTTAATTAAACTTACGCAGCGTTAAACTCGTCCACTGTAGCAGTGCCTTGAGCAACGGTAGTGTTGCCGATAACGACCTTGGCACCACGTTCAATCAATGCCGCAGCAACAGCCTTGCCTAGACCGCGTCCACCACCAGTAATTACTGCAACTTTGCCTTCCAATGTTCTTTCAACGGTCATGATACCTGAGAGTTATTTTTTTTTTGTCTAGAAGGAAAAGAAAGAAAAAGATAGTAGTAACAACCGCGATCCTCTTTATATGTCCGTAATCTCGAGGGTAATACCTATATTTACCAGCTCCTGTCACTTGGTGTTTTCTCTGTGCATGTAGGGGCCCGAGTAGCTTATCAAGATATATAGTATGATACTTTTGGTGCGATGCTCGAGTTACAGTTGTGCTACTGTGTCTATAGAGCGTGTTAATACAAAGATTCTACGCTTTCGTACCACTACATATACAAAGCTTAAGCGGAGTAAGCGCATGTATCACATGGGATGAAGGAGTTGACATGATGTTCTTCTCCAAGCGACAGTATTCTCACCGAGAATGAAATGAGACTACAGCAATCGAGCTACGTAAAAAGTGACACATACATTAAAATTGATTTTAATTTTGCAGATATATAACGCAATGAATGGTGGTATAACCAACAAACTTTCAGAGAGCACATATAGCATGTAGCATAGATACAGGGATGCGTTAAAGAAGTGTGCATCGAGAATCGCTTTTCAAACCCAAATTTTGGAGCCCGTCCTGATACTCGGTTTTCGGGATTGTTGTACATAAACTTTATTTAATTGGTGGTGCGCACCCACCCCTCCTCTACTAGCCTAGAGCGAAGTCAATATAAATTAATGTTTCTTAAACTGATAATTTTCATACTTCATGGACTCTGTATACGAACATGTGACTGGAGAACTCTACATTAAACGACAGCGAAGATGCCCTATTGTGAGCATAATACCATACATCATGATCCATTCTTACGTCCTAAGTATTTAGAAGCGACAACTGAGCGATTCGTACAGACACGAAAAGAATGTAATGGTAGTGTATAGCGTATTGAGTGATTGAGGATGTCTTGTACCAGTGTCGTCGAACCCATATATCAACATTCGCTTATCTTCATTCAAAACTACATTTACTACTGGAGGTCAAGAGTAAGAATATGTCACACTTCTCTGCGTCTTAGACCCGTACAGAAAATAAAGCTGTCATGGTCAGCCTGTACTGTATCCTTCTACCTCCCCCAATTCCATCAACTTTCTTGTCAAACCGGCATCTTATGCAAACATAACCATATAGCCTATCTATGCTCGTTTTTCAATGTAGTGGCAGCAGGACCTTTTTTTAAAATTACCGAATGACCAAGAAAGAATAATAGATGACGTTGCATAAAAAATGTGTGCATGTGTGCGTATATCATGTCTATGGGTGAACAATTTCTTTCCAAAGCGTATCCATGAGATAATGAATGTTGTCACATCCGATACCCTTATTCTTCTTGCGTCTATAGTAGTAACAGAGCCAAGATATATCTTAGTAACATGTCATACAACCGTCTTGGAGAGGTGATGGATCGACTCAACGTAATGCACAAACATTTATGCCAAGTCACATCCAATACCATCAACTTATCTGCCCTTCTCGAAAACCAAAACCTTACATGTCTTCTGTGCTCATGGTAAGCTGTCCAATAGCAAGCGCGGTCTCCTTTCCTTCAGCCATGATAGCCACAACTGCCCCCACTGGAAGATCAACATCCATCCGTGCACCACTCGATGTCAAGCCTGGGCACATAATGTTGGCACCGGATAAAACAAATTTGATGGCACCACGATCCACTTGAATCTTGGGAAGAATATCCGGGTCTACACGTTTTATTGCACGCATATATACATACCCATTGAAATGGTAAGCTCTTTGCTGGGACCATTCTATCGCATACGCAAAGAGAAAAAAAATATCCAACCCCATTCTTACATTGATGAAGCAGTTTCAAGGTAGGAAAGTAAGGTCCGTCGAAATGTTGGAAGAACAGGATCTTGCCGTTCACTGACAAGAATGAAATGTGTTCGTGTCTGTTGTCGTCGTCGCCCCAAACATATAGCGTCAGCCTTTTATTTCAGCCAAGAGCATGATAATATTACTGCTGAGAGAAACTGAAACAATCCACCTACCCTTTGATCTGGATAATGGGTGTCTTTTTAGGCATCAACTCTTCCATGACAGAATCTAGTCCTGGGTACTGCTCCTGCAATTTAGCACGGATTCCTCGCTGTACGGACGATTTGAGTTGCGACTGTCCTGCAATGTTTTCCGAAAAGCTAAATCTATTTGGCAACACACAAGCACATGGGATCAATATTTGTCAACACGATTTACTAGCTTTCTGTTGCCTATTTTACTTTTTGAACATGGCTCCTCGTATAGTATATGATGGCGCGAAAAAAAGTTGAGCAAGAAAAGTGCTATTTGATTTCAGCTGAGTTACACTTGTCGCGTAGTTACCACAGTTGACAGGCCATACAAGCGTTATTGAACTTACCTCTCAACGCCATATAGTAAGAAGTGGCCACATCATACTGCTAGAAATCAACACTTCATAATACATTACTAATTACGTTGACTATTTTTTGATTCGTTTCAAGAGAAGAATTGAGTAAATAGTGTGAGCGAGTTCAATCCCTTCGAGCAAGAAAGCGTCGCTCATTGTGAGCGGTATTTAGCACCATATTTAGTTTGCATGTAAACCGTTCTGCTTTCCTCGTTACTAATATGCTGCTTATCAACTTATACAAAATTGTAAGCCAGTCTACGAGCAAAACCACTTTTATCACACTTCCACTTTTCACTTGTAGCAGAGTTTTTAAGCTCTACTGCCAATCAGATCGAAAAACTCATAGAGCAGAATACCGATGAAACTGACGCGCCATGATATGTACATTGCGACTGGCAAACAGCGCATCTCGCTGCTTCCACTCCTATCAATCGACACATAACAGTGAGGTACCAGGACGATGTCGAGCCTTTATTCCAACAACATAGGTTGTAAAAGACGGAATTACTACCACGGTACAACGAACGTTTTCGTATAGTTGACGCATAACATTCGAACTTCTGACGCGCCATAGCTCATTATTACCAATATACAGTATATGTGGCTCAAGCTCATGCTGCTCCTATGAATACGACAGCATGCAATAATCTCTCAATTGCTAACAAAATGAGAGCTGGCATCACCTTCATGTTTGGTATGCGAGCCACCGCAATGAAAGTAAGCAAAAGTCTCAGTAGCTGCTGGGAGAATCTCTGTGCTAGGAGACATTTTTATTGGCTTGTCTCTTATGTATGATATAACGTACAAAATTAAAAACTTACTTGATGTGTAACCCTTGCACTACTGTACATATTCATGATGATACAACATCCGTTTAAAAGCTTAGCTCTATAGTCGAATGCCACAGTCAGAGCTCTATGATGATAGCCATACTGTATGTCTGAAGCGCTATATACCATAATCACATTAAGCTTTGTATCACTTTTTTCTGATGCTTTATTCTTCTTACATCAGATAATGTATTTGCCTGTAAAAACTTTATTAAGCTTTCATTCATGACGCTTTTATCTTTTGCCGCCGGATAGCGTACAGTATCATTTAATTGCCTGGTAACGTGGTACACAGGCCACAAGTGTGCTACAGTAATAGAATAAGAAACCACTAACTGCGCGAATGGATTCAATGGACTCTTTCTCCATTTTCTCTCTGGTTGAGGGCTTCCAACGTTATTTCTACACTATATTACCAATAGTAAAGCTGTATCATAGCCAATAATAAGGCTAAACCAAAATTTACGTCAGAAAGCAAGGAAGCATAGCCGCTAGAACACATTGCTCAAAGAAGAACAATCTGTTACTAAAGAAAGGAAATACTATCAATCTTGACCCAGAGGTACGTTCTATATAGACCCTGCCTGTAAACACAACAGTTTAATTTACCTAGTGAGTTTTAGAAATGTATATAACTTACGAGACCAGACAATGGAGCGAATATACATATAAAAAGGTCTCACTTGCCACAACACTCATTGCTGCGCTTCGATCACATGCCCGGCCACCTCGACGGTTTTCTACATTGTCGAAACCTAGCTTCATGCCCAAGAAGCTTGTTCGGACTTCTGATATGCAAGTGGTTTCTGGGTTGCAAGTGAACGAAGGGTACTGTGCTCTCTCCTATTCTTGGAATCAATCGGGAGACAGTGTTGTAGACGAATTCACTGGCAAGGAGAAACGAGACGACCAAGGCAAACACAAAATAGTTTATCCTGCGAAAAAAATACGACAAAAACCAAGAGGTCGAAAGCGCATTCCACACAAGGTTAGACTTGTCAAGTTCGAAGGTCTTATACAGCAAATATGCAAAGATTTCAACATCAAGTACATATGGTATGACCAAATGTGTATCAATCAAGATGATATGGAAGAGAAGCGGGAGGAGATACGACATATGCATCGAATCTATTCCAACGCGTACTGCACCGTAGCTTTGGTACCCGAACTACAGGTGCGCAAGTACATCAGCAGTGAGCGACTCAAAAGTGTTTACATAATAGAGAGGACGGATATACTGTATTCCGAATGGTACAAACGCCTATGGACACTAGAGGAAGCTGTAATGTCACCAAGAATTCTTTTTGTTGGTCAGAATATACATACATGGTGGCATGTACCGACTTGGCTTTGCGACGAGCTGTCGTTCATCTGTAAAAGACCGATACGAGTAAATTCCAGCGCTGTTCTACATAACGCACATATACGCCGTAGTACCAAGGAACATGACAGGGTCTTTGCGCTCGCCAACATTTTTCCAGAAGTCATGAGCAAGATAACTGTTGACTACGACCAATCGTTACACGACCTATTGATCCAGTTTTACGGCGCTTTAGCAGAACATGATTTATCTGTCTTGTGCTTTAAGCGACGTGGTTACTCTCGCCTGTACAAGTCGATTGCAGGTACTCACCCCACCGAGGCAGATCCAAATTACATCGGATTTCCACTGGAATCTCATCGGTTACCATCGTGGACTGGCGTCGCCGGAGAACATTATCAAATGGGGCAATTGAAAACCAACTTCCAAAACTACTGCATCAATGGAGGGACCTTGGAAGTGACTTGCATCGCAGTTACCAACAACAACCGGTCGATTGCACCACCGCTTGTTTTCGAGAGCACTGACATACCACCTATACCTAAGGTCAAGGCACAAGGCGTTTACTATCTTGCAATAATCGCACAACTGCCTGACTACGGCACTAAAACCGTCTACCTTATATCCGAAAGAGCTATTTTAGACAAGGCTGGTATACAAGCTCTATCTAAAAAATGCAGCTTACTGTCATTTTTACTGCCAATCAAGAAGGAGAATCTGTGCTGGTTGGATCGTGCTGTAGAAAAGGACCACACGCTTGTAGACGATATCAATTTGACGGAAGATATTAGCGATACTTCTCGACAGCTTGTAATGCTTTCCGAAATAAGCTTTCCCGTCTCTGATGATTTTACAACATGCTACTACCCTGTTGTCAAAAAAGATGGTGATCATTACAAAGCTATTGGTATTTGTATACTAGATGATCCTGAATTATTATTGGCCGGATATACTCCCGCCAAACAAACGTATCGTATTCAATAAAAAACCGGTTACAATGCTTTGTATGTAATGGTACCAGAAGATATCAAGAGCATTCATAAAGGATAATTGTGAGCCTTTATAAAGTGTCATGTCGACTCGGGTCGACATAGTTTTTCTAGCATATTAAACGATTGCTGGACTGAAAATAGAGCTAATGATACATGCTATATAACATCCACAAGTATGGTCGCGTCTCCTAGATGAGCTACGTTCGCGCCCTTTGCTTAAATTTTATGGCTGATGCAGATCTCTCTACTTCATGAAAAGGAACGGACGAATCAGGAGACAGTCGGTAAAAATTTAAAAATTAGGAGAGCCTCAGTTGACTTGCTGTTATTTGACGGCACGACCTTTTGGCCAGATGGTGTGGCAGCCAGCACCACACTAGCGCTCAGACGGATACATGCAGAAAACTCATCTATAGCATAGTAACACTATCAGATGATGTAAATATCCTTTCTTGCCTTATAATTACCGACATCAACGGTATCTCAATAAATCATCTTCTACACAAAAAAAAAGTTGACTTGCTGTTAAGCCTTTTCTGCCAGCAGCGGTAATTTTCTTTATTATATGGCAAATGTATAGCGGAGCTACGTGACACTGTAGTCCTGCAAAAGATATATTACATGCATTATTTCCACACGGGCGGGCGCTTGTGTTTTCAATTTTTTTATTCCTTTTTTTCCGTTTCTGTTTTTCTACTTTGGTCCAATTACTATGGCACCTACCATAGCAAGTATTACTCGAAACGAGGACAATACTGACTCTAAAGTTGCAGTACTTACGGGTGGTAGTCGAGGTATAGGATATAATGAAGATAAGGCACTTGTTGCTCGTAGAGTTACTTTTGCTATTGGTGATATTCTCGACGAGCAAGGCCAAGCTGCTGTACGAGGATTTAATAAGCAGTTGAGTATACAAAGATAGACAAGCGAGTAGTATTCTGTGATGACACTGGTTTTCCCTTCTCTCTCAATGGATTTTAAAGAGATGGAAAAAATGTTGCAGCTTACATCTATACGGATGTTTTAAAATACAAGGATCTCCTTGCAATGTTTGCCTTGGCGGATAAAGAGTTTGGAGGGGTCGATGTGCGTACATAAAGGGCCGTATGGTCTAGATTTTCTGTGGTTTGACTGAGAGCATTATGTAGATACTCACAATTGGAGAGGTTATATTATTTTACCTTGTAGATTGCAAATATGAATGCTGCTATACATAGCGCTTTCTGGATATGAATGTGGCGAGTCCTCAGCTAAATAATCGCTAAAAAAAGCATTGCCAACATACTCCTTTCGGTTAAACAGCGGTATAGAATTACTCATAAGCATGAAGCCAATGTGGGTGGTGTCATAGAATGTAATAGAGTGGAGTTAATGTATATGGCTAAACGAGGCCAGGGCATAATCATAAATACGGCATCAGTTGCAGGTAAGTAAGGGATGAAAAGGATAAGTTATATTTCAGCAGCTGTTGGCTTATGGAAATCTGACTGATCGATGATAACGTTTGGTATCATAAGAACTTATCCGATGAAGTAAGCAGTCTTTATCACTTTCTACCAATGTGCTCATCCGTTTCTCTAACTATCATCGTTTGATAAAATGCCAATTACAAAGGGACTGGCCACTTACTCAGCTTCCAAACATCTGTACATGTTCCTTTGCACATTTGCCGAAAGTGTATAACACGAGAGTCAATGTAGTATGCCCATACTGGGTCCAAACGGATCTGCTGACAAAGACTGTAGATGCAAATCCGGCAGTTTCCGAAATTATTCAAGCTTTCGAAGAGGCACGCATTGATGGTGTTGTCAAAACATTTCTATACAATGTATTGATTAGCCGAAACTATCCGGTAAGCTAAAAAAAATATGAGTCTTATGTAGAGTGAATAGGGAAAAGAAAACCAGGCACATATTCAAAAGCGCTAGTATGGTATAATCCAACTACTGTTTTGTTCATTTCAATAAATATGAGGTGCGACTTTGTCTGTTCTGTCAGATGGAATCTGTTTTAAAAGTGCCTGCAGCACGCAGTAAGCTTTCGCTACATTTCGCATACAAAGAGGAAATGGGAATATGTCATATCAAACCCACTTTAAATATCAGGTATGATAGTATGATCACTTCTAGGTTACAAAAGCAAAAGACTTAGCAATTCAGTCGTCAAAAGAGCAGTTCAATGTGGCCGTTGAGCGCAGTAAATTATAATAGCGACGAATGAACAATACTTAATGCTGCCCTGCCATTGAGATTGTCAATATTACAGTGCAAAGCAAATACCTACGATAGCTGGTGAAATACGGACAATATACACTGTGAAGCTCTTTACAACATATCATTTGGATTACAGCTTTAGACATCTCCCTGGGAGATATGAATTGAACGACCTGAGGTTAACACTCTCCATACGAATATAAAAACACAGTTCGGTGCATGACAGCATTGCAACGTTGAGTTGGCTGTCCTGTAAGCTAGGAGAAATAGGAAATAGCGAGTTTATTCATGAGAAAAATTAGCACCGGCCGTCATTGAAGGAATAGATATGCCTCTTTTTACTGTTTGGGTAAGGATCTCAGTTGGCGCTGTAAAACATCCGTGAAAAACATGCTGTTCAGCGGTCTCAGGTGGAAGAACGATTAGATAAAACGCACAACACCAGGTTATATTATTGATATGCATGATGTATCATAGTTTTATAGTGTAAACTTCTATCCAACTAAAAAAGAAGGTTGTTCAATGTTTGTTCAGTGTTCTAGTTTCCAGCTGTTCCATCAGCTCCGCAAGATACCACCACCAAGACACCCTTTGGTCTCCAGAGGTGCGTTAATGTAGCTGTCAAGCCCTGCAGTGTCGCTTTCAACGCCTTCATCATGTGTAAATGGCAATAAATCGTCATAATTCTATATTGGTCTTGACAAAAGTGCAACGATCTAATACTTTGTAAACTGACTTTAACTTGGATGAGAATACATCTAATGGTACTATTGTCAGTCGTATGAAGATGTCAAAGGTACCTTCTCTTTCAAATCTCTTCGTTGATATGCTCTGTGTAATACGGCTTCCAGTTTGACACCACGTTACTACATGAACATCTGATGATTTCTTGTCTGTCTTTGTCATGCGTCGTCCGCATAATAGCGAATTTTAGATTGCCCCACAAGAAAGAATCACTTGTGTGCCATAAGAACGGCTGAAGCTTACGTTCGGAAGGCTGCATCTGGAGAAAAGACTTGCCTGGGTTGAAGAAACTGGCAAGTCTGTATTGCTAGGGTCGGAATGCGTATTAAAAAGTCGTTGACGTTTGAAGACATTGTTAGGTTATGGTAATGTTGAGGGAGGACGGGCAAGAGCTACGAGGAAAATATGGGCACTGAAAATGAGAAAGCTGAGCTTGTCAGAGGTGAAAGATGGTAAAATGTGTCAACCTGCTCACAATAGGTTCGGGTGTCATCATTTTAAGCCAGTCTGGACCTACTTAACTTTTGTTTATTGACAAGTATACATATCTACATAGACGTCAATGACGTACATAGCATGATAAAGGGATCAGTGAAAAAATGTGTGAGTGTGAGATATGTGCGTTGTACTGCTGAGTGCGGAATATGTTCATATTTGATCTGCTGACAGTGACAGACACCATTCCAAAACATGAAAGCATCCGAAAAACTACGCATAACGGGAAGTCCTCAGACCATCCCAACAATGTAATATGCTCCAAAGTAAAATCATGTGAAGATGCAAAAAGTCGTTGATACAGTATCTAGAACCCAAGAAAATAATGCAGGTCCGAATTGTCTTTTGCTAGATGAAATCCATCTTTAAGGAAGCTCCGGAAGTTTTTGCTCCTCTCTTTTTCTACTATGCTCGCTCAAGCGCAGGCCTCCGCTCACTGTAAAACACTTCCAGGTCAATCACACAAAGAACACTTTAAGACTATGATCGAGCGTTGAAACTATAATGACATAAATTAATTATGATAGAAAGCTACCCCTACATCGTGCATATCAGAATTAGCGCACACAGATAAGAAAGCTTAATAGTATGTTTCAAGCAATACACTGTGAAACAGAGCTCTTCGTTTTTGCAACATATCCATTTGAATGCAGCCTTGAAGTCCTGAGCGTCTTTTAACTTTCCGAAACCCAATTGTAGCTGGGCTTGCCTTATTCCTGCTTCGAGAACCTCTTCCCCTTTTTTATTTTTTTTCTAACCGCAAGTAGTTCATGGGCAACAGTTACAGCACCAATGAACTTAGAGCCTGTATTTCGCAGGACCTCAAGATCAATGTAGCCTTTCCATTCTTTCCAGCCGGGCGAAGCAAAGGCTCAGCTGCTTGTTGCGTGGTAAATAATAGCACCTGTGCTTACTTGTAGCTGTTGCATAAAAAACGGGGAGAAGGGGAACAAACCCATTGATGAGCGCGTTTTCATGATCACTAGGTGGACGCTGAATGGATTGACAAATTGACCAAGCGATCAGCTGCCGAAAATAATGAGCCCATTGTATTGAAGAGTCCTGGTCGACAACAATCAGGTCAATCCGGAACTTCAGGGACAAGTGGTGGCGCCGGTGGTGGTGGCGGTGGCAGTAACGGTGGTAGTAATGGAGCAACCCAACAAAAGCAATCCCCAACCGTCAACATTTACGTTAATATATTGTCCAAAGATCCGGATAAAGGAAGCCTGTAAGCATGTGTCTTGAGGAAAAGGAGTTATTTCAGCCATTAATAGGCAACAGTATATACTAAAATGGGGAGGGTTTATGTGCGGCTCTAGACTATCCTTGTATCGTCCAGCGGCTGCCAAAAGCGACCGCGATTCAAACGGATCGAAGAGCGGGCTCTTCAACGCGAAAGGGTGGTCACCGAACCCACTACTTTTGACACTCGAAAGCAGCGACCAGAAGCTCGAGACACTTACGGATTCATTCTGTACTTTTGAATCGATATTTGCAGGCAAAGATATCTCGCATGAAGACAAATTCAAAGTAAAGAGAGATATACTTCGTGAAAGAAAAAGGACATGTGTTTATGAAAACTCAACAAAACTTGCTACTAAAGGTGTTTTTACAACGTATCCAAACGATGATGTGGCCTCGCTGCAGACGATTCCGAATCAGCAATACGGATGAACAGTTAGATCAACTCGAGCTCGAGGAACAAAATCCACAAAATGATGCACCATTACATGATTTGCATACCGACGACGCTCCGGCAAACACAGAGCTAGCAAATTCCAATTTACCTGACGTCTTTGCGATTATTGAAGCTGACAATGCTTATTATTTTCTCGCATCCTATCGTGGAACTACGCTGCAGGATTTGATTACCTACAACCCTGGTGTATTGAGCTCAAACTTGAAGAAAAGTTTTGTTGTTTATCAGATTCTGCGCACGCTCGCCAGCCTACATGGTCGAGGTGTTGTTCATGGAAGGTAAATCAAAAGTATCGTACTAATGTTTTGGTAACTCTGGGTCACACGAAGAATTTAAATAACCCTTTACTCAAACATCTATTTGCAGCTTAAAGGCATCGAACATTCTTGTGGATGAGAATTTATGGACCCAGTTGGGTAATATGGAATGTAGTGTAGACTTAGAAGATCTTAGTAAGTGATACAAGAAAATTTAAAACTTAAGCATGAGTTCGTGATAGAGATGACTGATTGATTGACTATGGGTGCATGTGTAGATATCCAACGGCTGGCGGATGAAATGCAGTCTCCAAAGTTGACTAAGGGTATGTGTGCTGACGGTTTTGTTGAAAATTATTGAATAACAGCTTTATTAATAGCGCTGTATTTTAAGGGATCGAGGAAGAGCCTTTGGTGATGCGATGGGTTCGTGGTGCCATATCCAACTTTTCGTATTTGATGGCACTGAATCATCTCGCAGGTATCTACTTCAACACGAATCGATGAGTGTGGAATGGAAGGATCCATGAATATCAAACTTATCAATATTCAAAATGACAGGTAGAAGAGAAGGTGATCCCAATTTCCATCCGATTATGCCTTGGATCACAGATTTCAGTGGATCAAGTATTGAGGATGGCTGGCGTGATTTCACAAAGACCAAGTTTCGCATGAACAAAGGTTAGGGAGAGTAGTGAAGAACAGTCTTATGTTATCACAATGTAATAATTTGAAACACAAAACTCACACTCATTGAACTACATACTAGGCGAAGAACAGCTTGATTTCACATTTAATGGCCCGGTACCTCATCATATCACAGATATACTATCAGACATCACGTATTATGTCTATTTAGCGAGAAGGACACCTATACCTGTAAGTATTTTTCCAATTCTTTTTAAAGCTAATTGATGACTTTATATAATCAGATTTCTAAAAATGATCTGCTACTGCAATAACAGGTACTTTGCCAATTTGTTCGGTCTAAGTACGAGCCTAATGAGTATCCTTCCTCTATGCAACGACTGTATAGTTGGACACCAGATGAATGCATCCCTGAATTTTACACAGGTATATAGTGGTGGATCATCAACATCACAATATATAAACTCTGAATGATCGATTAATCAATATTTTGTCTTAGATCCTAGTATATTCAAGTCTATACATGGTGATATGCCTGATCTTCAAATACCTCAGTAAGTGGAAAAAGGGATACAATAAAAAATTCGGCATGATATATCTGATAATAATTGGTTCTCTTACTCCTACAGATGGGCAGAATCTCCCGAGGATTTCATAGCCAAGCATGCCGCAGCATTAGAAAGTGAATATGTCTCGGAAAATCTTCATCACTGGATCAATTTGACATTCGGCAATAACTTGACAGGTTGGTGTTGTTCAGAATAAGGACAGAAAGAAACATAGAGATCGGTAATATTGCTAACTACTATTGGGCTGTTGCTATAGGAAAGGGTGCAGTCGAAGCCAAAAATGTAGCGCTTCCATTGTTAGCGGGACAAAATAGCTTTATGAAGCATGGTATTATTCAACTTTTCAAAGAAAAGCATCCTCAACGAGGTTGTAACTGGAACAAGGCAAAAGAGTAAGTCTCTCCCAAAGGGAGATAAATTAAGATGTCATAACTTAGTTTAATTCTGTCAATATAGAACTTGCGATATATCCTTATCAAGACGGGTAAGTGAAGTTACTGATCTGCAGCAACAGCAACCGGTGCAACAGCAGCAGCAGCAACAGCAGAGACCACCATCGATAGCAAGTGAACAACATTCATTATATCCAGACCGACAAAGCAGCTACAGCACACCTAGTCTTCCGTCACAACGAAGTCTAAAATCCAACCGCCAAAGCTCTGTCCCGCAACCGACCTTATCCGAGAGTCCATCAAATAATACACTTCAATTTAAAGAGCGAGCGGCCTCCGTCCACTCTACGTGTTCATCCATAGACACATCCACATCCTTAACGAGCCGTTCAACAACAACTGCCGCTGAACAGGCAAGTTCAACTGCTGCAGCTGCTACCGCTGCTGGTGGATTAACATCTGCATTAAGAAACGAGCCGATTCGTCTTCCTAACGAAATGCCAGACGAATATTTCGTGGAGAACTTGACCCACTATGAAGAAACTATTGAGTTTGCTGCACAATACCAGTTCCCATGCTATAACTCGATCAAGGAATTGCCTGTCAACCCCGTATATCCTGCCAACGGTCCCAAACATTATAATATTGATCCTTTCGATACACAGTCGCCACCGCGAAGTCAATTCTCCATCGGAACAGCCTATGATATGTATTGTGCTGGACAAATCATTGGAAGCATATACACGGCGGGCAACTTGAAGGTGGTTGATCCGGATGCAGAGCCAGGACAGACATCTACAAGCGGATATTTTGAAGTAGGCAATGGTGATGTATCGTATGATATTGCGCCCACCGGAAGGATTAGTGTAAGTAAAACAGCTGATATAGAGAGGGAGTGACTATTTGTTAATATTTTAGGAAATTAGGAGAACAAGAAATAAACTGACGTAGATGGGATATATGCTTATTATAAAATAGATTCCTCCAGCAGTAACGGAAGTCATCCAAACGCTTACTCAAGATGAATGGCGAAAACGACCGTCTGCAAAATCTATTTTATCTGCGTCGTTCCCTGCAAACTCTGTTCGAGACCCGTTCCATTCGTTCCCGTTCCCTGAATGTATCCCAGACACGTACGAGTATTTGGCTGCATTCTATGAAGCGTAAGAAAACATGCTTTATTATTATATTTATCTCCTTCGTAATATTAGCGTTATATGTTTCCGGATCATTGACAAAAAATGTGTATGTATATTCAGAGAATGGACGCGGAGGCTGTACCTAGCTGACAAATGGGTAGATCGGATTTGTGAACTTGAAAACGAGGTAAGCTAATGGGTGGGTAAAGTAAATGGGCTAAAGGACAAAAATATGAAATCTTCCCTGTTGTGTCGAATATGTTTGGTTATGTGCTGACGCTCATACAACTTTTTTAAGGCTTTTATGCTGATTCTTCCTACTTTCACCCAACTGTTCACACATAACGCTACTCGAGTGGGAGCAATCAGTCTATTCCCAAAGCTCGCCCAGCGCCTCGGACCTGAAAAGGGCAAAAAATACCTGCTGAAGCCGATCATCTTTATGTTTGAGGTTCGTTGACAACCCCTTACGAAATTATGCATTTTAGAGCATTTGTCTGTGGTGAATGGTACGGCTACTGAGCTATTTGACTTTCCTTTCTTAAAAAGACGCTTCGGCCGAATATACCCAAAATGCTTTTCGATCAAAAAACGATCAATGAATTTGTCAAACGTCTCGGTACGGCCGTCTTTTTGCAACAAATGCTGCCATGTTATCTCGAATCTTTAGCCATCAACAATGACAGCAAAAGTCCTGTCGAGAAAGAGGATTATTCCTTGGCAAAGTCACCGCCACCACTCAGTAATGCTACAAATCCTGCTACTAGTGCTTCTGCCGAATCGACAGGATCCTCGGGTTTATCCGTGGCTGAGATGGCAGGAGAGGCATTGAGTCATATATGTACAGTACTTGGGCCTATCTTGACATCAAAGCACATTGTAAGGCAACTTGTCAAGATAGTGTTTCGTGAAAGCATTGTGCGTCCAATCCATTTGCATACCATGGGGCAGATAGCAAAGAGCTTTGGTGAAACGTTTACAGCTATTCAATATGCATACTTAATTTCCTTGGTTGACCAGCATTTCCAGCGCGCCATAACGGAACGTAACGCCAGAATCATATGCAGCACCATGTCATTACTGGAAGCGCTGATGCCACATATGTCAGGACAACTGCTAGCAACTGAACTGAAATCTGGGTTTGTCTCGACGCTTTATAAGTTACTGGAACCAATACCACCGGCTTCTGAAGATGCCAAGGCAGTTACGGAACAAAGTATACGGTTGCGTCTTACTTTAAGCATGCGCACGATTGATCATCTTGTTCAGACAGCGCACTACCTCCCACAAAAGGAGTGGGAAACAACTGTAAGAATATCTTTGTTTTTTGGTATTTTTGTTGCTGATTGCAATTCGTTAAAGAAACTCATATGCATACCTGCAACTTGCAACTGACAATAGATAACATCTATGCTGCAAAAATACTTCTCTGGCTTTACAACAAACGATACCAGCGACAGCCAAGTTCATCAGCAAAAGAGTGATTACCCTGAATTCAAAGCACAAAGAAACTATCAGGTGCGTCCTATTTTGCAGCGACATACAAGACTTAGTAACTGTTGACATTCAAGCTTACATTCGCCATAGATGATATATGCCTATAATCAATTCTGTACTGCAGTAGGAAACGAAATCATGCACAGAAGTATACCAACTAGGTAAGCAATGATACCAAAAAAGCCTTCTCAATGATGCAACTGGACTTACAAAATTAACTTTTACCGCTAATTTAGCTCCTCCATCGAGAGACTAATGTATGATCAATTTGCCCGTGATGATGGTAGTGACGGAGAACAGACAACGGAAAAATCGCCACCCTCATCATCACAAGCAACATCTACTGCAGAATCTACTACAGTTGATATTGAAAAGCTGCGGCAGTTTTCTACGAATGGACTGTATGCATTTTCTGGACCTGTTCCTGCGGATGATAAGACAAAGAATCAGCAAGATCAAACAAGTGGAGAAGCTCAGCGGAAAACAGCAGCAAGTAACGGATCTACAGGACACAAGGCATCGGAAAAAGAAAGGTAAACTTTCTCCCTCTTGATTTCATTTATTGAAGATCGCCCTATCAGGTAATTTAACATACAAAGTTGCAGTAGCACTAAATCCAAGGTGCCATCAAGTGTGCTTCCATGGAAAACAAAATGGAAACCATCGCCTGAAGATCGAAAGTAAGTCCTCGTGTGAACTTTCCTAGTGGCTCGTTAGAGTAAGAAACATTAATAAAATTCTTGTTAGAAATTGGAATCGGTTCCTATCAACAAACTCAGGTTAGTTTCTTATTAAAGATCATTACTGAGTATCTTTATGAAGACAAAAATGCTCAAGATAGAATCATATATGTTGTCGCCAGAGGAAATGTCCAAGTCAATGCAATTCTCTTTCAACGATCTCAAACTGAGAGGCTTTGCAGGTAACACAATAACCAATACATAAGAGCTCAACATGAAACTCACGACTCTATACTGAATATCTATCATCCGTTTGTTAGGTCATACTGCTGCTGTACGAACAATCGCAGTAAATGAACCGGTCAAACTGTTTGCATCAGGATCAAGGGACCGAACGATTAAGTTATGGTCTTTAAATGTGCACGATGGTATCGAAAATTGGGAAACAACGCCTTACTCTGAATGCGTCGTGACATATACGGGTCATCGACGGGGAACGATCAATGACGTTCATTTTCTAACCGGAGTTGGCAGTGGTCTAAGCGATGTTGTTGCTAGTTGTGATGGACATGTTCACGTAAGCCCTATAAAAACCGCACTACTTATTGTTGCAACTTAACCGATGCTTATGTATAATTGTAAGTAGCTATGGAATATGGAAACGGGAAAAAGTATTCACCAATTTACTACAAGCCGGCCTTCGGTAGTAACAGTGAAGCCCATCTTCCACAATCAAAATTTGGTGGGAGGCACTTTCGAAGGGAATCTTATGTAAGCATAATTTCCAAATCATCCGCAACTTTATGTTTCTGGCTTTTACCCAATTAGTTATGGAACAGGCTAACTAATTTTGCTGCTGCCCGTGGCCCCGCGTGTTCTATTTTACATAAGGTTTTTCGATGCCCATAACCATCGAATCTTGCATACATGGAAATCGAGTGCAAACTTGACGGGTAAAGGTTTTGGAACCAAAAAAGAGTGCACTTGTATGATAATAACGAGTTCTTTTTTTCCCACTCTCACCAAAAGGTTCGATTCGTGTTATCGCTGTGAATCAAGCGGAAACTCTAATTGCTGTTAGCTTCTCCACTGGTGCCATATCGTTGATTGAGTCAAGAACAGGGACCTTGGTAGCAAGCTGGAAAGGAGGTGACACAGAAATTACCATGGTAATAACAGAAGTTGCTTGGCAACAAGAGAAGCAGCATGTTGCCCTAACAAATATGCATATTGGGCTGCTAAATGATGCATGTTTTATACACTTTTAGATGAAGTTTTACACCGACGAGCTGTTGGTGTCCTGTGCACCGGCAGATCATTTGATATGCTGCTGGAACGTAAATCATTTGGCGTTAGTAAAAACAATGACGGGTAAAATTTCCACGCACTTTTTTTGCTGACAGAAGCTCCGGCTGTTAGAGTTTACAGAGCGATGCGGCTGACATATCCGTAATTGATCATATAGCGACACAAGACGTAGTCTCTCTTGACTTGTTTAAGGACGAAATACTGACGATCAACAGCAGCAATTCTGTATCGTTCATACCCGTCAACGATGAAGTAAGAGGGTCATCCATCACCCCACCCGCGTGTCGGGCCGAATTTTTTTTTGTTGCAGGGTTTTTTGGTTTCTAATTTTCTTATTCATATTTTTTTTCGGTAAGCTCCAATCGTATTCGTCGAAATTCAAACCATCGATTATCAAGTCCCAAGTGAGTGCGTTTGCCATTGTCCCGACCGAGCCATCTCTGCTGTTCGGATGCACAGAGGGAGAGATCTTTCTGTATGCCTAAATAAAGGAAGCGATAATAAAGAGAGGAGGATCAAATATCCTGTGCTTCCATGCAGAGTTATCCGACGTGTCCAAATGGTCTTAGTCATCATGGAAAGCTATAAAGTGCTTCATGATGGCTGCTGTCCTGCTCGTTCTTTTTTTTGTGGGGTATTGAGTTGAAATTCAACTCTCATTTTCTCTTATTTTCTTGAGTCCGAAATTATTGATAACCAACCGATGCTCGACGGCTGTTATCCCCCTACTTCACTTTTGAACATGAACGTAATTGGTGCCTCGGTATCCGAGGCCGCTACATTTGGCTCTCATGAAACAAGAGATATTGTGCTTCCCAACCAAATTGAACACGTCTCTCAAATCGCTGTCGATGTAAGCATGATTCTGGTGTTCGCTCTCACCCTTTAAAAAAGCACATACACTACATAAACTTTGTCGGGTGAGAAGGAGGCGGCGGAAGGAGAAAAGAGTGAAAACAAAGAAAGTAAGCATATATTAACAAGGCGACAATATGCGGCTGTTACATGTGTAGATCGGAGGTTCATTGGCCAAGATCGTATACTTCACATCATCTGCAGATCGCAAGGGCGGTCGGCTCCACTTTAAAAAATTTGAAACGGATAAGATCGACGAGTGCATTGACTTTATTGCAGAGCTGGTAGAGGATGCCCGACACATTGCGACGACAGAGCAGGTTCTTAAGGCGACAGGTGGAGGAGCACATTTGTATCATGACAAGCTGTCAAAACGGCTCCCGGGCATAGTAGTACAAAAGGAAGATGAAATGGAGTGCCTCATTACAGGTATGTTGAGAAGAAAAGGATTGCAGGCTCATGTTGTACCGGGGAATATAAGAGTAAATGTAACTTACGCATTTATTGGGATCTTTTCATGGAATATTATAACAATAGGATTGAATTTTTTTATTACCGAGATACCATATGAAGTATTTACGTATAACGAACAAGTCGATAAGAACCCAATGCAGTTTGAGGAAATGACTCAGGCGATATACCCGTACATGGTGCGTGGCCTTCATCAAGGCCGTTTCTTTTCAGTTCTTCTGTGGTAGTATCTGCGACATGCATTATAACTAATAACGTTTATGTTTGCTCCCCTAACTTCTGTTTAGTTGGTCAATATTGGCTCTGGTGTAAGGTAAATATATATGTGTTAGTGTAGCTGGAAGAGGGAATCATGCAACAAATTTTGTTGGTGGTGATAGATTACCTTATTAATCAGTCAAATTTTTGTCATTTGACAGCATATTAAAAGTAACCGGACCTGACCAGTTTACCCGTATTAGTGGCACATCAGTAAGCGACTAAATCTGAGATGGATGCGCATAAGGAGACTTTGGCGTGTGAATGATATAGGAAGAGAGAGAAAAGAAAATAAGCTAAACTCTCGTCTAAATAATAGCTGGGTGGTGGTACATTATGGGGACTCTTGTCCTTGTTGACAGATGCACACCACTTTGATGGTAAATAACGGGAAAAAGCTCAATATGTAATTTGAAAACTTGCTCATGGGAAAGTATCACTAATGCAAGATCGAATTACTGCAGATATGCTTGAATTATCCCAGACAGGGGACAATAGGAATGTGGACCTAATGGTGGGAGATATTTATGGATCTGATTATGGTCGATTGGGCCTCAAGTCCTCGCGGATAGCGTCAAGTTTTGGCAAGGTGTTCAAAAAAGGTGTTCGTCAATCTCCCGGTAGTTTCTCATCGGCAGATATTTCTAAAAGCCTCTTGTTCATGGTCAGGTAAATATGGAAGTCCTTTGGGAAAAATGGAGAGGTTTCTCGATTCGAGCCGTGTTTTACCTTTCCGTTTGTTCAACGAGAAAAAATAATTTGCGCGCACAATGGGCTTATAAATGCATGATTTTCTATATAGCAACAATATCGGACAGATTGCCTATTTGAACGCACAACAGCATGGCTTAAAACGGATTTATTTTGGTGGATTCTTCATTCGTGGCCATCCTATCACCATGAACACACTTTCTTATGCCATTGATTTCTGGTCAGGCGGTGAAATGAAGGCCCTGTTCCTGCGACACGAAGGACATTTGGGTGCAACCGGTGCAGTAAGTCAAGAAAGAAGTGGGTTTAACCCGATCCCTTTCGTTTGAATAAGCCGGTATTTTGAGATGATTAACAAAAACGTGTACTCGTTATATCTAGTTCCTCAAACACAAGCCGATTCGTAAAGCAAGGCACTCGTTCTCTTATTCAGAAAACTTTCGACCAGACACAGCGGCAACGCCTAGCCGAGTGTATGATGTATTAGAGCAAACCAATGTAGAATTACGATCAGAAGACAAAATTTGATAGTATTCCCCCGTTTTAATCGATTGTGTATGTGTATTTTTTATTTTCCTTTATACTTCTCTTTTTTTCTCCTTTTCACTCTATATTAAAAAGTTGTTCGTTTCCTTCCGTTCTACTATGATACATGCGTATACTCTACTATATCGTCTTACACAGAAAACAACCCGGTTTTACAGAACATATACGTTACATGTGTAACGATGGGCTAGATCTCTCCGTTACCCACCTATTCATTTTACGTTTTATTTTCCTATACTTGTATACGCACACACCCACACAGAAAAGACTTTGTGCGAGTTGATTCCAGCCCCACCCCGATCCAAGAACAACTCACGACAGCTTCTTTCCAAATTCGCTTTGTAACCAGTCCCTTTTATTCTCATACATTTCCCTTTTTCAAAAAATATATACAATTTATCTGTTACTGCTACTTAGTAAGATCATATATTGCTACTAGATGGTAGGTTAGGTAATAATGACTTTCAGCTATTAAGAGACAAAGTAGAAGAGAAGCGAAGAAAACGATGCATTCTTAAATAGTAGATATACATTTCATATAAATTTCTAATCGATTTTGGGACAAAATGTCTACAAAAAGGATCTCCTAAACTTCCTCCACTAGGAGAATTTTGACCGCATTTAGGATAAATTTCCCTGTACTCATGTGTACTACGTACATAGCATGTAAGTACACAAGTAGCTTCGTATATGAAGCAGCGGCAACAATAGGCTAGAAAAACGCGGAAAATGCAAATTTTGGGATACCGTTCCCTTCAATTCACACGAGCACAAACGGAAAGAGAGACAGGTCGGCTGTCGTGGCAACATTAAGCGAAAAAAAAATTGTAACACAGTAGTATGAGGAGGAGAGGGAGAATAAAGTTATAAAAGGTCGCGTTCAAAGAGGTGATTTTTATAAACATATACATCTTCTCTAATCACATATTAATACCATGAGACTCTTTGCTTCTGCAACCGGGCTCTTGGCCGTCCTTTCGGTTTTACAAGTGTCATCTGCCGCACCTACTAGTGATGACAGCTATGAAATCTCTTGGGATGAAGCATATGCCAAAGCAGAGAAGTTGGTCAGTGGTTGGACGTTGGAAGAGAAAGTCAACGTTGGAACTGGAAGTGGCAACGAACAGGTAAGAAGCATCATTGGTATATTATTGCTTGTGTAGGTGGGCATAAGGTAGAAAGAACATTGTTTATGAACATAAAATGATTGGTATTCAGGGTCCTTGTGAAGGCAATACTATCGCAGCTCCAGGTTTCCCTGCTCTGTGTATGAACGATGGTCCTACCGGTCTTCGCCGAGCCTACAATACGAGCCAGTATGTTGCGGGTATCAACGCTGGTGCTTCATTTGACAGGGAATTGACGCGCCAGCGTGGTGCTTATATGGGTCAAGAATGGCGCGATAAGGGCGTAAATGTTATGCTAGGTCCAGGCATGAACATGCTCCGCGTACCTCGTGGTGGTCGCAAGTAAGTATCAACTACTACTTTTTCTCATGAAGATTTTTTTTCAAATCACTATCACTACTGCATAAGCTCAATAAAACTCACGCAAAAAATGTTTTGTTTATCCTAGCTGGGAATACGCCGGTGAAGATCCATATCTCGTAGCCGCTATTGCTGAAGAAAGCGTCAAAGGTATCCAGAGCTCGGGTGTGGTAAGTTGCTATTTACGCCACCAACACAGGTTATTGGTAACAAGTAAGCAATCCATGTATCAACTGCCCTCTAATTTCTATTATGATTTGTAGGTTGCCACCACTAAGCATATAATTGGCAACGAACAAGAAGCCAACCGCTATGATGTATGTGATCAATCACTGATACATCCTACATTTCTCCTCCGCCATATGCAATCCCAAAACTGACAACTTTCCAAACTTCATATGCTATGATCATATTATAGGTAGATACTGTGATGGATGACAAGACTCTACATGAAATGTACTTGATTCCATTTATCCACGCTATCGAAGCTGGCTCAGCGTCGGTCATGTGCGCCTACAGTAAGTTGAACGGTGTAGAGCCACTTGAAATTCCGAGTAGCGAAGAAAGAGCACTTTATTTAAAATGAAAATAGATAAGGTCAATGGTTCGTATGCTTGCGACAGCGATAATGTCATGAACCACATCACGAAGGAAGAATTAGGATTCAGGGGTTTTATCATGGTATATATTATTTCGTAGAGACTATATTTATGTCATGAAGATGGTGAAAACTTAGAGTATTAATCATCTCGTTCTTTGCAGAGTGATTGGTGGGCGACGCACTCGACTGTCAATGGTATAAACAGTGGTCTTGATATGACTATGCCTGGTAAGTAGTGCTCGTCGTAGGTTCATAATACCATATACAAAATAGTATATACTCATATAAGAATCTTTACTGTTATTGTAGGTGATGCCAATGCTGACAGTGTTACTGGTGGTGGTTTGTGGTTTGGCAAGAACTTGACTGATGCTGTGGAACGTGGTGATGTCACTGAAGAACGGGTATGATGATGATGATGATGAGATGGTGACAAGCCAATCCTCCAAGTTGGGGCTGATCTACGTGGGACATCAGTGACTAACAAAGAAGCAATTAAATATTAGATTACCGATATGGCAACTCGCATCGTTGCTGCTTGGTACAAGGTGATGCTCAATTAGGACATGTCGTTATAATGTAAGGTTTGTTACTGATTTTCTTTTAATATGTATATAGGTCAGCGAAGACAAGGACTATCCCGAGCTTCGATTCAACTACTTCGATTCTTCTGTTGGTGAGGAAGTTGATGTCCAGCGTAACCACAAAGAAAACATTCGTGCCCAGGGTGCTGCCTCTGTGGTTCTTTTGAAAAATGAGGAAGACATTCTTCCTCTAAAGGAAGATACCATTAAAAAGCTCGCTATCATTGGCAGTGACGCTGGACCTGACCCTGAGTATGTTTATGTAAACTATATGAACGTTTTACAACTCACATGCGTGTATACTAGCCAGCGTTGATAATACTCACAGCATATATCTTCTTTTGCTACAGAGGTTTGAACCAATGCATTGATGGCAGCTGCTCTCGTGGAACTTTGACTCAAGGCTGGGGATCAGGTTCTTGCTAGTAAGTTATATTCTTGATATTGTATCCATAATTTTTAAGATAAACTTTAAACAAAAGCTAACAGCGCTTACTTTATTGCGGTGACCAACAAATTCTACCATCAGCTTACCATATCTTGTTACGGTAAACCACCAATTCAATTTAGTATCAATAATAGAACATACATAAAGACAACAGCAGTATAAATTAATGAAAAATGTATAATTTAGCCTCTCGACGGTATTACAGCTCGTGCTGGCGACTCTGTTGAGATCTCTCATACCTTCGATGATTGGGACCTCGAAAACGCTGCCAAGGTTGCTGCTGATGCTGACATAGCTCTTGTATTTGCCAAATCGAACTCTGGTGAAATGTACATCATTGTCGACGATAACGAGGGTGACCGTAACAACATTACCCTTTGGTACAATGGCGAGAACTTGGTAAGAAGATAACATCACCATTAATATTAAGCAAATGGGTCGAATGTACTCACTGATAAACTTTTGATATACATGCGCCAATGCTTGGGGAATAGATAAATGCAGTTGCAGATGCAAACAAGGAAACAATTGTTGTTATTCACTCTGTTGGACCTATTGACTTTTCATCCTGGATCGATCATCCCAATATCAAGGTAAAATATTGAACAAACGCAACACTTTTACACTTTTCAGGAATTAGACTGAACACATGTTAATCTCCCACGTCTTTTGGTGCCTAGGCTATTGTTTGGCCTGGGTTGCCGGGCCAGGAAACCGGAAACTCACTTGCCGATGTCTTGTTTGGTGATTACAACCCTTCAGGTCGCCTGCCTTATACTATTGCCAAGAAAGAATCCGATTATGTTGCTGACGTGTCCCAAGAGCTCACTGTAAGTGATCATGTTCGTTCTCATTTTCCTGTCACCTTTCAATTGCTGCCCTGCTGGTAGTTGGTCTACTAAAGAATTACGTGCTAACATTATTTTATATCTTGTTCATCGGCATAATTAGGTCGAGTACACCGAGGGTGTCTATATTGGCTACCGTCACTTTGACAAGCACGGCATTGAACCCTTGTTTGAATTCGGCTACGGCTTGTCTTACACCACGTTCGACTATAGCAAATTGAAGGTCAAGACCTCGCACAACAAGGACAAGGAACCCAAGCAAAAGGATATTTTGGCTAGCGCTTCACTATTTGTTGAGAACACCGGCAAGGCCGATGGCAACGAAATCGTTCAAGCTTATATTGCCTACCCTGAATCGGCCGATCAGCCACCCAAGCAATTGCGTGGTTTTGAAAAGGTCTTTTTGGAAGCTGGCAAGAAGAGCAAGGTTAACTTTGACTTCACTGCTCGTGATCTGAGCACCTGGGACGTTGTCCAACAAAAATGGGTTGTTGCTACCGGTGAATTCACCTTGCTTGTCGGTCATACTAGCTTGGATATCCGGCAAAAGGCTTCCTTCACCATCTAAGAAAAGAACATCACTCTTTCCTTACCTTTTCTTTTCCCTTTCAATGATTATACTTCTGTTATCGCTCTGAGCCCCTTGATATTATTTATTTGATATAAATGAACACAAATTCTTTATTTCCTCGTAACAGACCATTACCAATACTGCGTGTTCATGATGATACTTTCATATTTTTGAGCTGATCCCTCTCTTTAGATTAACACAAATGAAATTATCACAAAGGAAGTCAGGTGTGACAAAGCATCATATGCTTGATTACTTTGTTTTTACTGATACATTATTTATAATGCTTTATGCTGGATAGCAAGTGGTAGCGTGGTATTAGCTCATATACTATATGTGCGTACAGTATGGCTCATTCTTTTCTGATCGTGAGAAAAATTTACTAAAGCTTATGTTGTCGAATTTACGATGAGAAGTGTGTATGACATTGTACTGTTTGCCAATAATCACGTTGAATGGGTTGCTCATTACCTAATTTTACCCTTAACGTGCTTTATCATTTATTTTAAGCATATCTCTTGTTGGAAGAGAAGGCCTTAGGGCTCAGTTGCCACGTAGCACTTGTAGGCACAATAAGAAGAAAACGATCAAGGTTTCATGCACCTGATATATACAGCTGTATTGTTTCTGCACTTATGATGATGCATTATGGGAAAAAAAGTGCTAGTGCCATGATAAAATGCAAAATACAGGATCCATGGGTTCATGTTGGATATGTAATAGCGTGGTAATGTAAATGGTGAAATCAGGTGGGCCACGAAATCCTCATACGTCAGTGTGCTGTGTGCATTTGCATGGCCCGTGAGGGCCGTTAAAAACAGATAAATTCGTTGGAACACATCTTTTGTGCGATGTGACAACCATTTATAAGGCAACTATGTTCTTCATAGCGAAAGTTGCATTTCCCGTCTGACACAAGAGATGGCAGACTATACGATCGCACTGGAACAGCCTTCCTGAACAAGATATTGTGCCAGCCACTAAAGTAAGAAAGCAAAAAGATAACGAGGTGTGGAGGGAGATGGCAACTCATATCTCTCCCCAATAAGAGAAAAGAATCTAACGTCATTTTCATGCCAAAATCACATGGTCATGCACGAGGTCTTTTTTTTGGTTCCTAAAGCAATCATACACGTCATGAATAAGCATATAAACGGAGTATTGTCAAGAGAGGTTCTTTGATGATGATACGAGTATTATTCTTTTAGTCATCCTGTTTCACTTGTTTGTGTTCTTGCTGTTCTGGCTTTGATGCTTTGTTTTTCGGTGGTGGCGGCCCGCCGTCATTCAATCCCAGTAAGCTTTCCAAGTTGTACTTTTTCAGCTCGTTGAAATCTTCCACCACAGACATCATGCAAATATTTTGACAAATTTCCACAATGATTGCCAAATCGGGATTCTCCAGATCAACACGATGTCCCTCGCCTACTGTTTTAGCTAGTGTTTGCACAACTGTCATTCTGTCAAGCTTGGTACAGTTCCGAATTCGACACATCACGGCAAACTGTATGTGCGTTTACAACGGTCAGCATCTTTGAATCACGTCGATGGAGGGTGAATGGAGAAAGGATTCTTCAGACTTACAGATTTAGAGGGCTTATCATGGAACTTGGGTCCAACGATCAACTCTGCCATCTTTTCAATGGCATTCATATTGGCATGACAGGTATTCTCGATTGGCAAAAATCGACTTGTATAGCGTGTTCTTTGTTGCTTGTCCTTTTTCAAATCCGTCAAAATGCGATGGACAAATGGAACTGGTTCGACTGGTGGGCGTGTCTTGATAAACAATACTAGCATATGGCACCAGCCCAATGATTACAGAAAGTCCAAACGGCGTTGATCAAGGGTGCCATTGGCTTGGGTACTTACCGCAATCCATATTAGTCGCAATGTTGGCAAATAGCGTCCGGTTATTATCCTTGGCAGGTTGCTTGAGTTCGGCCAATTCTTTGGCCACTTGTGCTTCCAGATCCAATTGCTCCTCCTCCTCCTCTTCCTCCTCTTTGTTCTGTTCTGATTCATCATCCGAATAAAGTTTTCGGGCGTACTACCACATAGAAGGATCAGGAGTCATTATGCGAATTAATTCTCTGCATAAATACACGAAGGAACGCGGCCATATACACGTAGAAACCATATCGCCAGAATTACAAGTGCACTATACGTACTTCTTCGAACAAATCAGTGACTTCCTTCTGCGCTCGAGATTCCTTAGATCGCGTGCAGGTCACCATGATTCCACTCATGTTGGGTTGCACCTGGAAAGCGCCGGCACCACTACCCGTTCTTTCCTTTTGAAAAAAAAAACCGAGCAAGTCTTAATAGAGTGCGTATAAAGTATAGGAGGTATACTTATAAGCTAACCTTGGAGCAGTGATACGATTTTGTGCGTTTTTTACGATGTTCGTTTGAATGTGATGCTCGTTTCATTATTATTAAGCTTTATGGTACTACACACAAGAAATAAAAAATGCGGGAGGATGGCGAGCGCTGAGTGGCTGGTTTTCGTCTCGTTGGAGCAACGAGAAAAACAGTACTCACTGCCCCCAATTCGGAAACTGCGGTCCGTGAAATGTGTCTCTTTTCAACAAAAAAAGTGGGGCAAATAAGCACGGATTATTCCGGACTGCACAAGAGAATACAAAATAAGCCAGAAACGGATTTTTCTTTTTGGATTGATAAGATTGATGTTGTATTGTACAAGGGCAGAGGCGGAGTAATCTTGATAACTAAAAACCAGGAGAATAACGGGTGCAAGGATATCTAATACTGTAGATTGCTTTGTGTGTGTGCGTGCGATGAGCGTATTGTTGGAGTATGCGAGTGGGGGGTTGTGGTGGTTGTGGTTGTTTTGGGTGATAAAGAAGAAGACAAAGGAATATATATCATAATACACAAACTTATAAGACTACTTTTGTTGCTGTGTTGGATGTGATGTGGTGTTATTTATTTTTGAGGAGCCTTGATGGTCAATTCACCCTCCTGGACCTTGCCCTGGACGATTTCCAACCATGACTTGACTCGTTCGTACACGACGAAGGTGACCGACTGACCAGGGGCAACACGCAAGACACGAGGAGTCAAGCCCTTGTAGAACGCGCGAACACCTTCCTTCTTGTAGATTTCGGTCGTAACAGTAACGAAGCGGCTCCAAGCCGTTCCGCCCGAGATGTGCGACTTCTGGATACGAGTCTTGATGGTATCAATAGGAGCGTTCGACAAAGGACCCATGGCACCAGAGATACCACCAATGACCAACGTTTGGTATGCGGGAAGTTCGCCATCAATGTTCTGGTAGTGCTTGCCCCACTTCTTCAACTCCTGATAGGCAGTGAAGTTGGCAGCCTGGTTGGTGGCTAATATAATTCAAAGTGGTTTATGTCAGCCTAATTGTGCTCCTAAATTTTCCCTTTCTCTACACTCACACATCCTAAACCACACCACACTACTCCAATTTTTCCCATGACTCTTAGTCTTTACCTTGTCTTAAAGCAGTCAAAGCAACGCCCTTGTACATGGCACGGAAACCTTCCTCCTTAATAATGACATAAGCGGCATGAGGAGCGTTACGGTACTTGGGGATGTCCATAGGATCAGCCATGGAGTTGCGTTGAGCCTACATATTCGGGTATCATTGATATGTCAGAATTTTATGTGATTCACAAGCATTGTGGATTGATTATCCAGGAACACACTTTACCTGAAGTCTGATCTTGATCAAATCCATGGGCGAGACAACCATGACAGCTTCGGTGGTACCGGCAGCAAGACCAGCTATTATTATCGTGATCAAACATGTACATGGTAGATTAGTAAACATTTGATAATCAGAGAGGTGTTGCACCAGATCCATAGTGACCATTTGTTCTCATTTATGCGGATTCATTCTTCCGGTTAACTTACCAAAGAAGACACTCGTACGCGAGTTCTTGCCATTTTCATCGACCATCATACCCTTGTACAGTTCGAACGAACTGAAGCGAATGGCCATCTTGGGGACGATACCAGCAATGACGGCACCAAGACCCTTGTACAGAGCCAAGAAGGATTCGTTCTTCACGATTCTGACACCCACACCAAAGAAACCGAGTTTCTTGCCCTATTTGTTGATATTTGGATCGCCATTAGTATATGCGCTATATGTACCTACAGCGATCAAATGGTATTCTTTTTTCTTTTCTCCTTATTCTCTCGAGAAACGACAACTTACAGAAGCGCTCTTCTGAGCATTCTTTGCGAGCTGCATTCTGACTTTGATGGTATCAAGAGGATGGCAGGTGCAGGCTTCCATGAAACCGGCAGAGCCACCGGCGACGAGATGGGTGAGGATAGGAGTCTTCTTGGCGTCGTTATTTTTGCTCATGATTGTTTAAAAGGTTCAAAAGAGAAGGGTGGTTGTGATATTCGTTGATAAAAGAAAGAAAAGGAGGAGAAGAAGAGAAACTGGAAAAAGGCACACACAAAGAGGCATCAAGTGAGACTCTTTATAACCTCTGAAATTTCATATGGCAATGAATCATAGGATATGTTGACGTTCGAAATCTTTTGGGCAACTTGAGAGCTCCGCACAGCACTGTTGTGGGCACAGCCAATCATGGGTTCGCAAGAAGCTCTTTTTGCGGGGTACGTCGGAACATCTTCACATGTTTAAACCGGTTCTGTGCTACTCGAAAACATTGAGCCGCTGCCGCCTAATCGTTTTTTTGTGGTGATGATGCTGCTTAGTTGGTTGTTGATTCTGTTTATTTTACATCAATAACGGAGAATTTTAGGTTGTCCCGCTCTTTTTTGCTTTTTCCTTTAGGAAACTCGAGTTTTCGGAAAATTTAAGTTATGCATTGGTCTCCAATCCTTCTCTTTTCCCATTGACGCCTTTTGTTATTGAATATTACAATTATTTACACCGCTTCTCTCCTTCCACTCGTCTTTCAGCCCAGCAATACATATAATTTATACAACTGCAGCAGCGACGACGACGCGTAATGAGCCATGTAAATACACCAATTGCATTCGCAACGAAGCAGAGATCAATTCCCTCTATTTTCCCAAGATCAAAGAAGGATCACATGGCTAGAATCTTACAGAAGGAAAATCCAATAATAAGATTTGTCATTTATCATATATGAACGTATATAGGTTGTAGACAGGCCTGTCAGCCATGTCATTGACAGTAGTAGCGCTTCTATTGCAACCCCGCACCATCATCATCTGGATCTGCAACGTTTCAGTCTGGACATTGATCAAGCATTTGAGACTGTCGAATGTCGTCCACGGCGGGACATGGATCACTCCGCTAATCAATGGTTTTACGATGAGTTCTCCGGAATGTATCGTCATAAAGCCCCACCGGGCCATCCGGCCATCCTCCAATCGTCATCATCCGCATCATCATCTCCTCTGCAACAATCACAGCAAAAATTTCGAATAATACGAACACCATCCGTGCATCATCAAAATCATCAACAGCATTATATTCATCATCATAGACAATCGACAGCAACGCCATCTTCTCCTCCTAGTAACAACAATCAATCCGGACCGTTGTCATGGCAACGGATCCTAGCGAACGGGCCACCATATCCACCACCCGAGTCGGTAGAGCAGATTTATAGCTGGCGAGACGAAAGCCGGCGCCGGCCTCAATGGATGCTTTGCTTAGCGTGTCATCTGATGGACGTCCGGTTGCCACCATTAGAACAAAACCAGCCAGAGCAGCCTGCATCAAAACAACAACAGCAGTTACGCCAAGTTGCTGCACACGAAGCATATCGATTATTAAAGCGATTGACGCAATACCGAGGGTCGTTGTGCGGTGAGGCACATTACTTACTTGCCAATTGCCACGGGTTTGGTTATTTTAATGGTTCTCGGAATCCAGATCAAGCCTATATCATGTATACCCAAGCATCCAAACAAAACCACGGCGAAGCGACCTATCGTACCGCTGTCTGTCTTGAATTAGGTTTGGGTACTCATCAAGATCTACAACGTGCTTTTGTCTTTTATCGTAAAGCAGCACATTTGGGCCATCCAGCCAGCATGTACAAACTCGGCATGATCTTGTTCCAAGGTCAACTTGGGCAGTCCGTCCATAAACGTGAAGCAATTAGCTGGTTACAACGTGCAGCAGAAACCAGTGCTATACCGCTCGCACAGCATACCTTGGCCATGATCCAACTCAAAGGAGGCGAGAATATTAACACCAGTAACGACATTAGTAAAAATCACAACACCATTAAGAAAAATAAGACGACGGATCGTCTGAGTAACAACAACACCACCACGAGCAATAACGACACCGGGTTAATTATCGAAGACTATCCGTACGCCATTGAATTATTATACGACGCGGCGCAAGAAGGGTTCGCTCTGAGCCAGTTTAAATTAGCGGAATGTTTTGAACACGGTTTGTTTGTCCACCCGGACATGGATCTAGCTCTCTACTGGTATACCAAAGCCGCAGAGTCGGGCAATGCGGAAGCAGCATTAGCGCTTTCTGGCTTCCATTTGACCGGGTTTGGCGCACTAGAACAGTCGGACCGTCAAGCTTATCTCTGGGCCCGCAAAGCTGTCACGATGGCAGCAGTCATCTATCATCAATATGGTGCGGATCGTTGGACATTAGCCAAAGCGTATTTTATGGTCGGATACTATACTGAGCAAGGCATTGGATTGTTGGGTGATAACGGGAAAGACGATGATGATGATGATGATGATCAAAAGATGGATGAGGAAAAGAATGGTGGCGATGATGATAAGAACGAGGATGCTTTGGTTTGGTACAAAAGGGCCTCTGACTTAGGCCACGCTGCTGCATTTAAACGTATGGCATCATCAGCTTCTTCAAATGTAGCAGCAGGAGGAGCCGTCGCTGTCGCCACTGGTGCAATCAATAACAAGAGCGATATAGTAGCGAAACCTTTAAACTTTGTTAATGATAATAGATGCATTATCATGTAAATTATTCTCATGTTTTCGAACCTAATGATAATGATAGCAACAGGCTTCTACTTGTGTATACCCGATCGAAAAAAGACGTCATATATCTATTCTTTCCTTTCCTTTATCATCTTCGATACTTTTATAGGTCCGAACATGTAGATATTTTGATAAGCTTGTCGTTAATGTTGTCATCAACGTCCACTTTCCTTCAAGGGTGGTCGATTTAAACGTAAAAAACAGAAAGGAAGAGTCGGAACCATTCGGAAATGGTCGGATTTGCTTTCGGCCTATTCATCGCTTGTGTGCGATCTGTTCATCCAATCTCCACCTTCCCGATCCATCGCTATCTCCCACGGTCATCAGCAATAAAGAAAAAAAGTCAGCATGTTCCTGAACTCAATTATGCGAGCTTTGTACGCCGGCCGCTTGCGCATTAAGTGCACTAAATGCACGATATTGTCATCTATTCAGTTTTTTGTTCATGCAAAAAGCAGCAATACTAATTAGTCATTAGGTATGTATAATACACAAAAGAGAAGCTGATGGCGAGGAGATGGTTGGGGAGGGATATATATTGTGTGATTGTTTCGTATTTACATGGAGATAAACTGCCAAACAACTTTGGCTAAATAAAATTGTGAATAACCCTTTGTGATGTCCACAGTATTTACTTTACTGTATTTGTCGTTGGCTGTATGGTGAAAAATGCCGTTTGTTTGAGTTAGATTCAAGAAACGCGTTCATAACTGAAACAAATAACCAACACCACACCACACACATATTCAAATCAGGAGGTGTAACTCTAATAGTATCAAAATAGCGATAAACACACTTACCTAATAATGCAGTAACAAACTTGTCGTCCTTTGAAAGCATGCGTACGCCCAAGCCCCTAAATACGGCAAGTTGAAGGCTATACACCCAAAGGATTTTTGTGATTAAGTGATTGGAAAATAAAGCATCCTTTGTTTCCTTCTGTCTCTTTTGTCCCCGTACAATTACCTCACCGCATCCGTTTCTTGCTCATCATCTTGTTGTTCTAATGTAGATAATTCTTGCCGTAAATCCCTAATGTTGCTTTCCAGTTGGCGTATGTCGTCGTTGGTATCTTGATTATGCTGATCCAGTTGTGCCTTTTCCTTGGTCAGGGACGCTAGTTTACTTTCTTCGGAATCTGCCATTATGGTCTGCCATTCTTGTTTTAATTGTGCGAGCTTTTCTTGCAGTTCTTTTTTTTTGTCAAACAAAAAAGCGCATATACATGGAATATAGTTATGAGAAATCTTTTGTGTTCATTAAAAAGTATAGCAGCTTTTGGGTGTAGATCTCATACCTTGTGTTTCAGGATCATTTGTTTCTTGCCTATTTAATTTCAAATTATCCAATTTGCGTTCTGTTGATTTTAGTTTGTCAAGAAATTGGAGATTAAGGGTTGATGAACGTATATTGTCGAGCTCCAGTGCTACTAAATCGCGAGCTTCCTGGACGGTTTTGATCTCGTTACGCGCCATCGTGTAAGTTGGTGATAAGTTATAAATCAAGTACACAGTATTACCTTGTTAGCACGTGTCGGAGAAATAGAAATGGGACGCTTTTCTAACTCTTTGCAAGACACATCACCGAACCAAAGTAATGGGATAGACGATTTACTTTAAATGTAGCATCGCGAGTAGTTTTGCTAAGTTTACAACCGATAGGAGATTCTAAAAGTATAGAATTACCTAATCTTATAGGGATTGCGTATACAGAAAGCGTGCTTCCCTTGGTTAATGTCCTGCTTCGAAGTAGTTAAGTCTACATTTGTCATAGCAACAACCACCCCTGTCCTGTCAATGTATGTTGCTGCCCTTGGTTCCTAATCGTCTTATGAGTTGCCGAAGTCTTATTTTTGTCGTATGCAACTAGTAACTTCGTTGGGTAATTATTGAGACCCTTGTAGACCTTGTTAGTGGGCCACGGAAAAGGACGTTGATGGTCTTGACTACTTTGAAGAAGATCCTACTTGGGTGAGCCCCATCTACCACAGGGAATTTATTTGGATCCTCTGAGTACTGGAAATATCTGCCATGAGATATTTGTGAGATTCTCGTATATATTAGTGCGAGCCGGACAATGAAGGATACTCCCCGTGAGAGGGTTCGTTGTGTGCAACAACGCTCGATAGGGAGGGGAAGATGGATGTTGATTCGATGAATAAGTAACTTTTGTATATGATAAGCAGGTCAACGGATGGCTTTTATCTATATAATCACCTTCTAAAACATCAAGATCTTTGGTTTCTTCGACAGGAAACGACCAAAAGCTTAGCATAGTGTAAGTTCAGGCACAAAACACACTTATTCAGGAAGACCAAGATCATTAATATGTCCCTACAAAATGTTTTTATTGAGCTACCAGAAAGATTGCGAATTACTGATTGATAAGGTGGACCCTCTCGACTAGTTGTGATATGGCTGAATAAATGGTTTTCTCCACTTTTGCTTTGTTGAAGAATGCTTCTTTCGATAAAAGTCTTGCTAGACTGGGAGAAAAATTGACATGCAGCTTAAAGTTTATTGGATGTGACAGTAAATCAGGACATTGACCAGAATAAAATACACAGGTTCGTTTTTGAGATTGATTGATGGAGGTGAACCGCGTAACACAAATTTGTCGATAGTGCTAAAATTCGTTGCTGAGCAGATCTAGAGTAAACGGATCCGGTGGATTTTATTGTAAACTATGCTTAGCCTTCTCTTTTTCTCTTTTTATTACTCTCACTGCTAGCGTCATCTGTACCGGCCAGCAGTTTCTACAGTATCATGCAAGAATAATGATTAACTCAAGAAGCCCCCTCGACAAGCGCCTATGAAAAATAAGAAAGAAAGACACTTACCAGAGACGGTTTTGGATTAACGGGGAACATTGGTGTCTGGACATAATCCTTCAGCATCGTTTTCCAGGCATTCAGGCCACTTGCATACAAATCACTATCTATCACCAATTCACGGTCAAGTATAAAATCTTGAGGTCCACCAAAGTCCACCTGGGTCCACCATTTTTTGAAATCCCGATAGCAGGACCACAGTGATATCCAGCGATATCATTGGTTATACCGAATGATATCTGCGAATATCAATTGTTGGGGACCGTTTTTATAAGTAGAGCCGTGGACCTGCTTGTTATTAATAAAAGAAGAGCTTGGTATCTTTAGAATAATTACAGAAAACCTTCAAAATGCTTTAAATGAACCGGGCATTGATTCCATGTATTCAAGGAAAGGTTAATGTCATCCGAGATTGCAGAATAAGTTTTTTAAATCGTGCTGTTCTTAATGAATGAGCTGCTCTAGGTCGTGTAATTTGTATCATGCTAGCTACATACAGCAACTGTACCACTCAAAGAGCCTACATTTTAGTGATCTCTCCAATACTTTCAATGTTAGATGACAGTGATATGGATGCCATGGTGTTAGCAAAACTATTACACTCTAACATACACGTAGATCCAACATCAGTGTCTACACTTCAGACTAACCCTATCTTTCTTCTGTCTCGTCAGGTACCTTGTTGATAGCTTTCAAAAAGCATTGGTATAGATGGCACATTGACTCAGTGGATTGGACGGTATACGCTATTCTATCTATGCTTGAGATATTAACAATGTTTTCTCTCCTTTCCTGTACTTTGAACATGTAACAGACACTAGGTAGAGATAGTTAGTGTTGTGTAGGAACATGTCATATCTTGTTCCTTTCTTTGCCTGACTGATGAATAACAGCAACTTATTGCTGCCATTGCAACGATTATAAAACCACTTTGTAACCGCTATCGACCGATGAACTAACTATAAGCAGTTCTAATGACTATCCTTCCTTGATAACTGCTCAAGATTTATGTATTCACAATGCATTTTGACAGCGGAAGGTGCGAAAAACCAGCGCAACATCTGCAGCAGTACGAACATTTTTGGAGAGAAAAACTAATCTACATCGCCTTCATTTAAACAACATATTTCTGTTCCCAGTAATACATTATCGCCATGCTGCTAACCATGTATCGTTCGTGGTATACACAGTCGTCTCGAGTGTCCATTATTAAATTACTAAAATTAGAGCCATATCCAGTACTGCGTGTATATATATAATCTAATTCCTACATCTTAAGCTCTGCATCAAGTGCAACTAATTTATCAAATGCATTTCATCATGCTTCAGAAAACGTACTATAATAAGCATTCCCTATTCAAAACCATTGACAATCATTTTTAGGACAGGCCTCGTGAGCCCATGAAACAAAAGTTATATATTCTTTGAAAAAAAAAAGGGCCAAACAAGGCCACGAAACAAGCAAAAGTTAAAAAGAAAAAAAAAGCGAGGCAAAAACCATCATGGCCAACAGACCACAACATGAAAGTAATACAATAAAAAAAATATGGCTAAGCAAGGCCAATGTTAGAAAGTTGAAAAAAAAGCGTGTCAAAGGGAAAGCTAGCGAGTGAAAAAAAGAACAAGATGGTGAAATGAATATACAAAAAGTTTAAAGTGTATCAAAAAAACATAAGTCTTTCGATAGTGAATCTAATGAGGTAATGCCGACAGCGAGATAGTGTCTATGTATAGTGTCCAACGCTTCTGGTACTCTTTCTTGCATTCCTTTTCTTTCGATATAATCTTGAACTTTCCGAATAATCGCTCGTCTTCTACGAAACCATTTGCCGTCTGAATCACTTTTTCGCCATGCAGTTTTGTACACTTCTTCCATTCTAATCACAGACATGCCGCCATTCCAACCGTCAAACCATTCAGTCCATAATTGTGGGATTGTTTGGACGTTTGTGCGGTTCATGGATGGATATATGGGCTGTTGTTGTTGGGGGCGATGATGATGGTGATGAGTTGGTGCTGATGCTGCTGACGATGATGATGACGATGTTGGTGCTGGTGCTGCTGACGACGACGACGAAGATGATGATGGCGCTGGTGCTGCTGATGGCAGTGCCACAGTTGCTGTCATGGTGGATGGGAGGGAGGAGGACGAGGACGGGAGCGAAACCGAGCCCCAACCTTCCTGCTGCTGTTGTTGTTGCTGATCTTGTTGTTGTTGCTGCTGCTGACCTGCCAAGTTGAGCGTGACGCTCAAGGACACTTGTCCGCTGGCGATGCGGTCCCAATGCTGTACAATATCTCCTATACGACTCATGTTTGGTGCAAGCTGCGCAAGTGCTTCCAGAGTGGGTATGGCGTTAGAGAAAGATTGTACGATGCGATTGGTGTCTTGTTGCTGAGCAGCGATTTGTTGTTGTATTTGTTGTTGCAAGATGGCAAGTCTATTTTCAATGATCGGCACGGCACGTTGAAGTAACAGATCAGTGGGCTCTTCGTTGTTTTCAAGTGCATGATTCAAGTTACTATTTTAAAAGGATAATTAGTATATAAACGAAAGACTGTAGTCCACCAGCACATACCGTTCAAATTCAAGATACAAAGGATCACGGAACAAAGGATCTTGCCACAAATGATGACCTGGACAGCGCTTTTTCATCAAAACCGAATCTTGCAAAAATACAACACGCAACTGCACAAGAAGACGCAAAAACGAATCAGCCGCGCACGAGTCCTCCACTTGTTTGGCATCCAGCAACGCCCGCCACCGATCGACTTCAGGAAAAACCTTCTTGCAAAGCTCAAGGGGTGGTGTAACAGCAGCACGAGGTAAGTAGAATTGGCCAGCCTCTCTAGTGAATCCTGCCATGGTCCGCAAGATATCACGAGGCAAATTGGTTAGATAACTGGTCGATAAAGCAGAATTATTCCAACGACCTAATCGCCGGATAGACTCTTCGCTCGTTCCAGATATCTCTGCCATGCGTGCTGACGAACCCCTCATAGCGTGAGTGACCGCTTTACTGTGAATGCCGACTGACTTGAATGCTTCTAAAATACACTCGCGATGACGATCATACGTAATGGACTGCGTGTTGCGATCTCTGCCTCTGATGAGCTTGATGTCGAACCAATCTCGATTGCTTTGGAAACAAGGGAATGCCTCACCAGCAACGTGCCACCGATGAAAGAGATAAAAGGAAAGCATCATCAAAGGACAGATAACAACATTGGCGTTACGCATCGCAGCAGCAAACTCCACACGGCCCTCTTGGTTTGTTTTTCCTTGCTTAAGCACCATCACCAACGCATGACATTCAGTGACACCCTCGCGCTCAAGAAGTAACGTTTGTAGATCGGCAAGTTCCATCATACGAACGCTTTCGCCCCGTAGAAGTCCATAGTGTTGCAGAAGAAAAGCAGTGCAGTTTCGCAGTCCTTGTTGCTTGTTGGTGGCCAGAAAATGATCTACAATACGCTCCATCTCAGCTGATGTCGAATAACCATCTGCTGTCGTACGCATGCCTCTGTCTTCGTAGTTTTGTCGACTAAGCTCCTTTTCCACACGTTTCAAATGATCAACCAGTGCATGAACAAGCGGGCCACGCGGATGCGGACGATTGAAGCAAGGATCTGTTTCGGCTTGTTCAAAATGGAGATCGACAATGGAAGTAATGTATTGTTTAACGGTAGCAAGCTTGACTTTGGGGGCGGGGGCATCAGGCGCAACAGGTTGCTCAACGGTATAACCCGGAGCATCGCGTACAGGTAGAGCAGCAGATGATGACGACGACGATGATGGCAAGATGGTGGTGACGGGCGAGAGAACAGCAGCAGACGACGATGATGGCATGACGGCGGTGGCGGGCGAGAGAACAGCAGCAGACGAGGATGATGGCATGACGGCGGTGGCGGGCGAGAGAACAGCAGCAGACGAGGATGATGGCATGACGGCGGTGGCGGGCGAGAGAACAGCAGCAGACGAGGATGATGGCATGACGGCGGTGGCGGGCGAGAGAACAGCAGCAGACGAGGATGATGGCATGACGGCGGTGGCGGGCGAGAGAACAGCAGCAGACGAGGATGATGGCATGATGGCGGTGGCGGGCGAGAGAACAACAGCAGCAGGCGAGGATGATGGCATGGTGGTGGTGGTGGTACGCATGGCAGGAGCGGGTGACGAGGCGGGCGACAGCACAGAATTCTCTGGCTCTTTTCTCTTTCTTCCAGGTTTACGCTTCTCTCTGAAGACGACCTAAAAAGAACACAATTGTAAGACATGCGTACATATATAGATTGCGAACAGATATGTGGCTAACCTCTTCCACAAGAAAAAGATGAAGCTTTCTGTCGTCGATCAACTGGTTAGTGTGATCATTTGGACAGCGTCTTCGGCACCACTCGAGAAATTCTTCCTGCCTGGGAGAATACGATCTAACTGTATTCTGCGGACGGCTTCCTCGTGCTTGTTCGTATGTAGCTCGAGCAGCAGATTCAGCAGCTGCTTGATACTCCATTTGCGAGCTCATGAAAGAAGTATACTGTGGTAGAGGGGGAGGGACAGGGAGAGAAAGAGGACGTGGTGAGGCACCATTACTCGCCACCACACGGCCCGGGCGATTAGCCAAACGGGCGGTGCTTCTCCTAGCGGGAGTAACAGTGCTACCACGACCTCTGCTCATGTTGTTAAGATAGTGAACGATTTATTGAGGAATGGAAATGAGATGAAGGAAACGGAATCTGACAGATGTGCCTGACAAAAGAAAAGTGGCGAAGCTTCGAAAATTCTTTTTTTTTTCCTGGATATCAAGATTGGGTCCCCGCCATGCTGTGGACCTGAGTCCGGACCCGCACTAAACACAAAATGATATTGCCAAAATATCATAGCCTTGCGCTCATTCACGTCATACAGTGGCCAATGCGGAATACCCTGATGATTGGGACTACCGGTGTTGGCAAACGCCACAATAGCTTGAGACACTTGCTTGGCTATCCGATCACGTTCATACTCATCACCAGGACCCAAAAATGGATTGCCTTCCCAAAAGTGAAGGTTATCCCACGAGAAAATGGCATCAACCATATGGGCTGCCTTGATAATGTTCTCAACATCGTTCGACTCGTAGCGCCATTCATACAAATGCACCTTGTGGCCGTGTTTGACTAGATTTTCCGCGGTCAACAGCACTGATATCCTACACATGACATCTGAGCACATGTATCGCGCCACTTCACTAGGTGGTGAAAACGGCGGTACGATCTGGGATTTGTATATCTCGTATGCTTCGCGTGCATATTTCCGACCAAACACATGGGCGAAATAGGTTCTGACAAACATGGTATCGTCCATTTCTTGGAAATTGGGCAAGAACGGGAAAAAGAAATTGAATTCGTCGCGCGTGTAGCCAATGATGATGTCCAAGTCTTTGTAGTGGTCTGGCAAGGGATGGTGAAAGTAGTACTCAATCAAGGAGCTCGGTAGCGTCTTGTTGTCATCGCCTGCAGGGCCTACAGGTGCCAAGCCTTCCAAGAAATTGGGCCAGGTCGTCATGAACGATTGTGCGTCCAATATCGTCTGCACATCCACTTCTCGTAACTCGTCCAGTTGGTCAGGGCTAATGCCCATGGATCGAATGAAAATGTCGCCCTTGAACTTGGCCCAATCGCGCGGACTAAAGTGGAACATGGGTGGGGATTGCAGTATGACGCGTTCAAAGAATCGACCCGCGCGTGGAGATATTAACATGGCCATTAGACAGGTTGCTGTTTGTTGTAGTGTATATTATAGGTAAGAACAAATCAGTATGCAATTGTAAATAAACGCTTACTTGAGCAGCCATGCAACTTCCTCCAAATCCCAATACATTATTATGCAATGTAATGCAAAGAATCACAGAAAGAACATGTTTGTCCGAAGAGATATTGCTTTTCCCGCATGCTACATTACCTCCTGCAGATGAGCCGTAGCCAGTGATGTTGTTGGGATCACCTCCAAATGTTGCAATATTGTCTTTGACCCATTCAGCAGCCACTATAAGGCAAGTCGTCTTTAGTACCACCCATTTGGTGCACACGTCCACACCCCAGGTACGAAACGAACTTACCGATCTGATCCAATAACCCATAATTGGCAGATCCGTCAAAATCATTGGATAGATGATCCAGTGTCATCCACCCTAACGCACCTAGACGATAGTTAAATGTCACGACCACCACATCCTTGCGTGCAAAGTTGGTACCGTCCCAGAACGACTGATCTCCACAGCCACTATAATCAGATATCGATGCATTAGTGACAAACAATATAAAGAAGAACCCTGATTTCTCTCCTGGAAAATATATCACAGTCAACATCGGTCTGTCGATAGAGTGCATGGATTATTTGTACCTCATGCAGGCACCCGTGTGGATCCAGAAAAGAACAGGTAGCTTGGCTGCAGGATCAACGGTGGGTGTCCACACGTTTATATACAGACAATCCTCGGACTGGTTGTCTGGGTCGATCTGGATACTCATAAGGGTATCAAAGGGCATTTGGGTCTGTGGCGCTGCTCGGCCTGCCTGCAAGCATTGTCGAACAGTCGCAGGGTCACCCTCTGGTTTGTATGGCTCAGGTGGTCTGTACCGACGATCGCCCACAGGTGGCATGGCGTATGGAATGCCCATAAAGACATGGACATTGTGTTCAGCATGCGTGAATCCCTGAAGACGGCCCGATGTCGTGTCTACAATGGGAGATCCTGTCATGGTACAATAGTGAATATAAAATGAGTGATGGGCAGTAGACACACACACAAATGCTGGAAAACGAGAAGAAAGTAGCAAGAGTATCGAAAGCAGGAGAAGAGGAAACTCTCTTTTTATATTTTAAATTGAAGGTGGAAGTTGGGCGGGGGGGTTGAAGAAGCATTGTCTTTTTTTGGGGGCTTGTCGAGACTACTAGGACATTATGATCGATGATGACAGCGTATAACAGAATGATGGATGGGATGGACTCGATGCGATTATAGGGGAAAGAGGGTATGTGTAACAAAAGAGTGGCGATCCCGCATGAAAAGAGGGTGGTGGCTGTTATTGGATCTGCTTGCGCAAGAATCCAAGCATGAGTGGCACTAAGGAGTTCTGTACGACTAGCTTTATAATTTCATGCCCACGTTTGGTGACCACCGTGGGTTTCTTTTTGCTGACCACCGTCGACGTCCTGTTGTTCTTCTTGTCCTGCTCCTCGTCTGCCGCTGCCCCAAACACCACCACATCGTCCTTGTCGTTGCCAGGGCTCTGCACCCACAGCAGATCCCCATCCTTGATATCCTTGTTGTTTGCGCTTGGGCTATGGATTGAGCCTGCCGTCAACGCCGTATGCGTGCTTGCCACATCAATCATGCTGAGACGACTGTTATGGTGATGGTTGTTGTTGTTGTTGTTGTTGTTGTTGCTGCTGTTTCCGTTACCACCCCATAATGCTGCCGTATTGGGCTTCACCAAGGCTGCAACATTGGCCGTCCCCTTTTTGTATTCGTCGGCCAACAGGATTTCCTTCAAGACTTGCAGACCGACCCGTTCTTCAGATGTCATCGGCGTCTCTCCTGCTGCCGCTTCTTTACTGTTGTTGTTGTTGTTGTTGTTGTTGTTAGTCGTAGCGGTTGCACCATTGACATGCACATGGCCCGATAAGGTTTTCAGCCAGCTGATCCATTCTGTCCGCTCTTGCTCCGTCTCAACGCTAAAGATATACTTGCGTCGGACCATCACTGGCGATTTCGGCTCTTGCTCATCTGTTGTTCCTGCTGCTGCTGCAATGGTTTTATCGTCGTCTTTCCCTGTTACTGCTCCCGATGGGGCTTCTGTCGTTCCTGGAGTAGTATTGCTACCAGCTGCCGCTGTAGCCGTTGTTGGCGTTGTAACAGCGTTTGCTGCTGCTGCTGCTGCTGTTGGTGGCAGTCGCATATCCACGTGTGAAAAAGCAATCTGGAACGTGTAGCGCATAAACGGCCGCTCTACGACGATGCTCTTGGTCCTCGGCAGCGTCGGACTGACATAGCGGCTGGCGTGTGGTCCAGATTTGATAAACATCAAGCTCGTCCTACCTAGAGTATGACCGGTGATCGTAAATGTTTGAATGCACGAGTCGCTGAAATCCAGCACGTTGGGGTGACATTCTATATCTTGTCCGCGTAGCTTGATTTGAAGGCCAGGATCGGGCGCGGCTATTGAAATCGTGATTGGCGCCGATGGTACGCTTCGAGTTAAACGCGTCGGGAAACGATAGGGCGTCACTGTGATGATTGTATCTTGCTCTGGTGCATCCGAAGCCTCCACGTCATTATCCCAGCCCGTCTCCAGTCTTTCATGGGCAATCGAATTGTACATGTCCCGCAAGAAATCAAAGGACACGAGTATGTACTGATCATAGTAACGCCATCGTTGTAAGAACTCGTCAAACGTCGGCCGCACGTTCCCCTTTTGTGCACGTAGTGCCGAAATGTAGTGTAACGGCTCAATAGCCACACTCCCACGCTCGTCCTTATTGCGATCTACCATACTTGCTCGTCGTGTGAGCCGCTGTCTGTCGCGCCGTTCTTTGTGCTCACGAGCAGACCAAAACACATCCAACTCGCTGCTCGCATCGTACCACCACTCGGCATTCAGGAACAGCATAGCAACCACGACCTTAACCACCATGTCCTCGTGGAACTTGACAACGTTCTGATTCGCGTCATGCCATTTCTTTGAGAACCGTTCAATCACATACTCGAGCGCCTCCCACTTGCTCGGCAGTCGAAGCGTCATGAGCAGAATCCGCAACGCTTCGTCCAACCGCAGCGCTACCATACGAAAACAGTCCAAAAACGCGTCGTAAATGTCACTGTTTTTTGGATCCGCCAAGAAATCTCCCAGTTGGTGTCGACACAGATCGGGCGTTTTGAACAGGAAATTCGCAATGCTGAGTGGCTCGTTGGCCAACACGCTTTTATCTACCAAGTACGCAATCGCAGCGTCTGGATTAGTTTCGAATTTTCGTAAAGCAGAGGCTAGCAGTGGATGCATTTTGCGGGGTGCAGCTGCCAAGGAAACTGACGGTTTTTGCTGGTCGTCCCGCGACAAGTAGAGCGTCAGTTTACTCAGTTCTACGATATTCTTGACTTGGAACAAACTGTTTTCGTTGGGTCGGAAACGATATCGCGCTTCTTTGGCACTGTGGTGGTCCCCAACAATGATGTTTTCGTCCATGATAGGTTTGCAGATGATCAGCAGATCGTTGAATAAGAACAAGTAGCGGTCCTTGACCGTGTTTGCATTCACCACCTGGAATACCGGTGTCTGCAATATATGGGATCGCGGCGGTGGTCGTTCGAGTCGTGGTTTGGCTGTACCTGCAGGCGAACATTGATGTTGTCCTGTTGTTGCTGCATGGTGCTGCTGCTGCTGATGATGATGATGCTCAAGTGGATACTCTGCCTGGTCTTCCGACGAAGGTAACGAAGGGGCATAGCTGGTCAACATGTTCTTGATCCGGTCAAAGGATGGGCGGATGGGTGGTGGTTCGTCTCTTTGCGGACATATTGAATTATAACTGGCTGGATCATGTATGTCAAACACATGTTCATCCTCATGTTTTTCCTTGTCTCTTTCTTCTTCCTGTGCCTTCTCCTCTTCGTCCTCGCTTTCTTCTTCTTTTTCGTCTTCCGACAACTCGATATCACTATTATCGTCTTGTCGTCGTCGACGTCGATTTTGATCATGTTGCTGTTGTCGCTGCTGCTGTTGTTCCTGCTGACGCTGCAATAATTTCGGAGATGATGCTTCTGGTACTTGATGAGGCGACATTTTCATGAGCATTTCAGGAGACGATGATCCACCACCTCGTTCCTCGTCGTCTTCATCATCGTCATCTTCATCTTCTTCTTCCAATTCATCCTCGCTTTCATGATGTTTCTTTCTGGCACTGCCACTGCTGCTGTTTCCACCATCACCACCATGATCCCGTCGTTCCTTTTCGTACCGTTGCCATAACGACCGATACCGCACAGTGTTGTTGCCAATCGACGTACCCCGCTCCAACATTGGCGTTGTTTCCATAAACGACGAAGTGACAAACGGTGACAAGCCGTAATACGCGCTCGAGTCGAATTCAGAAGAGCTGACCGATGACGAGTGCGGTCGATTGTTATTTTCCCAATCGAACGATGTAAATGACGAAGGTACAGCTCCACCTCGTTCGAGTCGCCGTTGTGTAAAAGAGGTACTACTACCACTAGTTTCTCCACCATTGCTATTACTGGACTGGGATCCTCCTCCGCCCAAGGATGAACGTTCAAAGTAGGATGACGATGCATCGTTACTGTTGAAGGAAGGCGTGTCGAGCGTTTGTCGTTTGGTTAATTGATCAAATGCTGCTTGGACGTTTTTGTTTTCAGAGACAACCGACGAGCTTTTTCGAGAGTTGTCGCTGTTGCCGCTGTTGCCACTACGCAAATGAGCTAAAGGATGGGGTCGATGCAGTTGGCTACTGGGTGATGACGAGTCCATAGTGAATCAGGAAGGTATTAGGGTATTAGATTAAATATAAAGAAAGAGAGCCAGGGCAAGCTAGCTTTGGCTGGGTTATTAGAGAAACTGTCAAGCACACTGGAAAAATGGGATATGATACGCATAAAATGCCAAAACAGTGGGATTGTAATGCTCGGAAAGTTTGTTGTTGCTGGCGCTGTTTTCTCTTTCCCTCCCATATCAGTACTCGCAGTTTTGAAGAAAATGATTTCGCTAGAATAGTAATTCTCTTTCGATCTATTTTTCCGGTTTGGCTATCCATCTTTGCCAACTCTTCCTTTTCTTTCTGTTTGTCGATAATTAATTGAACCATGCCATCCATCACAATAAGCTCCAATGAAAAAGTGTTGCTCCAAGATCATGCGAGTACCACGACTGTCTGCGAAAATGAGGTATGATGAAGTCTCGCACATCATGCAGACCGGGCACTGCTGAGTCCGTTTCCTATGGATGCAGAATTATATTTTAGCATATTCACCCGTGTACATCGTAAAAGATCAAACAGGGTGGCGAAGAAGAACGGTTGACATTGCGAGATATTGCCGAGGAAATTGTTGCCAAAGAGCGGTTAAAGACATGGAGAAAGGCCAAGAAACACTCGAGTAGTGCGACTGAAAAACAGCAACAGCAACAACAACGAGGAGGAGGAAAGGGAAATCGATCCAAATCCGTAGCACTTGTCGGTGCCATCATGGAATATTTAGCAAGAAGACGACAACGTCGAAGCCATCAGCCACTACGCGAAGATAAAGATTCCATTACTGCTGCAGAATCTACATCATTGCTTTAAAACAGCCTTTTCTAGCTGTGAATAACGATTAAAAGCCTCTACCATATGCTATAGTAGATTGCCATAGGCCCCATATATCGCCAATGTTGATTTGCATGGATGGACAAGTGAATACATTTTTCGTAATTGATCACCCGACAAAGTGTTCACGGCATATACTTTTTTTCTTCTTTTGCATTTGTTTCATATCAGTATACTAATAACAACAACAACAACAACAAGACGAAGACGATGGAAGAACAAAGAACAAATGGAAATTACCATCCGCCCACACAAACACGCATGGCAGGCGGTGCAACGTCAACTCCAACTCATGGATCAAGAACTATAACGCTCGATCCAACACAAGATCAGCATAGCGATGATCGAGAAGATGCCAGCGCCGAGAATAGCGAAGACGAAGTCGGTGTTTTACGCTTGAGAGGCGACATGTCAGCTCGACGACCTCGTGCCATTCAATGGGACGAAAGTGTCGTTGATAATGAACACATGAATAAGAAAAAATCAAAAAGTACCTTTTACTGATGTAGTTAGATTAAGACGAAGAGGGAGAGAATTAACTAACCTCACTTTTCTCTCTCTCCAAGTCTGTTGTATCTATCAAAAACCTCGCGCAGTGGGCGAATCGTCTTCGGAATCCGAAAGCGACAGTGATAGCAGCAGCAGTAGTAGCAGTGGCAATGATAGCGATAGTTCGCATGGTGACAAGTGTGGACACAAGCATCACCATCACCGGCATAGCAACAAGAAGAAAAAGAGACGTAATCCTCGGGAAGCCAGTCCAAATGCTTATGAGCGTCAACCTGTTTATAATAAAGGTAAAAAAAAGATACCTTCGTATCAACGTTGTTCACTTTTGCATGAATTATTAATGAATGGGGTCGGGTTTGTATTCCATGGGCTTGTTTCTCTGTAGATCGACAGCGGAAATAGGTGTATACAAGTAGCGAGAAAAAGGAGTAGGGCAGGAGGATTAAGGAATGTTGGCAAATAGACTAGCCTCCACTTATTTGATTTGGCTGGTTGGATCTCGGACAATATACGAAATATTTTTTTATTATTATTATTTGCTACTGTTATTATCTATTGTGTTTTCTTTCACTCCTAATTCCACAACACCAGAAGCATCCGCAACAGCAACAACGTTGTTTCTTTTCTCTTCTACAAGTACGGGCTATGGAGAGCAACAACAATGATCCAACAACAGTATCGGCAACAAGGCCAGCACCTGCTACAAATATTTCATCCACCTCCATGTTAACAACAGCAACTACAACAACAACAGCCACTCGAGCCCTTTGGCCAGACTTGCTTCATTATGGACTACAAGCGGGCAAACACAAAGCAAAAAAGAAAAAGAATGCACGCTCAAAGTCAATGTTCGAGTGGGTCTACGGCAACAACAACAACAACAATAAAAAGGAAGATCATCAACACGATTGTTGTATCAGCATACCTGAATATGGAAAAGAGGATGATGCTTATTCTTCCTTTTACAAAAACAACAACAACAGCTGTGGCAGCACCATTAACCGGTATGGTCCGCTTGGATCGACTCTCTCTTCAGCTGCAAGTACGACGAGTACCGTTAAAGCCGATAGCGGATCGCATGTACAAGTGTTTCTAGTAAAGTTTGCAAAAACACTCGTGGCTGCGGGTGCTCCTTCACATCGATTGGACCATTGTGTCCAATTACTGATGCAAAAGCTCAATATCAGGGCTCAGATTGGTTACGTACCGGGCTACTTGATCGTTTCCTTTGGTGATCCAGGTAATACATACAGTACCCGTTACATAACTACTGCTGTATCTACTTGATAGATTTTGCGAAAACTAATGCTTCTAAGATAAGAATCTCTTGGATCCGCTGCTCAGCTTGTCACTGTCACTACAGGGCTGGACTTGAGTCGCTTTTGCCGCACCTATAGATTATTCGAATCCGTTCTTTGCGACGATATCACCATACGAGAAGCCACACTGGCACTAGACCATATTGCTCAGGGCCCTTGCTTATACCCATGGTGGTTGACTTGGATCGGATACGGCCTTGCATCAAGTGCAAGCATGCCACTGTTTTTTGCAGGAGGATTTGTGGACATGGCATTCGGGTTCTGGTGGGGCATCGTGGTTGCTGGCGGGGTCGTCCACTTGTCAGCCAGAGTCACTCGATTCGCCAGTATATTTGACGTGGTCATGAGCGCTCTCATTGGGTTCTTGTCCGCCGCCGTTGCGTCCCGGTTGTCCATTTCGTGTTTCTATGCACTATCGATTGGCGGCGTTGTCATGCTATTGCCAGGCTATGCTACACTCACAGCCTTGCTGGAAATTGGGAGTGGCGCTGTTGCATCAGGCACGCTTAAATTGACCACTACGCTTGTCTATTCGTTATTGATTGGATTCGGTTTGGCTATTGGCGCTAGCACCCATCAACTCATTTTCCCGTCACTTGCACTCGTCTCTTCGGACGATATCTGTGAAAGCAACGCTTTGTCATCGCGCTTATATGATATCCTGTTTGTGCCCGTGTTTGCAGCTGGTCAATTGATAATCCTTAGAGCACGGTGGAACAAGTACCCCATTATGCTCCTATTGGCTGCTGTATCCCATTCGTTGCATCGCGTCTGTCTGAGTCACTTTGTCGTGTATCCGCATGTTGCAACCGTCCTCGCTTCTTTGGCCGTCGCCCTCGTTTCCAATCTGTATGCACGACTCACATCCACCGTTGGGTTTGTCGATATGCTGATGGGCTTGTTGTTCTTGGTACCTGGCTCCGTGGGCGTTTCGTCGTCCCTCGACACCTTTGGCCAAGCACTACAAACCTCAGACCCCATGACTGAAATGTCCATCATTTTGAATGCAGGACAACAAGGCCTTATCTTTTCTTCGCATATGATGGTCATTGCTGTATCGGTATCGGTCGGCCTTGTTTTGGCAGCTATACTGCTGTATCCTGTACGGAAAGTGTTGGATTGCAAAAGGAAAAAGTCACCATATCATACAAAAGACTGGGTTGGCGATATCACCTTTTAAAACATATACTTTCTAACACGTGTAACTCTTTTCCCATCGACCCATTCTCCATTCAAGCACACATACGTTTTCCTTTATGTACAAGTCGTTTTTTCTTCATTTCATTGAATGAGGTTCACTGTATATTTGTTATAGCTTTTTCTATATATTATTTCCGGCGAAGAATTAAACATACACTCTTATTCTTATCGAGGTAGCTGTCATTTTATCGTGTGGTTTTAACGTGCATCGTCATCGATGTCTCGTTGCGGTTGTGGAAAAATTAGAAAGTACAGTAATGCAAAGTAATGCAATAGTTATAATATATGCTGTGTCACGCGTCACCCATCATGAGTAACGGGCATAAACAGCATCAGCAGCAGCTTCTTAAAACCCAGGTATCTAAGGGAGAGATTGTTATACTCACGAGCTATTCTGTCGACCCCATTCTGCTATATGTGTATGTACTTTTACCCAAGATTTATGTATATTCAAGAGCCGGGGATGCATAAGACCACCCTGGGGACATATTGTATTATAAAAGTGGAACCCACCCCCCCTTTCTTCTCCCCTATATGTATGCATGTAATCTTGACTGGTTACAAAAAGGTACTGCTTAATACTGGGTGAGTTCAACAACGTCTGCATACGCATAACAATTTATCGTAAAGCATTTGCTGCCATTGCCTGTGCACTACTGCTGCGCTGATTGTTATTTGGGACACAAAAATAGAATGGCCATCAATAACATGTCCGTTCGTTACGATCACAGATTAGCGAATAAACCTATATAACTTAGCTCAAACAACTAGGTCTCATGCCTTGGGTGGGTTGGTAATAACATGTATCTTTATAGACTCATTTGAAAATGCTCAAATTTTTTCTTTCGAACATACATCTTGTCTTCTCATATGTCAGTTATGTCTAGAGTATAACTTTTCTTATAGCAGGATACCTGTGTTCTCTGAGCATGTGATGGAATTTTACATGTACAAGGTGTATCTGAAGGAGCCATTTCCTGTACTCTATTTCGCGGTGAACGCTTCGGATTTGCAGAAAAATATATGTTACAGCATCAGCAGATTATTTCTGAGAGTAATCTGTCATACGCAGCTAATATGCACATGCGTAAGGTCCCTCGTAATTCCGAGCAAAGAACCGATGAAAGCAGCGCCAAGATTGCTCTTATTTGCTTATGAAAAAAAGTCATATACAATGGTAGTGTTGCTGACATTGTTCTTTATTATTAGGAAAAAAAGTGTTATGCACTTTGGATGCTAGTATGTAAACGTGCAATAGAGGTACTAAGTGTTGTTTTGTACATAAAAATTAGGAAAAGAGTATCCTTTCAAAATAATACATCGCCCATGACAATTTGATGAAATGCTGCGGCTTCCGCCTTGTTGTTCTTTGCTGCTGATGCTACAGTTGATGATACCACCAGTTCCAAATCCTTGTTCTTCTTTGATGATGACGATGGTCCCCAAAACACTTCTATGGGCTCATCCTTGACTCCTTCTTTGTACGATAATACCTGTAGCAATCCAGGTATAGGCGAAATTTCCATCTGTACCAACGGCCGCCACGTGCCGTCGTCCTCCTTTTTACCCTTGGGTTCCACAACACGTACATCCGTTATTCGGCCACGCAGATCACTGTTGTCGTTGCTTTCACTGCCACTCTGGAATTTAAGAAACCAGCTTTCCAACACTTGATTCAATGAATACGTGCTAAACTGGAACGTTACAGGCGAGTTGGTCAAGGATCGTTTTCGAAGTCGGTGTAAAGCATCGATGCTGACATAGCCTTCAAAGTAGATCGGTGCCTCGGCTGAAATATATGTCACGTTTTTCAACACCATCATGGCATATGACGGGAACGATTGATCATCACCTTCGTCTTCTCTTGGATGGTTGTGTTGATGGATTGGTTGGTCGGGTCCGAAGCGACGAAAGGGTGCGTCTATCCGGAAAATGTAACCTATACGCACAACATGGAGGATGATATTGTTATGTTAGAAGGACATTTTTAATTCCTTTCACAATATATAAAACAATGATGAGAAATGGTGATGTTGTACCAAATGGAGTAGGGTCGCTTAAATCGGTATCGTAGCCTTGATCACTATCGAGCACTTCTTTGATCGGTTGTACAACTGCTGGTGACGATGCTTCTATCGACCGAACCATGATCGCCATTATGAGCACAACCACTGTCCATGCTAATTTTAGTTGTCTTCGTCGTTGTAGCCCTCGATCGTAGCAGCAACAGCATCGATGTAAGGCTACCATTTTTTTGATGCACGATGGTACAGTGGAAGAAAAGAGAAAAAAAGAATGAGAAAGGAAGTGACAAAAAAGAAAGGAAGGAAAAAAAAATCATTGTTTGCGTATGTGCGTGGCATGAATAAATCAAGTAGACAAGCGCGGGTACTTAAGGAATTATATCCAAATATGGACATAGTTCGGTCCAGTTCATAATCTTGCATGAATAATAATGTTGATCCGGTTTCTGACTCGCTGTCTTTTCGCTGTCTCGTACAGCCTCACTATCTGGATACTCCAGAGCCAGGTACAATATTGAGCACAAGCGGTACGACTGCCTCTGAAGGCAACTGCAGGTTATCAGTACTACCGCCAAATCCTCCTTCGTTGTCTTTTTTCATCATCATCTCTATTATTGCTGCTGCTGGTAGTAATCTGAAGTAGTCAAAATGGAATCCTTCATTTTGGTACATATTTCCAGAGCGTATCTTTTGATATCGTTGATTACGCACGCGAGATACATATTGAGAGAATTAGCAGTGCTAAAACACACGTCGCAGCACGATGAGCGGCAAATCGTAATGTGCTTGATAGTATTCAACAAGAAGCGTACGACTGTTTCGTCATAACACTAACGTATAAATTCAGCCATTATTACTTTGATATACGCCTCGCTCCGTCTAGTAAATAGTTTTTGGTACCCAAAAAAGGAGCTTAGACTATAACTCAGCGAATAACCATACATCATGTCATAAAATCTACCCTATACTGTTTGGGAGAGCCAGTCATCCTATACCGTCCAAACTCCAAGGCGTCGAGCTTGTATGATTACATACCGTATGTACTAGACTTTCTTAAATACTTAATGGAAGACGAACATCTCAATAAGAAGAGACTTACTAACTGATATATTCTTATTCCTTCTTCCCTTCTTCATATTGCATTCAACTCGGATGTGGTTTGAAGAAGGCGAATAGGAACCAAACACTAGGAATTTATTCCTTTCCCAAGGTCATCATTCCAGTCAGTTCGAGCTCATGTGGATGGTGTTCCTTCAGAAGCCTACCTGTAACCAGAGCAATGTTGTTCTCCAATCCCTGCCACCGAAAGCTCAACCGAATTTATCCTCGCCCTTTTCGTATCCTGTATTCCCCACCGGTTGTAGCCAGTGTCACAGTCGTGAAAGTCCAACTCTTTCTTTCACCTTTGCCATAGGGATTCCTGAAGCTGAGGTGTCCGGGCCGGGGTGTTTGACCAGCGGTGTGAGTGGTACACTGCAATGGAAAGTGTTAGCTTTTTCCAGGCTAGCCGAGTAAGCGAAACCTCTTTTACTTGGTGTCGATTCGAGGATTGGCAGAATTCCGACTTTGGCTTGATCAGTCTTTTGACAACAGACTATCAAATACAGACACGTAACAATGGTTGGTAGTGCCGTTCCCAAACTGGTGCCTTGTAGATTTTGTAGATCTACATATGCTTCCGTTAGCGAAATAAAGGGCCATTGTCAGGTGATGTTGCCGTAGGCGAAATGATTGTGTTGTTAGCAAAATATAAAGTCGCTAGCTGTTGTCCGAATGAAGAGGATTCGAATTCTTGTAGAGCGAAAGGGTTGTCCCCTTGAACAGCTTGAGGCAACCTCGTGTCTTTCTGTAGTGCTGGGCTCTCTAATTTTTCGTTCTTTGTAACTCTCTGCTGCTGTTTTTTTGTGGATGGTTTGAATAGAATGATTATCTGTCATTGAGCGTTTACTTTGCGGACGCAACTCAATTCGAGCTAAAGATGCTGTTCCAACAGTCATCTAGTCGTTCCTGCCCAACCGTGGATTTCAAACGGTAAGAAAAAGAAGTTGGGAATATTCATGCACTGCCGAGGAGTTGGCTTCTCTTGCACTTCACATATTGCCACTATTATTATTCTTGAGCTCCTAACAGTAGAATGAAAGGACTTGTCAAGAAACAGGGACCAGCAAGTAGTTTGATACATAGTTGATTCAGTTATTGAAGGATGGTGCATACATACTCCTATGATATATAATATGCAAGGAATGTGAAATACCTGGTGGGTATTTCAACAGTGAGTCTGAGACAAGTCTGAACAATTTGGCTGAGCTTATGACCCACCTAAAATTCCAACTTGCTGTACTTTGGAAAAACGACCACATCAACTGGTTTTTATAACTTTAAAACTAATCACACAGAACGAACGCGTCAGAGAATTGATCTTTCAGTGATGGCTTGATGGACTTCATTATCGTCATTATCGACGGTAGCGCAATTGCAATAGTAATTACGCAAAATCAGAGATATACCTTTTTAACGCATGGTTAATCAAGTGTCACATTGAGAGACAGGAGCTTAGGTTGGTCCCTCAACAACCATGACATACAACTAAACTTATATAAAGTCTTTTTGTCCCAAGAAAAAATATTAGCGTAGTATACCTCAAATTGCTACATACTCTTTCTTTCGAGCAGTGTTACAATTGTAAATTGAGCGCAGTGGCTGCATATTGATTTAGCCTCTCAACTTTGATGCATCACCATAACCCTTCGTCGGGTATCATTATCCTCCTTACTGGGAGGATAACACTCTCAATAATTTTGGCTTGCATGCTACAGCACACAACGTGATGCACTTGACCAGTACTGTACTCATCTTCATTTTACGAATTTCGTATGTCTCTAACGATCGTATTTACTACGAAATATGTCACATTAAATCTTTGAGTGGTCATTCTATATCGAAAATGTTTCTATTTATTTATGAGCTTACGCTATGTTGGTTTTATCCCTATTATGTTGTCTACGTTTCAAAAACTGCTTCTAAGTGTACGTGCGGACTGAGAGAAAAGAATTAGTACAAAAAGAAACCAAAGCTTCTCATGGAAAACAACTACGTAGGTAGAGTCATTGTAAAGTAAACCGTTCTGGTGCTGATGCTTCTTTTGCACATATTATGTGTTTCTCGAATTACAAAAAATTTTAACTTGTACAATAGGCAACAACTTTATTCACTAATCTATGGATAATTCTAATGTATGTATCTTACTCTTCGGTTCTACAACGCTTGATTTCATTTCACAATTTGTCTATACTGATACCGAGATCACGACGTTTGTATTCCAACTGACTTGCAGCATCAGTGGCTGATAAATAGCTTTCTCGTGCTATCCGCTCGACTTCTTCATACATCAGTTTTCTTCGGCAAAAATAAACCTCGACTCCGTGGGATTCCTTCTCCATCGCGTGCGGCACGTTTCTTCCAGAAATTGAACTGAAGGCTGGCAGCAATTCCAATGGTGTACTTTACTTGCGCTAGACATCGGTGACAGTTGGAAGCTTTCTTATAAGCTTATAGCTTTGTGGAGGCGGTGACGGCGATGCCAAAGATGAAGCTTCTATTGGGAGCATATAGCCAGTTGTGCCAGTTTGATGATCAACTTAAGGGATCTCGTTTCTTGCGACGCCAACTTCTGAACTGGGAGCCATATTCGCTGGATTGCGGGAGAGGTACAAGGGTTGGAAATAATTGGAGTCAACAGCTTCTAGAGTACTGATAAAACCTTGTCGCTGTGACGATCCAATAGTCTCAATGTCGCTTCTGATCCCACTGTTGTTGCCGAAGGAAGATCGCAGTAGTTCCGTTATATGTGGCATAGCCCTTTCAATCTGTATGCCTAACGGCTCTTCTTTTTCGCTGGTTCTTGCTCGATAACGCAACATGTCCAATCCATACTGTTTGTATAGCGGGTCGTCGAATATGGGGTGGGTCCACGAGAAATGGTTCCGATGAAGCTTTTGAGAAGCACAGAGTTCTAAAATAATTTTATATCAAATATTTAGAGATTTTTTATAACAATATGATATAATAAATAGTGACTATGTATGTACCTGAATAAAAACAATTCAAATATTTTAAAAGTTCCAAAAAGTTTGGACCTGTAAGATCGTTTTGGGCAGTCCTCGTCTCGAACTTGTTTTCCCAGTACTCGATATCAGGAAAAACGTTTTGTTGCAAGCTCTGTGGCGGATCGATTTTGGCCCGTGGTAACGAAAATGCACCAGCTTTTTTGGCATAGAAACCAACTAAAGCACGAATCGCTGGCTTCGGAAGACTTGTCAAGTAGCATCCGATCATCTTGTCCGACCCCCCTTCCAATTCGACGTTGATCACTGTCAGAAACATCTTGTTCAGTGATCGACCTCAGAACACTACCGCGGTTGATGTGTGTTATTTTGCTCGGTTGAATACCAACAGCTCGGAGCGCTTCCTGATGTCCATCTCTTTGCGTATTGTAAGTGATAGCTTGTATACGATTGACACCCTACAAGACGTGTATGTCGTACCAATGTCTGCATGATGTGAAATCCGGAGCTCTTTTTAATATGCTAGCGGCAAAAAAGGTGGAATGCCAAAGCTCCAATCGGACAAACTTCTGCACAGCGGTGTCTGATGCCAGCACCGTACTCGACTCTCCCATGCTGATTGGTCTTGCCCTTACTCATAGTAATAACCAGAGCAATACACTTGGTCGGGCATTCATCCTTGAATTCGGTACAGAATAAATCTGGCGGCTGCATAATACGCTTGGTCTCGCCTCGACCTAGTACATCGCATGGCCAAGCAAAAAATCCAGTCGGTTGCGTAAATGATGAGGCATATTACGTCCAATTTGATAGCGCGAAACGAGCTTTGGCTCGTCCAACGTATATCCGTCGTTAAGTATGTTGATGCCACGGTCCGTATTCTTTTCTTTTACACACTGTATTTCCCCGGTCGTAGTCGCTGAAGAAGTTCTTGACAATCGTTCCTCGGGCTGGTGGGTGCATATTTCCAAGGACAGCTTGTAATTCTATAGCTGCTCTGGCCTAAGCCTGTAGTGCTTCTTTACCCAAGCACTTGGATTTGCCGTCTGGGAGCTTATCTTTCTTGTTTTTGATATTAACATTGGCCACTATTTCTTTCGATTTTCGCGTCCGCAGTTCCAAGAGTTCTTTTCTGTCTTGAAGCTGTCAAATAAGCTCATGCTGCATCACGGTATTTAGTAGTAAACCCTACATAAAGTTATATGAGGCAGGCCAATACTAACTCTCGAGTATCGGTGACAGCACCCCCTCATGTTGATCTAACTCTACATAGTAGCACGATCATTTTTCCTGCAACAAACGCGTCATCCCTTCGTCAATGTTTTCCCGTACCTGTGTGCAGCGGAAGCAATTGCAGAAAATTCATGCATCGGGAACTTGCCTTCCCACGAGTCCTGTCAAACTCTTTACTCCTTCCCCTTCATTCTGTATCCATTCATGACATATTAGCAATAGATTATCAAAAGAAAGGGCAGGTCTTTAGCTTTAACATGATACTAATATCATTTACAGTTACGACGATAAATTGTGGCGGAATATTGCTTTGGAAATTGCCTAGTCTTGAAAAACGATGCCAGTTCCCCTTCACCGTGTCTCGAACTTGTTTCTCGAACAATCGAATCTGAAGCATGCAGTTGGTTCGTGTCAGTTGCGACAGTGCCCTCTTCTTCCTTCCTTTTCAAATAAACTGAGTATGTTCATCATTCAGCATAGAAAGATTCATGTAGAGCAGAGCCGTGGCTATAGAATGATACCAATATCGACACATTTCTCGGATAATAAACGACGAAACTATAGCTAATAATGTAGAATGATCAATGAAAAACGATCGTTTTTCTGCTGCACTGTTGACTGAAACATGCATCGTGCTCTTCCTTAGTGTTGACCTCATCGCCTATGTGCTCGTTTGGCTATTGGACAACAAATCAATCACGCAATTGCCGAGAATCTAATCGATTGTTCCATTTCTTCACAACGAATCTTATATAAAAGGTACGCGTTCCCACCCATCCATAGTTCTTTGGCCTCTTCTCTTCCGCTTCTTTCTCCTTCTCCTTCCTCCTCGTCATCAACTGTACGTATAACTCCTGGGAAACGGGATCCATCGCATTACCGTGCGTGTGGTGGTGTGCATGTCTGTCAAGAAGTATCACGACGACTCACGATCAAATCTCTTGCTTTCTTTCATTTCTATAGCCGTCTCCTCCTCGGCCTCGCCCGCCACTTTTGCTTTATTTTATTTTTCTAAAGACAACAACGTAAGTGTTACTGCTTTAAAAGAGGAGAGAAGCAAAAGTGTACATAGTGTGTGTCAAAGATGATGATGACTGTGGTATTGATTACTCACGATCGAGCCTCTTCTTTTTCTTTTGATAGCTCTCTCTTGCTCTCTCTTGCTCTTTCTCTCTCTTGCTCTCTCTCCCTCTTGCTCTCCGTACACGACGTAGGTATTCTTTTTACTATGCTTTGTGGCCTCTTCTTCACCATCATGTGTCATCAAGTAGTATTGAAGATATGATTACTAACTAGAATGGATCGTCATGTATGTTGCCCGACGTCTGGTCATCCTTTGTTCCATTACTCAATCCTTGGTGAGTTATCTCTTGAATCTCTTTCACACTGTCCACCGGTATACATTGATTATTAGCCTACCAACTGATGTGTACTAATTTTATCTTTTCCTGTATGCTGGCCCTTCCTTGACCTCTCAATCTCCTTATTTCGCACACCCTTTTCTTTATCGTCATTTATTTTTGTGTACACTCCAAAATTTGTAATTTATATCTCTTCATTTTCCAATACACGCACAATCACCCCTCCTTGTTATATACTCTCATGCAAAAATCATATTTTGTTTCATGTCTTCAATATTAAGACTCAACAATAAAGTACCTAGAATCTACCAATAATGATCTACAAACGCCGACTACTAAGTAGTTGCAAGAAGTTTGGCCAAGTCTTGTTGATGCGGGAAGAAAGGTTGAAGGTATCATATGTATGCATCATAGCACTTGATGGTGTTTGAAAATAGGTTTCTTTCACGCTGTTCCTCCCTTGATGTTTTCCTTTTCTGGTATTATGCAGTAATAAATCATTATTTTCTGTTGGTACATGGCAAGATTAAAATTAAAGGAATATACAAAAGATTCTTCATGCAAAAACGGGTAATATAGCGTATAATATAAGTAAGAGAGATTTGAGTTTGGATCCCTGATTGCTACTATGATAGGCCGGGTCTGAGAAAAAGATAAAGACAGATGTGTGCATATAAGGATGATGATGTGATTACATGATGCATGCTCATTTTGCATTATAACGCAGCAGCAGCAGCAGTAGCCCTTTTCCGTTCCTCACTACTACGCAGTTGTCCACACGCAGCTAGAATATCTATTTTATGCAATTAATAAACAGCATACAGGATCAGCCACATCAAAGCACATCACCACCATCACCACAAAAAGGATATGCAAGTAATTTAATATTATACCTTGACCCCTGGGTCTTCGTACAGTGCAGTAAATTCCGCCATTCTGCACTGTTTCGGCAAATCTTTCTACTTGTTCTGGCTTGGACGTCTTGTAGATGCTGCCAGGCCATGGGTTGAAAGGTCTAGATGATGTAGACAATCAAGAAGGGCCATAAAGATGGGCGGTATCAATACAACATCTCGATCTTGCATGATAATAACTTACATGAGGTTGACGTGAGCGGGGAGTTGCTTCAACAGCTTCACAAGATCTCGGGCTTCACCCATAGAATCATTGACACCATCAAGCATCACGTATCTATTCTCATATTAATGCATTGAGTGTGAGGGTTCAGGAGGGTGGGGGATGACCATTCTCTGCAGGTTCAACAGAGGTGCTATGATGGAGAGAAACTCACTCAAAAGTAATACGCTGGCCGTTTGAATCTCGGGCATATTGCGTACATGCATCCATGAGCGTTTCCATTGGAAAGGTCTTGTTGAGAGGCACCAGTACATCCCGTAGAGAATTCCGAGTCGCATGCAACGATATCGCCAACGCTACGCCTAATTCAGAAATCTTAGGTATCAGCGGAACGACACCGGATGTGGAAACGGTGATTTTTTGCTTTGGCCATTGCAATCCTTGCCGATCGGTTAATACCTGGATGGCTTGAAAGACCTGTCGAGGATTATACAGCGGTTCGCCTTGACCCATAAACACCATATGCGAAAGCAACTTTTTTCTGGTGATACTATTTTGTCCCTGTTGTTCAAATTGACGCACGCCGTGAGCAGCAAGCATGACCTGCCCAACAATTTCACCCGCTGTCAAATTGCGCAGAAGCTTTTGTGTGCCGGTGTGACAAAAGCTGCACCGCAAAGAACAGCCGATTTGGGACGAAACACAGAGGGTGTGTCGTTTTGGTTCGGGAATAAGCACCGATTCCACAACAGCTCGAGGATCGTTGAATCCAACCAGCCATTTGCGTGTGCCGTCAACAGACGTTTGATCCGACTGGACATGGCCATAGTCGAGTGTGTAATGGGAGTGTAAATGATCTCGCAACGTGGTTGGCAGGTTGGTCATAGTGCGGAATGAAGTGCTGCCATGACGATACATGTGTTGCCAGATCTGCAGTGCTGTATAAGGTTTAACTGTTGGTGCGGCCTGGAGTTCATGTTTAACTTGTTCCAGAGTAAGGCCGATCAGGTTTTTCTTGGCGTGGCGAACGATCATTGTTATTGTCGGTTGTCGGTTTGAAAGCTGTCTTTTTGATAAGCAGCAAACAAGCAGAAAGCGACTCTTAAAAATGGGACCTTGATTTGGTTAAAAATAGCGCAGAAGCATTTTATTATTGGGGTTTTGTTTCTTTTTTTTTTGTTCTTTTTACACAAGAAGAAGGGATTTCAAAAGGCCTAAACAAAGAAAAGAAGCAAAAGAAAAAAAAAAGATCTCATAAAATATTTAAAAAAGAAGAGGGAAACCATCCGCTCCATGTGAACTTTTAATAGTCAATATTAAGGTTCATCCAATTGGTGGGTGGTAATAAACATTGTGTGTGTGTCAGGTAGAGTGTTTAAACATTGTAAATGAAAAAGAAGAAGTGCATTTTGAAAGAAGAAGATAAATGGGTTGCTGCCTTATGAAAAAAGAAGAAAGAAAATGAAGAATGCTGCTTATTACATATCATCACATCGTTAATATTAGGAAAATGATGTGTGAGTATTTAGAAGAAGAAGAAGACGATAAGAAGAGGAAGAGGAAAAAGCAATAAGAGTTGATCATATGTAATTTTGAACAAAGAATGGTTGTTGGCTTGGAGCAGTTGAAGGATTGGCGCCGCAACTTTGAGTGAGAGGGTGGATCGTGTGGGAGGAAGAAGAGTACTGTGAGGAAGGTGACGATGTTGTGGATGGAGATGGTGCTTGTGCTTGTTGTTGTTGTTGTTGTTGTTGCGAGGGTCGTTGTTGCGGCTTGGGGGTCTCCTTGCCGTTGCCGCTGCTCGTGCTATGGCGGTGGATGCGGATGTGTTGGTTGAGGTTATCGGATCGGGAGAATCGCTTGTTGCAGCTTTGGTAAGGGCATTCAAACGCTACATACATGACAACACCATCCAAGATTAGTTTCCTTTGTCATGCTATAGGCAACCTGTGAGAAAGTCCTGATAACTTACGTTTTTCAAGTGTGTGGATGGATCGGATGTGGCGCTTCAGATGCTCGGATCGCTTAAAGACTTTGCCACAGCCATCAGCCTTGCATGTAAACATACGAGCACCATTGTTGTTGGGCACATTCGACACACGTCGACCACGCGATCGGGGAGTCTTGACTGCTGACTTGTTGGCAGCCGCTGAACCTCGTCTGCTGCTGGCAGTAGTAGTAGTGGTAGTAGTAGTTGCAGTGTTCGTGGTAGTGGTCGAGCCATTGTTGTTGTTACCAACAGAAGGAGGCGTAGGCATCGAAGACATGTGAGGCATAGAGGACATGCCCGGGGCCGGAGGTGGAGGAAATGCATAAAATGGCGAAGCATGTCCATTCTCCTTGTTCAGTGCGGGACGGCTTGTGCACAACTGGTTAAACATAGGCTCATCGAATGGGTGATGGCTGAACGAATGGTGTCTTGGGATGGGACCACTGTCATAGAAACCGAAGGGTGAGGGCTGGGGTGCTGCTATCGAGTGTCTATGCTGATGATACATGGGCTGCAGGAACGCGGCAGACGAAGGCATCATGGCCATGCTGATACTGGGGTCCATCAACAAGGGCTCCGACGAGGCAATGGCAGCCGCACCGGTGGTGGCAGCAGTGACAGTGTGGTGAGGATGGTGAAGATGGCCATAATCGTTGCCGCCAGTGGACGAAGACGAAGACGACGTGGAGCCGCCGGCACTGTAGTCCTCAGTGCTGCTGGCATTCGAAGGAGATGACAATGGATGGTCCGACAGCAGATCGGTGTAGCTGAAGCGACGGTCAGACTCTCTTTTGACAAGCATGGGAGGGGATGACGAGAGGGAGTTCGGATTCACGAAGCGCAGGACGTTGTTCTGAGCGTCGGTTGTAAACGGCTGTAGGCAAGGAGACGACATGTATGAAGAATAAGGGATGGGTGAAAAACGAGAGAAAAAAGGTTCAGAGATAAGAGAGTGTGTTGTGTAAGAGACAAGCAAGCAAGCAAGCAGGTGGGTGGGGTGTTGTACTTTTTGTAAGTGGAAAAAGTAGCAAGGAAAGATGAGTAAAAGGGAAAGAGTAGATTTAAAAGGGAAAAATGACGAGAAAAAGACTGGAGTATTTAAGGGCATTGGAAAGGCGAGCTGTCAACAAGGAGCAGCGTCCAATTTAGAACAGACGGGCAGAATGGGTTAGCATAGCACAGCATAGCACAGCACAGCTTAGCACAGCACATCAGCATAAACAACAATTATGGGCAAGTTTCGTTTCGTCGGGAAAAAAGAAAAAAGGCAGTGGCAACACGAGGAGCGTTGGGAATTATGCTACGCATCGTCTGGCAACGCTTGAAAAGGCAGCTGTCCATGGCCTCTCGCAATCAACGCGCAGTCTCCCTAATGTCAATAATATTAGCTCTTTTTCGATATGATACTGCGTGGTCTTTGCTGCTGCTGCTGCTGCTGCAACTATCATGGGCTATAGCCCATATCCTACCACTTGCAATAGAGAAACAGGCAGAAGGCTCGTGTACCATATGTATAAATAGAGATAATCCCAGTTTTCGCTGTCGATCTTGACCATCCCATTGCGCTTTTTGCTTCCGGGAATAGGAGTAAACCGTAATATCATCATATCCAAAACGAAAGGGATGAAAAATAAATCATATTTATTTATTATTATTATTATTATTATTAGAGCTTCTCTCTCTCTCTAATCTGTCTCTATCAAATAAGATCGCTTACTAGATCTATCACAATCTTAATATTATTAATAGTGTGTGTGTATGTGTGTGTGTGTGCTATTCATCCACTATGAGTCGTGTGAATCCTTGTCTTTGTCGATCCCCAAAGCAAGAACCTGCAGCTGCTGCAATAGCATTATATGAGATGCTTCTTTCAGGAATCAACCTTGACACGTCAGAAGTAACGTTACACGTGCTGCTGCATTTTCTTTTCTTTTCTTTTCTTTTCATATACTGCGTACATACCCTACGGACACCCACCCAATCCATCATCTTCCGTCCATCCACAATTGGTCCAAATCCATCCCAATAACTCAATGCTGTGCAACAGAACAGCACTCCGCTTCAAGCCCGCAACGTAACCAATTACCAAGAATAGCCATTTTACAGACCACAGACCGTATAGTTAGAAACAAACAATGAAGAACAAAACCGCACAGAAAAAGGGGGTCTTTTCCGTTCATATAAGCTCAGCTCTCTCTAACTCTCTCTAACTCTAACTCTTTGTACACGCACCACACAGATGATAGCTATTACTGCTGCTAGCTGCCAATCAATCCAACTAACAAACCAACTGAATGTTGCCGTGCTTGTGATACACAAAAACAGGGTCCTCCCTTTATGCCTTTCCACTCTTTATTCTTCCATCTTATCCAAATGGTGTCGTGGTATCGGTGGTACAGGCGGTTGTTGCTTGTTGTTCTTCTTGCTGGTACTGTTAGGATCATTGTTGTCTTTACCGGCGTCGTTCTCTCCCTCCTCCACGCCGTCCTCGTCCACTGGATGACGAAGTACATTGCCCATATTGTAATGTTGCGCCCGTTTTTTTGCGAATTCCTCGTGATGTTTCTTCGCTACAGGTTATTTGTTGCGGGGAGATAGAGAGGGGTTAGACACAATGTGGAAAGAAGCCAAGGGGTGAACCATGTAGAGGATGTTTTTTTGGGGGGGAGGGTAGGCGGTGGATAGAGTGACGGATGGGGATTAGAAGGGGTTCATCAAAAAAAAAGTAAAAAAAGCATCAAAGAGTCTTTACTATTACGGGGATACCAACGCGTGGAACGCTCTGTTTTCCTACCTTGTTCATCTTCTTCTGGCTGCTCGTCCGAATCCCAGTCGTCATCGCTGAGATACACTCGCTTTCCCTTTTTGTTGCTTCCAGACGAACTCGATCGATCCGACTCGTTCCCTGCATCGAGCGAGAAGTCTTCAGGCTCCTCGTGAGCAGCCTTATATGGCACATCTTTGGTTTCCATCATACACACATAGAGTGTGAGTCACTTTGGGGTCTACGCATCCTTGGTATTTTGAGATAGTACAGCTTTGGCAGAAACAAGGCAGCGTGCTTACCTCCCATGTTGAGCACCTGGTCCGTCTCTGGATCATAGCGGATATACGGCGTTTTGGGTTCGTCAATCTTCATGGTAGAGTCCTTTTGCTCTTCATTCATCTCGAGATTGGCCTCGTCCCACTTGAGCCCTCTTAATAGTGTATGACATAGAGTTAGGGGGTTTGTTGTTGTCGTTGTTTTTATGATAATAACAGACAGTAGTCTGTTACAGAATATATAAAACCGAATTACCGTGCTGCTTCAGTGCCATCACCGGCAGATGTACTTTTTCTTTTAAGAATACCCTTGATGGGCTTGGCTGACTGCTCACTCATTGGTATTTTTTATGCAAAAAGTCAAAGAAAAATAGTGGTTCGCGAACAAACTTCTTCTTTGCGGAGTCTTTTTCAAACTAAAAAAGTGCGTGGTGTGTGTTTTTTTGGGAGCTTTGTCCAATAACGCTCCTTACGCCGGTCACACAGCACATCACGAACATACGCAACAGATAACAAAAACACGCACGTTATATGCCTACGTTGTCCCTTGGATATTTAGCAACACCCGTCTCTCTAGAAGCGTATGTACATGCTAGTCCTTATGAGATACCACCCTCGACGGTACTGTCTATAGTTGGCTTTGGCCCTACTTCATCGTCATCACTGCCCGTCAACATGCTACCAGCCATTGCGAGATTCATTCTTGTTGTCGAACCAACCGCAACCGTGGCCGAGAAAGAGACCTTTGCACTACTACATGAGTCTCTCAATACCAGTAGCTATGCTATCATCCCCTTGCCATCCCGACACGTGGGAATACTATTACCACCACCACGACACGAACAACAACAGCACCAGCATGGATACGAGCAGCAGCAGCCGCAGTATCAATTCATACTGCAGATATCGCAGATTCCCTGTTCTTCACAAGCAGCAGCAACAGTGGCAAATGGCCAAATGCCCACATTCGACTTGGAATACCTCAAACAGCTTCCACTCCAGGTCATGGAATTATGCCAAAACCGCCAAGAGGAACAGCTTCGCATGGTTGCACGCGGAATCTACAAGACAGCGGCGGTGTATGGATATTGGGATCTCTGGTTGGTGCTTGAAGGAATATGCACGCGTTTCCAGATCAATCCACAGCAGTTGATCCAATGAGTGGAAACCGTTGCAGCAGTAGCACTAGTGGTACAAGCAATTCCCCACTAACCGTCCAACCATCCAACTCGCGAGATAACAAACATGCCCCACCCATTCATTAACCTGTTTGGGCAGTCGTTACCCCATCATTGACAACTCCCCCTCCCTTCGTACACCCCTCCACCCCACCTCCTCCCCCCCCCGACCCCAAGTTCTCGCGCGAAGGCTTTAATTTTCGCAGATGATAGCGTACATTTTGTTGCTGGGTTTACAACAAAGAAAATAATTAAAACTTGCGTCATTGCTGATGAACTACTTTCCGGGACTATTAGCGTAATTGTCACTTACTACACATTCACTCACTCACTCACTCACTCTCTATTTGTGGATTTGCTTCTCCTCAGGAGGGGGGGGGTCCCTCAATCCAATAAATTTGTATTCGTCATGCGTGTAGAGCATGTCAAAAAGAACTCAATCTGGTTATTGGATAGGTCGTTCTGTTACCATAACGCTCTTCATGCTGCCTGTACACCCACACACACATGACCTTTTTGCCTGAATTTAAATCGACGGCGATCATTCTTTTTCTGTGCAGTATGATGTACTGTGTACTACTACTACTACATGCACGTATGCTCATCCAACAACTTACTAACTTTTAAGCTTCCATCGTGCGGACATGGTTTATTCTTAGAAACTACACTCTGATATGTATGAAACCCCACCCGCAACCTTGCTTTTAACAGATCCATCTCCATCTTCATCATCATCCCAAAAACACCGCCCGTGCATTGAAACATACTCTATTCAGAAGCTAAAAAAAGACATCATTGTGTACTAGACTTTATTTACGGAATTGTGCCCCAACATCGTCAAACATTTCCCGTTGACGTACTCCAAGTATAGAGCGACAGCTATGAGTGCAATCGTTTAATTTTTCTAGAGCACGAGAAATATTTTGTTCGGCATTGCTTTGTCTTGCCCAATCGTCACTGTCATCATAAACTTTGTATGCCTGTTGTTGTCGTTGTTGTTGCTGTCAAAGTCGACTTGAATGTTGGGAATAGCGGAAGATTATGGGTAGTGTTGATGTGAGTTTAGTAGGCGAGTCAAAAGGGTACATTGCCATAAGAGTATATATGCGAAAGTATTGATCATCATCAATCTGTACAAGGCGTCTAGCCATAAGCGCTTCTATGAATATGATTTTGCTGCTATTGATGTCACGGTGCATTACCGCACCGCAACCGTGACACCGGTATACTTCGGCACCACCCATGACCCGAGCGCTGCCACAGCTTAAGCAGGTTACTGTTGTGTGCCTCTCGTCTTGCTCAATAATCGTTGCACCGTGCACAGCAGCTGCATAACAATTGATAAAAAATAATCAGTCATGTGTAAGTTCACAATCAACCTCGTCCATAATTGTGTTCTTTTCATGTGTGTCAACTAACCTCTCTCTTTCAGCTTCGCACGAAACTGGTAGTGTGACCATGTGAGCATTGCTCGGACTGATTTCTTTGTAATGCGCCGTGCTCTTTCTCCTACTTGGTGGTGTACCATGTTTGACACATGGAAGGGGGGAATTATCACAACATCAAAATTGGTGAGCAACCAATTAATCGCTTGGTTGTGATACTCGTCTCGCAAGTTGCGTACGCGTTGAAACAACCGATGTACTGCCCGGTTAACAGCGTGACCATGCTTGTGGGATGCTTTGCTTCTTTCATTATACGCACGATCACGCTTCGAAATGAGGCCATCAAGCTCCGCAGCCAATCGGTAGAATCGCTTCACTGCGTTTGGTGCAAGCAATCCTGCCCCCAACGTCGGGCTATACCAGGCGTGTGGTGTTCGGACGCCTGGGTCTAAGGCAACGGCGTGCGTCACTGGCTGCTGTGGCTCGGGATCGACTTGGACACTCCACAAGATCTTCCACTTATCCAGGCGGTGATGGTACATCACCCGGATGACCTTGCCATTGCTCCCTATATTCAAACGAGCATCGCCTCGAAGCTTCACGGTGCGGAAATACTTTAGGTAATTCTTCACATCCAGTTCGAAGAGATGGACTCGTCGCTGTCGTTGAGTGATTAGAAACTAGTATTTAATATGTGTATACAGCCATTTATTCTTATCAATTTTACCTTCATTTTCTTGTATTTGATTCCATTGAAATTCCCAAAGTTTCGGTTCACCGTCTTGAGGGCATCAGTACAAGCTCTGTTGGTGCTACCCATGATCGGGTGGGTAACATCCTCTTTGCGATTTATATAGACTTGCAAAACAATCTTGGCAATACGATATAGGAGCATATACTGCGACCACCCCGGCAGCTTACAAGCCTCCAGCTGATCAGTTCTTGTGAAGTTGTTTTGGATCAGCACTTGAACAATACGTCGTTCGTCAGTGTCATTGTAGCTGTCCACGTCAACCAAACCGGGTGTGACTAGAGAATGGTTGGTTAGCACCCATCAATTTATAGACACATGTGTGGTGCCATCCATTCATAAATAAGACAGCGAATATGTTACCTAAGAAAGTTACTAGAGGAGCTCTCTTATGATAAGCAATCACCGTGTTGTATACGATCATGCTATATGTACATGATGCTTCGTTGCTTCTGCCACAGCTTTACAGGGATAAGCACCAAGCACGTGCGTTTTCCAATGGCCGTTTATTCTTTCATCTTCATCAAATTCGTCCACGTCAAAATCGCTCTGATGAAACCCGAACAGCCCTCCATCTTCATTGTCAGAATCGTCGTCATCGGGTCCAACTGGCACAATCGGCTCTTCGCCTTCCGGTACGATATCGAAATGAGGCTCTGCTGAGCCTTCTGGCGGTACGGTGAGGTGCATATCGAACCAAGTGTCCCAATGTTCTTCGAACATGTCGACGTTATTGAGAGTGAGTGACCATGAATCCGCAGCAAGCTGCTGGGTTCGGAAATCCCAGAATGATCGTGGTTGGTGTTGCTGTTCAGTTTGGTGATCCATGTTTGTAAAAAGATAAACAGATGAAAGAAGGGTGAATAATGACAGATGAAAAAACTGGATGTGTAGTCTATTTATATGAAGCGTCAACTGAGTGACACTTGATACCAGTTGCCCCTTCATGTGTAATCATTTTTCCTTTTGAACTGACACAATAGCATGCTTCGAACCTTGTTGGACGATGATGTGGAATCAATGTCAAACATACAGCAGTACACTTTGTACTGTGCTAAGAGATATCATCTGAAACAAAAAGATATGTCGCGGTATCCTCCGTCAGAAATGAAACGAGTCTATTACACTTTCGATAATGAAGAAGCATTACTGCTACAGTAGCATAATGGGAATTCGCATATGGTCATATACTCGCTGTATACAATACATATTGGGGAGCTTGAAGCAGCAGCTCCTTCTCGGGTTGTCGATAATCCTTCCGATGCTTCGGAATACTTCAGCTAGCAGTACGTACTACGTAAGGTCAATAACACTACCTGTGTTGCTCTTTTATCAAATGCATTAGTCCCGCGATACGTATCAAAATGAAACAACACCATGCCAGTATGGAGTGACTAATATGGCAGGCGCATAGTCGATCGATGGGCATCTCCTCATGTATCATAGATAAATGACACCGGAGCAGACTGCATGAGAAACAATACGCTCTGAGGAATGACGAATTGTTCTAACCTGATCATGGCACTTCTTTGCTTCTACTCTACTTTGTAAACACGACAAGACCTTTATTAGAGCAAACAGAAGGCAAAAGGAAACTACAGGACCGTGGCTAAAAAATGAGACCCATATTGCCACACCTTAGATAGTAAAACTTCATGGTCAAAAAAAGGGCAAAGAAATTCACGACTCGATCCGCATCTTGCTCGTGATGATTGCCCCTTTTTTTTGGGTCATTCAACGTGGACGTACTTTTCGTTTTCTCTTCCATTGTCTTTCGTTATTAATGCCCACTCAACAGGCGTTCCGGTGCGATTCATCCATGAATCATGGCCATGCTTTTCTCCTGCTGCGACTGCGCCAAGGCTCTCTAATTATTATGGTAAACATAGGCAATTGATATATGTACGAGTTCCTTACTTCTTGGAAGTGATGGGCAATGCTGGATGTTATCAACTTACACCTTTCTTTTTCTTTCGGCTTATACGTCATGTTGAAGCTTATGGCTGCAAGGACAAGGCTTACAAGGCTAGCAAAGAACCATATGTGGACAAAATTCTGTTGCCATTCGTCTCCAAAGGCTGCTACTGTGTTGTATCTGATACTAGTCTATCTACAAGAGCCTCTTCTCTGACATGGTGGACAGTAGCTTTATGCCTTACATCTGGTCAACGGTAAGTTTGCATACTTAAAAAAAAGAAATTTGAAAAACTGGGGACGATTTGGAGTTAATCGCTACTGGGAGCATAAGGTATTAAATCATCCTAATTGCTCTATCCTTTATAAAAGCAACATACTTAAGGACGGATGCAAGGACAGAGAAAAGAATCGCTGCTTTAGTACCGTAAGTATAACACATCATTTCATCAGTTACTTTGTGTGTGCGTTGCCTTAATGTACGTTGTTTGTCTAACTAGACTGCTAACTGCTTTAATTCCTTTCCAACTCTGTTGCCCAGAGGGTCGGGCCTTTTTGGTTCGCTCCTTTGCTTTTGTCAGGCCACTACTGGGAGCACAAAGCCCGAGCAAAGGGCACTTATGTTGCTTGCTTTCCAATGATGTTATTATACGTCACGTTCGATGAAGCTTCGGCTGAGTTCGTGCAATGAGTATGGGATTGACGCTGTTTTTGGCAGAGTCTTTCTCATATGTTGTGGGGCGCACCGTCGGCATGCCGGCGCAAGCTTCTTTTCGGAGAGGGCGAGCCCCGTTGCTTAAAAACGTGTCCTTCATTTTTTATGAAATACTCGACATGCGTATGTCGGACAGTCTCTGTTCACGATGTTTGGTTTCCTTTACGAGTAATCCAATTTTTATTGCGTGGGGTAAATTGGAAGGTCGGAGGCTACAATCGTCTTTTCTCATTTGTCCACTTGTCAATCGTCGTTCCCTCTCTCTTATCGCATTGATGGCATAATTTATGCTGTGCGGTCTATCGTCGTCCTCACTTCGTGTTCCCAGTAACCCCCAATCCCACACTTTTATTCACCCACACGCCTAAATGATTAGAGCTCTGTATTATGCGATAATATATGTATGTTGCTTCGAGTAGTACAACTCCACGGAAACATATCTCATTGGTCCCTTCTTCATATGACTACTACAATGTTTGATGAACGTCATTTTTCTGTAAAAAAAAAGTAGGTTGTCGTCGTAGCACATAATTACGTATGCCCTGATAACTGTTGTTCGTCGGAGCTCTTCTCGGTTCATAGCAACGACGATGGATAAGAGACACGCAAGCACACGATGTTTGGGGTTATAGAGTGCGTCGCACTGTAGCACGCTCGGCTTTAAGATTTGCAATTGGCAATTGTCGATACTTCTCATGTGTACTAGGTCTAGAACAAGCTTGGTAAGTAACGGTAAAAGAAAGGTCTTCCTTTTTAGTCAATGTAGTTGCTGCTGTTGACGCCGTGAAACAATCGTTTCATACCCGCTGATTTGCATTATGTGCAAGCAGTGCTGCAGAATTCAAGCATCGTTACACCTTCCTCCTTTTGTCACCATTTTAGACGTATCGATTCATTGCAGTGCCGATAACTGCGATGGTCCTTTGGTCTCAGTCGTTATTGTCAGTGGAAGCTTATTGCCGCTAACAGACAACTTATTTATATGCTTCAATAAGCCGTAATAACAGTTTAAAAACATAGTGATTCATCAGCAATTATTAAAGGGAGAGGATTACCCTTGGGGCACGGTGCATACTGTCTGTCCCAAAAAAAAAAGAATAGCAATTATCAATTTAAGCTGACCGGCAGAAAGAGAGTGACTGAAGATGTATGCTACCACATGGATGAACCTTTTCGGTCAGGTAGCAGTATAGAGCGTTTCTTCACTGCACTAATCTCCCTGGCCGAAATCAGGCTATATTTGATGATGGGGTAAAACCTTTGTTGTAAATAGGTGGGACACGGAAACAGCATATATTCTACAAGAGCAAAATGAAATAAGAAGAACTGATGAGCTGATATCTTATATGATCAATAGTTCTTCCTATCGCCATATAGGAAAAACAAAAAGTGCATGATTATAAATTATTTTGGGCTAGCAAAGAAAATTCCAGTATTAATAGAGACAAAACAAGTGCCTCTTTGTCTTAAACCACATACACAGCTGCCATGATGTCCATTAGACAAGTAGGCAGTCTTTTGTAAATTTGATACTGCGCAGCAAAGGTTGTGAATTTACATGCACAAGTTTCCAAGCCAGATACCAATATCGGTTTCTTTTTTCTTGGTTCCCTAAAAGAGTCATGCCTTCGTTCTTCAAGCATGACCGATCCAACGACTTATTCCCACCAACGTCGCAACGTCGAGGCGGCAAAGTTTTTCCTGTAGCTCGTGTGACGCGCAAAGACATTGAATCGAGACTACAAAAACAGATCGAAAGTCGACTGAAAGTCAAAAAGATCTATGCGGACCATCTCGAGCAACAACAACAACAACGATTACGGCTGCGACTAAAGCCAGTACCTTCGTTTCAACTCTTCCCTGATGAATCCAGTGTAACAGCCGCACCAGACAACAATGGCGTTAACGTTGCAGAACGTGGATTGCTGTCTCTTCGTCGCGTACCAAACTTTTCCCTCTTTGGAGATTCCGTTGCAACGACGACGCGATCCGAGCAACACGTTTCGACCTTGCGCATCGACCAATATGCTCAACAGCGACGCGACTGCGTCAACGAACATCGTATCGCAGGTGTTCTTGGTGTTGGCCGTGAAGGTACAGCAGTGGATCCATTTTCGACAGAGAGTATTGCACGAGTCCTCTTGGGCGATGACACTACTTCTTCGTCTTTAACAGCACCGATCGGCAGCACCAGCACCAGCAGTGCTGATGGTACACCGACAATATCTCAAGAAACACAAGCTGTTCCAGTATCACCACAAGAACAACAAGAACAACAACAGCATCAACCGACTGAACCACAAACGTCAGCAACCCATGCGTCGGTGATCTTGAGCTCAGTGCCTGAACGATGCATACCTGTGTTTGCGACAACCATGCAGAAACAAGGTTGCGACAAAATCACCCAAACAGCCAAGACGCGTGATACATCGTTCCTCAAGATCCGGTTCGAGGAGATGATTGGCGTGTTAAATCATCCATTGGTGGCAATGATGGATGTGTATGAGCAAACGTTGAATGATAAGTGGAGCGGATCCGGCAAGACACTCTTTATCAAGCAACTTGTCGAGAATCTACAAGCCGAGCAAATGGTATGTGTAAAAGATTGAAAGATTTGATCTTAAAAGCTATATTTGCTATGTGATACCTTTTGTTACAAGGTTACCAACCTACATTTACCACTAGTCATTGAAAATTGCTATAGCAACGTATGATATTGATACGGAAAGCTTCCTATACGACTGTATCAAAAACGATCTTAAACTTCCGTGTCTACGTATAGGATCGATACTGGATGATGTCTGGCAAAGCGAATATGGTGTGGTATTCCAAACGCAAAAGTCGCGGGACACAATGGTAAGCAAAAGAGAGAAAAGGGCAAGACGGTTTTCCTGGATATTTAGCAAACCAACTGAGTGAACACTTTTTTGGGTTTGCAGCGTCAGAATAGTGAACCCAATGCCGATTTTGTGATCGCATTTGACGTACGACTACGGCCCGATAACGGTGTATTTGCAAAAATTATCAATAAGCGAGGGACCGAACCTGTACCAGTAGTTTGGTTATATACTGTGGGTAGTGTTGAACAGCGGGCCATATCGTATTTCGACAGACATACATCCGACGACAACGAAAGCAACAGCAGCCAATGGTGGTACGATAGACCAGAATACCGAGATATCGTTCTCGCTGAAAACACATGGCCGCCAGAAGAAGCAGAGGAAGAAACGGCTTTGCACTTTGCGATCAAAACGTTAACGACCTGGGCTCAACACCAATTTGCAAGACCGTACCTACTTTCCGTACCGACAGCAACGGTAGAAACAACTTCTCTCCCTTTACCTCAGCAACGGCAACGTCGTTCTCCATCATCTGCAGCAGCTGAAGTTCCTGTCACGACTGCGTCTACCATACCCTCATCCTCCTCCATCACAGCCGCAGCTGTTGAATCCCAAGCTATTGTACCACAACCTACTACACTACCAGTAGCAACTGAACAATTTCTCACATCATCACCATCACCATCACCATCATCAGTTACACCAGCAATAACATTCACACCACCCGCTGCCTCTGAGCCAGCCAATACAGCAGTTCAGCGGGTTCCCGAGATCACTGAATTGTCAACGACACAAACGAGTAGTACAGCTTTTGATATGGAAATAGCTACACAATCTGATGTGGATGTTACCGATGTATTATCCGATATGGAGGTTGATTCTGAACGGCATGCTGAGCATAACGAATTACCAGATTGTATCAAAGCTCAAATCAAACAGGTAAGTAAAAAAAGTGGCGGGGAGTTAACGTAATTGAAAAAGAGCATCTTCAAGTATATATTTGGAATGGCTGGATAGATGAATGTTTAGACTAAAACATTATTTTGCGGAATGTTTTTGGAGATTCTTCAATACCCCACACTACAAGCATCGTTCGATCGTCCATTTCCTGGCTCACGCCATGGTAGTCCAAGCATCCTTCATAGATCAAGAAGCAGACACAGTCGTGGACGAGAGTCTAATGCTGAAGTTGAGGAAGATGATGACGCATCATCATTTTACTCTGCAAGTGAATCTGTCCAAGATTTCAAACCTATGTTTGCTGCTAACTTGGCTGCTGGCGGTGCCAGTGATCTGGAAAATGGCATAGCAACAGGTAAGTGAATAATAGAAAATTAGGGTTTCAGATATGGGGCGCTTGACAAAAGGGGCTCATGATTTTCTTTAGGCAACTCTATCTCGTTAAAACTAGGTCCTATCAAATCAGCTTTTGAAAAGGAGTATCAAACAGTGATCTCTCGTGTGCTGTCGCAGTATGATCAAGAGATGAAGGCGTTACTGGGAAAATACGAGAAACGAGCGTACGACAAGTTGCAGAATGGACCGTGATTTGTATTGTAAATCTATTAGTGTTTTTAGAACATATATTTGTACATAATAATAGCTGTTATTCGTTGCGAGTTAATGAAAAACGACGAAAATCAACAACGAAACGAAAAGTATCGATAATCGAATAAAGATCTTTTAGTTCTCTCATGTATTACTATCATCTATGATAGCCAAACCATAGCCGAAGGTGTTGTTCCATGCTATTTTTATATGATATAGGGAGAAAAGAAAAGAAGAAGCTTGCAGATCATAGAAATGCCTAAAATGATGCTAATGCTGATACTGTTTTTGTTGAGCAAACTTTTAGTGTTGCGGTTGGTAGCGGTATTATACTGTAGTATACAGTACTGTGCTTGCATTTCTATACATCATTAGCCTTGCGCTACCCTTTATGTAACACATAAGATCACGTCCTCAAATTTAATTAAATGAAATTAATCTTGACCCCCTTCAGGTGCAGCCCTTCCTCCTAGAGTAGCTATTATAGGGTTGATCATAAACAAAGTTATATCTTGCATTTTGGTTTCAAGTAACACAAAACTGCACCTCTCACAGAGTTTATACATGCAAACAGAATACCGAAATAAGGGAGTATTATGTACTGTATTAGACTCTCATAATATTCTTAGCAATCGGAAACTGTGGCGCTTACCCATCTGTTATGATCGCCCGGATACGAAATAATGCTAGGATGGAAAGGCCAGGAAGATTATTGTCGCCTGTTGACACTTCTTGATGTATCTTTACATTGTCAAATTGGTCGAGGAAGATAATGACAATGTTTCCTGTCAGACCTTTTTGGTAAAAGATACACTACAGGTCACTAGAAGTTGCACTATGTACCATAATAACTTCAAAAAGTCACTCAATGAACATTCGGCAAGTTAATGGACGGAATGGAGTTGACAAAATCAAATTCAAGGGTAGTTTTTCCAATGGTCTGCAAGACGAAACCCAAGCCCTCGAGTAACCATTATGTCATTTATCTAGTTGTTTGCTGATAATATTCAAAATCTCAGATTACCATTTGGTCGTTTTGAGACCTTACGGAGTCTTGGAAGGCCGTTTCAGGTGTCCGAAAGGCAACAAACGGCAAATTTGTATCTTTCTGATGATGCAGACAAACGAGCAAGCGACCCTAATTATAGCTTTTGAAAGCTGCATCCTCCTTTTAGAAACGAACACCAGCGTGAATCGTGAAAAAAGGTCTGAACTTTTTGTCAACAACAGCAACAGAAACAACACTACCAAAGAAACAGAAAGGATATTAGGGCCTTTTATTTTACACACCATCACACAAGCAGCAATAAATTTTGGATGTCTCAAAGACACACATGCTCCTCCGTAACATATAACATGATGTATCAAGTAATATACGCATATTCCATCGTGCAATATCAACGATACGGAACATTATTAATTCATCATGTAGAATATGATTGAGGTGGAAAAAGAAATATTAATTGTGCGTGTGAGCAGTAGGTGAATTCTGCACTGTAGTGGTGATATAGAGATAGAAGAATCATTTGCTTTCGATACTTCTTTAATACTGCCTCCTGGTGTGCCGCTGCTAGTATCATAGAAGCGGTAGCCGCTGAGATTGTCAGTACTGACATAGGTATATATGGGTGAGGCTCCTCTGAGCTTAGGACAAACGCAGCAGAGAGTCGTTGAGGTGCCAACATAGCATTATAATATGCTGGCTGTGGTGGCTCTTGCGACTGCTCATGTGCTGGTACGGGAATGGGCATACATTTGGATCACTGGAGGCGATGAGCTACCATCAGCTGCGACAGATCCACCGTATACATCAATGGAGATGTACAGGTATAAGTTCCTTTTGTTACTGTTCTTGCTCAGCCAACTGACGATGGTTTCGAGACGCATATACAAGAAGATGCTGATAAGCTGAATGAAAATCAGCTTAGCTCCTCTTATCACAATTTTATTTTGCCCCCGCCCTTATAATTGTACTACAGTACTTACGATTGCCAATCCCACTAAAGAACCGACCATTCTCCCAATATACAGGGCCCACACCTGCGATTCATAATCTTCTTCATCATCATCTGCAGGCGATAACGGTGTATTTATAGGCTCATAGAAGGCTCGTGTGGCGGAATATGTTTAAGAAGGATAAGCATATGTTGTTGTTGTCCTGGTTATTGTAGTAAACCATAATATTATCAGTGTACAACTGGTATTACGGTGTTAAGACAAGACTGTACAAAAAGAGCATCTATCATAATTTTAAGGATGATTTCATCAAAAGAAGAATTTACGGTCGACCCCCTTAAATTTCACACCACCAAACTTTCAGCCATCGCTATTTTTTAAAGTTTTTGGAGCTATCAAACAAACAAGAATTGCAGGGAGCACTAGTACAAGTTCTTCTCGCTAACTTTCACCCCTCACTATTTTCAAACAGAAGTTGGGATCACGCTATGAAATTAACGCGGGTCTACTATAAGTTATCGCAACAGCAGTTATAGCAGAGTAGAGCAAAAATAGCTTGATGCTAATCGATACTGTAACAAGGATAGTGATTTAAACAGTGGACATGCTTATTTTGGGATGTACAGTGGTTCCCCGTTTGATTTCCACCTCAAAGGGGTCTTTAAAGTGTTGAAACTACTGAAGGTTGACACAAAACGAGCGTGATTTAAGCAGTGTTATATGCTTGAAGGGAGGTATAGAAAAAGTTGAAATAACTGAGGGTTTATCTTATTGAGAGTGAAATATCATATACGTGGAACAACTGTTATTATAAAATTCCCATATTAGTATTGTTCAGCGCGTACGGTTGCTTCCTTCTCTATTATCAACAAGTGAGGATAGAAAGTCCTCTTCTCGCATAAAAGCGAATGTTTAGTTCTAGCTCGTCAAATTCGATGATAACCAAGTACGTTTTGTACATCACCGAAATTCATGGTGCTTAACATGATATGATAAATGATTGTAGTGGTCGTGAGTCATACTTAACACACGTATCCATATATAGCAACAACATCAAATGTACATCATGCAACCATGTTCATGACCGTGTATCGATGTAAAACATTCTTCATAACAAAGTAATCACTCGAATTGCATTAAGAAGGTATACAATAAGTGCTCGTACTAACAACATTTTAACAACTCAAAATTTTGGTATGAATGAGTATGTGATGGGGTGTATCTTTTCAAAGGATACTATAAGGGTTGAAGAAAAGCGTTTTAATTTTCAAGTGAGAAGATCCAACTGACACTTTGAGATATCACATAGAAGAATTAACTGTGCACTATTAAGCACGGTCTATAGTATATTTAGGATGAGAATTACTCCTTTCATAACGTCTCCCAGTCCAACAACTCCCCTAACTTTTCTTTGCGTGGTGGTGCTCATCATCGTATACAAGACGAAAACGAGAGAAAAGAAAGGACACACGCACCACCACCAACAACGCCATAGCACATGTACCTCATTATAGTAAAACACACAATGGGATCGCTTTTCTATTTCGTCGGCTGAAGGGAATAGGAACAAGGGGGTTTACTTGGGGACAACGCAACATTATTATAATTACAGGCACGCATCATGGTTGGTTACGAGAGCACGGGTCCGTGGTTAGAAATTGTTGGAGGTTGTTAAAGGGTCCAGGGCCCTAGTAGCGAATGGGTCGTATAGAATAACAATAGTAACTATAAATGTGGGAAGAAAGGGTCCTTGTTGATTATAATATTCGTCTAGATCAATTTATATTAGTCTTCGCTACGTGAACCGTTTTTAGACATACTACAGCTGCTCGACAAACTTATCACGCACACTTGCTACTACAAATGCCATACACATATGTACTTTTGTGGTTGTTGTAGATTGGTCCCTGTATGCGATGAGTGAAAAGGAGGTCATAAACTTCAGTAGTGCTCTTCTCTTATGACAATAAATCAAACCTGGTTTTTCTTGCTCTCTATCTTTTTCATTTTGTGTACTTGGCTGCAGAGATGCAGCAACTCTTTACACGCATAATTCATAACGCTCGTGGTGTCTCCCTCCTCTCTTCTTACGTACGCTTTCTAATTCTAGTTTTACAAATGCAAGGGCTAAAGCATAATACTAAGTTTCGCATTGACCTTGTGTTTTTGAAGTGTGGAGTGCGTGCACGCACAAACGCTTTTTGTTTTACTTAATATACAACTTTGCTTCCCCTTTTTTTCCATACCCTTTCTTCACTCCGTGTCAAAAGAAATCATTTGGCTCTACAATGGAAAGAATAAAAGATAATATACCATTTTTCAACTTGGATCATTGTGTGTAACCTAGAGAGTAGAAGGAGAGTTTAAGAAGGACGAGCATAATGTTCTCAGAAAATAAAGTAAATTATATACGAGGACCCTTTTCACTAGTCAAGCAGATTTCCAAGAATGAGAAGCCCCCGGATTCTCGAGGGCGAGGAGGCAATCCTGTGTAGTATGTCTTCTTCTATCGACGGATAAAATAGAGACAGAGCGAGTACAAGCAGTATGCAGCGAAATGCGCGATCTTGTCGTACATGCATGACAAATAGAATTTAATATCTCACATTCAAGTTGGCGTGCCTATTGTTTCAGCCATGCATCAGATTAGCATATTAAATAGATGACATAAAAATGCATGATGGTAACTGCAAGATGCTGCTCCGTCGCGTGATGGAGGAGTGTGTCGATTGCACGTACACACCAATTCTCCACGAAGCCACGATGAGTGTGCAGTGCCATGGTTTGTGCGGAAAGAAGACAAACGTGATATAGCAGTAGTGGTAGTAGTAGTAGTGGTGGTGGTGTATGTGGCAACCCTCTAGTATACTCCTACTTTGTCCAAAAGAAATAGATACTTTGATAGAGAGAGAAAGAAGGGACTTAGGGAGATGCCACCGGAAACAGCAATCGTTGGTGTGACCAGGAGGTTTTACCTTCCGGCCTACCTTATTCGTAGATCTCACCCACATCCTCTTGTCTCATTGTTGCAGGCTTGCCACATGAGTTTAATAGGGAAAACGAGCGAGGACCACACTCTCGTCTTCCTTATTGTGTGCAGTGGGTCTACCACTGCTATTACTACCACTACTATTACTACGCCTGTTGTTGAGATCATGGTTTTCTTTAGAACGAGACTAAAGGGAAAGCCTTACCCTTTTCTCTCCATCCCCTTGCACACACAAGGCAAATACAGTATATTTACATATGTAATACCAATGACTATCATTACCATTACTGTCGCCACCTCAGTGTGAGCCGGTTAAGGGATCATCTTTTCTTTTATAAATAATGTGGGGACTATCCAACTGCTTTCTGAAGTTTCTTTTTTCTTCTTCTTCTAATTGCTTTTTGGTCTTGTCTTTTTACCTACTACTACTGCAACAACCGTACTCAATCACAAGCAAGCAGCCCAACCAGTTGCGCATCTTCTTTAATTCCATATTCCCTCCTCTATTCTTCAAACCCTTCCCATTCTTTTCAGTTTATTAAAAAAATCATGACTTTTCGAACAGCCTATCAACTTTGGTAAAAACAGAAAAATATGATATTCTTGTTACGAAAACTGGAGCACATTGAGCTCACATGCAAATAATAATCATAGTGTCCAGGTGCAAGAATCATCACTGCGTTTCAATATGCATTTCTTTGTCAAAGACAATTCTGCACCCAGGTTTGATGATCTTGTCAAGGCAATCCAACACAGTGCTCAGGTAATTAAAGGTTACACGTAAAATCAAATAAGGATCTTGTCTAAAAGTCTATCTTAAAACAAAAATAACTATTTTACTATAATAACAACAATTTTACAACCTCATAATTTGCACTTATAATAACAACAATATTAATAACAATGAACTTTAATCCACCAGGACCTGAGTGTGAACGAATACCAGATTAGGCTCGACACACGGGACCCTGAAAGCAATGTCCTGTGCGACGATCAATCACTGCGAACTGCACTGCAGACCCTGAACAACAATGACAACCTGCTTAATATCATGCTTAGCCGCAAAAGCCGACATATTTCCGAACAATGTAAGATCATAATGATTTAACTAGCGTCATGCAGATTGCAAATTTTAAAAGTGGAAGGGGGACCTGGTCCAGGATGAATTGCGAATCTCACCGACATTTATCACTTACTTTTATTTTTCTTTTTTTTCAATAGCCAACTTACAGCGACAACAGCAGCAGCCACGCCAATCACAGCAACAGCATCCTTTTCGCCTTAGAGCCATATTAGATGACAACGTGCCAGTGGTCAAGCCAACCGTGTATCGATGGAAACCATCGCACAGCACCACAAACTACGTTAATACCGATAACAATAATAGTAATAATTTTAATAATAATGGTGGTTCAGATCCATACCGCCGTCGAAGCGCGCCTGTGCAGCCAACTCTTCCATCGATCGATAAACGCGGCAGCATCGATACAAGTACTGGCATACGAAAAGACTCTGGTGTCTCGCTTGAAGCGGATGAGCCAGTGAAGAAGAAGAAACGGGTACTCTCAGCAGAGGAATCTATGCAATCCAGAAAATTACCAGAACTTCAGCATCATGCAGAGCCGTTCTTCTACAATTCTCAAAGAAGGCCGACAGTATTAGAACCCAGGTCACCAAGGATCCATCCGTTGGATCGTCGCACAAGTTGCACCAGCACAAGCGCGAGTGCAAGTACAAGCAACACCACTCCCACTAGCACTACAAGTGCATTCATGCCTCCCATAGGTCCTCCTTCATCCGCATCATCCTCATCTTCATCCTCCTCTTCATCATCCAACTCAACAGGCGTCACGCTACCGGCAATCACGTCAATCACTGCTGGACACCACCATCATCATCCCCACCCCTCCCATCATCAGCGAAGAGCAACAGCTGCGCATTTGTTTGATCTGACAAGTAACGCCACAAGAGCCATGTCGTCTTCAACATTGATGCATAATGCGACGGAACAACAGCAGCAACGGCATCATCGCGCATCCGCGCCAATGGCATTACAACCGCACCATCATCATCACCTTCAGCAGCATCAGCAACAACAGCATCAGCAACAACAGCAGCAGCAACAACAGCAGCTCTTTGTGTGCGAAAAAACGATTGATGTTGGTCGTATTTGTGGCCAAACCTTTCGACGTTCTTACGACTTGTCGCGTCATCAAACGATTCACCTAAAAAACCGGCCGTATTGCTATTGTGATCAATGTGGCAAAAAGTTCACGAGAATGGATGCCTTGCGTCGTCACGAGCGTGTTCAAGGTCATACACCATCATCCTCTTCTTCTTCTTCTTCGACGCCAGGCGCTGGCCGCATCAAGTATCGGAGTAACCGCACCACCACAACGACAACCACAGCACGACCTGTATCTCCTCCAAGTACTTCCTCCGACAGTAATGCACATCGACTTCATCGACATGCTCAGCAGGCTAGAGCATGATAAACTACTTACATACCCTACTAAATAATGATAAATCTCTTCAACTTTTTAGTAACCTTTGCTTCGTTTATATTCACTTACTTCATACCACCTTTAATTTTTCGTGTTTGCCTACCAATTTGTTTTGAGTGTCCTTATTTTTTTCTGTTCGTTTTATTGTTACCTTTGGTAAGGTTTCCCTCACCTCAAAAGGGCTTCTTTACATCCGTTTTCTCTTTTGTACAGCTATTATTTACCTGTTTCTTTTTGCACAAGTGAATGCAGTATGATTCTCCCCTCCTAATCCACATCACCCATGCCTTTCTCTTTCCTCTGCTCATGTTTTAGTGCCATATACTGTAAATCTACCCTCCTATATACCAGATCTTTGCCTTTAGAAAGGGGATTGTATCCTCCCATTTTCTTCTTGCTCCCTTAATTCTTTCTTTCTTCCAAATAAATTAATGTTAATTCACATAAAAAACAAATCTATTAAGATATTTACAGGTATAGTGTAGTAGAGCATTTTTTTGCGTATAGTACATGATTGTTGTTTTCAAGCGTGACCCACGTCGCGTGCTTCCCATACTTCTTCCGAATTCCGAAGCTGTTTCTTTTGTGAATCTTTTTCTTGGTCTCGTCTTCGAATCATTCGCTGTTGTAACACAACACGTGAGTATTCGCGTGTAAACTATTAGTCTTTGGGCTCCACCCCTGCCCTTGTCAAACTTACATCAGCTTCCTCATTCGATTTCGTTTTAGTTTTCAGACAGAACTTGAAATCTTCCCAACGAGCAGAACAATCTTTCTTTTCACCATAGCGATAATAGTGGATTGCCTGAGCACCCAGTGCTGTCAAAAAACAAAAAGTAAAATTTGTTAGTTGATTCCCAAATCTTAATTAAGCATGCCTTTTCAATCCATTACTTACTATAACATTGAAACACGGAGTCAAATGCTTGCGTTACGCTGCAATTTGCATATTCACGTTTAGTCTCTGTTTCGAATTCTTTAAAGAACTCGGCCGTGTCGGCATCGTGGTGTTGTGAATCATTACTCATTTTGTTAAAGCGAGGAAAAACAAGGCTGGGCGGGGTGTTAGCTGTTGAACCGAGATTTTTTTTTGTTTCGGTGATTACCCAGCCGACAGAGCTGCATAGAATGCCATACCAGTTATAAAAGCTGTGTGCTACAAGAGGAGGTCATTGCTTTGAATGAAAAGGCTGTAAGTGTTCCGATTGCTGTGGCAACCCGGACCCGATCCTGTTGTCTTATTGTTGTCATGCGGTTGCTATTATGATATACAAGATGATGATACCCAGGTCTGGCCCTATAGCAAATGGAATGTGAACGCGATCATGAGTACCTGGCTATTGCATTTAGCTTATCCGAGAAAAGAAAGAGTGAGTTTCATAGCGTGCGTCAAAACTCCACGGCAATAGCTACAACCATCAAACTCTGTTACGATCTCGGTAGCACACCGACAAGGTTTAACTGGCCCAATCAAAAGTTGGCAAGTTGTTCTTACAAAGAAAGCACAACAGTGCATCTTGGATATCGTCGTGGAGTTCTTTTTGGTGCTACTAAAGTGTAGCTCTCCCGCTTATGTTAGCAGCATCCAGACATGATACGTCGTGCTAATGTGTAATAAGTGGTATAAGCTCAGAAATGGTAGTACAACCACAAGGGTTTGGTGGTGATTGTAACAATCATTGCTTGTGCCACCACAAATAAAGAGGCGATGTTTGCGATGGTGCATACAGCACATCGAGGATGAAAGCTATGGATAGATGCTCAGCCATGTAGGTTTCTTGGGATAATGCAACTCAATTGCAAAAAGCAACAGCAGCATACATATCCATCTCTTTTTCGGGACTATTCTTAACGTCAATTGCAAGTCAAGATAGAAAAAGAGTGTATTGTAAATTTGGTGGTAGGCTTTACATTCGAAAAGGTGCTTGTTTTTTATGATTCGTTTTTCTCGAGATCAAAGGAGAGACACTTGATTTCAGAGTTTAATCCAGGTAGCTGATTGTTGAGAGTTACCGTTTGGTCCAGGCTGATGACTCATAGCGCGTTAACCATAGCTCATGCTAGTGTTTCCAAAGTCATACTTTATCTTATGGACGTGGCATGGTTAGACGAACAGCTACTATAAACGTACATATTTAACGTTCAAAGGGGGCCAATGCGGCGGACCAACAAATGACTTGATGAAGGACCGCGCAGCAGCGGCAAACTGCAGAGGGCTAACCGGAAGCAACCTTTCCTTTTTTACAATTTTTAGCCTTTTACGTCGATAAGCAGAATGGTCCGAGGAGGGGGGGGAATATTTGTTTATGAGCGGAAACAACGAATTATCCACTCTACTACGGTACCACACCCACGGTTGACTACATCAGACAGTAGTATCGAAGACTAAGTGGACAAGAACAAAGACGAGGAAGGATGCCAAGACAGTACATTGCTCAACCTATCATCATGCATGAATCCTCCTGAGAGCAAAGAGGTTCCGCGAGAAAGGAAAGAAAAACAAAAAAAATCGTCGTCGCCGCAGCAACGGCCCCTTCCTTACTCAGATGTTAAATTACCTCAAAGCTTGAATCGTGCGGAAAATCTTTTGCGTTTTTCTTCTCCTCTTCCTTCTCTCTTCCAATAACGATAGTAGAGATGCTCGATTGCAGCTTATCCGTAAGGCCGTTTCCTCTCTCTTAAATTTGTGTATCCATAAACATAAACAATTGACGTTTTTTCTTTGGTTTTAAGGATCCGTGGGTAGGCGGCAATTTCGCACCTTGTTTTCGGGAAGCGTACGTCATTATCATATCCAACAGAATATTTACTTACACACAGTATATGTTATGAGAAAACGCTCACAACCGGTATTCATTCCTCAGTGTTTTAGACGGTCTGATCCCGATCGCGCTGTTTGTTTGGTCAGTGTCTGCCGTCCTTTTCAGCTACGTTCGTCATGTTCGCAGAACGTCGGCAGTCTACACGCCACTGAAGAGCAATCAACCAAGCAATTATGGCGGTTATGGCGCCACCACCGTGCCCTCGATCACTGAAGACGATGAACGAGTTGACGACGATGCTTCGTCCTCTGACAGTACCATATCTCCTTTATATGAAGAACGTTCGCTGCGATGGTCGTTTTACAATTGTACAAGATTGGCAGCAGCCACGATCCAAGTCGCCGTATACCTCTACTCGCTGGGACAGTTGGTGACTGAGCACTATGACTTTGATGAATCCGTGGAAGGAAGTAAGCTGACATTAACGGCAGCACTTGTTGCAAACCTCATTTTTTGGGTAAGTACATGCGGGATATCATGAAAGAGCAAACGAGGAAGAAAATCAGAGAATGATTAAAGGATGAGGGGTAATGGATGGCTTGGAACTGGTTTTAAATTGTGTACCGATATCTGTAGGGATATGCACTGTTGATCTCCATCGCCAACATCTTGCTGACAGCAACGTCCAAGAAGCCCGTTGCAGACGATATCTGTTTCCAACTCAATCTCCTGTACCTTGGCCATTTCTGTATCAACCTCGTTGACTTGCGCTCTTTCTATATTGTCCATTATACCGATATATCCGTTGAGGGCTATGTGCATTCAATCTTAACCGCATGTGTTACATCTATTCTCCTTTCAATCATCATCCACGAAGAGCGTCATTCCCCTGTCGAACCTGTCGTTGCTGATACGGTAAAGAAAACCCACCACGATTTCTCTTATAGTACTGCGTAACAACTTTGAGGCTGATTCTTGAGTCGTGGGTTATATGTGATTACAGGGACGCGTGCAATCCACGGAGAACTGGGCTTCGTTGTATTCCCAGTTCTTGTTCAGCTGGGTCGAGTCAATGATGAAGGAAGGATACAGACGTACATTGAACGCAGAGGATCTCAACGAATTGCCTCCCGAGAATAGAGCAAAGAACATCTTGTCATCTTATCGAAAGCACAAGACCCGTTCGATCCTGGTGTCCTTGTTCAGAACGTACAAATTGACCTTTGTCAAGCAGTTCCTGTACTGTGCAGTGTGGAATGGTAACGTTTCTTTCATATTTATAACCCTTAGCGAAGGAGACGCCTCATGTTATGCAGGGAGTGCTCATATATATGATACGCGTGGTTGATTAGTTGGTATGTTTGGTCCGCCTCTCTTCCTGAACAAGATCATCAAGTATATCGAAAACGGCGATCAGAACGAAGAACCGGTGTCCACCGCATACTTGTATGTGATTGGTCTATTCGTTACTGGTGCGCTGCAGACATTGGCCGTGCAGCAGGCCTTGTACATTGGCCGCACAAACGGTGTCCGCATCCAAGCGATTGTGATCGGTGAGGTCTTTTCCAAGTCCCTGAGACGCCGCGACACCACGGGAGCTACTGATGCTGAGGACGAAAAGGATGGAGAAACTTCCAAAAATGTCAACAACTTGCTTTCGGTGGATGCACAAAAATTGGGCGAGTTTATTGCGTACTGCTTCTATGTCTACTCATACCCCATCCAAATCGTCATCAGTATCTACTGTCTGTACGAACTTCTCGGCGCCGCTCCCTTGTATGGTGTTTTGGTGATGATTTTCACGCAGCCTATCACATTCTATGTCAGCAAACGATTCGAGACGCTGCAAAAGGATCTCATGGCGGCCACCGACAAGCGTCTCAAGATTGTCAATGAGATGCTATCGGCGATTCGTATCATCAAGTTTTTTGCATGGGAAAAGGAGTTCCGCACACGCGTGCTGACTGCTCGACAAACCGAACTGAAAGCCATCCGTGCTCGTCTTTTTATGTTTATGCATATGATGAACGCCTGGTTCCTCATTCCTATCCTTATCATGATTACCGTTTTCTACATCTACACTCTGGATCACAAGCTGACGGCATCCACTGCGTTTACTGCCCTTGCCTTGTTTAACACGTTCCGTGCTGCTCTCGACGAATTCCCCATGATCATTTCGTTCGTCCTCCAAGCCAATGTATCCGCAAAACGTATCGAGAGCTTCTTGGATGAAGACGAAGTTGAGATTCCTGAACCATCTTCAGCTTTGGATGGTACCCAAATTGGTTTTGTCGGCGATGCTGCCTTCAGCTGGGAAAAGCCTGACGTATCGGATCAGGATAGCGAGAGCAAGATTTCTCTACGTGACCTCAACTTGTCTTTCCCTGTCAACAAGCTATCCATCGTATGTGGTCCTACCGGCTCTGGTAAAACCACTCTGCTGGCATCTCTTTTGGGCGAGACGTGGTGTGTGCGCGGCAGCGTTCGTCTCCCTCGCATTGTTCCCACTCGCACGAGTCCTTTGGGTGGCGCGGTTTCTGGAATTGCCTATGTTGCACAAACTGCTTGGTTACAAAATTGCAGCATCCGTGACAATATCCTCTTTGGTCTTCCCTATAATGCCGAACGCTATGAGAAGGTGCTCTATGCCACTGCATTGACTCGTGATCTCGATATCCTGGAATTCGGTGACTCGACAGAAATTGGCGAAAAGGGTGTTACCCTCAGTGGTGGTCAAAAGCAGAGGTAAATTGCGACTTTTCTCATGATTTTAAAGCTGTTATACTAATGGTTGAACTGTCATACAAAACAATTCAATAGAGTGGCAATCGCTCGTGCCGTTTACTCTCAAGCCGAAACCGTTATTCTAGACGATTGTCTCAGTGCTGTTGATGCTCATACTGCGAAGCACTTGTATGAACATTGTCTGACTGGCGAATTGAGTAAGCTCAACACATATATTTGTCCTCTACAGTAAAAGAGAACGACCTGGACCTTTCTAACTGGATTTTTTGTGTATAAAAAGTGCACGGACGAACCATCATCCTTGTTACTCATCATGTTGGATTGTGCCTCAAGAGTGCATCCTACATTGTTGCTTTGAAGGATGGCAAGGTAGCTGGCGCTGGTGATCCTCAATCCATGCTCAAGAGCGGTGTATTGGGTGAAGAGCTCGCTCGTAACCAAGAAGAGCAGAACGAAGCCAAGGAAGAAGCCGCAACGGATGGACCTATCCCGGTTGTTCCTCAATCATCAAAGAAGCAGCAGCAGGATGGCGCAGGCAAGCTTGTCGAAGATGAAGTTCGTGCCGAAGGCGGTGTCAAATGGTCAGTCTACGATACCTACATCGGCGCATCCGGTGGATACACTTACTGGGTCATTATACTGGTGCTTTTCAGTCTTGCACAAGGAGCTGTATTAATGCAGGATTACTGGATTAAGGTTTGGGCTAGCGCATACCCACCAGGAGCTGAAGATGATACTAGCAGAGACAACAGTACCAGCAGCAGTGTTGGTATTTTCTCAGGTGGCTCTTACCTTGGTTCATCGTCTGAGCCTGGTACTTTCAGCGTCCATTATGTGACTCCCATGGTCGCTAAGGAAGAACACGTTGATGTCAAGTATTATCTTGGTGTCTACTTCCTGCTCGGTGTTGTTGCGCTTATTGTTACATCCGGTCGTTCGTTGGCTTTGTTTATTGGATCGATCCGTGCTTCTCGTCGTCTCCACGAGCAATTATTGGACAGAATCCTGCATGCTAAGGTGCGATTTTTTGACACAACGCCTCTTGGTCGCATTGTCAACCGCTTCTCGTCTGATCTCGAAACGATTGATCAAGAAGTTTCCCCTTCGCTTTCCTTCCTGCTGTACTCGATCGTGTCGACGTTTTGCATTGTCGCGTTGATTACCTATGTCGTACCTGCCTTTGTCGTTCCCGGAACGCTTATTGCCGTTTTGTACTGGTTGGTCGGTGCCTACTATCTAGCAACATCACGTGATATGAAGCGTCTCAACTCGGTCAGCCGTAGTCCTATCTACGTGCAATTCAACGAAAGTGTGAACGGTGTCACTACTATCCGTGCATTTGGGTCACAGTATCGCTTTGTTGCCGAAAATCACTCGCGTATTGATAACAACAACCGCCCATTCTTGTGGATGTGGGCTACGAACCGCTGGCTTCACGCACGCGTGGAAGTTGTTGGCTCCTTTGTCGGTTTTTGTGCTGGTCTTGTCATGGTCATGGCTCGTGATTGGATTGATCCCGGTATGGCTGGTCTTTCTCTGAGCTACGCTTTGACCTTCACATTCCATGTGCTTTGTGAGTTTACGTTCCAATTGATCCGCTGATCAGAGAAATAGAATTGCTAACTTTATGTTATACGAAAATATAGGGGTCGTCCGCATGTACGCTGTCAACGAAATGAACATGAATGCTATTGAGCGTCTCCACGAGTATTTGGATGTTGATCAGGAACCACCAGCACGTATCGCTGCCACCTGTCCTCCTGCAAGCTGGCCCGAGGCAGGTTCCATCAAAGTGGACGACCTCGTCATGCAGTATGCACCCGACAGTCCTGCTGTGTTGCGCAACGTTTCGTTCGAAACTCGTCCTCGCGAGAAGATCGGTATCGTTGGTCGAACTGGCAGTGGTAAGTTTCTATCTACTGGAACCAGAGAGATGAAAACGCATGATGACTCAAAGCAATTCTTTTGTTTTTGTAAAGGTAAATCAACTCTGACTCTATCCTTGTTCCGATTCATGGAGGCTACCTCTGGTCGTATTTGCATTGATGGCGTCGATATCAGCAAGATTGGCCTCGAAGACCTGCGCTCACGACTCACAATTATTCCTCAAGACCCAGTGCTATTCTCTGGCACTTTGCGCAGCAACTTGGATCCATTTGACCAACACGACGAAGCCGAACTTTGGGCTGCTATGAAACGATCACATCTTATCGACCTTCGCGATGACAATGACGCAAACGACAACAAGAATGTAACGCTTGATTCTCCAGTGACGGAGAACGGCAGTAATTGGTCTCAAGGTCAACGTCAATTGATTGCTTTGGCTCGAGCCCTTGTCAAAAAGTCCAGTCTGATCATTTTGGATGAAGCCACGTCCTCTGTTGACTTTGATACCGATCACAAGATTCAGCAAACTATTCGTGAAGAATTTGTTGACTCGTCCTTGCTGTGTATCGCTCACCGTATCCGCACAGTTGCTGATTATGATCGTATTCTTGTGCTTGACCATGGTAAGGTCATTGAATTTGATACGCCCTACAACCTGATTAATCGGGAAGACGGTGTTTTTAAACAAATGTGCGAACGTAGCGGCGAGTTTTCCGAGCTGCTGGCAATTGCCACAGCAAAGTTTGAACAACAACAGTAGTAGCAATAGCATTCTTAGATCTCTCTTCATTATCTCATATCCCTTGTTTTCTTCTTATTTTCAATACATATATCTACATGTACGATATCAAATGTATTTTTCTTTTTCTTTGCATTGTGCCCTATGTGGTTATCACCCATTAAAGTTTTGTTTTCATATATAACACAAAACCACATTTATATAATTATTACATACTCACCTATTCAAATTTCTCTAGATGTGCACTAAGGTTTCCTTGTTAATACGACCAATAAGGGTTGTAGATAGTTAATGTACTTCCTTTTGTCGCATTTCATGGGGAAGCACAGGTTGCTACCAGTAGGAATATGTTAGCGCTTGTAGTAGTCGGTTCGCTAGAGCGACCGTATTTGTATTGTCCGCGTTGACTGGTTTGAATGAAGTTATTATTCATAGAATAGATGTATGTGTGTTTCCAAAAGTTTTATAATGCTATCATACACGAACCTGATACTATGTGGTTATGTAGAAGTCTCTCAATGCTTATACTGTACTAGGTATCATCAAGCATATATTCAATCCACATTTATATAATGATTTTGTAAAATCAATGGAGATTTTTATAGCGAGTTTCTGTAGTACATTCTAGTACAACAAATCTCTGTTGGTAATTGCTGGGTGTTACATCCATATACCTGGATGCTAAAGTCCCGCAATAATCTTGCTGTAGCTGCCATGGCGTCCAGAAGCCCTGACATTGCTGAATATGCTATTTGCCTGGTGCATCAATTATTAATATATAGCACTAGTATCAAATTGATCCGTCCCTTTTGCATGGATTAGTGTCAATATCTTGCCTTTCATAAGGAACTTCCGCACTTTTATAGATTCGCCTTTGACCTTTGCAAGAATAACATTTCGCATAAACCTGGGCTTCCCAATCTCATAACCTCGAGATCTGTACATGATATGTTTTAAGACGTATGCGAACGGCGATTATTTCTCGATTGGAAGAGGTTGCCTATATGTTGAAGTGGTCTGACTTTCGACCAAGCTGGTGTGCAATCGCACAGGTTCTCGTGCCAACTTTTGAAAACTCGTAGCATTTCTAAGTGGCCTATGGCTTGTAACTGTTTCATGACGATGACTAAATCTCGTACTGCAAGTTCGCAGTGATATCAAATCGCGATCTTTGCTGTATCACAGCGCTTTTACCGTGTTCATCGTCGTGTGTCCTTGTTCATAGATTTGGATAGCCTGCCGCTGCTTGCCACGCATCAAATGTAATTTTCTCGCACAAGCATAGCCTGCTGCTAGTGACGGTGCAAGCTGTATCATAAGGTCGACATCCTTCATAGCCCTTTTGGAGTCTGCCGTCATGCCATGTGCTGTAGCTCGAAGTTTAAGTACCTCATGATGCTATTTTATAATATCGTCAGCGGCAGCAGTGGCGTGGTCAACAGCGTCTGCGAAACGGGAGTCAGAGAACGCGACTTGCTGCGATCTTTTTATTCTATAAATGGTGCTTGACTTTTCAAAAGTACCACGCTTGTTAAGTGTTGAGACTTTGTTCATTGTTTTGGTTGGGTTTTGCATTTCCGTATTTCCGTTGATTGTTGAGTCTGGTTTTAGTTTTGACAGTGCAAAGACCGTCAAAGGGACTGGTTGCAAATGAATTTAAATGAGTCGTCGGGCTTGGATTTCTTATATCGCCACATATGGCGGCTCAGTGGACCAGTCCAGCTGTTCCAAGAGAAAACTCAAAATGGCAGACTCGTAAGCGTGTTCCCTCAGCATTGCTTAGATTGCATTCATTTCTATTCGACTGGAACTAACTTTTTTATTCACTGCTCCTTTAAAGACAGATGCTCCTAGATCCTGGTATGATTTCTATAGTACACAATTTTAATAGCTTTAAAATTAAACCTACGCAACAATTTAGCTATCCGGGATTGGGTCTTGATTCCCATCATGATTGTCATGGTTCTCGTCGGTATTCTTCGCCATCACATCACGATGTTATTGACGGGACAACCAAAGAAGCCACAAGTTAAAGCCGTCCGTGAATCGTAAGCTCGCTCCACCATAGAAAAAACGCGCGTATCGTATGAAAAACGGGATACTTATGCAGCCAACCATATAACAGAAAAGCACTTTTACGTGGTATGCGGTTACGAACATTTGGCAATCATATCCCAGCACATGCTTTCAGCAGTCGAAAAGCTATCCTTGCCGAAGCATTTGAAGAAGGTCGATATCTGAAGAACGCGCCTGGTAACAACAATAATGCCCCCGCAACACCGCCAAATCCAATGACGGATCCCGATATGATGGAAGGCATGATGGAGGGCATGAAGAAACAGTTGACCAACATGGTACCTCAAATGCTTATCATGGGGTGGATCAACTTTTTCTTTAAGGGTTTCGTCGTCAGTAAGTTGATATACATAAGGATAAAAGAAAAGATATACGGGTGAGGTCTGGCTGACGTATTGATTCATTGATTAGTTAAGCTGCCATTTCCATTGACACCACGTTTCAAGACCATGTTGCAAAGCGGTGTGGATACCCGTGATATGGATGTCACCTGGGTTTCGTCGCTGTCGTGGTACTTTTTGAATTTGTTTGGTCTTGGAAGCGTATTTGCTCTTATCCTAGGCGATAACAACGGTGAGAAACAATTCTTTGACGTTTTAATCGTGGAAATTTGGATATAATTACGACTTGTTGAGCTCATAATTATACGTTCCCTTATGCTAGCTGCTGGAGTGGATATGGCTGCCATGGGTTCCATGCCAGGCGCTATGCCTGGTGCAGGTCAACCCGGCCAGCAACCCGATTTCACCAAGCTATTTTCGGCAGAAAAGGAAAATTTGTTGATCACATCTCATCAATGGGACTTGGAGGATGTAGAGGAAAGATTATTGCAAAAATATGGTAAAAAGACCAAGAAAAGCAAGTCAGCAGAAGCAGCGACACAGCCATCCAAAAAGGAAATGTCTGTGCGTGACAAGATCAAAGCAAGTCAGCAAAAGGCGAACAGTGCTGGAAACAAACGTCGACATTGAATTTATTATATACTCTATGATAAATAAATACTAGTAACACGGTAATCTATATGGATTTGAATGATATTATTGATTATTTTGATTTCGCAAAGCCTACGCGCTTTTTTTCAAAGTCAAAGACGGAATAATAGCTTCGCAAAAATGTATCGCCCATGATAACCATTGGGACTGGAGCTTCTGCGATACCGGAATAGCATAGAGTTTCATTGCCAGGGTTGACCTTTTCGCGGATCAGATTGCTGTATGCAATAGGGAACTCTTGGTTACCGAAGCGGAAAGCAATCAATTCTTCTTGGTCCTGATGAGCCGTGATACCGTCATTGGTTTTCGTACTGTTGTTTGCTTGTTTGGCACCTCGAGCACAAGGCACTTGCCAACCGAGTGTGCTGTTGTATTCAGCACCAGGGATAGCCATATGGATTGAACGCGACATGGAGGGCGGTACGACAATTAACGTGGTGCCCGTATCAATGATAGCGGTCATGCTGCTGTTTGATCCTACGCTTATTCCACCGCCGCCAGACATGATGGTGCGGTTGCCAACCTTGATACCGCCAAAAGGTACTTCCCAATAACGGTCGTTGGTGACTTCGACGAACGTCAAGTCTCCCTCATACAGATCGGGATTGGTGCCCCCAATTAGCTTAATTATTCGTATCAGTAAATTATATAGACAAAGTGAAGAATGTGAGCATAACGTTTGCCGAAATGATCGTCTGCTGTATCAATATCATTACCAATTGACCGCCTTTGTCGGATTCACCCAAATGGAACGAAACAACAGCTTCCTTAATCACGCCTTGATCCTTTAGGTTCTCGACAAACGATTTTTTGGCTCCCGTCAAAGATAGCTTGGCAAATCCAAGACCGAAAATGCCATCCAGCTCAGGATCTGAAGCAAATTGGGAAGATACCTTGCTAGCCAAGCCAAACAGCTGATTTTTGGCAGTCAAATTACCAACAGTCAAAGTGTCATAACCCTTGATACCTTGGACAGCTGATCCGTCGCCATATTGCAAAGTCCATGTGCCATCATCGCTACCACTGTTGTCTGTACCGTTTCCTGTACCAGTAGTAGCAGTAGTAGTGTCATTGCTGTTGCTGCTCGACGAAGAAGTTTCATTGGCAGGTTTAAACGTGGACGACTTGAAATCGGAAAACAAAGGGTGGTTACCGCATCGTTCGCACTCTTTGCTAGGAACCCAAATATCTGAACTGCCTGTATCGAAATCCATCTCAAACGATTGAGGTGGTGTGCCGATTTGGATAACGCCAACGTACTTATACAAAAATGGCATATCAGTCTTTTGATGGCACACCTTTACTGTTTGCTTTTTCGTGTCAAGCAATACGTATCTATCTTCAATGGAAAAGTATATACCTCAACGTCAACATTGACGCTTTTCAAATGGACTCTGCCACGAGCACTTGTTTGATTTGATGCTGATGACGCGCCATACTTGGCCAGAACACGATAATGTCGTTCTGGCGTACTTAGTAATCTCGTCTTCTTTCGTAGTGGAAGGCTAGCACGAATAATTGTTTTAGTAACAGCAATTACGGCCCTCCTGTCAGTGTTAAAAAGTATCAATCAAAAACAAACAAGAAGTATATACCTGATTGATGAGCTCTGGACAACGGGTGCTGCTTCGGCTGTGAGAAGCAGTAATAGTTCGAATACACATCCAACAAACAGAGCTGTAGTTGCCAACAGTTTTGTCATTTCCTTTTCGTCTACGGCGTCTTTGTCGTCTAACAGTAAGAGAGAGCTGTAAACAAGGGTTACTTTATGCCTCTTTTAGCTTATATTAAACTGAGGTTTCGCATCATTTGGGTAATGCTTTTCATCCCCTGCTTTAAAAAGTACAGTGATGCGCGAAACAAAATAATTCACCGTGCTGCTTAGAGAATCGCACAAAAAAAGCACAACCCCCTCCACCTTTCTCAAACCCTCTCACCTCTTGCCTTTTTCTGACCCGGATCCACAAATGCGGGTGCAACTGAGCCGTGTGGCTATATTATTATGAAATCATCCAAGTAGGGAATGTCGCCCAACTTTGTTGTAAATAGCGTTGCTGGTCTATAACGCCCTCGCCAAACTTCACTGTCTATTTTCAACTAAAATTCATGGGCCATGGCAAAGTAGCCATCGTTGGAGCAGGGTCTCTAGGTAGCACCGTCGCCTATAGTCTCATCCTGCGCCGTGCCGTTGCCGAGATTTTGCTGGTGGATATCAGTACAGACATTTTACAGGGTCAAGTCCTGGATCTTTCCCAAGCCGCACTAGGCACAAGAACGATCGTTCGTACTGGTACTTTCAAAGAAGCTGGTCAAGCCGATGTCATTTTGCTGACAGCCGATGTTGTAAAGCGTCATGACGAATCTCCATTACAGGTATATATAAATTTGCACTTGTGTTGCTATAGGAACCTTGCAATGTCATTGTTCCCAATGGGAAACAGAGAAGCTCAAAGCGTTGCCATTCTCTTTTAACGAAAACAAAAACTTCAAGTATACAATGCGAAGCCGACAGTTACTCAACAGCATTACGCGCGCATTACAACCGATCCAACCACGCGCAATTATGATTATCGGCATTGATCCAGTGGATATATTGACCCGACATTTGCAGACAACGCTCGACTTGCCTGTGCAACGTGTGTTTGGAGCTGGTTGCAGTGCCATGAACACCGCCAGAGCCAGACATTGGGTTTCACAAATGAGCCAGACTGGGAACGATTGCAAGGTGAATCTGTATGTCATGGGAACGCGTCAGATACCAGTCATTGCATGGCAAGCAGCCTCAGTTGATGGGCAGTCTGCCAATACGATACCTGACTTAGCTGTGCATCGACAACTGTTGGAGCAGATTCTGATTACAGATAGGATCAACGAAATCAAAGAGTATAAAGGTGGAGCATGGTACGGTCATTCGGCTTTCCTGACACGGCTTACAGAATCAGCCTTGTCTAAAGAAGCATCAATCCATGTTCTCAGTGTCTATGTCGAGCGATTTGATGCATGTGTTTCAGTACCCGTAGTATTAACGCGCGAAGGAGTTGAGCAAGAAGTACCCGTGCCCTTGTCTCCGGAAGAACACCAGCTCATGGAGGTTGCTGTGAGCCAAAGCTTACGAGAGTATGAAGAAACATCCACTTCATGATTATCCTATTATCTTCTCTATACATAACATACATTCCTCCATTTTTACCCTTATTCATAACACTTCTGTTTATAACATCAATGTTTCCATTAACGACATCATTGGCTAAATTTTATTCTTGAGCAATTTGGGCTCGGGTGACCACATGTGATCTTCTATATAAGAAAGCAATTGACCCTTTGCAAATGCATCCTTGACTTCATTCGTTGCCGAGCCTTCTTCAATTGATTCACAGCACACAGCCTCTGCTATGATAGCAGAGACTTGACGGATTCTATCGAGGGATGGATACAGCCAGCCTTGTTTTCGTTCCTGAACTGTTAATGAAGCTGCCAAAGCCTTGGCAGCCTTGTATATCATTATATCGGAAATCGCTTTGGGCTGCGCCAGCACGGCACCCAAACCGAGACCAGGGAAAATGTACATGTTATTGCCTTGGGCTGGGTAGCATGTGGTTTGAGTCTCTGGGATAGCGTATGCGGGAAAGGCTGTGCCAGAAGCAAAGATGACTCTGTTATCTGTCGCAAGCATGGCCTCGGCAAACGTGCATTCTGCTTTGGTAGATGGATTTGAGAGTGGGAACACAATGGGTCTTGCATTTAGTTCGGCCATTCGGTTTAAAATTTGGGTGTTAAAGGCGCCAGGTGTGGATGAGAGACCAATCAATCTGAATCGATCATCAAGAGCTTTGTTAACCACACAACCTTTATAATGGTATTGGGTCATGCTTTTACTGACAGCGGTATGATGAGGAGAACTTACACAGTGGGACGGATGTAGTTGACAATATCCAAAAGACTCTTGTACTGTTGACCACCGTTATCATTGCGCGCGTAATAGACCTTGTGCTGAGGAAGTTTATCACCACGATCCAAAGTAACCAGACCCTAGTAGAAATGCCAAAATTAAACATATAAAAGTTTCCCGTATTGTGAGTTTTCCATCCCTCCATCTCTTGCTACTAGTCCTCCAGTGTATACCTTGCTATCGACGATCCAGAAATGACGACGAGCCTGCTCTTCAGTCATACCACAGTCGATCTGGAAATAGCTTTGAATTTGACGAGCCACACCAATGGCAGCCGATCCAGCACCATAAAAGATAATACGATGAATATCAGGCGACACGCCAGATTCGGTATGAGCGAGTGTGATAGCATTAATGATACCTGACAGAATCACTGCACCAGTACCCTTGAGTCATCGATAGATGTTAGCACCGTTATCTTAAATTAGTAGCACGGAAAAAGCTCTTTTAATCCGAAGACAAAAGCAATAGCCAGCACGGGACATTTTTCCGTTTATTTTTTTTACCTGGATATCATCATTGAAGCACAACAACTGATTCTGATATTTTTCCAGCAACCCGAAAGCATGTTCCGAACTCCAGTCCTCAAATTGGATAAGAAGACTGGGATATACTGTTTTTAGTGCCTTGAGCACGCGGCCAACGGTTTCGTAAAACTAAGCGATTGTTTGATATGAAAGAAAAAAAGAGAGGGTATAATAACGAGCTTTTTTAGTTGTGTTATGAGCGGTAAAATATTACAAAAATGCGGGAAGAAATTTACCTCGTTATCCTCGGGTCGCGGCTTTCTTTGTCCAATGTAGAACGGATCGGTCCGGAGACGTTCATTGTTGGTGCCCAAGTCCAACAATATAGGTAAAGTACGGCGAGGGTCTATACCGGCACCGGCAACATACAGCTGTAACTTGCCAATGGGGATGCCCATGCCATTACATGACAAATCGCCAATGCCGAGAATGCGTGAGCCGTCAGAAATGACGGCAATCTCTGGGGAACCGGCGGAGGAGGAGTTGTAGTTGCGAATGGTGTCACACAAAGTCTCATAATCATCCATGCCCGACAGGAAGAGTCCGTCAGGGACTCCGGGAGGTGAAAGGAATGGGTAAATGTTAGAATACTCAAGGCAGGCAGTTCCTACCGTTGGTGTATAGATTATGGGTGCCATTTCCTATATCATAGTAAACATTTCAAAGCAGCAGTGCCTTTTATTAGTGATTGTCCTATCAACAATGCCACAAGCTTAATGTTCTATGCATTGTTGTTATTAGATAATGGTGGGGGGGAGGTAGTAGCAGTAGATTGTAAGGTGAGTGTGAGTGTGGGGAGAAGGATACTCGCCCCGAATCGCTGTTCTATTCCCTTTACCTGCAATTCTTCAACGACGATCTTGTAAAAAAGGTGCATATGTGTCGCTCGCAGGCGGGCCATTAAAACATACTTGTCCAGTAAGGATGTCTGGGAACGAAGGTATTGCAAGACACGCTTCTTTTGCGTGTTCATATCACCAACGGCAGCTGGGAATCTTCCTGTCAAGGACAACATGGCAGCTCCTATGTATAATCGTATTTAGGATGCACTGAGGTGATCAACAACGTAAATGATAATAAAGTGGAATATTGTGATTACTAACCTTCCTTCTCAGTTCTATTTAATGATGTGGCCATAATTCTCAAAAAGAGAGAGCGAGAAAGAGAGTGTATTTTTGATAAACGAGCAATCAACTGTAATTATAGAAGTCAAGATGTCATGCTGCGGGGAAATCTTTCCTAATTCAGCTTACAATTCGGCATTCTGGATGAATCAGCAGTTGAGACAGCTGGCTATGCGAGTAATTTTCATTTGGCCATGCGAGTTCACGTGGCAGATCGATGACATTCAATAAGCATTCGGTCATTTTTTTCTTCTTTTTGCCACCACACAACTCAGGAGTACACTATTTGCTCTTGCTTCTTTTAACACAATAGATAGAATCAGTATTGTTATTTGCTTGATATTGATTTGATGGATGTTGGTTGTGCGTGGGTGGAATGGGATGATATATGCAAAAGTTATATGTATGTACAAGTAGAGAGATAAAAGAGAGATGAGGAAATAATGCTTATTTACTGCTATGATGGTATCTTGTTTCTACCTGATCTATGATTATAATCAGGAGCAACTACATCGACTATAAATTATACGTATGAAAAAAGAAGGTAATTATTATAAGAGTTGCATCTCATCGTCAGTACATAGGTTTGTCAGCATACATACCATACTGGACAGCTCGCATTCACTTGTAACCACTTCTCAATACAAGCACCATGAAATCCATGCATGCACGGTAAATCGACCAAATCAACACTGGATCCAAAGTTATCCAGACAGATAGAACATTCATTTTGAGTTGCGCCATCGCCAGTAGCCAATCGATGCCTTGGTAACGCTGCAATCGTATCCTCTGACGCTCCTACAACATCTCGTCTACCCGTTTCCCTATGCAATCACGCAAATATCAGAAATGAAAAGAAATCATTAATAGTTTTTTTATACAACTTGAAAATGGATCATCCGATTTACCAATTTGATGCGTCTCTGAATGTTGCTTCATGCTGTTCTCGTATTATTCTAATGATTGCAATTTAATTGATAAATCAAAAACAATCTAATTCCCCCTCTGTCCTCTCTCTTCTCACCTAAGCAAAGTTGAAAATTCATACGCCGGATCAAACGATGAATCAAATCCAGATCCTGTTCCGCGAATTAAATGGTACGTGTGGCGTCCATGTTTATGTGAGACGGAAGTAGGCTTCATTATTTGGTTTTGCTCTATCCCTCTCCTCTAAACATGAATATCTAAATGAAAACATACCGTGATAGTCTTCGGATGCACCTTCATAGTCATTTATCTCGGTGATCGATTGAGCATCCTCGTATTCGGCCAAGTCATTGACAGCAGAGCGACTAAAACCATCAACGTATTCTTCATCATCGCCATCGTCAATGAGCAATTCGCGCATTAACTCTTCGGCTCTCACCATATCAATTCGCTCTTCATCCTCTTCTTCCTCGTTGTCGCTATCGTCGTCTGATAAATCGTACGGGGGAACAAAAGACCTGCCTTCAACTCTTTCATCTATTGTATATGCTCGTTCATATGAAAAAAGGGAATATTCTTCATCATCATCGTCGTCGTCGCCATTGTCATCATCGTCCAGGTATTCGGCATAGCTATCCTCATTGACGTCTCGTATAGATAGAAATTCACCCTCGTCTAAGCTGCCTTCTTCTTCATAACTGCCGACATCTTGATAAGTAACGTCATCGTCGTCATCGTCAGTGTAATGTTGACTGGCATTGCTGCTGTGGGCTGGCCACGGTGATTGTGTTTCTTCATAGTCGCTATCATTATCGCTATCATCCTCTTCACCGTCATCATATGTTGCTCGCTCGATATATTCTCGGTACTCGCTCTCTTCCTCTACCTCTTCCTCCTCTTCGTCGTGATCCTCTTCTGGCGCATACCCAGCAAAAGCATAATGAAAATTCTCGTCACTCGAAGCGACGTGTAGATCGTCGACGTCGTCAAAATTGCTATCTTGACGAGGATAAGCACCAGGAATAGGCGAATCGTCCAGTCCATTTCGAAAAACATAATTCCACAACGACGCAAGTGCTTCATCCTCATCGCTCCAAGTTCGATCAGTATGTGTTGGCTCAATCTATTTAAACAAGTTGCCACACCAATCAGAAAAGCCAGTAATCATTTTAGAAAGAACTACACCACAGCTCGGACTTCACTACTTTGTCGTTGTAAGGTTACCTCTTCGACAAAGTCGGAGAAGCATTGTTGACATGCCAAGTAAGAGGACGCGATAACGTCTGTTTGCTCTTGACAAGAGTGACAAAAGTAACTCATTTGAGACGAGGGGAAGAAAAAGTATACTATCAAGATCAAGAAGGTACACTTTGAGAGAGGGATAAAAGGGGGTTGGTTTGGCGAGAGTCGAAGAGAGCCAAAGTAATGAGACCCAGTGAAGAAAAAGAAGAAAGTAAAGAGAGAAGAGAGTGCGTGAGCATGTGTGTGTGGTGTTAACGTGTGCAACCAGATATGTACTATTCAAGAGTTAAACGCCCACTATGATGTCGGTACGCCTGTTTAACCTTGTTTCCGTTACTGCCTGTTATGGACTCTACAAGAAGCTTTTTGCACAATGCAACAGCCTAGAGCAAGCAGTATAAAGATGAAACGATCTTTTACTTTAATGTCTCCGTCTATGTAGCAACGAGAAAGTACTCTTGTTCAAATACACTTATCACAGATTACAAACATCGCACTCTTTCATATCTCTTTTATTCATGCCAAGCATTTCTTGTTGGCTCGCTGTACTGTATGTATGTCTTACTATGTCGTGCTGTTTGTGGTGGCAAGTGATATATCACATCCGTAGCCCAATGCAAGTCTTTTGCAAAGATTCTGTCGCCTAAGGATGGACACCATGCTTATATATAGCATACACCTGATTATTCAGGCCAACAAGAAAGGATTTCCCGGGACGATCGGAGCAAATTGATCCGGGGGATCTGCTCATCCTCTTCCCCACTTTGTCTCAGCAGCGAGGAAGCAGTATATGGCAGTACTCTCTCATTCCCGAGTAATCTTTACGTTAGTTTATTTTGTGAATAATCAATGTACTCATCATTTAAACAAGGCTTGAAAGCAATACAGTCATCGAATATGGAAAAATGCTGATCTCGATACTGTGGTGTGGAGGGTAGGTAACAATCAAGTGCCATTTATGGAAATTCGTTTCTTAATTTTTATATGTTAAGCATTAGCTAATGACAATACTCACGATGACAGCTAGATGAGAATATGTGGATACCTAGCAGCGCACTTACTGAAAAACAATGGTTATTACAGTATGCGCAACAACATAGCAAAAAGCATAGAAGATAGGACGCACCTACACGATCATTACAATGCGGTCCATTAGTGGGATTCTGGCTGATAGGAGAGAATCTGTAACCAAAATACTGTTACCGACCGATGACAGCCAAAAAGCGCACCACTGGTCACTTGGACTGTAGATAATAGAAGATGACTGAGGAGCAAAAACAAACAGTCAATGCCTTGTGTTACCCCAAGTCTATCCCGCTGCTGCATTACCTGCTTTTCTGTGCTGGCGGGGGTTGGCGGGGCGGGGGAGGGAGAGGAAGATACAAGAAGCATGAACATCCCACTCTGCTATCTTCTGAGGTCAAGATAAGTGGTGATGGCACACCTTACGAGATGTGCTTAGAACAATGTAATCTATTCGACCCGCATATATCGGACTCCCTCCTTTTTAGGCTGCTTCCAACAAACAAGGCTCTTTCTTCTCTTTCTGTTTGTTGGGGGTTGACCCATCAGTTCTCTCCAAGGCGTGCCATTTTTTCAAGTTCCGTTGGGCTTTTTCCAATTTGCAGGACCCCTTTCCACAACGAAAGCCTTCTTTTTCCATATCTATTCTCCACCACCCAACCTCTCTCCTATAACAAACCGGTGCATGGTGGCGAGCTAATCTGTACAAAAAAGCAATGAACAATAATTCCGCTTCTGGTTCCTCGATTTCGTCATTTGAAACAGAGAAACCTGATGAGGTTTGTTTTCGAAATTCTCTTATTTCCTGTTACATGTAGTCTGTTATGCTTATGAATTCTTATTTGCATCGTGTCTTTGAAAACTAGTCCGTCACAACCACACCAACGACAACAGCAACAACCTTTCACCAGCAGCCCATGACCTTCAAACAGTTGAATGATCAAGACCATGGAACCAAACGGTCCTATGCCACTGACGATACGGTGAACAAAGCAAAATGGCCGTCATTTGAGGTAAGGTTTGCTTCTTTAGCTCAAGTGTGATTATGGCGAGCACTTGAGCAGGCACTCGTGTATATCGAGTGTTTGGGTTTTTTTTTTTTAATGGCGGCAAGGAGTGTTAAATCTCTTCCCACTCCGGCCATGGAAGTGAATATTATTTTAACCAGACCTTTTTTACTATTCAACACTAGACTTTCATATCATGCATTCACAGTCTATTTTATCGCAAACGACCGGTCGAAGATGGTTATGACGATGAATCCGAGTTGAGACCATCCAAACGATTTCGGGCCAACAGTAGAAACAGCAACAACAACAACAACAGCAATTATGGTGACAGCAATAACAACAACGGCAACAGCAACGTTGTTCTTCCAAGACACACCAGCTTGCACGATATCAGTCGTATGCCAGACATGGTCGCAGCATTTGACGAGTTGGAGCCTAGCAAGAAGAGCACGATTCTTATGGAACTGCTGAACCGATCATCTACAGATACCCTTCAACTCATCAGCTCACTGATTATTCCTACTCTCCGACGCGACTTTCTATCCTCGCTACCGAAAGAAGTTTCGTTATGCGTACTATCCAATCTAGACGTACACACCTTATGCAGAGCCTCGACAGTATGCCGGTCCTGGCGTGACCTGATCAACGGCGATGCGCTGTTGTGGAAACGCCGGATGATCCAGGACGGATTCCCTCATGACGATCCATGGGCCTCTCGGTACCGTGGCAGTGGAACGGCGGCGGCCTCCGTGATGCCAAAGAATAAGAATAAGGAGACTTATTACACGATCACGAATCCTTTCAAAGAGCGCTACAGACGCCTTTATACCTTGCGGCAAAACTGGCGCAAGGGGCGTGCGCGCGCTGCTCGATTGATCAGCCATCCCCATAATGTGGTCACGTGTCTTTCCGTGGATCATGACAAGATTGTGTCTGGAGCGGATGATTCGGTGATCAACATTTATGACGCAGTGACATTGACGCGACGACGTTGCTTGCGTGGTCATGAGGGTGGTGTCTGGGCATTGCAGCATGTTGGCAATACGCTTGTGAGCGGATCTACGGATCGGACGGTGCGGGTTTGGAGTTTGTTGACGGGCAAGTGCACGCACATCTTTCACGGCCATACATCGACGGTTCGTTGCTTACAAATCGTCATGCCAAACGAAAACAACGAGCCTCAGCATCCGTTAATTATTGCTGGATCGCGCGACTCTACGCTGCGTGTATGGCGATTGCCAGATCCAGAAAACGATCCTCCATATGATGGCAACGGTGCCAATCCTTATCATCTGTACACACTGAATGGTCACACCAATTCTGTTCGAGCCATCGCAGCGCATGGCAATATTCTCGTGAGTGGCAGCTACGACCGAAAAGTATGTGTTTGGGATCTGGCAAAAGGCACCCTGGTCCACCGTATGGAGGGCCATGGCGAAAAGGTGTATTCGGTGGTGATTGACCATGAACGGGGCCAGTGCATGAGCGGCAGCATGGATGCATACGTCAAGATCTGGTCGTTGGAAACAGGCCAATGTTTGCGCACCCTGGATGGTCATTCGATTCTCGTCGGTCTGCTAGGTCTCTCGGATGAACACCTCGTTTCTGCAGCAGCGGATACCACACTCAGAGTCTGGTCACCCGGCGGAGACTGTATGCATGCACTGCTGGGCCATCAAGGTGCAATTACGTGTTTTCAACACGATAATGAAAAGATAATATCCGGTTCTGAAGGGGGACTCAAGCTGTGGGATGTCAAGACTGGCAAGCATTTGCAGGACTTTGTCACATATGCGACAGGTGTTTGGCGAGTTGCCTTTGATCAGCGACAATGTGTAGCTGCCATCCACAGGTACAAACTGCTTTTCTTTACTGGCTGTTTTAAAAGGGATGTGTGCTAAAATGTTTTTATCTGTTGTTTCTAGTAACAATATCACTTATCTAGAAGTACTTGATTTCGGTACGTATGGCTTAGAAGAAGCTGCACACCACGAATCAGTTCCTCGTCCTGTACATGCTACCCGACACTGACGATGATTGTTGATGATACTGCTATACTACTGCGCTTACATACTAATTCCCTCGATATACCCGCACTCGCACACACATACACATACACAGACAAAAATTCATCTCCCAACCCGCATTACCTTCGCACATATAAGTACAAGACACATACATTTACACATATGAAGCATTCCCTCTTATTATCTCTCCTTCCCTGCTTTCTTTATCTGCTGCAATAACAAAAACCATACGCGTGCTCCGCTATATTAGACAAACTATGTGTGATTGTATTCTTACCTGTCAGAGTCAATTTAATTACTATAAAAGTGATCAGTGTAACAAGGCCCTTGATGAGCTGTGTCAGCGGAGACGTGGGGAGGAAGGGGTTGGTGGCAATAATGATGATGGTACATATGAGCGAGCCAAAGATTTGGATCAGCACTCATTAAGCAACGTGCTTATTACCATCATTATCATACGTGATTGTCGTTGCAGAAGACCTCTCTGCAGTGTGACGACTGCACATAATTATGTAAAGACTTGTATTGCTGTGTGCGTGGTAGAATAACGGACAGCACTTCAAATTTTTGTTTTCACACAGCACCACATTCAAGGTGTTGCTTTGAAAACAACCTGTGTAACTCTACAAACGAGGGCCTAACTCCGACTGATGAGAGCTCGCTGGGTTACTTTTTTTGATTGCAACGCAAAAAAAAAAGTGTAAGAAAGGGGGAGGGAGGAGTAGAAGGAGGAGGGGAGCTAGCACGCACACTTCAAACTCTTCTTTTTCTTTTAAATTCATCTCTCCCCACTTGTACTTTCTTCATCTCGTCATTAAATCATCATGCCATTGCGAAAGAAACGCAACTTTAAGAACTTGACACTCGAGAACTCACCTGTGGTTGTGAGCAATACAGGGGCACCAGCACCAATAGCCAAAGTGCCTGACAAACGACGGTCATCAGCACGACGACTCGAGGAGGAATATAGTAAGCTATGTGAGCAGCTGAGCGATTTGGAGATTGGACTCGAGTTGCGGCTGGATCTGCGTCCCGAGGATTTCAAGACTATCGATGAACTGGGCCGAGGCAATGGTGGAACTGTATGTAAAGTGCTACACGTACGAACCAACACGGTTATGGCGAGGAAGGTAATGTATCTCTTTTTTAAAGATATGCTATCATCATCAATTATCAGCACTTGCTGTATACCAGCCACTAGTTGTTCTCTTTCACTGGTTCTCCCGCCTCTCCCTCTCACTCTTAGGGTTAATGAAAATGATGATGGTTTATTAATGTGCACGTTCTTTTGGGCTATGTAATGTGTCTAATATCAACTATAATCAGGTGATTCACGTGGAAGCCAACGTCAATGTTCGAAAACAAATCATGCGGGAGCTTCAGTTTATGCATGATTGCAACTCTCGACATATTGTGAGCTTTTACGGCGCATTCATGAACGGTGGTGACATTTCAATCTGCATGGAATATATGGACATTGGGTACGTGTCTCTTTCTTTCTTTCTTTCTCGAAGAATGATGTCTATGCGGGCGTTCAGTATTTGTCCAAGATTGACACTACTTTATATACTAATCGATGATGTTCTGTCAGCTCACTCGACCGAATCTACAAAAAGCATGGGCCGATTCCCCTGGATGTATTAAAGAAAATTGCTTATGCGGTAATTAATCCAAATCACCCCTCCCAAAATTACAAAGGGAATAAATAACGTGGGATCATAATTGGCTGATTGGCAGGGCTTTTTTATTAGATTGTAGACGGTTTGATTTATTTGTATGACGAGCACCGTATTATTCATCGCGGTAAGAAGTCGGGACAGGATGATGATGATGATGATGACGGAAGGATGGTTTTTGCTCATCTATATACTACTGGAATTTCTAGATTTGAAACCATCCAATGTACTGGTCAACTCGTTAGGACAGATCAAATTATGTGATTTTGGCGTATCCGGACAACTCATCAATTCAGTTGCAGATACGTTTGTCGGCACGAGCTCTTACATGAGTGTAAGTTTTATACATCTGAAAGCCTTATATTCCGTTTTCGTTGTTGAAGTTGTGAAACTAGTCTATAAGGAGAGGATAAGGGGGTAGATTATTAAAATTATTCCCGGTTTTATTTTCTGTAATATTATAGCCGGAACGTATTATGGGATCGCCGTACTCTGTCAAATCCGATGTATGGTCACTCGGCATCACCTTGATGGAACTGGCACTGGCCCGGTTCCCGTTCCCGCCAGATGGAAACCCACTGTCCATCTTTGAGTTGCTCCAACATATCGTCAATGAGCCTGTCCCGTCGTTCCCTCCCAACAGGTTCCCTGATGTCCTGGTTGATTTTGTGGATAAATGGTAAGATGCCTCTCTTATCCAGGGCAGAAACATGTGGGCTGGTGATAGTTTACTTACATGAGATGATGTTGATCATGTAGTTTGGTCAAGGACGTACAACAGCGGGCGACGCCCAGCGATTTAAGAGTACGTATAGCTTCTAGAAGCATGCCGATTGTGCTGTACTGTTTTCATTAATCCACTATGTCTGTTTAGAACCACGAGTATTTGGCAAATGCTGCTTCAGAAAAGGTGGATTTGGAAAAGTGGGCACGCAGCGCTGCAAGTGCACCTGATCGTATCGATATATCCAAGCTCCAGTCAACATCCAGTACCAATAGCCAGTCGTCTTAGAAAGACCTCCCGGATACATATCTCTCTCTACACTACCCCTCTCGACACACACACACATATCTCTTTCTCACACACACACACACTCTCTCTTTCTCTCTGTGTGTATATCTCTAAGACCCACACACGCATGCACCACCCGCACTCGTAAAGCGACCATCTTCTCATATAAATAAATATATATATATATCTTTCTCCTTCTTATATAAAAATATACATAGCAACAACGCCACCCTTCAATTTCCACATTTGTTCCCGCTTTCCATTGTTGTTGCTGCTGTTGCTTTTCTCAGTTCCACAGAAAAACTAGGATTTGGAAAAGAAATGCCGCGTCGATTGTGGAGACATCAAGATTCACGATGGATCCGTCGACTATTGCCTGCATGTGATAATGATGTGTCGCTAGCCAGACGGCAACTAACATGGCTTAAGGAGAAAACACGAAATCCAACATTGCTAGATCGTCATGTCTACGATCGTGTGGTCCGACACAAGCCGCTTCAATATATCCTGGGAACACAACCGTTTGGTGATTTAGAAATTGTGACACGACCCCCGGTATTGATTCCTCGGTACAGAAACTAAAAAAAAAAAGAGTTGCATCCTACTTGGCTTTACCTCTTCTCTATTCCATTCCATTAAGTGTAATTTTTTTGTAAAACTAGATGGGAAACAGAAGAATGGGTCCATCGATTGATTGATATCCTTCTACCGCATGTAAAAGCCAAGAGCCAAGGGGCACAAGAACGACCATTCCGTGTGCTAGACATTTGCACCGGCTCTGGATGTATAGCGCTGGCGCTGGCGGCTCATTTACCTCCTCATCGTACGCAGATCATAGCAACCGACATATCCGACGATGCCATAGCACTAGCCCAACACAACTACCATGACAACAAGTCATTGATACAAAACCATGTCGACTTTCAACAAGTCGACGTGTTTTCAGATGCAATGCAACGGATGGATCCGTTCGATCTGATCGTATCCAATCCGCCCTATATCACGTTTGACGATTACAAGGACTTGGATCCGGATGTCAAGCAGTGGGAAGACGTACGCGCTTTGGTAGCTGACGAAGACGGTATGGCTGTTCATCGACGAATCGTGGAGTTGGCAAGCAATGGATTATTACTGCGATCATCAAAGCTCCAACGACAAGGAAAAGGAGAGTCGTCTATAACTACAACCACCAGGATACCCATTCCAAGGCTAGCGATGGAGTTCGGAGGAACTCATCAAGCTGTGTCGTTAAAGCGGATGATGAAACCGATGCTCAACGACGTTCAAGTGTGGAAGGATTTGGCTGGGAAAGACAGAGTGGTTGTAGGCGCATAAGAAGAGATGGGATCCTTGCTTTTGCTTTGCGGAACAAACAGGGGAAAAAAAGACACGGGGCGCTTGTGTTGCCCTGTACCTAGGTATATGTTTCTGGTATTAGTAATGGGCTATGGCTCAAAAACTGTCTATCACTTGTATGTCCCTTAGCGACATGTTGCCCATTTCAATGCAACACCAAAGTCAACACAGTGCAAAGAAGAAAGAAAAAGTCGATGGGGTAAATGACTGAATTACGTGGCGTGGTTTTTTTTATCTTTCTCTAATGAAAGAAAGAAAGACTGAAGTGGCATATTTAAAGTTTTGCATGACGTGTGAAGAATGGTATTTTATATGTTACCGGAAAAACTGTTTTACGGTTACTCATTTCTTTTTTTTCACGTGTTGCTCAAGTAAGACAAAGTCTCCCTCTCTCTTTTCTTTCCTTTTTTTTTGCGCCTTGTTGTGTGGAGCTGCGAGCTTCTTTTTTTATTATTCTCGGCGACACACGAAACCACAAAAGTAGTAAAGTTATACCCACCCCACACACACACTACCCCACACGCAAGGAGAGAGCATTACACATTTTAAACACAACAAATGCCATCTGCGACCAAATTCCATCGATTCAAACGTAAAAACTTCCAGGGCCTTGTTTATTGCGACTATTGCGAAAAACTACTCTGGGGTCTAGCGCGCCAAGGTGTTCACTGCATTGGTAAGCAGAGTTGTCTCCATTTTCTCACTCACCGAAAAATTATACGATAAATATTAGTATCAATAAAAAAAATAGAAATGAAATAATTGTATTGTTGTTTTACCAGAATGCGGATATAATTGTCACGAAGAATGCAGTAAAATGGTTGTTCAGTGTCGACCGCCTCGTCGAATCAGTCCGGACTCACTTTCAGTAACGGATTCCGAAGCGGAATCGTTATCAAAATACACTTCCCCACGGGGTTCTATGCACCAGGACGACATTTTTTTACAACATGCCAGCAGCAATCATAGCCATAGCAACCACCATAACAACAAAAAGCGAACACCGCCTGCTGTAGACACAACAACTGAAGCTTTACGTTCACCCACCTTTTCAACCGCTACTTCCAACACTACTACCACCCTTAACAACAACAACAACAACGACCACGCACATCGACCTTCTCCTACCCTCAGCAGTTCCGTCAAAGCCTACCGAAAATCCCTCAAGCAACACGTCCAAAACACCATCGTCCAGGCCGTTCCAGTGACATCGAAAATCGTCAGCAATAACCAATACGGTGTGCTGAGTCCCCAGACCACTGCAAAAGCATTTGCTCGAGTTGTTGCTCGATCCAGAGCACTGTTCAACTTTACCGAGTGGATTTATGATATTTATGCCTGGAAGCATACCCTTTCTTCAGCCAGCTGCGTCATGCTATGGATTGCATTATGTAAAGTTGCATTTATTCCTATGATCATTCCTATTATCATTTTTTTCTAAAAAGTATGTAATAACATGCAAGAGAAATTGAAAACTGATCCATCTTTAAATGACTTATTTAATTAGGTTTATACCCTTCGTTACTCCTTGTTGTTCCACCTGCGTTGGTATTAGGACTGTATATCCGCGTAGGCGTCAAGTCTACCACCACCGCCTCGCAAGCACTGACGCCTCGCTACGATGAGAACTCGCCCGAATACTATGCCAACTTGGAACGCACACAACAGAGCATGCTGTTCCTGATCCGCATCTATGACAACATTGCCTACCATCTCGGTCACATTTGGCTGTCGCCCGGATCGTATCGTCTACTTGCTGCGGGCGCCATGGCAACATCAGTGGTGTTCTGGGTACTCGGTCGCTGGGTTATCATGCTGATCGGTCTGGTGATCTTGGTCAACAAGACTTGGGTTGGCTCGACCGCCGAAGTCTGTATGCAGTTTCTGCTCGAATTAATGCAGACCGCTATGGACGTTCTACACAAACTGGTGTTTGCTACGTTTGCCACTCGAAAGACGTCGTCGTTGTCCTCTTTGTCATCTAAGCCTGTGGAGGTTTCAGTGTATGAAAATCAACGATGGTGGGCTGGCAGTGGCTATACTTCTCAGGTAAGAAAAAAGAAAGAGATTTTATCTGCGTCTTGGGGGGGTATATTTCGTGAGTCCTGTGTGTTTATGTGAGTGTGAGAAAAATGGCTGTGTGTGTATGTTGCTGTTGCACGCCATGTCTTGCCATGCGTGTATGCCTGTTGGAAAATAAGGAGGGACAGAGAGACAATGCGGAAAGGGCTAAAACAAGCCTCTGTTTATTATTCTTTCTTGTTTAGCTGCTGCGCTCGGAACGCGCTGGGTGGTCCAACTTGACTGGTTCAGAGCCCTTGCCAGGCAAGGACGAGATGCCTGCGCCAGCAAGCTATGAGTGGGGCGAAACTGGCTGGGAATTGGACATCACAGGGCCATGGACGGATGAACAGCTTGGAATAGGTAAGCTTTAATTTACCCGAATAAGAATTTGCCTTTTATTGACATGTAACATCTTCTGTTTCTTCTGTATTGCCTTGATGCCAATTATTGTTAATTGCCACTATAGTGGTAAGTGCACATACATACATCGGTTAATAACTTTAAAGAAAGTATGCATATGATTGACTTGAAATTATGTCCTTTGAACAGTCGATCATTGAATGCGACGAAAAGGGTTGGGTCTATACTGATCATCGATGGCACAACCCTCGTGGTCGACCAGATCGTATGTCCAGCACAGACGGCAGCAATACCAACAGCAACGGACCAGAGAATACGCGACCGCTAACAAGACGAAGACGGTGGTATCGTAAAGCTTATCCCGTTCTTTCAAAATCTAAAAAATTAGTATGAAGTACCACCTAAAAACACGCAAAAAAGAATTTAAAAATAACAACGATTAGCTATTTGTTTCCTATTCGTCTGGTTTTAATATACAAGTACGAGTTTGGTTGTGGTTATTTTTTGCTTTGTTTTATTTTTGTTTTATACAACATAAAGGAAAAACGATGGGTTGAGCTCAGATCAACCTGTTTTTTTCGTGTTTGGAGTTAACTATCGTATCCGCTTCGCAGACCTTCGTAAGCATCTATCATTGTCGTCATGTTTATTTTTCTGTGGTTCTGCCTTCTTTCTTGTCGTTGACCTTCCGTCTGATCCTAGGTCAATCAGTGCCGAAGTAGTAGTGGTTGAAGAAGATGTAGCAGGAGTAGTAGGACATGATGATGCTGTTGCTGGCACAACTTTAGGAGCGGGCGTGGTTGGCTTTGTTGAAGAATTGGTGGTTGCAGAAGACTGGTGTGAGTAATGATCACCATCATCTTGTTGTTGCGATGTATCCACAGCGCAATCAACACTGTTGTGATCATCAAGACTCCTGCATCAACTGCAACACGTGTAGCTAAGCTGGACATTGCATTTTGGGCTTGGATAACATGGCTCGTTCATGTAAGAACGCGTGTTACCTTTCAAATCCGCGACACGCTCATCATAATCAAGGAGCACGACAGTACCGCTACCGCGATAAATGTCTGCCTGAACTGTCTACAGCCAGATATGCAAGATGTCGGGTTCAGAGAGCTTTGTCGCCTGAGCATCTGGTTAGAATCGTGGTCACCCAGTGTCGGTAAATCGCCCGACGCTCGTTTCTGGGATAAGCGCCATTTGTGATATGGAGATCACAATGAATTTGACAGGTGCCGTGCTTGTTGTTAGAGGCTTGTATGACATGCCTTGGTATTGAATATCGCCTCGTATTGCCTTGGTTCGCAGATCCTCGGTGGCGAAAAGTACCTCAATGACCATGCTGCCTTTGCTTTTGTTGTCGCTCCTGTTGTTGTTTTCGCCATTGACAACAGCGTCACCAGTAGCTTCTTCTTGTTGAAGCACTGATCCCTGTTGAAGCTGTGTTTGAAGTTGTGCCGATGCGGCTCAAAATGTTCTTGATCTACATGAAGGCCCCTTCTTCAGTTGTAATAGCGTCTTTAAAATTGCACAACAAGGTACGATCGTAAGGGACGATGCGCCACGAGTTGAGTGCAACTCTAGGCTGAAGACCAGGCAGTTTGTCATTAGTGGATTGAAGAGTAAACTTTGGGATGCTGTTGCTGTTGTACGTTGGTGACGCTGTGCTCTCTCAACTGTCAGAAAAGCTGAAAGGCCAGGACGTGTACTTTTCAATTGTGCATCGTTCCTCTCTCCGATCACACAGAGAGCACGGTTACACTAAAAGCACATAAAACAGATGTCCACGATGCTTCTTTGTGTGTTTGTATGCATTCAGGTTAGTTGCATATCAACTTTAGCACGAGGTGTCAACTTTTCTGTAACCCGTATGTACCTACCGCTTGTAAACCCATTGTTGCTGAGCGAAGACAGCAAATTTAAAAAAAAAATTATCATTATGATAAGCGATTTACCTACTGAATGAGTGTGCTGATACACGGTGTGTGCTAAAAGGGTAAGTTTTAATAGTTTGTTGTTAAAGATTGTCTCCTTACGTTTTATGATATGAGTAGACGTCCTGTGCAAAGTAAAGGTTGTGTGTTATACTTCACACACGGGATTTAAGAACATACATATAATAGATATACGGGCACCTCAAATGTAGCTTTGCAAGTTCAGCTAGACGCTTCTTGAAAAGCAAGTTTATGGATGTTTGACCGACTGTAGTGTACGATATTTCTAGAGCAAGCGGCAGTCTTTGTTATTGCAGCTTGTGAAGATGAGTGGCGGTGGTGACGCTGCATCGAAGGTTTAAACATACGGGCAATATTGGCAACGAAACCAAGCTTGCACCCAGCCTTATCCTCAATCACAGCGAATATGATAATAGGCAAGTATAAACTTGATAAACGAGTGCCAAAGCTCGACACAGAGCACACTCATTGAGGTCGCCAGCGAAGTGCCAGAAAACCACACAGATTAGATCCACGAATATCTATACAAAACTGTCTTGTGCACAGTTATTTTTGGACACAGCGAAGATACTTAGTAAAATGCTGCTTATCACCATACATAGACTATAGACAACCCGTTTACGACGCTGGAACTAGAGAGTTTATATCAAAAGTTTGTATCAAAATGAATTATATAATTTTCAGTTATATAGTCAATATAAAGTCTAGTATCATCATACCACCTATGATAAGACAAAGCAAAACACAAATGCTGATATGCATTTTTGCTTAAACGTTGATATTAGAACACTGACGCAGAAGCTTATACATACATCAAAAAAGAAACCAAAAAAAGCAAAATCACTATCTATCAACGGCTGAATGCGTTGACGGTGACAATAAGGACATTAAAAGAGTGTATACCGCCCTAAAGCCAGATTGATGGCGTTGAATTGACGCAGTACTTATGCAAGCCTAAACTACCGAAATTAAAACCGATTATCATTCTATGTTGTAAAACAGCAATGGCAGCATTATAATGAAACTGAGACGATGGTATGTAAGTTTGTTCCATTTCGACATAACTGAAAGATATCGAAACTGTGCAAAATCGTCAATTTTGGCTTTTGGTTTCTTTACTGCAAAGTTTTAGTACACACATCATACCATTACATGCGTGTACACTATCGTAGCTTCTTATATATAGTGTGTGGTTTATTATTATAGCGATGGTAACGCTCTCGCTCACATAGACTCACAATTATGTTGATTAATAAATTTGAAAGAGATCCATCGACTAACCTTCTACATGCAGAGACTGTGATACTGTTTTTTCTCTACTGCATACATATAAGGTTTGTATCAACGAGAAACAAATCGTTGATCATTGCCAAAATAAATGCTTTCAGCTACATAAACACTGCATAATGTCTGTTACAGCATCAATACTGTAAACAAAAGAGATGATGTGCTCTCTGTGTCTCAGCATTCTTCCGCGTGTTTCCGAACCCTCCTCTAGCCCCACCTCTTTGTTATACTCTCATTGCTTCGTCCATTACATCATCAACGACATTTGCATAGAATTCTAAAGTTGAGTTTTGTGGGTCACAAAATGGCTGCGTGGGTAGCACATGGAATCGGCCTCAGCCCCGCCATTCTATAATGGCAGAAAGCAAGGAACGAGTCTCATACCCTTCGAACATAACCAGCTATGTATCGTGCAATCGCAATATTAACATTTATCAGTCTGCTACAGCATGTCTTACTGGTTAAACCTTACTCATAATATCTTTATATTAAGAAAACTTCTTTTATCTTTGCGCTAGTGTCCTAGTAGCATGACTCTATACTGTACCCTCTCTGCTTGTTCCACGGTTCAAAAGAAGATGCAAACACGTCATGCAGGCGTGAGTTTGATCAGAAAATCAAGTCGGTTATTGTTACGCATGAGAAGAAACATGGGTGCTGCACTGTGTACATTATGTTTAGTCAACGATGTATACAACAGGTGACGGAAAACCATGTTTAACTGGTCTTTACACCGCATTAATGCCAGAGTTGAACAGAAAAACTCATGTGGCGAGTAGTCTTAAATACCATGTGAAGCTTCAAAAACTATTGCATAATACATAGTGGCAGCGGCAGGATAACACGTAAAGAGGATAAAATCAACGAAGCTGATTTTTTTATATTTCGTTAACGGGCGTTTGAGTTTGTGACAATCGCAATGTGACCAAATCTCTCTTCTATTGAGAAAGAGCGATATCTCGGACCATCGTAGTAGATATTTTGTGCTCCAAATTGGAGATGCTATCCCGAAGCAGTATATGCTTTCATTATGTAACTTTCTTTGTTGGAGAAGCAACCAAGGTTGCCCAGCAGACTGATCATGTCTGATTGGTATTACAATACTTTTTACGCATAACAGGTGAGCTACGGGACGCCGGTTTAGTATTCATTTTTTACCCACAACCATGGAAAATGAACAATGGTAACGCTCCGGCGATGCCGGCGATCAAGAAAAAGTTGTGAAACAAGAAACGCCAAGCAGTACACACATACGCAGATCTGTTTTTTCTTGTGCAAGACGAGACGGAAAAAAGAAACCCAAGAATAAATAGTTCCGCTTGCAAGCGGTCGATCACTTGAGTATGACAAAGAAAAAGAGTAGTGGTGGTGGTGATGATGATCATCTCTTTCATTGAAAGGTTGTGGTTTTTTATATATTTTTGAAGATATGTACACAAAGCACCATTGTTACGAGTACGGGCACTTATACTCCCCCATCTGCTACAACTTTAAAATTTTTCTACAAAGGCATGATAACAAAACACAGGAAGCTTTTTGGTTTTTCTCTAAAAGTCACTAGAGATTTCTTCATCATACAAGTCGTTGTAGATGGTCATGATGAGATCGCCTACTCGGGACTCCAGCTCGGATCGCAAATCCGCTCGAGCAGCTCTGAGCCAGGTTTCCAAGAACCGGGCGTCATTATCGAACTTGTTGCAGCCTTGCATCCAGAAAACACGGTGGAGGAATCGGTGGCCAGCATTGATGATATAGTCGGTCATGCTCACTTTGGTTGTCAGTAACTGGAGGCCGCTGTTGTTGTTCTCGTCTTCGACGGCATCGGCAATAGCTTCATCACAAGCAGCGAGATCGTGGCGAAGGCGATTTAGCAGGTCAAAGTCTTCAAAGACCTGTGTGAGGCGGTGTCCCACCGCAAGGTTAAGGGAGTACAGCGCCGAAGCGATTTGGTGTTGTGGTACAGGTGGCGGTGCATCGGTCGTCATCAAGGTAGCCTCGAGAGCGTCGTAGTCGGGCCACACTGCTGGCAGTGCTTCGCCTACAACACCTCGGATGGCGCCAAACACGCGTGCATTTAATTGGTGGAGGTGGTTTCCAATGTATCCAGGCATCTTAACAAGACATCCATCTGTAATAACAAAGAAGTGCATGTTGTAAGTAAATAGAGTTCGGCAAAGGGGTAGGAAAAGGGTTGAAGCAGTAATAAATAAGGAGGTGAAGATGCAAGTGCACAAAACAAAAATCATATTATTTTTACCTTGCAATGGTGACCCGCGCAGCGTGGTTGCTTGGGATTGGAGCAATTTGGATTTCTTGGTACGTGGAGAATGTGTCAGCATGACCAAGAGGTCTTCTGTATGCGCGCTCAAGACATCGTCGACAACCGTTTCGTAGAAGCCTTCGATCGTGTCGCGGATCATGACGGCATTTGACAAGGGCCAATCGTCTTGTTGCTGTTGTTGCTGTTGCTGTTGGAACTTGAGCGGTGCGGCGATGACAACGTTGCAAAAGACATAGACGAGGCTAGCAAGGTACAAAATTGATGATAGCATTTTGGGATTGTTGTTGTTGAGAGTGGGTATTTTTAATGACTGTACAAGGGGGGTGTTCTTTGATATGAAAACAAAAATGAGCAACCGATTGACCAGCAAAAGGAAGGCGTATGTGTCTGTGAAGAGTACAAGAAAGAAAAATGACGGGGGAAAAAGATGAAAGGCGAGAGAACAAAAACCAGGGCAATGCTTTTATAACCAAAAGTAAGAAAAAAAGAACCTTCACACACAACGCACAGATCCGCGTGACACACAGTTACACTAATTGCCAGTTGCTTTTTTGGTAGATCACTCACCAACTCCACCACCCATTGTTAAATCTCTCTTTCTGCTCCTCTCCCCCAATATTTCGGGGTCGGAGCTTGCCTATCTGTTTTGCAGCTTTGCATATCGTACGTTTACCTAATGGGACCCGTCGATTGTTTGTTATGACCATGGAAACAAATTAGCATAGCAACAGATTGGCAGTAACCAACTGACATAGCAACAGGCAATCACGGATATTAGTATGACTGACGAAAAGGTGTTCTTGAGAACGAAAAGTGAGAGTGTAATGTTACCGCCGGATCCACACCATTGGTTTATACTCAAGCACAGCAACCCATTAGCTTAGTGTGAGGTAATACAATTCATAGACCCGGTAAACCTTGATACCGTTGCGTATTTTTCCTTCTCACACATGTTTTGTTTTGTTTGGCCACACGTCAAGCATGCTGCTTGTTACTGTGCATAAAGAGAATTATTTCGCTGCAGATCATCCGGTCAACCGAGCTCACAGCGAATCTTTTCCCACCTCTCTTGTTTCCTATGCATCCGGTCTGCGGTGTAGAAATGTAGAGTAACGACCTTTCTTCCGCCCCTAATTTTTTTTGCCGCATCACCAAGTTGAAGCCAGCACCCAAAGAAAAAGGTGTTCATAAAAGACAGATATAAATTTTTTAGAAATCTGCATGTGTTAAAAAGAAGGCTTACCATTTTGGGCTTTGCCACCGTAGTAGTAATGAAATATGCCCTGTTCGATAAGCTAAAGCGAAATGGCTTAGCTCATAGCTTGGCTTGTTGATAGCAAACAATGGAAAAAGGCATCTCGGTACTATAAAATCACAGAACCATAATAGACACCATGCAAGTTGTCTGATAGTGTAATTGGCAATTTGTCAATGGTTACCCATTTTGGAGGGTTCGTGCGTCGTTTTTTTTTTCTTTTTTGCGTTGTCGCCGATTGGAGAGCATCCCACTCCGCTTTCTTTCGTATCAGAGCGCCAAGTCACCAATCACACGGTTTATTTCAAGTATGAAGAAGTCAGGGCGGCCACTACAAGGAATATGGACATACACCCCTGCTTCTATTATACGATGCTCCATTGAAGGTTCCCAAAAAAGAAAAGACCATTATTATTAGCTACACATTCCTAACGCTTGAGCTGCTAAGAGCTGCATGAAACGTAGTTTGTTGGTTTATGGCCTCGTTTCGCTATCCGGGTATCCATACAAAGTTGGTGTGAAGACAAGACAAGATAGCGAATGCTTTCAACAACTCCATTCCTCAAAAAAACAAAAAGGTTCCAGACTTGTGCAAAATACCACAGAAAAGGCATTATACAGGCAATTGGGCTGAGCTGACAAAAAGAAATAAAAGTCTTACCAAAAGGTAATTTTATCCCAGAAGAAGCCCCAAGGTGAGAAAATCTCATGGGAGTGCTTTATAGATTCTATACAACGATCACATCGAGAATTCTTCACTGATTGCAAATATAGCATAGGCGTGTCTGCTGCCACTCATGTTACAACGTATCCGTACATGAGATGTTCTTTCTTACAGCCATGCCAGTTTCGAATATAGTCTGCAATAAATACGGCAGCACCATTATCGAAAACCGGGTGAATATGTTTGGTGTTTGATGTTGCTGTGGTTTTGGGGGGTGGGTCCAAATTTACTCAGTATACAACCGCCGATTGTACGAAAAGGTGACAATTTGGTTGTACAAGTTCTTTAAAGTCTGGATCTGTCCGAAACAATAAACCGCGCATCTTTCATTGAGTATTGAGGATGCACTCATTATATCAGCAAAGTAAAAGAACATCGCAAGGTTGCATGAACGAGCATGAAAATTTAGGACTATCCGTACGTTCTCAGTTCATTATCGGCTATTTATCATCATTGTATGTGGCAATTGAAGAACTAGATCCCACAGCAAAAGTCATCTTACTGTATGTAAATATGGACTATGACAAAAAAGAAAAGCGAGATTTCCGTCGGGGCAACAACGGTGCGTGCGTGTCCATGGCAAGAACCCGATTCAGATTTATGCAAAGCAAATACTAGTCCAATTCGATAAAAAAGAAGATAGCAATTCCAAAGATCGATACACGGAGTAATGAAAGTGACCCAAACCAAAGACAAGCATGTACAATGAAAAGTCCATTATAAATAATGGGATCGTGATAATGAATCTGTGCTGTCTCGGTATACCCAAATCCAATTACGGAATGATAATTATTAGGCAATATAATCGCCATTAACGGTAAATTCGTTCATAATCTCTGATGGTATGTACACGATAAGTATCGATTTGATTTGAAGCTGACTTCTATGTAACAGCCAGGCTTAAGGGTTGCTAAAAGAGTCATTTTTGTTAGTACTCGAAAAGGGAACCGCGGATGACTATGATGCTTTGTCATCTGACTCACCACGCTTATAGGCGGTGGAATAGTCGGGTCTTTGTGCCCATAACATCCGCGATTCTGTTTGGCTCTCCTTTCATAAGAGAACGTACTTCAAGGCCTCGTGTTTTAAAGCCAAACCTTCAATATGGTTAATGCAAATACTCGCATAAACTGATAACTGGTAGCTAAGCTCGTGTGCAAAGGTAGAAAAAGTAAAAGTTCTAGAAGCAAAGGGGTTTTTTCTCACTGGCTTTACATACATCTCTCTTTCTATTAATTAGCATTTACTGTGCAACATGCATGTCATAGACCACCAGATAATGTGCTATAATAATTTGTATCTCTGCGAATTAATATGCTACCGAGATCTTTCTGTGTTAATATGCACATTTCTACCTATATTTCTTCTCTTGTGATATATTACTTACTGCATTCTATAATTTGTTCCTCGATTGTTTATTTCTAACCAGAAATGTATAATTAGTAGCATAATTATATTATCATCATTATAATACAGTAGTTCAGCTTCTCATATATGCAATGCTACTTACATGGTACGTGTTATATGTGGTTAACAATTATCTACTACTATCTGGTAATATCCGATATCGTCCCGTGTGGTTGAAAATAATCATATAGCACACGATCCATCATGCTGAAAGCCACCTAATATTACTGATATGCCACCTATGATATCATACGCAAAGTACATGACTTAAGCATTTTTACTAGCTTCGTATCAGCAGTGCTTATTAACAAGAGTTGTAAAATAGAAGGAACAAGGAGGTGTTAGCAGAGAAAAGTTACAGCTCCCTCATCGCAAACGGCTAAATCAAAGAGCCGATCGAATGATTTTATTATTTCCTTGTTCTCTTGCTTTTAGCACCACATAAAAATACACTTCAACACAAAAAATGGACGACGGTACGCATCTTTGAAACTAATTAAACCATTATGCAGTCAATCAACTGACGATTTTGAAAGAAAATATGCTACGAACACGTCTTGAGGTTGATGACCGGCAGATACGAGGCTTACAAAAGAAAATCAGCTCATGGTTATCATCGCTGCCGATCGACACAAACGAATCAACGTGAGTTTTACTTTTGTTCGGCCAACGATAATCTTGATCTTACAGCATTTTTTAACGGTTGTTTGCATTCTTCCAACATATAGACAGAACATATACGAATCACTCTTATTACAGTTAACCAGCTATCAAACAAACGTAGAACGATACCCGATACTTGTGCACGCGAATGATACTGACATTAACAACTACGAACACATGGGCGAGGAGACAGGTAAACCAAATGAAACAGTCCTCGCTACGTGTCAACAAGGATATGGGGTTTCCTTTGAAAAAATAAAGTAAAGGGCAAAAGAATACTCATAGAAAAATGTATGCGCTATTAGCACGCGAGGTCGTAGCGACAGCAGAACAGATATCGTCTTTAAAGGATGAACTGAAGGAAGCACAAAAAGTACGGAATAACAAGCTTGAATATGACAAGGTTGCGCGTGAGATTATGAAATTACAGACACGCGATGAATATCAGCAGTAAGTGGCGTTTACTCTTTCTAAGCGTGCATTGTAATGAAGTGAAGAAAGAGCGTGAAAACGAATACTAATGTCATTAATACGCTTTATAGATCGATTATGGAACTCAAAGCCGACATTGATATGTTAAAACGAGAAAAAGCAAACAAGGAACAAGCATTCGAGTCACGGAAGGTTAACTTTGCAGAGTTGATCAAGACGGTCAAGGACCTCCAACGGACTGTCGAGGAAGAGCGTGCCAAGGGCGTAAGTATTTGTTTGGATGGGGGAAAAGTTGATGTAAAACTAGGAAAAATCAACCGTTGAATATTCTAATACTTGACGTAATTATTACTTTGTTGACATCATAGCATGAAATGCAAAAGAAATTGATGGATATGGATCGTGGTTACCAATCTTCGGACGATGAAGCAAGTGTCAATTCGGATTCCCAGGGTCATACACCGGAAGACCATCATAACGCCAATGGTGGTTCACATCGATTTCAAGAACGCAACAACGAGGACGATGATGGCGATGAGGAGGGAATGGTAGCGGATGAGGATGTTATAGTCAATGGAGTGCATTAAATTTTGTTTTTTGCGTTTTTTGCATTTAAATTCAATTAAACAAACTTACAGAAACATGTTTTTTGGCAATTGTAAATTAAATCATCCGATATTTGTTCAATTTCTCTTTTTTTACCTTTCTTTCTACCTTTCTGCTACCCAACAATGTTGCAGAAACATATTTCATCCGAATCGAAGATCAGAAATGAAGTGTTGAATCCATCCGCTTCCGGACGCGATGATCAACATTTGCATTCGTTGGCGTACAGTTCACGCTATGCTACCGCGGATATTCCCAAGTTCGAGCTCCCAGAAGGCTCATGCGAGCCCGTTGTTGCATATCAACTTGTCCATGATGAACTGGAATTGGATGGACGTCCTACTATGAACTGTGCTAGTTTTGGTATGTCAATACATCTAGGATATACATAGACACATTTGTGAATTTGGACAGCAGGAAAGAATTAACATAAAAAGGTTATCTTAGTTCACACGTGGATGGAACCCGAGGCAGACAAACTTATCATGGAAAACATCTCCAAGAATTTGTCTGACCAGGATGAATATCCTGCAACCATGCGAGTCCAAGGTCGCTGCATCTCAATTATAGGCAACCTGTGGAACGCAAAGGAAGCGATCGGCACAGCAACCGTAGGATCCAGCGAAGCAGTCATGTTGGGAGGATTGGCTATGAAAAAGATGTGGCAAGGAAAACGTCGAGAACAAGGCAAGGATACGTACCATCCCAATATTGTTTTTGGCAACAATGCTCAAGTCGCTCTCGAAAAGTTTGCACGTTACTGGGACGTTGAAGCACGCATTATTCCTGTTTCTGAAGAAAGCCATCATGTATTGGATGTCAACAAGGCTGTGGAAGCATGTGATGAAAATACGATTGGCATGTTTGTCATTTTGGGCTCCACATATACGGGCCATTTCGAAGACGTCAAGGTAAGTTCAGCTCTCCGCTACTGTATTATTTGTTTTCTTCGCATGATGATTGTACCATACCAAAAAATAACCTGTTTTGATATAGCACCTAGCCAAATTACTAGATGATTTGGAGGAAAAGAAGGGATATAATATTCCAATACATGTCGATGCTGCCAGGTAAATTATCTGCACGTTTACCCTGATGGAGATACTATATATTGTAAGCAGAACGGACATGATTTAATGTTTGGCAATCACTCGTTTAATAGCGGTGGTTTTGTCGCTCCTTTTGCATTTCCCAAACTTGAATGGGACTTCCGCCTGCCAAGAGTCGTATCTATCAACACGTCGGGCCACAAGTTCGGCTTGAGTTATGCCGGTATTGGATGGATTCTTTGGCGCTCGGAACAGTACCTGCCCAAGGAACTCATCTTCGAGCTGCATTATCTCGGTGGTACCGAATACACTTACAACTTGAACTTTTCTCGACCAGCTTGCTTTATGATTTCGCAGTACTACAACTTTATTCGTCTGGGCATGGAAGGCTACACTCGTATTGTCGTGAACGATTTGACCAACGCCCGTCTGCTCTCTGAAGCGCTGGAAAAGTCGACGTACTTTGACATGGTTTCGGATATGCACCGTGCCGACGGCGTCTTTGGATGGAGAAGCCACACAACCAAACAAAACGCGAAGGAGAAAGCCAAAAAGACGGGCAAAATAAACTACAACCCCTCCCTTCCTGTTGTTTCTTTTAAGCTTACTGACGAGTTTAAGAACAAGTACCCGGTAAGAAAATCTTTCTTTATCAAAACTGACGCTCTAAATGTTCAATCGCAAGGACAGTAATAATACTCACGTTGTAATTTAACATTACATAATTAGCATGTAAAGCAAGCTGCTATTAGTACACTACTGCGTTCTCGAGGCTGGATCATTCCTAATTACGCTCTCCCACCTGCCGAAGACACCATCGAAATTCTTCGAGTCGTTGTCCGTGAGTCCCTTTCGCGCGATATGATTGATCGGATGATTGATGATATCATATCTTGCACAAATGAACTCAAGAGCATCGAAAACGAAGTCGACGACAGCGTGTACGGGCTTCTGGAACAACTTGGCAGTGCTCCAAAACTTAACAAGCGCGAATCCGAGAAAGAAAAGGAGAACAAACGTAAAATTAAGAAACCAAGAACATATGCTGCGACATGTTAGAGATAATACTTTTAGTTAAAAGCGAATATCTGTGTAGATTGGTTATATGGTTATTAACGAATAAATGACGCTTCAGTTAAATCATGCTATACAACTTATGCTGAACAAAATATCAACTAGGTCTATTATTTTTGAGATGTTTGTTGTGTCAATGTTTGTAACAATGCACGTTGACAATCTAGCGGAACTGTATATCGTGGAGATGTCGATCGATTGTATTCCTTTCAGGCACCACTTTTTAAATATCATCAGACCTTGTAAGCTTTTCGTGACGTCATTCTATTGCAAGCAAGTGGGATTAGATGCATATACATCCAATGGAGCGTGTACATATGTACACTAAATAGACACTCCCGAGCATGAAAGTAATAGAATTTACGCGCGGGCATTTGTTCGATGAAGTCCGGCAAGTACTGCAAGAAATTACTGCAATTGCAGTACTGCAAAATTACTGAGGCCCGAAACAAGCTAGTCGTATGCATTATCTTAGACTCGACCTCACTTGCCTCGGTTAAAGAGTTTGTAGAAGCTTTTCTGGCAAGCTATGACCAAATGCATATTTAGAAGAATTTTGCTGGTCTTTCAAATGTTCCCTATCGATTGACGACAGACGGTGCGTGTGACTAGTTGTACTAGCTGGGCAGTATTTCATTCGTTTCGCCATATACAATCATGTAAAACTAGACACTCTACGTACAAAAACTAGGAACTGAAAACACGTTAGCTACAAATCATATCAGTCCTTTCTATCTCACACTCGAGCTGCTGCCACTGTTGATCAAGTCTGTATCAAAGCCGCATTGTTAAAATCGCATCCAGATTACATCGATTGACAACACTGTATGTAGAGTGGCGCAAGTCTTGAAAAAGAGAGTGACGAAAAGTACTTTAACAGAAAATCCAATTATATAAAAATAATAATAGCACTATAGTAATAGCAAAGTACTTTTCTTCAATACTCATGTTTCTTTTCTTCTTTCCATGTACATGATAACTTGATAGGCCGCCAATGTCCTGTTCACCTGTGAACTGATTCGTCGCCTAAAGGCCAATGACACTAACAATGTAAGCGTTGTGACAAGTTATTGTATTCCCCGAACAAGGACATCTATATGTAAGCGCTAATAGGTGCATTGACTAAACAACAACAATGGACTTAATAGGTATATGTAAATTGCAACCATTTTGGCGTTGTTAAAACCGACTCATTTTATCAGAGCGGCTCTTTGTCTAGAGGCTCCTTGTTGGACGCATTCACGGATCCTTTCTATATGTCACCTGAAGAAGGCGCCCTCAAGCAGCTCTATTTGGCCACGAGGAGAAAAAGGACATCAAAGGACGATACCATGTAAGCAAATTATCTTCCACCACATCGCCATCACCATTTTATAAAATATGACCCCCCCACCTATTATACAGAAACCTAGAGCGCCACCAACAGCTCATTTCTTTTTTTTTCTCTGAGGAACCTACTGTTCAGTTGTCGTCAAGTACCGGTTTTAGTAAATCTCAAGAGCATGCCACTAAATTTTTAGACACTACCGAACAACTCTTTGAGGAAAAGGTTCCTGGAGGATATGTTAGGACTAAGCTTTGAAAGGCTACTCGCTCCTAGTTTTGATTATCACGAAATAAAAGAAAAAAATAAAGCTGCGAGAAAATATACATCTGCTGCTACATACTGCTTCTGTGTTATCATGTAAGATACTCAGTAGCAGCCACACCAATGGAGCAGCAGGAAGAGACAACAGCAGTTTTTTTATAATAATAAGCTATTGACAGTATAAATTAAAACTCGTGTATCGGGTAACTGGGTCGATCGTTCCGAGATGTTACCGAAGAGATCATATCGTCCCCCGACATCTTCTCATTTTCATCCCTTATGTTTCATATGTGTAAACTTTGGGCTTCTTTATAGTAGAGCATCATAAAGCTTATTCACATATAGCGCTTTTCGTTATGCTTCCGTTCTTGACTAATCACCGCGTGTACAATAACTTTGCTCCTCTTTTTCAATATGGCATGACAATGCGTAAACAGTCTCAGTATACAGATGGCGATGATAATAAATAGTATATGTGCTTGATATGACCAAAACAAAGCAGCATGCTCGCCTTTTTCTAACAAATAGTTGTACGTGTATGTTAAGCAATGGTACTGTAGCAGTGATTGAAAAACGATAGTATTCGTCGTCAGCTCCTGTTTCATAATTGATCGTTTCCAACAAGCAAGTAACACTCGCACAATCTCTCTCGTATCTTTTCACAAACGAGTCTTCGTTTGTCATCCACTCGTTACAGTATCATCTTGTTTTACTGTTGTTGACACACATGTACATACAATTTTTTGTCCGACGTCGGATCCTTCTTTTTTTCATCCATTGGTTACTGGTTCTTCTTCATCATTCATACCGTTTTTGTTTTCTCCATCTCCAATCAACTCTTGTTATTGTTATTAGTAACGAAACGCTAGATTGACTGATCAATGCGATGAATGCTTGCTTTTTTTCATCAGCATGATGATATATACTTTTCTTATAAACACGCCCTAAAAAGTCAACAGGCAAATGATATGGGAACAGATGGAGAGTATAAACCATCTTGACATCAATCAATACGTGGTGTGCGTCCGCTTGCTGACGGCGCTTTGACAATAACATCAAGATCAAGAGAGTGAAGCTAGTTTTGGTATAAGTCCGAGGGAACCTGTAAAGCTGTATTACGAAGCTAACATTATCTTGGTCTTTCTTGTGTTTTGCGTTTTGCCACCCCCACTGCTCACCGGACGTCTTCCGGTCTTTGTCATATGGTTTGCTTTTTGATTTGTTATGATGATTTGCAAATAATAGTGTCATGTTATGATAGTAAGCGAATGAAACGAATTTATGGTGATTGACTTTGATGGTGGCGGTGATAGGCACTGGGTACTGTATTACAGTTTTATCGTGATATATATCACATCGCAGTAATGGCGATCGATTTGCCACAATGATGCTAATCCTGCGCATTAGCTCACTAGAGTGACAAATAACTGCGCCTTAATATTAGTAGATCCTTAGCACTAAGCCGGGGAAGGAAAACACAAAAGCTGGGGTATGGGGATACTGCTGCGACGGCGCACTACTGGGGTGTACTGTATGGTTCCTATTATGCGCACTAAAAGCCTAGATTGAAATTTGTTCCCCAAAAGAAGCCCTTCATCAGCAATCATTACTACGATTATAGAAGCACATGTCCATGTATCAGCGCTACAATAGCAGCAACTGACACATATTCTCTTTAGTGCAATACATATCGCTATTTTAGATAGTATGCATCATCATATTGCGTTGTTATTACGGATGCATCTCATCATCCCCATCAGCAACAGCATTGTGCGTTTAAAGAAAAATCGAGGGACAAAAAGATGCTGAGAGAAGAGATAGGTAACACTACAACTACTTCAATTTCAGCATATGTTATACAGTTTAACTCAACGTCAGGTGAGCACTTATTGCAACTATAACTACGATCGGTGTACACATCATCTATTGGGAAGTTCGGGACCACCGTGCATAGAATATAGACCCTTTTACTTTTAAAACCGAAAATTCTTCTCAGTGCGTATGTACCCCATCCGCGTATACATGTTACCACGCTTATTAGGAAGAAAAAGCAAATGCATAAACTTTATTCATGTTGTGCGCTACTATCAGTAATAGCAATAGCAATTAGTAATGATGCAAACGACGGTTACAAGTACAAAGTTCATGTTACTACTACTAGTAGCAGTAGTATCAGTAGTACATACATGCACCAATATAATTCGCGCCATTCTCGACTGGTACTAGAATGATTCGCTGTCGCAGACTGCCTGTTGTTGGGGGGAAATTGCGCTTACGAACGAAAAAAAAACAGAACCAATCATTCGAAATAGGCAATGTAGACGTGATCATCATCATCATTACACGATGAAATTGATATATTGGTGATAAGAAGAAGGAGAAGAAGAAGAAAGTGCCTACACGAACCCGTCGTCAGCTGAGAGGGCGGAAAGTTAAAAGAATTCCTGCTGGCTAATAATGTTGTTGTTGGCACAACAACATAAACAAGTAGCTACGCGATGATGGAACTCATTCAAGAACGAACTACTTTCTTGCACATACAATAATATGGTCGTGCTTCTAGTTGGAAGAGATATCCATTTTGCCCAGGTAACTAGGTCATATTATCATTATCGTAATACGACATCTAATTTATATACTGCGTTCACCATCACCTACATATATTACTACCAAACTGCTGATCCGTTTATTTATTTGATTAGATATGTGCTTACTCTTCCCCAGTTTGAGCCTCTTGCTACGTGCAGTAGTGAATCATATGTCAACATTCGTAGTAACAGCAGGTTATATAATTCATGCATCTCCTGCTCAGACAAAAACATGCATTTAGAAACATCTCTCTCCTGAAAAAGACATAAACAATACCTGCGTTTAAAAAATTTGCAAATAAAGAACACGGATGTTTACCTATCTCTGATACTTCCTGCAAGGAAGAAATGGAAAAAAGGGTTTATTTCGTCCTACACTAGAAAGGAAGTCATTAGATCTATACTTGTAAACATCAGTAGGTATTTTTTTTAGCCACATACACACATCAAAGATGAAATAACAAAACCAGCGACATAATAGCACGGTCATTATTGAGAACCAACGATATATCGCATACGAGATGATAGTAAAGTTATTTCCTCTTACGAAACAAGACGTGAATGGCCTTTTTCGACAAAAGTGCATCTCGACCCCTCCCGTTTCTGTACGACTGCGCCTAAAACTTGCCTCATTTGAAAACTCACTCTCTACACACTTCGGATTACACCGATGATGTGTTTGCTCGTGTATATATGACGGAATGATGCGATAAACGAAAAAAAAGATTTTCTTTTTAAGGAGATTCATCAAGTGCAGCAGCAGCAGACTAGCACAAGAACAAATCAGTAGTAGTAGGCTACAACTACACCACGCAACATGCACATACACATACAGCACGTTTGCCTGCGCAGTACCAGCAATACTATTCATAGTTGCAATATGAGCCAAAACAAGCAAAAAGCTATAATATCCCATGGCACTACTGTTTACTTGTTTTTCACGAGTCTGAAGATCTTGTAGTTTTCACTATTACACCATTACCGCAGTTACTACTATACAACTATAATGTCCTCTGCTTAAAAGCAATCAGAGTACTACAGCTGAATCTTTCGTCATAAGAATAGTAGTAGTGAGGCACGACGACGACGACGAAGACGACGACTGGGCATGTACATGCAGATCGATGTATCCCTGCAAAAGTGACCAGCTCATGTGTTTTGTAGCTGACTCTCTTTTCCACTTGGTGAGTTATATATTGGAAAAGAAGAAAAACGGCATTGGAGAGCTGAATAGAACTAAAAAGAAGCATGTAACTATCAGTATTAACACCTTGTAACAATAAACAACAATACTGGATGGGGAGCAGTGAATAGCAAAAACAACAGCTTACCAAATTTAGACCAGCTTTTCACCTATTAGTTGGACAGGGCGTGTTATTATTAATGCTCCGCCACCCCCACTCTTCCCCTCGCGCTGACTCCGCCGCTCTGTCAATTTTTGGCCCTGCGGTGTGTGCATGTGTTACGCTGTGGAGAACTGCGAAAGAGATGAACTGCTGACCACATACCCCCTTCTCTAGCCTGCATACTAAGAAATAAAGCTTGTGATCATGGAAGAGAAAATCATGCTGATAATCGCTCATGTAGTATCTTTGTCCGTCGGTCGGTGTCGGCCCTCAAGTCCGTGCACATTCCGTTTTTACTTGATTACTATGAAAAAGAGAACCCTGGCATGAGCTGTAGAATAAAGAAGCTCCTGTGTTTAGGCTGTTATATCGGAGATTCGTAACGAAGAAGCTCTGTATGATCAAGTAGACCCTTGAGACGGTTGCGTTTCGTAGATTGAACAAATGTTTCAAAACGACATGGGTTATGATGATGGTTTTTTCTAAGCATAAACAGCAAAAAAGAATGGGAGTTTATCTTTTTCGTTTTGCCTGTCTTTTCTTAGAAAATTCGTAATGCTTATTCCTACAGAACCTACGCCCAACTTGGTTATTGTCAAGAATGTGGCGCCATCCACGTCCGAAAAGATGTTGACAGATTTCTTTTCGTTTTGTGGCAGAATCGATGACTTTGCACTAAACGAGGACGCAACAGCGTTCATTATGTTTGAGCGTCCGTCTGCTGCAAAGACAGCCATTCTATTGAACAATGGTAATAAACCTGTGCTGTTGCATGACAGCATTGTTTGTGCGTAGCACCACCCCACCTACCTACCAGAACAATACATACATCATCCTTACGCCTTTCCTCTCTCTCTCTCTCTCTCTCTCTTTCTCCTTATGCGCTCGCGTAATAGTTCGAGTAGCAGTAGTAGTCGTTGTTGTCCTATTAACTCACATTAATATTTTGATAAACACAAACAAAACAGCAACCGTAAATGGTAACGAGCTTGCAATCGAACCGTACTTTAAAGATGCAGCAGCTACTGCTGGTGAAGAGCCTAGTCAAGAACAAGTAGCAGAGCAACAGCAACAACAACGGCAAGAAAGCAAGACCAAGTCAGGCATTATGGCTGAAATCCTGGGTGCTGGCTACAAATTGACAGATCCCATTCTTCAAGCGGCAACTGACTTTGACAAGAGATATGGCGTATGGAGTCGTGTGGAGCCTTATTGGAATCAAGTCGATCAAAAGATGCGGGTCGGAGACAAGGTCCAGTCTTTGGAAGACACGGCAGACCACTGGCTCAAGGAGACACCCATGGGTCAAAAAGTTCAAAATCATCTGGTGGAACCCATTGCTTCGGTACATTCAGAGGCAAAGCGAATTGCGGTAAGCCATCATTCTATTGGTTTTTGCCTTTTTTTTTTCCATCGTCATCTGCTTGTGTCTACGTATTACGTTCAAATTACACGTCATTTGACCTCTTTTATGTACGCATAACCTTTTTCTTTTTTAGAACCAGCAAGAAAGTGGTGGTGCTAGCGGTGACGGTGGCAATAGGGCAGCAGGCCGATGAACACATACACAAAACTTTATACGTCGATCATAAGCTCTTGTTCTTATTGGTGCATCGGTTCGGAATACTTCCATTCTTCCCTCTTCCCCTCTCTCCCCCACTCCTCTCGCGTACGTACCCCGAGGAAATCCAGACCGAATGCACAACAAAAATAATAATAAAAAGACGGAATTGGCTTTTACGGTAACCAGTGCTGAGTCTTCCCCCACTTTGTTTTTATCTCGCCCTCTTACTACTTAGTCCATCACTCTTTATGACGTGTATTATCGAGAGAAGGTGGGGGGAGAGCACAGACACCCACAGAAGAGATACTATGTTGCAGAAAGAGATGATTGTGATTGTTGATTCTACCACCGACGTCCATTATCGAGCTTGTATACTCTCCACTTGGGATCAACACATAGTAGCAGTGGTATGGCTTCAGCATGTGTCTCTGCTTAAAAGGTCATCCGCCTCGCTTTACTTTCAACCCAAGAATTATATATAAAAGGGGGACGCGTCGGATCGCTCCGGTTGCTTATTTCCTCTCTCCAACATCTTTCACACCAACTCAACCCCACTTCAAACACTACTGCTGCTTTATTACTGCACAACACTTTGTTTTGCATTTCTTATTTATTATCTACTCTCTAGAAAACACTTTTCTGTCAACCATGAACGCACAACAAGCGTACTGTAACGTATATCCTACCCCACCCACCACGACCAGCGATCACTATTACACAGACCTGATCAACCAGGGTAACTATACACCAAAGTGCTTGGGTAGCCATAGCAATTTCCCTTTTGCTAAATGGATCTATTACACCCCCGCCCGGAGTAGACATCACGCCAATACAATACGCGTTGACCTGGGACATGTCCACAGTATCATCAGCATCTTCACCATGGAACGGAATGAGAGCCGAGTTAATGGACAATACGTATTATCACGAGACATCTCATCTGGTAAATAGCTTTTGGCATATGTGTGCCTACAAAAATTGAACAGTACCATCCCTGCAGAATCGATATAGAAAAATAGAAGGCTGACAACACATGACACCCATATCATCCCATCCATCTCTTTGCTATTACACTATAGGACATTATCCCAACGATTGGGGCTCCTGCAAAACTCACGCCAGCTGAGACGTCGCTGACGAGCCATGACACCATGGTGTATTACCCTACGGACACTTTTCCATCGGCTTACACTCCGAGTCATTGCCGCGTGACACCTTGTACTACTGCTTCTGCTGCTGCTGCTGCTGCTAATCATTCTACGACCGTCGTTACTACTTCTTCCAATACTGGTAAGCGGACAAGCTATTATTTTGTTTGCTAAATGTGGTACTAGTTGTGATTGGCTTCTGATAACACAAATACACACATAAAAATATAATAGTAGCCGGATCGGGTGACACTGAGTGCCGATGCCGATGGTCGAAATGCGGAGTCAGGACGGCCACCTTGGATCAACTGATCTTGCATATCCGGGACGACCATGTGGGTAGTGGCAAGGTAAAGTGTACAAAAACGCTCTGATATCATCTCTCGTTTGTTGTTGACATTCACAGCCCATAACTAAAAAGAGAAAAAAAAACCGTACTACTTTCTATTACTACAAAATAGCCTGCTTACTTTTGCTTTTGGGCTGGATGTCCACGAAGTAAAAAGCCATTCACAAAGCGTCACAAGATGCATAATCACATGCGAACACACACAGGCGAACGGCCTTTCCAGTGTACCGTGCAAGGCTGCACCAAACGCTTCTCGCGTCCTGATTCGCTCAGTACACATATCAAGACGCACTCCAATATCCGACCTTATCACTGCAGCGTCCCTGGTTGTGGCAAGGCTTATTTCCATTCTCGGTCGTTACGAAAACATACACGATCGCATGAAGAACACCAACAGCAGCAGCAAAGACAGCAGCAGCAGCAACAAGGCCAGCAACAGCAGGTACATCAGCAACAGCAGCAAGTACAAAGACATAGCAACAATAGCATTACCTCATACCCATCCGGTCCTGACCCGCGATTCTTCCCCGTGATGGACCCTTCATCCTACTACATGTAAATTTTTCTATTCTTTCTTCTTCTTCTTGTATATGTATATCATCTTTCATCATCATCATCATCATCATCTTTTATCATCTTCCATCCTCATCAATTCCGCACACACGCACACACATACACTTCCATCATCTTTTTTTTTCCATCCATTAAATAACTCTATTATTCATCCTACTCTATTTGTATGCTAAAGGAGCTGGAACTCCTCTTCTTTTTTATTTCCCTTTCTGAACTTTTTGAAATAAACCTTTTTTTTCTTTTTACAAACTAATGGAGACAGTGCTTGCAAACGAATTAGCCCAACGATTTCGCATCGAATCGTGTACAGCAGATGCAGTTTAGTCTCTTCTCTCTTTCTTTTGGGCATAACCGCTATTGGGCTGTCTATTAACCAGATTCATCGTATGAATGTGTAAAGACCAAGGAATGGGAACAATCAATACTACAATGTGCCAAGCGAGTGAAAGATACAGGTGATGCCACTGTCAAGGTATATATATTCATATTAAAATACCAGTCTCCACCCTCCCCTCACTTCAACTCTTCCGTATATGTTATCTTATAACGCACCGTCTAAAGACACAAGCGGAACGGGCACATGTTCAAGACATGATGCAAACGTTGCTCGAGAACGATGGACGGTTAAAAAGCACATTTGCGGAGATTGATCACATTGAACGCATTGTCCAGCGCGTCAAAGAGACGTACAACAAGATTGCAACAAGCGTGGACGATATGGAAAAGACCGTCAATGCAAGTGTGTCCACTGGCGGCTTTCCATTTCTTCAGGTAACACCCCCTCTTTTATATGAATATGGTAAAGAGAGAAAGACCTGACAGTTTAAAGAATCTTTCTCTCCAGAAACGCAACGAGACAGTTCAGCCCTACTTTCCACCACCGCTACCCGTCGACATATACCGTACAGAACAAGATCTTTTCCCTGCTACTGCTACTACCACTCCTCCTCCTCCTCCTCCTCCTCCTCCTGCTAATCAGCAGGTATCTAGATAAAGGAAAGAGTTCTTTTTTTTTTGCGGTTTTATTGAGTCGCAGTTGTTGGTTGTTGTCTTTCCATATTAATAGTGGTCTATATCATATATGTGTTACATGGTGTTGCTGTTGTTGTTGTTGTTGGTATCAGCTCCCTCTGGATTAATATTAGTAGTGGTAGTATTAGCAGTAGCGTTGTTGTTGTTGTTGTTGGATGTGGAAGAAGAGGTGGTGGAAGACGACGGGAACTGGGGCGGATAGAACGACGGTGGAGGCATCATCTGAGGCGAGGACGTGTAAAACTGTGGTGGAGGGCCGCCGTATTGGGGAAACCCTTGTGGTACGTTCCCATATGGTATGGGCATATAACTGAACTGCGGCGGTGGAGGCGGTGGCTGCTGCTGGTGCTGGTGCTGGTGCTGGTGCTTATGCTGAGGGTGTTGTTGTTGTTGTTGGTGCTGCTGGTGATACTGCTGTTGCTGCATGTATCGGTCACTATTGACAGAAAACGTAAATAGAGAGAGAGAGAGGGAGAGAGAGAGATGGAGAAAGGAGAGGGCACTGCTCAGCGTGCGGGGTATAGGGGATCATTTACTTGTTTCGTATGAGGCTTGCATAAGGATCTCCACGCACTGGGACACCACCTAGTCCAGACACGTTTGCCGCTTGCATTCCTTTGGGACCTTGCACCAGATCATACTCAACCTATATACGTTATGTTGTGAGTATATGTGTGTGTGTGTGTGGGGGTGGGAGGGTTCCATGTGCGTCAATACACAAGACTGCTGGTGTGGTGGATGTATGCACACTGATTTCTTACCTCTTCACCCTATTTTGTCGACAACACGCACCCAGTGGCAAAGAAGAAAAGCATTAGTTGCATATATGAAAGGCATGAGTGCATAAAAACGGGGTTCTCTTTATATACCTCGCTCAGACTTTTAAAGCCGCCAGAATTATAGATGGCCGTGTGGTGAACGAAGACCTCTGCATAGGAAAAAACCGGATAGTTTTATTAGTTGAAGAAAGAAAGGGAATTTTTAGCAAAGAGGATATAACGCGTCAACAACACAGCAGAGGGGGGGTTTACCTTCGATGTTTGGCTGGCCCACCTGATCGTCAGGAATGATGAATCCGTACCCTTTTATTGAATTAAAGAACTTTACACGGCCAGTTTGTCGAGGCGGGGATTCCATGGTGAATGAAGAAGAAAAGGCGATGAGGGAGAGGAAGAAAAATATAAAGACCCAAAAAAAAAAAGTTTAAAAAAAAAAGTATAAAAAATAGCAGAAAGAGTGAGTGAAAGGGAGAAAGAGAGAGAAAAGAGGGAAGAAAGGAGAGCGAGCACTGTGTTGGCTGGTATTAGTAGTGCATGAAAATGTAGAGATGGTGTAAAACTACGCTAACGACAAGCGTGTGTGTGAGTGTGAGTGTGAGTGTGAGTATGATTGTGATTGTGTGTGATTGTGTGGATGAGGCTGGGGTTTCATCCCACAACCAAAACCAAGGTATGTTGCGTTGTCAAACCCACCCAATCGGTCCAAAAAGGCAACGGTCCTAAATTGCCCCCCAGCGGTGCTGTTCTTTACTTTCTCTTGCCAAAGAGGCCTTTGCTTGCTTTTATGCTGGTGCTTGTACTCTGGTTGTCGTTGTTGTTGTTCCCACCACTGGTTGTCACCGTGACAGCCTCCACCTCCACCCCCAGAATCGTCCGACAGAACTCGGCAATCATTGACTTGACCAGTTCGTGCCGCCGCCGCGACGACTGGCTAATGTTGGCCAGCACAGGCGCACTTGTGTAGATCATTGCGTGCTGCTTTTCGATATACGACAGCAGTTGTCGAACCGCATTGTGTCGCGTCGGCGTGTCATAGTGCGTTGTTAATTCACCTGCGTTTGTTTGTCGTCAATGACATCAGCATTAATCCAGTCAGTTGAGTCAGTTGGGTGGCCAGTAACCCAAGGCAGCAGTAAAAAGGAAATAAGGAGGCGTGGACATACTCGTCTTCCCCCAACAACAATGACAACCCTTCTCCCATAACCCTTAGAGAGAACCCTCCCTCCTCCTCATACGCTAAGCCAACATGCTACTTACCACAGTTCATAACCATTTTGGTAAACGTGTCTGTTTGACAGAAGCGCATAAAACTTGACTCGAGCAACGAATACACTGCCCGTTTCGCATTGTCGAATAACCCTTCCACCCGCTGATCTTCCAGTGCCGCCGTAGCCTGCCGCCGAACCTTGTCGTCCAGGTTGACCTCAAAGTGACTGTTGCGCGTTAGATACGTGTTGTGGATATGCTGTGCCGTGGCGAGTTGTTGGACGTGCGACACATACGTAAATGACGCGTATTGTTCGAGTTCGATAAAGAAGAACTTTTGACTCCATGTTAGTTCTAACAAAGACCCCATCTGCTCGTGTGGCGGCAAACAATCCCTGAAAGCTTATTACCAAATTCTCGCAACTGAATTCCTCCAGTAAATGATACAGGAAATAGCAGAGCGGTATTTTCGATTGCAGTAGCGCCTTTAGTCCTTCATTGCGGATCTCGCGCACGCAGATATCGTGTGGTGCCTGCTCGCCAAAGAACTTGTTGAGCTTCTTTGACGATTTGGTCGTCTTTATCTTGTATGACATGTGCACATCAAAGTTCGGAGGCAGCGCTGCCATAGCTTCAGCAGCTGCATCCGCTGCTGCTGCTACTGCTGCTGCTATTGCCGCCGCATCACTTTCTCGCTGTTGTTGTTGTTGTTGTTGTTTTTGCAGCGGCTGTTGCTGCTGGTAACCCGGGTTTTGGTGCAATTGCTGTCGTTCCATTTCAGACGAATCAGCCGATTGCCGAAATTCCTGGTTGAAATAGCCTCCACCTGTAGTGGTTGACTCGGACAAGAGGCTGGGTGTGAGTTGGCCATTGCTGTTGTTATTAGAGTCGTAGATATTGGCGAGACTGCTTCGTCGAGAGGACGGTCGACTACTGTTGTTGGCTGTTGCTGTTGCTCCGGGTTCCTGGACAATAGAAGAACGTCTGGATTTGGATATTGACTTTGGAGTGCGTGGTGCCAATAACGAGGCAGCTTCTTTGGCAGCAGCCGCATTTGCTGCAGATAGGTTGATATGGCTCGGACGTCGCTTCGTTGTCATTTGGAAAACGGGAAAATAAAAAAAAGGAGTTGTTTTCTTTTTGGCTGGCTTATGTGAGTAAGTGGAATGTGTGTGTGTGAGAGAAGGGTTCTTCTTTTCGAAAATGAGATCGATCGGAGACCAACCAGAATTACTTTTTGACGTTACACATGAGATCGGAGTGCAACGTTGGACACAGCCCGACTCCCTTATCAATGGCGGGATGGCGCGCTTATTCATCGCTGCAGCAACCAACAGCAGCAGTACATAGTCTGCTGTGTATTTAGAAAGCACGCTCTTTTAATATAATGTAAGCAGCCTCCTCTGTTAGCCCTTACTCTTTCTAAATAGAAAAGATCCACTCTGTTTACAAGACGAAAGGCCAACGTACAACAACCACCCCTTCGCACGGATCGCTTCTGGGGCTCATGAATGTCTCTTACTTCCCCTTCCCTCCCTCTTTAGATGATGCTCTCCTTCCTTCCTCTCTCTCTCTCTCTCTCTATTTCTGCAATGCAAAAGCCCCTTTTTGGAAAGACGAAAAGGTATACGTCAGAAAGAAAGTTCATTGTTTAGTGCAACGATCTGCTAGACCCTGTAAATAAGGATCGGCCTCCACAACTGCACGTTCCAATGCATAACGACGACTTGGGCCACGTCCACTGGTTTTCTTATTCTGCTTTTCCCATAGGACCATCTTGCTCTGCTGCTGTGAAGGCGTGACGTCTTTCAGATCGGCCAGCCACATGTTGTGCTCCTTTAACCGACCAAAGACCGACACCGTTTCTATCCCGAGCCATTTGTCGTTCTTCATATCGCCTGGTCGTCGGCGTTCGCGTTCAACCGTCTTGACGTCGTCATAGACCATCAGTCGTGTAACCAGGTTTCGCGTATACATATGGATGAAGCCTGCTGGCATGATGGCAGACACACCGGCTGAAGATACAAATCACACATTGCCAGAAGACGCGTCAGTTTTACACATTGGTTGAGCATAACCTTGGCTTTTACTTTACCCATAATCACAGAAAGTGCAGGCGCTTGGCCCGTACTTAGCAAACCAGGGACGGCGCATAAACCACACACTCCAAATAACGAGGCAACCATCTTGTATCGTTGCACACTATCTGCAAATGGCCCTATATTCTCCCACAATACTTTTAATTATATGTTTCATGCCCCTCCCCCACCCCTATGTCGCTTGCTCCTTCAAGACTCTACCAATATATACAAGCGTCTTGTTCAGTGTGACAGGTTGTGAAATATGCTTGTTGCTAGTGAATGCACCCGCTGCTTTTTTCGGAATGCGTGGTGCCGATGTAGTGTAGAGACGAAGATGGCATGATGCCCGCATGCCAAGTGTTGTGCCTCGAGGTAATAACATTATCAGTGTAATAAATAGATGTAAGACCTATGTTGTTGTTTTTTGACAACCCAGCCTGCCCGTTTGGATTTCAGTGACTGCGGCATTATTCAGAGTGTCCCACTTCTTTTTCCACTCATACACACATTGACACCAAACTTCTTGACTCACCCCTTTTGACAATAATGACAGGGCTCTATACCGCGTACTGACCAAGCACTGTAAAAGTGTTTGCGCTTAAAAAAGCGTTATTCGACGGGTGTTTCTTGAAATCTGGCCCGCATGGCTGCTGTCGAATTGTACCTTGTCGGCCGTGTTGAACAACACACATTTGGATCATTACCAAAGCTGTAGGCCCTTGATACGAAACACTACAGCGTCATTGGATGTTCTACCGCTTATTACCTATATGGAAATCACCAGGAGGTCAAAATTCCAAAGCTACCGCAATTCTCATTTCTTTTTCATCAGCGTCTCTGCCATCAGTACAGACCATTACAGTGCGCTATATTTGCTCTTTTGACCCTTTGCCTATTGCGTCTTGAGTGCACGGTGTTGAGCGCGCTAGATAATGATGGTGTATGCCAGAATAGCGGGCAGGTGCCTTGATCGCTTAAAACAACTTGATATTACGACGTAAGCTATTATTAGAGAAACAGTAAATAGGGGATGAGCGAGGACAGCTAGTAGGAGAGGTTTAGCATTAGTTCAAGTTGCAAACTAGTTGCTGATTTTGGTGTAGGTCGTATTTCACATTCCATACTACACTAAAACACCACCACAAGTGCTATATCATTCGACACACTCCTTCTGTTCTGTCGCTCAGACCGAGTATATTTTGGAATCATTGACGTCGATTCTGCTTTTAAACGGTTGAAACTCGCGAACTTGGGGTGGTAAGGTGTATTGCGCGAACAATATCAACTTGCCAAGATCGATCGACTGAAGAATTAAACATTTTCTGTTTATCGACACGTATCAAAAGGTGCCCTAGAAGAGTATTTACCCATTCAGTCATCATACTCTAGCTGGCCATATATTACGTTTGTTTATCTTTTTCTATATTTCCATCGCAGCATATATTTTACGGCCCATCAGATTCATGACCAAAGCGTTGCACTTGCCTTCAGTACCTACCAAATAGTACTGAGGCTGTAGTTCTTGCTTCCAAATATTGCATGCGCATGTCCGCGACTCAGCAGGAGTGTATTTGCGCCGCGTCTATACTTTGAGCGCTACCTAATTGCACTTTACTGTAGTATCGACAGCTGCAAATGTGTATGCCGCAATATACTCATCCAAAAAAACTACATTGTCCGTTCCCTGCCGTCGTGCACATAACTTTTCTTCTGAAGTCATATTGCTATTGGAGTTATTGTATGCCAGTTCTTGCTATTATTCATTCGTACATGTATCATATTACATTGCCGTCATGAAAATACCGCCTATGTATATGTAACCTGCTTTCTTGCTGCAATTCTGCTAAATGAACGCTTCTACTAAACTACTTGTTGGCTATAATAAACCGACCGTAAACTATTGTCTGTCATTCTAACATCATGCATTAAAGATACCCGCCGCCATAAGTAGTTCGTAGGCTCCAACAAGAACCAACTTGTTGTAAAAGTCTCGTCAAGAAATATAAAGGACCAACTATGTTGCAACATTCCTTTATAGCATAGCATAAGAAAACGAAGTAACAATGAATCTACTTAATCTAGAACAACAACGGATTCATTGTCTAAGAAAGGGGAACATCGATACTCCCCTCTTTTGTATGTATCTGCATTTTATGCAAGAGATACATAGGATTTGCGGATCAAAAACCTTCTTTCTCAACCTGAACACTTGCGCTCTTCGCAACTTTTCTTTCTTCCAAACAGCGAAGGCTTCTTGGAATGTCAAACGGAAATAATCAGGTAAACACAGAAAAAAGTACACATTTTAAGAAATGCAGGTATTTTAGAATTGTTAATAAGTGATTTGTTAAGCTTATTTTATATTAATCTATTATTTCCAAATGTTTAGAATCGATTAGACTTGCTTGATACTACAAAAAGGGTTCCAAACGGACTTACGCGGAGCCGGCCACGATCACACGGAGCAACAGGAATCCCTATTCACTTACCTGACGATCGATCGGTATATACATAATCACACCAAAAGAGCCGTACAATAACAACAATTTTAAACTTAATCGTTGTTACTTTTACAAAAGGGGCCTGAAATGTACACAAACAGAATACTTGGCCGCAATGGGGCTATCACAACCTATAAGCCCAGTAATATGAATAAGACGCACTCACAATCAAGAGGTAAGCGAAGAGACAAAGCAAAAAGTATCTATGGCAAAATGTGCTTTATGATATATATAATAATTGATACTATTCTTATATAACTATTCTTATATCTATTGAATAGTGTTTGGTAAGGCTCCAACCACAGCTCCACGAAGAAGAGGTTTCATGATACCCGCAAATCCAAATAGCAGTGACGTTATTACGATTGAAGATGAAAGGCCGAAACGACGTGTATGTTTTTATAACCTTAAATTGATAGGGCGAAAAGATGATTGGAATGAGAGAGAGAGAGAGAGAGAGAGATTGGAGAAAAAGGGTTAGTAGTGCTCACATGCTGAACTCTTCTTTTTTATTTTTGCGCAACATAGGTTACTGACAGTATGAATACGAAAGAACCGTCAAGACGAAGTGACGACGACAACAGTCATAAGAAGAATAAAAAACGGATATACCAAAACGAACAACAGCATAGGTCAACCGCTGAGAATAATGACTCGAGCTCAAGACGTAACAAATCAAGGGTTATTAAAGATGACGAGGACGAAGCAGTCGGAGCAGGATCGAAAAGTTGGTACAACAGACTCCATGAAAGACTTGGAACGATACCAACATTCAACCATGTTGGCGCTGTTACCTCTATGGATGACGAGGATAAAACCAAAGGAAAAGGGAAATATGATGCTTCTGCTGTTACAAAAGACGTATTTGACCTGAACTCCGTCGAGGAAACGACGGCTCGACGGAAAAGAACTCCGGGTGGTCAAGAAGGATCTCAACGACAGTATGGGAAGCAACGGGATCAAAAGGAACATAACGCAGTGCGAAAGTTGCGCTCGACCGCAGCGAAAGCTGGTGGAAGCAGTAGCCGAGGCATCCGTGTGGATGAAGGAGAAGACGAAGAAAAGGAGCAGAATGATGACGAAGAAGACATATGGGAAAACCAAGTTGCCAAGAAACAAGGAGATGAAGGAAGATCTCTCAAACGACGACGACTACGCGCCAGTAATAACAAAGACGATGATGACAAAGACGACTTTCACGATCCTGGATCTTCGAGTGAAGCAGCAGAGCCTGAATCGATACCCCAACTTATGATCCCAAAACGACGACGCGGAAAAGGAATTGTATTTCACAGTGATCCAGATGACATACCCGTCGATCCCGATAAGAGCAGCAACATTTTGAACAGCAACAAATCATCGACAAGCCGGTTCCGCACTGACCTTTTGCCTAATACGCGTCGATCCTCAACAGCAGCATTTGGTGGATTGACAGCGAGAGTGACGCGCAGTACTACTCGCAGTGCTACGCATGCTTTTCAAACAATGTCTAACAATGTGCGTGGGATACTGGGACAGCCTCAATATATCACCATTGATGACGATGATTCTGACGTGGAGATACAGCAACAAACATCACCTCGTCGCTCAGGACCTAGAGGACAGCAAGTGTGAGTATCAAGTACTTTATCTATGTATTTTTCCGCATCGTTTCCATTCTATCTTTCTGATTTTCTGTCTTTACTGAACCATATTTCTTTCCCTGTTGTCAGTTTGTTCCATTATCCATCGTCAGCACCGGGTAGCGTTACCGTCGTCAGAGAGGATGCAAACCGTCTTATGGATGGTCAGATGTTAAACGACAGTATCATTGATTTCTATGTCAAATGGTAAGGAGCGCTCATTACACATGTAAATGTAAAAGGCATTGATTTCTAAACACCTTTCTTCTTGACTGTATAGGCTCCTGACGAATTCGACAGAACTCCCCTCTGCCGACCAGTCTATCACGGAGAGAGTGCATGTATTTAATACATTTTTCTTTGCGCGTTTGAAGCAGTCGACAAAGTAAGTTAAAGAAGGGTTATTAGAAGAAAGTAGTGTTGGCTCGTATAAAGTGGATGTAATCTCTGCAGAGTAATAACAACTATTGGTTCTTTCTTTTGTTGTGTGTGCAGTGGTGATCCGTACGAGAGCGTAAAGAAATGGACAGCCAAGATCAATCTGTTTGAGAAAGATATCGTGTTTATACCAATTAATGAAAAGTAAGAAGATCTAATCAAGTCACTGTTTTATCATTTGGAATAAGGAGCCATGACTCATACTCTTTCTGATATTGCTAGCTCCCATTGGTACTTGCTTGTTGTTTGCGATGTAAAGAAGTGTATAATCGACGAGGTACGGTTTTAGTTTCACAATCTCATTGGCTATACAAGAATGATTGCTCACAACACACGTTAATATGTGATTTCTTTTTGCTTATTATAACAGACCGAGTGCATCGATTTGTCAAAAGATGGTGGTAAAGATGATAGCAACGATACGTACGTTTATAAGCAGTGTTTTGTGGTTGAAGGTTTTGCAAGCACATTTGTTGTTTACTAATCTTATGTTTTCTGATATACCAATAATGATACAGAGCCATCATTTATTCGTTAGATTCGATGGGCATCTCACGCCAAAGGAGTGCCAACCGGATTATCAAGTACCTGCAATCTGCTGCTCAGGATCGATTAGGAATTGATGCTAAGCAGTTCAAAAAACCAAAATATGTCAAGGCAAATGTAAGTAATTGAATTACGACAAAAGGGAGTCTCACGAGACCCTACAAAAAACGAAGTGGGGGTCGGTGACTAATTTATTACCTATACATCTAATATGTAGGTACCGACGCAGCCAAATTCATATGACTGTGGTATATTTGTGCTACACTTTATCGAGACATTCCTGCAGCAGCCCCAGGAAGTTATGGCTGTGTTGACTGTAAGTATACATACTTCACTCTAATGTTTCTTTTTTTGCTATTTGGCGGAACACAACAGGAAAAAAAGAGTACCCTGCTTACATGCATCTTGTAATACTAACGAACAACAACAAACAAAAATAATGTTTGTAGGAAAAGGAACCGGACGACAAAGTATGGATGCAGGCCAAGATTTCGGAAAAGCGAGAGTATATCTCTGATCTGATCACAGGATTGTGTCAGAGCAACAATCCAATGGAAGAAGATCAAGACCAGGATCAGGAACAAGAGCAAGATACTACTGCTGATGCTAGTGCTCTTGATACTGGCAGTAGCGAAGTTGGAGAAGACCACCACTTGGCAGTCGCAAGCACTGCTAACAGGACTACTATCACTTCATCGGCAGACGATCCTCCTAGTAGTAGCGACAACAATAGCAGAATGTCATCACCAAGTTAAGACTATCGCTATAACTATCATAGTAGTTACTTGTACATACACTATAATATCCCTCCCTGCCTCCCACTAAACCAACAACCTCAAATTGTAACATACCATATTACTTTGCACGCAAATCTTTATCCTGTATAGCATCCTTTCATTCTTTTTTTCTTCATAACTTGCACACACGCACGGATAAGTGATGGTGCCCAACTTTACTATCACTACCACTACTACTTTCTTCATTTTTCTCCATCCATAGTAATCATCTTTACTAAAAATACAATCATGTCATCACTTGAATCTGTACAATTTTTCTAAATTTGTCTAATTTTCATGGTGAGTTATTTTATAGCCATTTGATTGGATCAAGATCTGGTCTGGCTTCCTGTCTTTGGATACTTGAACGGAATAATACATGTTGCTATTGTTTATTCATTACATATGTGTAAATTATCCAAAAAGCCCTATAAGAGAGAAGACCGGTTGAACGTTTATGCTTCTGCCTATTTAAACAATTTGGCCTTGGCATGATAAAACAGCAGTGATGGTAGGATAAAGGAGAGCAGGGAGGAGCCCTTTCTGCTGCCAAGAATAAGTTTTTTTTTCTTTCTCGGCATCAAAAGCGGCTGATATCATGCAGACAGTAGCAATTCAAGACGTATATAAAAGAGAGCAAACTAAGTCCACAGAAAACTAGTTGCTCTTTCGCTCTTCTCTGTTTCATTCACATACACTCTCTATTACATCGTATCCAAACACTCAAAAGACCTATAACAATGAACCAACAATATTACGCACCACCGCCACCTCAACAAGCTTATCAAGGAGGAGGTACATACAAATCATAAAAGCTGGTCTCCTAAAACCAAAGCCAACATATCAGAGTTGATCATTGACCATGCTTGTTTATAGGTTATTATCAGCCGCAACCACCGCCACAGCAAGTGTATCAACAAGCTCCTCCAAACAAGGGTGGCGCTGCTAGTGGAGGTTGCTTGGGTTGTCTTGCCGGATGTCTCGCCTGCTGTGCTCTTGAAGAACTTTGCTGCTGTTGTGTTGAAGACATTTGCTGTTAGTTCCCAAAGGGAAAATTGACAAGCATGTCTTACTACATAGACCGCACATATCCCTATTACGATGTACCCACGCACCAGAAAATACCGGGATAGCTATCTCCAAATGAAACCCATTCAAACGGCCTATTTTTTTCCTACTTTCCCCTTCCCTTGTTGTATCATACACGTATACTCTTCTGCATTTAGCATTCTCCCAAATTTCCATAATCAAACATGCAAGCACAATCAATTCTACATGAAACATGAACAAATATACATTATACATTATACATTCTAGCGTAAATAAATAAACCAAAGTTCGCCAATAACCACTGCTCCAGCTCCTGTTGCAATGACTGGCATTAGTAACAAATTCCATTTCAGGAACTGGAAATAGCCCAACGTATAGATGCCCTTGGTTTTGAGTATATGTTCAAACCTATAAGAGACGAAAAGAAATAAGCAAAACACTCGGCTACTTCTTTTCAACTCGGCGAGGTAATACAAAATAAAGTGCTGGAAAAATGTGGAGCAAAGTAAAAGGGGAATGGGTAGACGAACAACGACGCAAAAGATATATAACGCACACTTACATGATACCTGCTAAACTGCCAACGAGCGTCAAACATGCACCTAGATTGCTCCCGACGACCAGACCTAAAACTGCTGCCTGCGTCACTATATCAGACATGCCCGCATGCTGTGCGAAATTGGGATGCTGCAAGATCCGCGTGAACAATATCGTCATAGGTAGATTGTTGAGCAGCTGGCACGCAAGCAAGGAAATCCCCATCACGCCAAACACTGTGGATACATAGTCATTGCGTGCCACACTGACCATGGCCGTAGCACAAATCCCGATCCACCCTACTTCTGACAAGCCTTCGACAAGAACAAACATGCTCAGCGCAAAGGGTAAAATCTTCCAAGGCATCCGTGCCAGTACGGATGTCATAGTTGGTAACCGTGACCGAAACTTCCAAAGGACATTCATAAACCGATTACGGATCGCCTTATTTGTTGTTATCGGTAATTCATCTTGGCTGGCGTCTGTACCTGCCGCTGTGGCAATGTCGTCATTGTGTTTGTTGTTTACATCATGTCTGCTGTTGCTACGCGATGCTGCTGTTCCTGTTGCTACTGCTGTGCTGCGCTGTCGTACGGGTGATTCGTCGGATGTGGCCATCTCAATCATTTCAATAGATGTCATTGCAGTAATATCCTGTTCGCTCGATACTGATGTAATATTATTATCCCGTAATTGCCGATGATTGGCTGCTGTCGTAGAAGCCGCGGTGGTGGTGGTAGTGGTGGTGGTAATATCGTCATCGTCGTCAGTTGTTTCCTCGTTGTTTTCCGTGGCAGATTTCGGTGATGACGGAATCGGTTCGGCTTTCTTTTTCCACTGTAGCGTCAAATCGTACCAGACATCCCGTAACAGCATAACAACCGCAAAGGGCAGGGTCACCATCCAGACCGATACGCCATGGACAAACGACGTTCCGATCAATGTACACAGACAGACGCCCAATAGTACCAATCCAAAGATTGCGCCTTTGGGATCTACTAATACAGCTTGTGGTTCTTCTTCAGGTGGATGGATCACACTGGGCAAGTATTTCTGACTATGGAACACAACGCGTAATGCCAGATATGCAATGCCCAGACAAATAAATGTTGGTAACAGCATCCATGCAGAGTAAGTGATGAAGCTCATGTTGAAAGCTTCGGCGATGACCACATTTGTTGGATTGCCAATATAAAGCGCCATGGACGCAATGTTGGCAGAGGTAAATTCGCTCATAAGAAAGGCTGTTGGTTGAATATCTGAGACCCGGGTAAAATAGGACAAGAAGGCCGTGCCTGTTAGCACCACGACGTCGTTGCTCGCAAGACCGCTGATCAGGCTCGTCATGATGAAGAACAAGGAGAATGCCATGTGGCCCCGATTGCCGGCGCGTTTCGATACCCAGAAGGCACAAAATTGGATCAAGCCGGTTAAATCAAGGGATATACATAGATAAGCCTATATAACCAGTAAGAGTCAATTTAATCCCACCATCTCCATGTGATAAGTGTAAAGTGAAGGGTCTTTGACAGGGCTGGGATCGCTTACCAACGAGTAAAACAATAGCATGATGGCATAGGGCTCTACACCAATGTTATGGCCCAACAGGCCGTCTCGTATGTTGATCCAATCGATGGTTTTACTTGCGAGAAGGATCAAGACACCCAAGGGCGGGGCAGTGGCAAGATTCAAGTACAGTCGCCAGCCGATCTTGGGCAGGGAAAATTCAAATGGGCGAATGACAAACACCAATGCAGCCAAAAAGATTGCCAAGGCCACCCACGAATAAGCATTCAATTCAACATTGTCGGTTTCAGTTTCCATATTGAAATTGTATAGTGCTCCTTGACATGGCTCTTCGGTTCACCTATTTCCTGTTATTTAAAGAAAAGGACGTTTCGGGTTCGGGTCTTCGGTAGAGAAATCTCGAATTTCTCTCTTTGCTTTAAACCTGAAACTGATCAGCCACTCAAATGCGCTGCATAACGCCACATGTTCCGGACTACATTGGCACAAAAGTAGCAGCCAATCTAGAAATACTACTGCATGTTACTTGAGCTTGTTCCTACTATGTACCCTCACTATGTGTCTTGCCAACATTAAGGGCACAAGGAGTTGATAAAGATTACGCATCAAGATTTCTTACTTTTCCCATTAGTCGTCATGTTTGCTTGTTTAGCGCAGGAAAGATGGCTCTTTTCTAAGTTTGTAAAAGACATACGCTTCGTTCTGCAGAAGGATGATGAGGCGATCCTATATGCCGTAAGAATATCAAGTCAATTATGAGAGTAGATGAAGTTGCAGGTCGTAAAATAGGACATCACGTTTACAGTATATGCCATAAAGATGATAGTGACAGGTGGAAATGATCAATGCTATCATCGTACCATATATAAAAATGTATGTGTGTAAGGACTAACCCCCAAAAAGCTCAAACGCTAATTGTATGTTTCGTGTTTCCATAACTCCTTCTATGTACATATTATATGTATTGGGCCTTCAACCTCCTTCCCAATGATTTTGTTTGGCTTTGCGCATTTGTGGCTGCTGGGCTATAACAAGTAGCTGATTGTTAACTATATGTAACATATTAGAAATTCGAAGGTGAACATATCCTGCAAGCACCTCCGACATATCAGAACAGTCAAACCAAGCACTTATGTACTCTCAAGGTCAGCAAGCCATCTTTTTTTATTTAAAAACGATATAATGAACGTTATCCGTTGTTCTATGAGTAGGTGCAATACCAACGTACAAAATAAAAAAACAAAACTGTAACATATTAGCAAGCAGGCTATTTAATGACTAGTATTTTGGCAGTCGTCTATATAAATTTTAATCGAGAGCGGCGTCGAACACTACAAGGCCATCTTCAGTAACATATCGTATGATAGTGCAGGCGCAAGGTTTTAAGCTGCTTACCATCAGCTAAGCGACGGGGCAATGCATCATTAACTCAATCCAACTGGCAGACGTTGAAGGAACGGGTAAAGGGACTGTATTGTAACTTATCACAGGATAAGATTAAAATTAAACTTGATGCATCAAGTCCAGTAAGAAAGCTTAGCTAAATGTGAGATACTTATAGGGATCTCGAAAAGCCGCTCGAGAGTAAGTTGGGAGCATAATCTTTGTTCCCGTTTATGACGATCTTTTTGAGACCTGTATCTGTCAGGCCTGTGTAAGCTAGGGAATGATAAGGGATAACCATTGGATGACTGCAGTAATTAAACGCGAGGCAATCCCAGTAAACACCTCAGACCGACAGATCAAGCCGAATTATTCGTTGAAGCATAGTCATACGCAAATTCGAGGCTTTTTGTAGCAAAAAAATTACAACGTCGAACAAGCCTTGGCCCCGGATTTACAACGTGAGCGCCCGTAGATCACCCAATTCGCTGATATTTTGTTCCAAAGATACCCTGTATTGCTCTTGCTCATAATATTTTGGTGAAGAAAGCGATTTATTTTTTGGATCATGATACACTTATCGGCGAAAAATATCGCTAAAAAGCTCGATTTGCGGATAAGTATTGTGAAATCGTGGGTGTGACTGGTCGCTTGCTGCTTCCCAATTATCTCGTCGTTGACATTGTCGTATAATCCCAAGTCGCTGTGGGTTTTTATGTACAATGTCGGTGTGTTATTGAGATCCCTGCCTGTTCGCATCCTCGCACGATCAACCGACGCATTCTTGGGCATGTGCGAAGTACTTGCTCCAATTTTTTCGAGTCCAGCATTTTTTAGCCGCAAGGTCAAGGACTTCTAACCCACATACGGAATCAACAGCGTGACATACTTTCAGCAATATCTTGAACGAAGTCGTGCAGGATGGTATGTGATCTTGGTTGAGGGGCAGCCGCAAGCCAAGATGTTTCAGTGTTTGTGCTGTACGCGTAGATCCAGCAAACAAGCATCATAATTGAGGATATTTCATAATGGTTAATGAACTTTCACGCTGCTCGTTTTCTTACGCAATTTTTCATGATTCTGTATCTTGATGAACTCTTTATTTATTATATAGTAAGACATAAGGTTTCGCATAAAGAGCCGCCTTTGAGATTGCTAAAAGGTCCACAATATGACTGCACACATAGGCAACTTTTTGGATGTCGTGCTCTTTGAACCTTTGACCATACTGGTGAGGATTCGGACACATTGATCCGCCGTATTCCGGTACACCGAGTAAGCGGGGGCGCTTCTTGAGACTCAAATATCTCAGTATTCTGGTCACAACCTTGTAGGGTAGCCTTTCCATAACATCAAAACCTTCTTCAGTTTTTGCTTTGGAAACATCGCAGCATTGCTGAAATAGACGTATATGTTCCAAGGCGACTACAATTGAGATCCCGGCCTTTATATCTCTACCGCTTGCACATGATTGCCTCGCATCACTAGCACAGCGATAGTTTATTGATAGTGATTGTGCCAGGGCTATGACCTCCATAGGGTCTTGGTGGGCAGTATTGGATTGCACCATTATGCTGCTGCTTCTGCTTCGAGGAAGTAGCATTCTGGGTACTGACTCACAATATCTGTAATGGCTGAAGGAGCTTACTTATTGATTTTAATGTACCTGCCGTTTCCAAACGAATTTTCACCAGATTCTAGCTTGGCTCGATAAAAGAGGTTTACATCATCTAATTGGGAGTTTCAAAGTGTTGAACGTTCCTAACGACTCTGTTACATTTTGTGTTATCGTCGACTGCCGAGTTTCATTTGCGCTTTGTCATTATTCAAAGTGCGAGAAACAAAACGAATGTTTGACAGGAACCGTTATAATGCAAATACAAGGTCACTTGTTATAGGACCTGGTGAATATGTAGCTTAAGAAACAATCCTATCATTTGTTTCTATTTTCCACGATAATAAGTGTATTCGTAACAAGAAAACCCATGGTACATGATGTAGAAATCACACTGTCATGTGTACTCCATATATGTAAAGGAATCCAGTTTCCTTGTGTGTATATTACATAGAGTAATGTTGAATCGCAACTCTGCAGTCCCATGGTTGAGCAAGATCGACACTTCATACAGTATTACACAATGACAATGTGACCGAGGGTACATTACCGGATAAAAGGATGTTTGTACCAAACCTTGCAACGATAAAGAGATACTTTATAAAAAAAAGAAACAGATAGTAAAAACACTCGATTCTGTCATAGCATCCAAAGTGGACGAAATGAGTCATATATGATGTCTATGGAATAGCCAGTTGGAGATGTGATAAGTTGGTTTCGGAGCGCAGCACCAATGTATTCTTATAACTCAAACAACCAATCTTCCAAAATCCTAAGTTACTTTAGACTGGAGCTAATGACGAAAGGCCTGGGAGACACCAAGAACAACATGTGATGAGCCTGAGATAGACCGAGGAGTCGGATATCGGTCAGGTTGTAACACGACGCAGCTGCAATAACATTTTAAGGTCACTTTGAGAACTGTAAAAGAAATCTGTGCACGTTCGTGCTGCAGCAATGCAGGAAGCGTAATCACCGAAGGTTTAACCGATTATTGAATGTGATTGACCTGCTTTCATGAAATATTTTCAGGGTGGTAGTGTGCTTAAATCATCAACCAATTTGCGCTTAGAGAATCTTAAGCAACTTGCCGATAGTGCTTGAAGCATATACAATCCATGTGCCCTATGAGTCAGTTAACAGGAAAATGTAACACCAGTACTCGCTTGCTGCTATCGTACTGGCAAGAGAGTGACTTTCCGGATTGAAGCAAAAGACGAATAGCGCCGTAAAGTCGATAAGTGACTCCTGAGCCTTTATCCCACCACGTGCAAATAATGAAGGCGCTATAAAAAAGCTAGAGAATGAAGCAGCCAGTGAAACAATGATGATCGAAAACAATCTTGGCATCTACTATGCTATCTTTGTTGTCATTTACAAGGAAGCTTCTGCTTGACTAAATAGAAAGAAGTAAGAATTAACAGTGATGCTGACTATTTCCTAAAAAATAATACAAAAGAGAGCTCGGATAAAGAATAGCTGCGCGACAGCATATCAGTAGTAAGCAGTACGCTATTAATGGTAAAAGAGTTTAATCAATAATTATAGTATCGGTTATTACCCGTTGTACTATTGTCGTGATACGATTAAAAGACCGAAATAGCCGAGTTCTATACGAGCTTGTAGGGTAAGATCCAACTAGTTTATCGGCGCTGAGATATTGACAAGACTCTCGTATGATGATTGTGATGCTAATGATAATTTCGGATAAAGAAATGTTCGTTGATGCTGTGTAATAGCCCAATCTAATGGCGTATGTGATTTGTGCTTATTTTCTTTTTATATTGGCGGTGTGGTGACATCGACGCAAGTTTCATTATTTTTCATATGGTGTTGCACATTCATAGCAGCCCTGAATCACCGTAAAGTTCATTTTGTCCAACACAAATGGTCACATGGTTGGTAACATGGTTCTCGCTTTTTAAGCAAGATCTGCTTTTGTTCGTTTCCATTTTAAGGATCGATGATAGGGATCATGGGCGATACTCTCCAAGATGTGGCGTTGTTGGTAAATGAAATTAGGCTTCCTTCCTTTGTAGTAAGAGTTGATTGGTTCTTTTCTGCTGCTTATAACAGATTTATCAGTTAATACGTTGTTGACAAAGTTAGTATGTAGTCCAACGCTCATGATAGCTTACATCATGCCTTTACCCACTTTGTACATATGTGGACGTACATATTAATAACATCGATGAACGATTACAATGCTACATACTATCATTACTGTATAGGATATAATAACTTTTTATTTTCGGTGGAAATAGGAAATCTTTTAAATGGAAAAGGCCGATAAAGGATATTTTATGAAGGATTGAATAATAGCAAAGTAGTACATTGTTCGGTGATATCTGTGAGGAAGAGAAATAATACATATAAGTAAGATAAGGGAGGTGGGGGGATGTGAGCTTGATGGATTCTGTTATTGTGGCACTGTTGTTGAATGTGTGCGTGTGTGTGAATCAAGTAGTAGTAGTAGTAGTAGGTAGTAGTAATGATAGCAGCAGCAGCAGCAGCAGTAATAGAGGTAGAATAGCGGGTGAAAGAAAGAAGAAGAAAAAAGGATAGTGCGATTATCTTTTCTCTTTTCTTACTGAGCCGAAGCAGTAGGCAACTTCATCAGACCAAAGTACTCAAAGGAGCGCTTGACCTCTGTCTTCTCGGCATAGTATTGGATCTGAGACTGGATGGTCTGCAAGACGGGCAACACTTGATCTTGCAAGCCTTGAGCGACTCCACGGGCTTTTTCGTAAGCAGAAATATCGGTACGGCTATACTGCGATCGCACGAGCTCGATTTGCTTGGCAGCGATATCGACGAGCGAAGCAACACGGGCCTTGAGCCATTCGGATTGAGGTTGCTGCTTGAAGTAATCCATGACAGAGTACACCTGGGTGGTGACCTGGTTGGTCAACTGCCAGATTTGCTCGGTGGTCTTTTCGGGCATGACGAAGCGCTGTTTGGCAGCCTCGGCGTACACGCTCAACATGCTTTGAAGAGCGACAACGTTGGTCGCAGCCGCGCTGACCGTGCGCGACTGAACGTTTTTGGTGAGGCGAGTGGCGGCAGTGTTGAGCAAGCGATAGACACGTGCACCCTGGTTGTCGCTCTTGCTGTCGATGCTCTTTTCGTTGACGGTAGTGCCGTTGCCGTTGGATTTACTGTGTTCGGTCTCCTCGGCAGACGCAGCAGGAAGATAACGCTCAAGGATGGTCTCCATATTGTCGACAACACGGGCAAGACCCTCGTTGGCTTGCTGCTTGGGAGCAGGGAATTTCTCCTGCAAAAGGTCTAGCGATCGGCAGCCAAGAGCGTCGGCGCGGTCAAGGTGGGGCTGGACGTAGCTCTCGTAGTAGGTCTGGACGTATTTGGGTGGTTTGGCGTTCAAAGCCATGCGGCCCAACGAGGTCGAGTTGGCGTAAGCTTGCACGTTCGAAACACTCTCCTGAACGATCGGGATAGACGAAGTCACACGGCCAACAAACGTTTCGGCCTTCTCCGAGTGCTTGAGGTCGACTGCTTCATCAACTATTATTTTAAACAGGTAAAGATCGTAAAAAAAGATGTTGGGGTCTTTGCTATTAGTAACCCAGCAAATATGCGTGCATGCGCCGCTGTTGTCAGGCAACAAATAGAAAGGAACAGCACTCACTTTTAGCGGCGGGCATTGTTCTGTGTTGTTGCTTTATTGGTGGTGGTGGTGGTTGTGCTGTGGGTGTACGCACGTTGGAGCGTCAAGTAAGAGAGGGAACGGTTGAGGAAGCGAGAAAGAGAAAACTGGAAAAAGAAGGGAGAATGAAAACGTCCGTTTTATTGTTTGAAAAAAGAAAAACCATGTGAAAGAGAAATAATGTGCGCTTTGCAGCGCTGTTAGTCTGCGCTGTGGCTGATGACACCCACAGCAAAGGGCTATCGGGCATTCATCCGTGAGGTTTCGCCTGATTAGGCTCTTGCCAACGAGCCGACACCGCTTTCACATGGATGTGTATGGGGCCGCCCATCTTGCCTTTCTGCCTGGTCAATGCTTTTATCGCGCTGCTGAGTTGCTGCTCGTGTGTCTACTGCTTCAAGGTAACTTATCAAGTCGAAAGGGAGCCGGCTGTTGATGATTTGTCCGTCATGTCGTCGCTTACAACGCTTTTACACGTGAAGAAAGAAAGACGCTGCTTGATGCGCATGATCTCTCTGATTGCTGCTGTGACACCAAAACAACAATCACCGTCAACCGGAGCATGAAAAAATAATCGATCATGTCTGAGAGCAGTGGGGAACAGCAGGAAAACTCGCGTTATTATACTTGCTTTTTATACGATGGGAGAAAAGAAATCAAAAAAGCCAAAAAAAGACAAGAAGCACAAGAAGCACAAGAAACACAGCCATCACCATAGTGACAGCGACGACGATCAAGAGATTGACTACTCGGATCCCTCATTATGGGTAGAAGCCGAGCCGTCCTCTTCATCCGCAGCTCCGCCTGCAACAACTACAACTGCTGCTGCACAAGAGCCAAAAGCAGAAGGAGGTCCACCACCGCGCCATGAATGGATGCTGAACGATGCATTCGATTTCGGATCTATGGGTACTGCACGACCCAAACAAGAAACAAAACCCGATCCTGATCTGGTAAGCCATCCTCCAAGACTGGATCGATGCATAAATAATCTTAATGAGAGTTTTTTTGACACGAGAATATACACATATTAGCCTAAAATCAGTCATCGTGAGTTGAATCCACATCTCAGGGCTGGCTTGAATGTCGACCAATATCCTACTACTAGTAGTAGTACTGTAACGAAATCGACGTTCAAGTTTGGCGATGCCGGATCCAAGTGGCGTATGACCAAGCTGAAACGTGTCATGGAACAAGCCGAGGACGAAGGGCTGACAATTGAAAAAGTTGGCATTGAGCGTTATGGAGTAAGTTGATCCTATATTTGGGAGAGAGATTGATGGGATGTAGGGACAGGATGGATGAGATAGAGTAAGCGAAAAAAAAGAGAGTTCAATTTGCCCATTTCCAGCACAAAAAGAACGAAGCTTATTTATTCTAACGTTTCAAAAAATGCTTCAATAGTCGCTTGAAAAGCTCAATGAAGCATTGGATGAACGCGCGTTCTTGGATGGTAAAAAGAAACATTCATCCTCTTCATCAAGATCGTCGTCAAGGAGAGATTCACCGCCAGCTTCATCATCAAACACCAGCAAACGCTTCATGTATGCCGAGACAGATGCAGCGTCAAAATCATTCAAACGGCCAGAGAGCGTGGATGAGTTCGGTCGTGAACTGAAACGGCGGAAAAAGTCACCAGATACCTCATCTCCATTAATTATTACACAACATCAGATGCCTGCCGCTTTCTCGTCACCTGAACCGATCTTGACACGCGATCAGCTAAACAAGTTGAATGCCGAGGTGTTGAAGGCCAAGCTGATGGGCAAGGATAACGCAGAAGAGCTGGAGAAGGAGTACCAGAAGCAGCTCCAGTTATTTGAAGCTGCAGAGACAGGCGTTGCAGAAGGAACAGTAAGTTCTCTGTCTGTGTTATTTTGGCATACGCTGCGAAAGGGATGAAAGTTTAATCAGTGTGTATACCTACAAAGGATCAGGATGGCAAATCAGTCAGCATACTGCCTACAGTCGACAGTGGGGGCCGATTCTATGATTATGCACTCTCAAACGACAGCACAATAAGCTCCGATCGCAAGGGTAAAAACAAGGAACGGTTTCAAAACACACATGATCCCAAGACTGGCGAACGACTGCGATATGGTACCACCGACGACAAAATCTCATTGATGGATATGGTGCGCCAAGAAAAGGCAGGTAGTCGGGCGACATCCAACATGGATCTCGAGTTTGCCAACAAGATCATGACCGATGCGACGTTTGAGAACAATCTTGATTACATGGACGACAAGGCTGAAGTGATGGGTGCGCGCAAAGGGATGACAGAAGAACAAAAGATGCGATTTGCGGTCAGGGACTATAAGCGGACACAGGGTGCTTTGGAGAAGTGCCGGTTCTGCTACCATGACGACAAGTCGCCACAATGCTGCATGGTCTCCTTGGCAACCCAGACATATCTCGCATTACCAAACGTTCAAGAGCTCACACCTGGCCACTGCCTGATCGTGCCAATACAGCATGTCACATCCATGCTCGAGTGCGATGACGATGTGTGGGATGAAGTGCGGGTAAGTCTTTTCAGGGGTTGAATATGTGTATTGTGTGTCAAGTTTATTTTAACTCTTGTACTATGTTGTTTTAGAATTTCCAAAAATGTCTGCTCCAAATGTTTAACGAACAAGGCTGTGGAGTTGTCTTTATGGAGACCGTCACAAACTTGCGTAGCCATCGACATACGGCCATTGAATGCATTCCCATTCCATATGGCGTCTATGAAGAGGCACCGGCATATTTCAAAGAATCGATTCTTGGCGTCGATGAAGAATGGTCTCAGCACAAAAAGCTGATCGAAACAACCTCACGTGGGTTCCGCAACTCGATGGTCAAGGACTTGCCATACTTTCATGTATGGTGTGGCCTAGATTCGAGTTATGGCCACGTGATTGAAAATTCTAAAGAGTTTCCTCATTGGTTTGGTAAAGAGACGATCGCTGGTATGCTCGATATCGGACCTGAGCTGTGGCGGAAGCCAAGGTACCATCACGTGAGCGAGAATCGATCAAGGCAGTTGGCATTTTTGAAGGACTGGGAACAGTGGGATTGGACGGCAGCATTACCGTCCTAGTGTTTACAGTTGTTTGTAGCTCTTTAATAAAGTACTTATCATGCAAGGAATAGGAAGATGCTAACGTGAAAGGGGACAATATTTTACATACATTATGCGATTTACGAAAAAGCAAAAAAAAAAAAAAGGAGGGCTGCTTTACGGTAAAGGTGCTTTAGATCAAGTCAGGTGGGTATTAATTGATTTTGTTGTTGTTATAAGGGAATTGGAAAGGGTGGGTGAAATGATAGACATACTATAAAAGTAGTAGCACATGAATTAATGGACAATAACCCGTGTTGGTGTATTGACTAATTGGATAGCAAGATCCAGCTTTTGCATCCAGGCTTCCTGCTGTTCCGCAGACTGTGCTCGCACAACATGTCGCCTCCTAATGGCAGGTCCAGAACTGCCGTAGTTTTGGTGGAAGGCGGTGATGTAATCGGCATTGCCTTCCATGACTAGTACCTCGAACCCATATACGGCAATCGGCACGGATGGCTTTTGCTGCACGTCTTTTTTATTGTTGCGAAACGTAGTGAGAATATTCGTTGTTTTTCGCCCAGACTTGGGATCCAATATTTCCGCAGCCAGCTGCGGCAGGATGGGTCTAACTAGAGCGCCCCGTAACTCCAGTTTACCCTTGAGCTGAAGTTTACGATTGGATTGTTTGCAAAAAAGGAGCATGTCGTTGTAGAGAATGTAGGTGCGGACGTCGGATGTGTCTGTAGGATCTTCGAGATTGACTTTAACCAGTGGTGCACGGACAAGGACACGTCGTGTTAGCGTTACTGTTGCAGGGCAGTTGGGCATGGCGCGTTGGACGTCTATCACCGACACGTGCTTTTTGCAGTCTGCTAGTCGACCCTGGTATTGCTCGAAGCGAAACACGCCGGCAGCCTGTTTCAGGCCTCGATAGTCAGGATGGCCGGGCATCGTGCTCTCTACGAGTCGCTCAATTGTGAAGAGATAGACGTTTATGCGTTCAAGTGGCAATCGTAGAAAATAGTTTATGTCATGATCGGCAATAGTCACCTGGTTTTTGGAGATGATAAATTAGTCATGCTTCTATTCCCATCAGAGCGATTGGAAAAAGGGATAAACTCACGTTGACAAGTTTGGTAAACGAGGAAGCTTTATACAATTGATCGAGCGCGACAATGGCTTTTCCTATTCGCTTCATAAATTGCTCATATTGCGGAAACATGTTGTTGTACTAATCATAAAAATCGCATTAGTTTCACAAGCATTTTCGTGGTTCGACTTGGATATGCTTGACACTTTGATGAGAATGGAATTCGACTTACGAGATCAAGAAGGACATCTGAAATCAATTGAGTGGGTCCCCACATTTGCTTTCTGGAATTCATAATAGAAGCCAAGATGAGCAAACAAATATTTCTGTTTCACTCTCCCTCTTTCTTCTGTTTTTTACCTGTCCTTCAGTGCCTGGCAGAAAGGGTGATGGATTTTCAATAAATCGCCCCATACTCTGAATAATTCCTCAATGTCTTGTAGGTGAGCGCCACTCGTCTTGCTACTACGTCGATTCTGATCGAACCATATTTGGATGCGAGTGGCAAAGACTTCTTGGAACGTGGTGAGTGCATGCACATATTCAATCTCGGATTGATGCAGTTCTTCGAGCGCATGTTGTTTCTTTGCCACGACGCGGGAAGCGTCAGCAATTGAGTTATCTACACGATAACAAGTTAGCTGGTGTAGTATGTAAGAAGAGTGTAGATGGTAGGGGCACGTAGTATTAGAATAGATAAGCACCATCAGTTTCTTCTTCGTCTTCTTGATAAACCATCATGTCATCGATGATGCTGAGTTCATCAATCAACTGATTGTATTGACCATTAAGAAACGAGAACCTTGAGGATGTATTGCTACTACTTGTTGTTGTCATTGTTGTGGTTGGACTTGCAGCAGAAGATGTTGTTGAATATCGATCGTGTTGTCGCAAGTGCCCGCCTTGCATACTGTACTGGTGTCGAATGGAAACAATAAAAAAGGACGTGTTGGACGTGGTTGATGGGTGAGGGGAAAGAAAACCAGGAAAAGAAAGAGGGACTTGGATTTTGTTTTTCAGACAATGTGAGATAAGAAGGAAAGCTTAACTTACCAAAGACTCCATATACGGGATCGGCTTCCATTATCTTTGAAATAAAGGAGGGAAGCAGCGTGGATCCCGGCGTTATCTATCGTTTCACAAAGGATAACAGACCATTTCTCAATCATACAGAGTAACTCCCCTTATTTGTCGTTTCTTTCCCTTTGTTCCATTACTTCAACTAGTACATACGTACGTGCGTTTGTCTCCTAACAGAAGGGTTCCATGCTGTCCATAAGCGAATATATTTACAACGCATTATAGGCGTATCTTGGAGCAAAAAAAATAGATGGCCAAGATTATTATAGGCAAAGAAGGTGGAGAACAATGGACAAAAATGATCGCATAACTGCTGCAGGGTAGAAAAGGGGAAAGATAACGATGAGCGTTCTATTTTCTCGAGTTGCAACAGAAAATGTGTATGTTGTTGTATGTCTCTGTGGTGTGGGTGTCTGTCTTTCTTTTTTTTTGTGCGCTAGATAGGAGAAATACCTCGGATCGTCATTGTTGTTGTGCAATCATTCGGAAGCAAGTAGGTGCGTGGGTTGTAAAGTTACCACATTTTTAATCCAAAACAGTAAATTAAGCTGCATGCTGGTTTCCCTCGAATCTTCCGCTGTGTGCTTATACGGCAACTGCTGGTGAAATTGTATAATCATCATAACGATGGTGGAGTTATAAAAGGTACCATGGGCCTGATAGCAGATTCAGTTGCCATCTTCGTGTAGATATGACAAATTCAATAGTTGCACTGGGTCTCAGCGCAACAAAAAAGATCAATATGCTCGAGCTTTCCCACCTCACTACATATAAATGAAATCCACCTGACAGTTGTTGTATTTACCCAAGAATACAAGACCATTATTTGCAACTTCTCCGATAGTGGGCGCTCCTAAAGAAAAAAGCGTCTGCACTACGTTAAAAAGCAAGATATGGTTGGGTTGAGTGTCCAATAGAATTAGATGCGTCTAGCCACGCATTGACAGAAAATAATTTCTGTTTAAATATACTGAGTGTTTCACTTTTTTTATTGCACCATTGTCACTGTCATCATGGTCTCCTAACAATAGTTTTAGAGTAGAAACTACATATGTTTATAATCTGGAAAGATACATATTAGCCAAATCCGGGCAAAAATGCTCTTTTTCCCCTCGTACAAAATCTTTTCTGTAAGCGAAGAATGGGCTCAACAGCAAGCACTTATTCCACAAAGCGACACCGAACGGAGGACACAAATTCAATGGCTGTAGGCTCGGTGGTTCCAAATGCATATGAACGGCTCGTTTCAATTCTTGATCGTCGTGCCGAGGCATTCGGGATGCTGGGACATTACAACTAGAGTGCACTCCGAGACGTCGATTTCATGTTACAACTCGCATCGTCACTACCAACAGGCCATGTTTGCGCTGGCAACTTACACTCAATGCGTAGCAAATTACTTTTAAAGCAATTCAGATATATGCAAAGGGATCTTGAAACGTTTACGGCGACGAGCATCGACTATAACTTGCTCATCGGCGGGATGCAGCGCGTGCAAGAAGCCAAATATGATTTGATAACGTGTGACAACTGCCAAACGAACTTGTAACATCATCGTACAAGACATGGGTTCTAAACAATTCTTATACTACTCGATGTTTTTCAAGTATGGCGCGACAAGCAATATGATAATTCATCTGCATGTTCGAGGGTTTAGCCAAGTAGACCGTATCACGACCAGCGACATCAAGCATCTTACTCATGTCAGCAACAACGTTAAGAACTCGACCTTCCGAGCGCTCTGTTCCATCTTATCCGCCACTTATTTGACGACCTACGTATCTCGGTAATACGGAAAGCCACCAGTCACGATATATCCATCCTGCACGCGACGTACTACAAGGTTCCATCCTCAGCCCATTGTTGTATGCCTCATTTATCAAAACACTTTCTAACCGACTACGTATCTGTATGTATAGTCTGGGGAAGCATCCGCTACTACTACGCACTACACCGCCACCAACAAAAACGGAAGCAGCTGTACAAACACTATCCTATTCTAGAGACGAAAATGGTCACCGAGCGCAGCGCCGTTCAGATAGTGCTCTTACTCTGGTATACGCATTACTTTATGCTGACCATGTTGCGCTAATGGGTCCTCCAGACGACATGGTACATCTTTTGGCTTTGGCAGAACAGCACTCACTAGGTTATGGTTTTATCGATGGCACCCAGACAATCGTGCAATAACTGAACCTTCTCCATTAGCGATAACGTCGTTTACAAATAGCCCACATAGCAGTCAAGAGCTACTTCACAGTATACCAAATACAGTACAATACATTGATCCGCAATAAAAACAGCTTCCAATACCTGGTATGCATTATGTCGAGGATCGGAAATGAGACGAGCAGTTCGTGAGACTCTTGATGCTAATATGCTTATCAACCAACCTATCACCAAGTCAACAGGTAGCATGGTCTTGCTACGAGAACTCGGAATCCATCAGTATGAAATTGGACTATGGCCAGCACTAAGCACGTATCGCTTTTTTTATCGACCAATCCTCAAATATGAGCTTGCTATCACAGCTCTCTCCGCCATCCAGCTAGAAAAGCTGCATAAAGTTCAAATCGGATGTATCAAGATGATATTCAATCGCAGCAAATCGACCAAATTCACAACCATAGTACCTAGGGTAATGGCCGATCTGCCCTCAATGCAGATATGAGCCCGCGCATTGCAACTCAAGTTCGCCCGTGGCTCCGATCGCTACCAGTGTCCACCATGGCCCGTGCAGTGGAACTTATTAAAGCTGGAGACAAAGGGAAACCAAGCGACTCCTGATGGCGGCGATTAACAGCAAACAATCTCCTCCAACAGGAGTATTAAATACTACGGAATGGGCAGGAGTCATCAGATAACCCAATCGCCAAGGCAAACAACAAGAAACGGGATGACGAGATTGCCTCCCGCTGTTCTACGTTTAAGACGATTCGGTGCCTCTGACCACAGCGTAAGGTGGACCCAGTGCTATATCTAGCGGCCTCCTGAAAGGACCGGCACAGGTTGAGCAAATGGCATATGCACTGACTACCGTCATACCCGTTGAAGTACTGTGAATGTGATGCTGTCACGGCCCTCTAGGGAACACTACGCCACCTTTCCAGCGTTGCGGACTTTAGGACAAGAGCTACTCGATGCATTTGGAGCGATATCTGACCTCGGAAACGAGGAACAAGAACTCGACTACATCCTGAACAACCTGCGGCGATCCGACGCTGGTCTGGTCGGCGGTAAAGGGAAAAGAACATGGCCAGCACTACTACAGTCCTCTGAATGTTTCGACCAGTTGAGCCATACGGATGAGGGGTACGACGATGACGAACCAGCTCCCGAAGAAGCCCTACACTGCAGCGCATCAATAACAGAAGGAAGCCACCCATAACTCCTACAGCATTACCTATACGCGTCAATTATCTACTTTTGTATATATACTACCACCACACAGGCCTGTCTTTTTCCCAATAGGGTTCTTTCAGACATGCGCCAGATCACACTATATTCCTAAACATACGTACCGCAGGAAGTTACCATCTTTTTATAGAAGAATGTCTATAAGTCTTCCACGATTGCGTACTCTTTAACTATGTACAAAGAAGACCTATCGACACCTGTTTTGGCCGTCCTATGAGTTGTTTGATCATTGATAGTCGAGCGGCCAGACAGTTGTTTGAAAATCACTGTTTCACAATCCAGACCTTGAAGCTGGTTTCCTGCGAATTGTTCATCGAAAACTGTCACACATGATCCGAAACTCACCAGCCTCCAATCCCTCTCAATGTACATTACGGATCATAAAGCAGTATTGACCGATGTTGTAGCTGCTTACTGTATTTGCGAAAATCACAAAGAAGTCAATGATATTTCTTCGAGGATAGCTACAATATGTGCCAGGACAAGAAATAGCTGGGGCCGTTGCAAGTCCACGCCATCTACATGTGGAGCTGGAGTTTCCCAATCGTACAATAGATGGTGAGACTATGCAAGCGTTGATTTATGCTCTGGTATGTAACAACGTGAAGCAAAGTATTGTGTTTCACGGTGGCAAAAGTTGTATTATAGACAGTGCCCTCGAGTTTTTGCCTGATGTACATCTACGCTGCAACACATGTTATTTTCTGATATCGAGGAATAACATGGCTCGCTTCTGTAAAGGACTAATCAGATCATGCATCGAATCGATCGTGTTTTTATCCATTCGGGAAAGCATTGATGATACAACGCTTACATGTTTGCCTGCTATAATTAAAGGGCTGAAAAGGCTGAATCTTGTCTTTCAATATGAAAGTCATGAGAGCTGCTTTCGACAACAAAGATGCTGATGTTATTGCAATAAGTTATAATCTGACTTGCCCAATATTGAATAAAAATCCCCAATGTAATAATAGTGCTTATCGAATAATAGGATAAAACTATCATCTTGCTATACAGTCGACCCCCGTTAACGTCAACCCTCAGGGTACCAGCAAAAGTGTTGACCATATCGAGGGTTGACCACCACCGGGGGTAGAGAATAGGCAAAATCTTTAACTGCTAAATTTGAAAGGGTACCAGCGAATCGGTTGACGCTATGGGGGGTTGACGTTATCGGGGTTGACGTTAACGGGGGTTGACTGTAGTTGTCTATCGCTTCATTATAGACATTAACTCGTTAGCAATTACGGTACCAGGCAATTACCTCATCATTTGGGGCCGTTATTGGCGTAATATGCGAAATTCTGCAAGCACGTCTGAGGAGCTAAGCTTGCATTAATTTTATACATGAGGTATTATATAATAAACGAGGGACTCGGCTACTTGTTTCGCTCTAACAGTTCGTTGGTTTCTAGCTGCTAGCAGTTGGAAGTTGCGCGTGTCGATAGCAGTGTTGTCTCCAAACTTAATCCTGGGATTACTACGTAATTTCCCAATCGTTTTAAGATACTACAGTATACTAAGTCGATGATATTCAACTATTATAATCAGTAGTTTGGCGCCATCTTATCCCCGTTAAAATCGCAACCGAAAACAGCAAATAAAAAAGCGGTTTACCAAACAAAAGCTAGAAGATAGCCTGATGTTTCCGACGGTAAGTAGCTCTCACTTACTTCCGCACTCCCACTCTTTCGACAAAACCCCTTTCTTGTTTGTTAAAAGGGGGCACTTGCTTATAAGGAAAGGAGAAGGTCTCATACAAAAATAAAAGAGTGTAAGTAAAAGCAGCAGCAGAAGCAGCAGCGAGGGGTGTTGAAAGGGTTAGCTTTTTAAGGGCCATACATTTTATCAAATTCGCCCAGAGGTATCAACTAAGCCGAAGGGAGGTTATAGCAACTCTCGCTCTCTTTCTTTCTGCCTTTTACCTTTCCGTTCCTACCTACTCTTTAGCTCTTTTCCTCGTTCTCTCACTGTATATCGACAAAAGAAATGTCGTTGTCGTCACCAGCGACGGTATCAACCGAATATGACCTGTGCCAAGTCGACTCAGCAAACCAAATCACCGAGTTGCTTCGACAACGTTTCCTTGACGATCTATGTTTCACTACCATTGGATGCTCTGCTCTCGTGGCTGTAAATCCATACCGACAACAGCAGCCATTATCTGCAGAAACCAGCGCCCACTATGTAGAAGAATACAAGGACACCCATACAAAATCAACGAACACGACGCCTCATCTATGCAAGCTATTGAACGACGCATATTTTCAATCAAGAAGGCGAAGTCAAAACCAATCCATCATGTTCAGGCAAGTGCCCAGGTTACTGCATCATTGGAGAGGAGATTGTAAATCATTTGCCCCCCGATTTTTTTTATTTTTGCTTGTAATGTCCTAACACACTCGCACTCACACACTGCACACCTGCTTTTTTGGGGGGTGGACGATCAACACACTACAGTGGCGAAAGTGGCAGCGGCAAATCCTTTCTTTTTACACAGTCCATTCACCACTTGATTGCGCTCAGCACACACAACAACAGTAAACCGTCACGAATACAGCAAAATGTCATTCAGGCAAACACACTCATTGACCTGTTTGGTAATGCGAAAACGACCATCAATGACAATGCTTCACGTCTCGCAAAATATCTTCAACTCGGCTTTTCCGATCGCGGACGACTCATATCAGCCCAATGGTTCGCACCTTACGCTTTAGAAAAGAGCAGAGTCACCAGCAGCACCGAGCGGAACTTTCACGTCTTCTATGCACTTTTGCTCGGTAGTCCCCGCGAAGAAAAGGTTCGCCTGCAACTCCTGGACCAACCCTTCAACTACTTGTTCATGCGCCCTGGTGCCACAACCAACACGGCAAGCATTACCGCTAATACGGCAACAACAGATGAAGACGCCGAAGCCCAATATCAGCAGCTGCGACTCGCACTAAAAGCACTTGGTTTTTCAAAACCCAAGGTGGCACAAATATTCCAGGTTTTGGCTGCTATTCTCCACTTGGGCAATATTCAGTTTGTCCAGGATCCGAACCATATGCAGGATGCAGCCGTCGTCCGCAGCTTAGAGCCATTGGATATGGCGGCGGAACTATTGGGCGTCGAAGCATCTGCTTTGCAGAATGCATTGACGTACAAGAGCAAATTGATAAAACGCGATATCACCACCCTATTTTTAGACGCAGAGCATGCTAGCAAACAGCGTGATGATTTGGCAGAGGCGCTCTATGTGCTTTTGTTTAGCTGGATCATAGATCAAATGAATGGCAAGCTGGATAAAGGAACAGAAGCAGCAGCAACAATCGGTCTGTGGGATATGCCAGGCCATGCACAGACAACACTACCCTTCGATGCGTTTACGCACCATTTCGTTGCTGAACGCATGCATCAGTGGATGATGATTTCAACTGTACAGCAGCAACCACTACAACAGCAGCAGCCAGAAGAAGCTAGTATCAACACTATGCTCGATGTATACTCACATCCAGCTAAAGGCGTGTTTAGCGCACTCAATGCACCACAACAACGATCGTCATGGGTCGAACATTGGGCTAGCGCCAACAAAAAGACGGAAACGCACCAATTCACAGTGCAACATTTTTGGGGACCTGCAACATACACACCCGATAGCTTCCAGAGCCGCAACGAAGACTATCTGTACAGCGACTTTTATTCACTCTTCCGCGGCAGTGCCTACTGCGAACCGGCCAGCAATAGTTTGGTAGCAGCTCTCTTTGCAGAGCAACGCGGCGACCACCGCGTGCTTTCAGCCCAATATGGCATCAAACCTACTTCGGCTCCACCGTCTAATGCTGCAGCAGGAGGCGAAAAGCCAGCGTCAGCATTAACAACACCAGCAGGCGCAGCGCCACCAACAGTAACTGAACAATTAATGGATGGCATGGCAGAACTAACTGCAGCACTGGCGAACACTACGCCATGGTTTGTTCTTTGCATGCGACCGAACGATCTCGGACTGCCCAATTCGTGCGATGCACGCAAGATTAATCAGCAGCAGACAAGTTTACAAGTGCCGTTAATTGCACAGCGTATGCGGAAGTATTATGATACAACATTCACTTTGGAAGAGTTTGTGGAAAGGTATGCGGTGTCACTGCCGATCACCTTGTCAACTACATATCCATCACACTTGACACAAACTCGTGACAAATGCCAATGGGTATTGCAAACCTTGAGCTGGAATGAGCACCAAGCCGTGATTGGACAAGATAACAAGGTTTGATTCATTGATTTTATCTCAAGTGTATAACGAGAAGCCTCGGAAACTGTTAACTGATATACGGTGGAATTGTGTATCAGATATACCTGTCTAATGCAGCTTTCCGGATACTTGAAAATGATCTGCGCAGCCTAGAGAAATCCGAGTCTAAGAAATCTAAAATGGCAGGCCAAGGTATGCCTCAAAATGTATGATGAACTGCTCGAATTGATTGAATGACTTGCTGATTCAACCCTTGGCAGGTTACCTTGACGGCTACTCAATCAATGATGACCAAATGTCTTCGGCTATGTCAGACGATTTTATAGACAATTCAAGCATGCCGCCTCCAGAATTTGCCGGATCAGACATATTTTCTCAGCATAGCGGCAGCGAGTATGTACACGAAACCAAGGCAGCATACTACAACGAAGCTTCGCGTCAACGAGATGAAGACGAGGAAGAAGAACCTCCCGTGTCCGGTAACCGCCGCAAATGGCTGTTCGTTGTATGGCTCCTTACATGGTGGATTCCTTCTCCTTGCTTGTCGTATTGCGGCGGCATGAAGCGCAAAGATATCCGAATGGCATGGCGAGAAAAGGTGGCGCTATGTATCCTAATCTCTCTAATGTGCTTAGCCATGATTCTGTTCATCATTGGCTTTGGTCCGCTGATCTGTCCACACCAAGACGTGTACTCTGTTTCTGAGCTGCAATCCAAGTCAGACAAGAAGAGTGCCTATGTGGCAGTTCGAGGCGAAGTATTTGACTTGACAAAGTTTGCGCCCCACCATTGGGCGTCCGAAGTAATCCCTGACAAGGTTGTTTTTGACTATGCAGGCAAGGACGCCACCAACTTATTTCCGGTGCAGGTCTCTGCCTTGTGTGATGGCACAACCGGCTCCGTCAACGATCAAGTTGTCCTCGACTTCCAATACAATCTGACCGACAAAAATGCTGCATACCACGACTTCCGCTACTTTACGGACGATTATCGGCCTGATTGGTACTTTGAGCAGATGGTTTACATGCGCAAAAACTACCGTCTTGGCTTTATGGGCTATGATCCGGACGATATTCTGAAGCAGGCGACCAACATTGTCACGGTTGGTGAAATTCAGACGCACAGACAATGGGCGATTTTGCATGGTGATGTTTATGACTTGACATATTATCTGATGGGTGGACGAGCCCCGCGTGCTCCTAAGGGCCAGCAAGCGTTGGCCAACCTGGATATCAACTTTATGGATAATGGAATCGTCGAGTTGTTCCGACAGCTGGCAGGCACTGATATCTCTAAGCATTTTGACGCACTTCCCTTGGACCCAGCCTTGCGTAGTCGACAAATGGTGTGTCTCCGCAACCTATTCTTCGTTGGCAAGCTAGATACTCGCCGGTCGATCCAGTGCCAATTCTCCGAATACTTTTTGCTCATCATCACCGGTATACTTGTCGCTGTCATTGTGTTCAAGTTTATTGCTGCTTTACAGCTCGGTGCACGCCGCGAACCAGAGGAGCATGACAAGTTTATCGTTTGCCAAGTGCCCTGCTACACTGAAGGCGAAGAGTCACTGCGCAAGACCATCAACTCGATTGCTGTCCTCGACTATGATGATAAACGCAAACTCATGTTCTTGGTATGCGACGGTATGATTGTGGGTAGCGGCAATGACAGGCCTACACCACGTATCGTGCTCGACATTCTGGGTGTCGATCCTAACGTTGATCCTGAACCGTTGTCGTTCTTCTCCTTGGGACCAGGCTACAAGCAGCACAACATGGCCAAGATCTACTCTGGGTTGTACGAGTGCTCGGGTCACGTCGTACCCTATGTCGTGGTTGTCAAGGTGGGCAACCAATCTGAACGCCAGAAACCCGGTAATCGCGGTAAGCGGGACTCGCAGATGGTGTTGATGCGGTTCCTGAACAAAGTGCACTTTGATACACCCATGGCGCCCATGGAACTTGAAATTTATCATCAAATCAAGAACGTCATTGGTGTTGATCCCAGCATGTACGAGTTTGTGCTGATGGTGGATGCCGATACTGAGGTTGTTGCTGACTCCTTGAACCGAATGGTGTCCTGCTTTGTTCATGACGCCAAAATTGTGGGTTTATGCGGCGAGACGAAGTTGAACAATGAGCGAGATAGCTGGGTGACGATGATCCAGGTCTACGAGTATTACATCTCACATTTCCTTGCCAAGGCATTCGAGTCCCTATTTGGATCTGTCACTTGTTTGCCCGGCTGCTTCTGTATGTACCGTGTCCGTTCGCCTACCAAAAACCAGCCGCTGTTGGTGAGCAACCAAGTGATCGACGATTATGCGCAAAACCGTGTAATCACACTGCATGAAAAGAATTTATTGCATTTGGGCGAAGATCGGTACTTGACAACATTGATCTTGAAGCATTTTCCGACATACAAGACGAAATTTACGGCCGATGCCAGCTGCTCAACAAATGCCCCCGAGCAATGGAGCGTATTGTTATCGCAACGTCGTCGATGGATCAACTCTACTGTACACAACCTTGGGGAACTGTCGTTCTTGCCACAGCTCTGTGGTTTCTGCTGCTTCTCGATGCGCTTTGTCGTCATTCTTGATCTGATGAGCACCTTGACGATGCCAGCTGTCGTTTTGTACCTCACCTACCTGATATACAGACTTGTTTCGGATGCTGACCAAGTTCCACTGATTTCTATTTTGCTGTTATGTGGTGTTTATGGTTTACAAGCGTTGATTTTCATTATTCGCCGCAAATGGGAGCATATTGGCTGGATGATCATCTACATTCTCGCTATCCCGCTATTCTCGTTCTTTGTCCCAATCTACTCCTTCTGGCACTTTGACGACTTTTCATGGGGTAACACGCGTGTCGTAATCGACCAGGGCAATGGACAAAAAAAGGCGGTGCCTGTTGACGAGGGCCATTTCGACCCACGGTCTATACCAATGAAGAAATGGAGCGAACACGAGCAGGAAATGTGGGAAACCGGTACAGTTGAAACCAAGCATACTGGATCCACGGCAGCAGCAGGAGTGCCAAAATATCCACCAACCATTCATCAACACCCTATGGCAGCTCCCCCGAGGATGTCATCCTTCACTCTGGATAATCAGAGTATCAGATACAACTCTAGCGGTATGTTGAATGCTTCCCCATCATCCATATACAGTGAGCCCTTTGGACCTCCTCCGATAGGCGGTGGCCCAACAGACGAAGAGATCCGTCGAGAAGTGCATCGGATCACTGCGACATCTGATCTGATGGTCATGACCAAGAAACAAGTCCGTGAACAGCTCAGTAGACAATTTGGCGTGGACATGGCGTATAAAAAGGATTACATCAACTTTTGTATTGAAGAAGCACTGCACTTTTAATTATTTTATATATACTAGCATTCCCGTATACCTTCTATCCTGTCTCTCTATCTACACACTAATATAACAACCACACGTTAGCATCACACGCACACAGAACAAGCTCACACTTACACTTAAAAGCACGCTATCTATCTCTTATCTTTTGCATATAAAAGTATGCTTTAATCAGCAATAACAATGGTTATGCTTGTAATGTTTGCTACATAGAGTGATACTGCTGATTCTCCTAAAAAGTTGTCAGTGGCAACCGGATTCCTAGGTCGAAAACGTTCAATCAGTCGACAAGAACCGTCAAATATACAGTACATCAGAAGAGAAAAGGAACAAGTCAACTTCCACTCCGAGATATTATGGTTGCACTTTATGTCCATATCAAAAAACGATTGATTGGCTCCTGGTCGATACTAGTATTGAGGGGTAGGTTGGGTTAATGTAAACTTGCATACACGTACTTGCACTTTTGAAAGGGCTGCTTTACTTGTTATCAAGATGTGAGCAGATAAAGATACAGCAACTACGCAAAGTCATTGTAAGTAGTCAAATAAACCATCGAGAAGCAAAGTACTTGAGAAACGCACAGTGAGTGTCGGCGCAAGCTTAGATATGCTGTCAAGCAAGACACCTCTTTTAAATGCCCTGAATTTTAATTGGATGTGATGCTGCCCGTGCGCCCTTTTTGTAAAGCGGGCTTCTTGGAAAAGGCTTTTTTCTTCTTTCTTTCATTCAACTCTGCCTACAACCTCTATTCGATCCTCAATCATGGCAGTCGATCAGGGCAGCATTCCAGACGTCTCCATTCTTACAGGACACGATTTACCTCAAACCATAGAATCGCCGGTTTGTATTTCTTCCCAAAACTGATAACGCGCCGTCAACTATTTTTCTTTCTAAATCGAACTGTCATTAGGCTACTACCACGGCCACCACTACTGCTCAGACAACACCAGATAATGAGTTGACACAAGCCATGGTCGAAGAGGAAGTCAATTTAGCAAAGGTCACTCAGAAAGAAGAAGACAAGCGTATTCAAGAAGAGGTAACTTCTTTTACAAGGGAGAAATTTTTCAATTGATTGATTGACTGACTTGAAAGATAAGGCTCAAGCCCAGTTTGACACAACTGTCAAAGAACAACGCATGAAGCGTTTGCACTTTCTACTGGAAAAGTCTGGTGCGTATGCTACTATTCTGGGTCAAAAATTGGCAAAACAACAAGAAGAAGCACGCGAACGAAATGCCGCGCCTGCACCTTCCACTACGACTACTCCGGCATCGTCATCCGCTGCAGCACCGCCAGCAGCAGCACCAGAAAAACGTGGAAGGGGTCGTCTTCGCAAGAGAAAGGCTGATGATGCTGATTATCAGTTGGGCGACTATTTAAATGAAGAGGTAAAAAGCAGCAAAATGCGAGTTGCCATCTACATCGAATTTACACGGTATCATATGAGAACTGAACTTGGGTACGATAAATATCATTTTAGGATATCAAACGGCGCAAGCAGTCGAACAATGATGTGGGCAAGGCCATCCAAGAAGATATGGAGAACATGAACTCTAAGCCTACATCAACAGTTCCTGCGCGTCAGCCTTCCTTGGTCACTGGAGGTGTGCTTCGCGATTATCAATTGGCTGGTGTGGAATGGCTCATTAGCTTGTGGGAGAACGGTCTCAATGGTATCCTAGCTGACGAGATGGGCCTGGGCAAGGTAAAGATCAACTAGAAAATGTCGCTGTACCTCTTGTGCTTACGCCGTGTCATAGACTTTGCAAACGATCAGTTTTATTGCTCATTTGAAGGCAATGAAGGTTGCCGGTCCGTATCTCATTGTGACGCCGCTTTCAACGCTTGCAAACTGGGTCAATGAGTTCAAGAGGTTAGTGGAGATAAGAAGTGGGAGAAGGCGTATGAGATAGTTTAACTCACCTGTATGTTCACATAGATTCGCCCCTAAAATTCCGGTGCTGTTGTATCACGGAAGCAAAGAAGAACGCCAGCATATGGTCAACCGCAAGATGCCCAAGAAGAAGGAAACAACCTTTGATTTCCCTATCATTGTGACTAGCTACGAAATTGTCATGAACGACCGCAAGCATTTGCAGCGCTATAACTGGAAATACATTGTCGTCGACGAAGGACACCGTATTAAGAATTTGAACTGCAAGCTGATCAAGGAGTTGAAGTCGTATTCATCCGCTAATCGTCTGCTGCTTACTGGCACGCCCTTGCAGAACAATCTTGCTGAACTGTGGAGTTTGTTAAACTTTTTACTACCCGATATCTTTGATGACCTTGACATGTTTCAATCATGGTTTGACTTTTCTGATATCCATGAGAAGAGTGGTCAGGATCGCATCATCAAGGAAGAAGAAGAGGATCGAATCATCAGCAGTCTCCATACCATTCTCCAGCCATTCTTGTTGCGTAGGCTGAAGACTGATGGTAAGTATTCATCAACATTTTTCAAGGAAAGGGTACAAGGTCTCTAACGGCGATCGATGATCCATCGATCCATGAATTAATTGCTTAGTGGAACACTCGTTGCCTAAAAAGAAAGAATATCTGCTTTATGCACCTCTCACACGACCCCAAAAGAGTCTCTACGATGCCATTCTGAAGCGTGATCTTCGCGATTATCTGATCAAACGCAAGACCAAGGGCTTACAGGAAGACCCACAACAACAGCAGCAGCCATCACAACAACCACAGCCTCAGCAACTGGAAGAAGATCAGACCAATGAAAATGACGAAGGAGGCAAAGCCCAACGAAACACCAAGTCCACCGTCGATTACAAAGAAAAGACAGATCGCCAGTATTTCAAGGAATTGGAAAAGGCGGCTGATGAAAACACAACCCCGGTGGTGGACCAGAACGCAGTGGAGAAGAAACAGCAGCTATCTGCAGCGGGTAAGCTTATAGCGTTGATTTACTGAAGGATTGAGCTGTGTGGAAGCTAGGAGCTGACAATAGGAAATATGTGTAGTCAAGCAAGTCAATGGATTGCATTTGCAAAATATCGTCATGCAACTTCGCAAGGTGTGCAACCACCCGTTCCTGTTTGATTGGCCGATCGATCCAAAGACCAACACCCATGTCTTAAATGCAGATTTGGCTGCACAGTCCGGCAAGGTCTTGCTGCTCGATCGATTGCTGACTGGACTGTTTGATCGTGGCCATAAAGTCCTTGTGTTTTCGCAGATGACCAAGATGCTCGACATTCTGGAAGATTGGGCAACGGTATTGAAGGGCTGGCCTATCTGTCGACTGGATGGCGGTGTACCTCAGGAAGCGCGCCGGCAACAGATCGAGGCATTCAATGAGCCATCGAGTCCTTTCAAACTCTTTTTATTGTCAACGCGTGCAGGTGGTCTGGGTATCAACTTGACAGCAGCCGACACGGTTGTGATATTTGACAGTGATTGGGTGGGTATACGTTGCACTTTGCTGTTGTGATTACTACATAGCCTTTTGTTTAGTACTCGTAAATGGCTTATGATCCTAACTTGAAAACCTCTTGATGGACACACCAGAACCCACAAATGGATTTGCAAGCACAAGATCGCGTTCATCGTATTGGCCAGACGAAACCTGTCTTGATCTACCGTTTTGTGGCAGCGAATACAGTTGAAGCGAAAATGCTAGAACGAGCAACAGCCAAAAGACGTCTAGAAAAGCTTGTGATTCAAAAGGGCAAATTCAAAACGCCTGTCTCTGCTTCTGCGAAACGCGACCAAGAAAGCACGCTGCGTGAGCTGGCTGAAATCTTGGCATCGGAGGACGGTGAGCAAGTCCAAATTGTTTCCCACGGCGATAAAGTCGTTTCGGATGAAGACCTAGATAAGCTGTTGGATCGAAGCGAGCAGGTGTTTGAGGAACAGAATGCAAGCAGCACGGGCGGTTTCCGAGAGATCAATACTTCTGAGTTGCAGGACTCGAAGAATGAGGTTTTGGCCACCCGAATGTAACGCATACAAAAGACATTTTCATAGTACTACATAGCCTTCGGTCGCAAAAGTATCCCAGAAAGTCAAAAATAAACTACTCCGCATTCCTCATAAATCGACAAGGTGTTGTTGACGTTTATGTAGTACGTAAACGGCGGCATTAATTAGATTGTAGGACCGCTCTTTCGTGATCCTGTTCCGCGAGTGATCAAAAGCACCACAGACGCGACGGGCAGTAATAGCGAGCCAACAAACCTACAGCCAACCCAGAAGTGTCAAGGGCGGTTGATTTCACATTGTCTTGCAACAAAATGAAACGATGACAGCACCCAACACGGCTACCAATCAATCATTCGAATTGTCACAAAAATTCTTAATGAACTCGCAGTGCCAAGCATAGCAATGCTACACGTACGCGGGATGGCATACGTAGCAGCAGGCAAATTCAAAGATGCACTAAGCGACGCCAAGAGATGGCTAGCATTTCACCTTCTTCACCAGCGGTTGACTTGCTTACCGGTATGATGCATTCGTTGCGGGGTCACAGCAGAACGCTATCAATGTCTATACTCAACGGCTCAGCACGACCGACGACGTGGATGAATTGCAACATTATCTCGACAAGGCTATTACAAAACAACAGCGCTACATCAACCTCATGCGCAACTGCCCGGGGACTTACTACAGTACCGCTCGTAATTGCGTAACATTGCTCATGATGTTTGAAACCTGGTGCCTTCGGCTGTCGGAACTTCAAGATATTTAATCCAAAGTCGATGCTCATGACCTACCACGGATTGAACCTAGAGCAGTGTTCCAGTAAGGCATTACAGCAATTGCTGAGCATGTCGCGGACTTGGCGCTCCATCTTCTCGACAGCAATACCAGTAAGCAATTCGTGTCGCAGATTAAAGGAGCTCCTTAAAAGTCATCAAAGATGCATGATGGTACGTGCAAGGTACAAACGATAAAGCAGCAGCGTTTTTCCTTCGTCACCAAACAAAATAAGTGGCTGTATACAGCACACCTTCACATTGCTTCTGTATTAATACAAACAAAGAAAAACATACTTTCAATACATTTGTTATTGGTAAAAAGTGTCACAAACTTGGATTAACAGGGACAATCTGGCTATTACATAAAGTTTGCCCAAAGAAACCCGGCGTGTTTAGATTCAGAGAGCACAATGAGCTGCATAAGGCACATACGCATAATTTCAGTTACGAGATGAGCATGCTATAGGCAACAACGAATGCCATGACGATGATTACTCTGACACATTTCACATGCTACCTCGTCTTTTTGCATGAAAACCTCTGTTCTACGTCATACGAAAATCATGTGATCAGCGTGCTGCGGCGGTCGAGCGGGAGATAAAAAAAAAAAAGTCAAAGAGAGGTTCTTTTTTCCTCTTCTTTCTCTTCTTAGTTTTCACGTTATCTTTTTTCATATACAAACGGCTGCTTTGCTCACTCTCACCCCTTCCCCTAGATTCCCTCACCCATCCTTCAGGGAACGCCTACGACTGCTTCTTGGGGAGAAGGGGCAGGTTGGTAGGGTTGGCCATTGGCAGTGCAGTGTCGCGTTTTTGCATAAGCGAGATATACCGGCCCCCCCCGAAGGACAACCAATAAACTATACGTCCACGTTGCCAACTCGTTGCCTTTCCCGCTCACCCTGTCTTCGTCCGCCTTTCTTTTCTTTATCAATTATTGTCATCTCTATACATACATAGGATAGAAAGTACTCGGCTACTAACGCTTTTACTCTAAACTGGGCATCCCCGTAAGCCCTGGATGGTCCCCGAGAGTGTAGCAAAGCAGATACGCGTGTGTGAAAACCTAATTTCTCCCCGAATCAAGCCCGCGAGGGCGAGATATCATCACTTTACTTCCCACTGTCGCGTGTCTTCTTGCTGAAAGAAAAACGCTGTCATTGGAACACGTTTAAAATAAAGAATTGACAAATGGTTGACATTGTTGGCCAACTACATTGTGAAAGAGAAATTTAGATTGTTGTAAGCCGACCTTTGATCAGTAATAAATGTCATGTCTACATTTTTTTTTAAAACAAATGCGTTATTATTCAGGAATATGGTAGTTGTTATCAAAAAAAAGTTGTTGCGTTGTTGAATCTTAGACAAGGTGCTAACCGCCCTAATCGATCATTCAAACCGATCAATGTTGGGCACACGTCCAATCCCAGTTCCTTGCTGACTAAGTGTGTGAATGATACACTAATGTACGTAATTGTACACGGCATTGGTGATAACAATGCTTTTAGTTGTCGCAGACGCTGGTTACTGCGTAGTCGACTCCATGGCCGATTGACCGTATTAGTCTGTGGGGGGGGGCTAGATCATGCAAGAACCACTTCGCCGCTTTAAAACGACCGTTGCACAGACACACGGAGGTGGACGCAAGGTAGACAAAAGGCGATCCCATTACTGCTGCCAAGCCAGCAACATTTGTAAGAAATCATCTCGCGAGCGAGAACAGCTAGGAAGAATGTTGTACTCTCTAATGTTAGAAATTATGAAGTACCCGCATGCCTGGAACTTGATTTGTAACAAACTTCAAAAACGAGCCATTAGCATAAACCATGCAGAGTGGCATGGACTATCTGTACCTCGGCAGTAAGAGCATTTCTAAAGATCTTCAGTATGCTTTTTTTGTGTGTTCATATATGATAGGTATATGAAGTAATAGTACTGTTGCTTGTTGGGAGGAGGAGATGAACCGATGATGAAGTTTAGCTACCAATGTTTTTTGCCAAAACATGCTTCCAAGAAAGGCAATACCCATACCCATTCCTGGGGAGCTGCATCTTGGACCGATTTACAAACGAATGTTTATCTTTTATATTCTTCTTTTTATTTTGCTCCCAAACACTTTGATAAATAAGTTGTACACACACGTTTTATATCCACATCATACACAGAATTATCTATAAGAGCAACGAAGGGATACTAATCCGGCAAATACTCTCGTCATTACCATACCTTCTATATGCCTGCCCCTGCGAACGACTCGTCGTCGACCATTGGGTTTGCAACATACCAGCAGCAAGATACCTCCGGCCGGCACTCCAGCGACTTGGTCTCCATCATCCTCTTTTTCTCATTCATTTTCATCATCCTTATATCCTTTGTATTCTACTTCTGGATCACGCGATGGCACAAAGTCCCTCCCCAGCAACGCCGAGAAGAGGAAGTCGAGGACCAAAAGGAGATTGACCAGCTTGTTGAGAATCTCAAGGATCAAGTCAGAACGGTCTTTCGGATACCTGTCGTCAGCCTGGTCTATATCCTTTTTAACAGCAAGAAAAGACACCAGGCCAATCATTCGCACGAATACCGCAAAGTCCTCTCCTACAAACTCTACCATTTGTTTTCGCTCATTTGTATCCTCGTAACCATTGTCTCGTTGGTCATCCTCATTGGTACTGCCAGCAGCGCCAATCCAGTTTCCATCTTTCTGCAGTCGTTCTTGTTCGTCTTTGTGCTATGCGTTAACCTGTACTTGATCACCAGACAACGCTGCTATTACAAGGAGCGTAAGGAGCTCTTTGGCAGCAACGATGCGCATATGAATGCAGTTTACAAAACACGTTTCAAAGACTGGGACTCTAAAATGTGGACCAATTGGGTACAGATTGCTATTCTCATTATCGAGTTTTTCCAGCTCTTGACATTCCCTCTCAGGGACCTCATCACCGTCAACTTGTTCGACGGCGACAACGACAGCAATAGCAATTTTTTAAACCTCGTTACGATCGTAATGAATGCAGGCGGTTTCATGCCAGACATGCGCACACCGACTTGGTACACGTATTCGGTTTGGACAGTGTTTGCGACGGCCATGCTCGGATTGTTGATTGCGGTTACGGTGCACTGCATAAACATGTGGCGACCTTACAAAATTCCGACGCGGTGGGTTCATTGGTGCATTCCCGTCACAGTAAGCTATATATAACATGTGTCATTTATGTATAAATCAAAACATGACGTGCATTATTACTAAGCGAAATATACCTTCATCACCTTATAGACCCTTTTGTATATACCCGTGCTTGTAAGTGTAATTTTCTATGAGCAATATTAATATTGATTCGTGAATCATCCTACTAAAACATACTAGACCACGTTCGTAAGCTCTGCAGCATGCCAAACACTTAATGTACCCACCAACGACTTCTCGGATACCCTGCGCTGCCACTCACCAGAAATCTCGCAACAGCTATATTTGTGGACGTCTTTAGCGGGTTACATCATCGCCTACTTTCTGCTGACTATCTTTTTAACAAGCTACGAACGGATACCAGCACACAACGAAATTGCGTTCAAATCCATTAGCGTTGCCTTCATCAAAAACATGGGTAGAGAAGCACTTTTAACGACATTATATAAATCACAGTTATCCCATACTAACTTCTTTTGTAACAGGCCTTTTTCTTGCCATTGTTTATTTATTAGTAGAGACAACAAGCGAGAAAAACAGAATGCGGGCTATTTTGTCAATCATGATCTTGCTCACTATGATATGTTACAATATCAAGACACGGCCATGCTATGTGGACAAAGTAGGTAGCAAACCAAGAAAAGTATTCTCTTGTTTTGTTTATATTCTGAGACTCATTTTACAATATATAGGTCAATTTCTTTCGAACAACCTCGTTTAGTTGTATTCTGTGGACATCTGTTTTGGTTGCCGTACTTAGCGATACGAACGCAGCCGAAACACTGGGCCCTTTGACAGTACTCTGTATCATCATTGGTGGATGGGGTCTCATTATCCTCGTTTTCCTCTTGATATACTTTACATATTACAAGCAGCCATCCGACTATTGTGATGACGACAGCTATGGAGTACCTACTAGTGCTACAATACATTCGCCTCAAAATCATAATCTTAAAGGAGAACGGCCTACTGAAATCGATTTGGGTAGTATGATGCGGCGCAGTAGTACCGACTCGAAGGGAAATCCTACCACTTCGATGGTTTGGTCTCCGACTACACGCGATCCACGAATACCTTTGGAAACTGTAGTTGAAGAAAGCAGTACGCCATGGTCAGGATCCAATAATACCCGAGAGAGCACCCCTCATCATCATCAACAGCGTGTCAATCCAGCGACGGAGACATCAACCTCTAGCCATCAGCCTATAAAACAGGAGGGGATTTTTGATTGGGCATCCAGATGGTGGTCAGCATCATCAAGACGGTAGTAGTAGAATCGCTTTTTCCTCCATCGTCTTCTTTCTGCAAATCAATTACACTACACAAACAACGCATACTACAGCCACCATTTCATTCATATTGCACTTCTTGTAAATATACAGCTGCATACGTAATATAGCACCCACATACATACCTTAACATTAGCACTTTTTTGTATTCACTGCAATTTGTAAGAACATTGTTTTCTATTTGAATCAAAACTGTATACAACAGGTTTTGAAAATGCTCTGCATTTTCTGAGCAAAATCGATACTGAGTAGTAGCGCAACAAGTTAGTGCGGCATCGGTCTTTTGAACTTTATTTGATCGTTGCTTGCAGTCCAAGTTGCTACTGTGGGTCTGTGTAACAAAAACATCCCGGAACGATTTAAAGCTAAGAAAACAATAACTATTCTGTTGTTTCTTTTCTTCCTCTCATTTTCTTTGCTACCTACTATGATTACAGCTCCTACTATTATATCTGATTGCTACACTGTTCGTGCCATTAGAGAACAAGACCTACCAGCAATCCTAAAAATATACAATGAATGTATCCTTGATCACACCACTCTCCTGTATTACGAGCCTGTAGACCTAAGATTTATCCAAAAATGGTATGAAAAGTGCCGTACTGAAGGATATGCTGCAATGGCTGTTGTGGATAAGGCGACGGATGAGGCTATTGCTTATGCCGACTTGGGCCCAACCCATCCATTTCCTGCTTTTGCCTTGTAAGAGTTTAATCGATTCCTCCCAACGCCTTTTCTCTTTAAAATCAGGTCCGGTCTAAGAATATAAATATATAAGATCGCTCATTGACAATAACTCTACTTCGATAAGATCCACTATGATGGCCATTTACATTCGTTCCGATTATCGTCGGCGTGGTCTTGGTCGAGTGCTTGTAGCCGAGTTACTGAACATTGCCAAGCAACAACGGTTTAAAAATGTTGTTGGTAAGGTTTTAACCCCAATTGTACATACACATATTATCTGATCTATATTATGTCTATTCATTAGCAAGCTAGGAGGAGCTGCTGATGACAAATATTAACAATAATCACTTGAATTTTGTTCGATTATAGTGTACATTGCATCTACAAATACGCCTTCTATTAAGTTATTTGAATCCTTCAAGTTCCAATACGTTGGGAAGATGGACTATTGGGCCTATAATTTCGGGCGATTTTTGGATGGATTGGCGTACCAGTTTATCATCCCGGAGACGAAAGTGGACGCGAATACAAATAGTCCACCGGTGTTCGTACCATTTGCGTGGGAATCCTATGTATATGCCCAACAATAGTATTACGTGCGTACAATAAGACTGTTTTATAATTAAGATATGCGCTAATACGTGGTATAGTTGAATATCAGAAAGCACATGAATAAACTGAAGGATCATGTCAAAATATAATGCGCTTTTTCTTACCAATCAGTACGTTGTGAATATTTAGTTGCTTACCAATTAACTTAGAATGTGACACTGATAATAGTACGTTTTACGCACTTGTTGTATGGCAATCATTATTGCTACTTATTGAACTTGTACGAGCATGTACTACAGCAAGCATCTCAAGTAAATACTGCGCTTGACCGTCATTGACTGGTCAAAAAGCGGATGCACTGGTCACCCTCTTACCCACTACGTGCGGGCCGCTGTGAGTGTCCAGCTGCCAACCGGAGCACTATACGATTTGCCCTCTACTAAGCGAGGTGCTGGAATCTCTCAAGGCCACGATCAGCCATCCTGTGGTGCCCTCACACGAGATTCACCCTATTGACAAACCTTGAACAATCTCTCTAAATCGGAATGCAGATTCTCTCAGGATAGATGGCTCAAAGTCTGGACAGCACTGCTCGCCACACTGCGTGAAACTGACCGTTTGAGCCACATCAACACCGAATATGATACAATGACGACGACGAACCACTAACAAACAGACGCTGAACCCCCTTCACAGCGATTCCCTTTATATTCGCCCCACCAATAAGTGTAAGGTTTCTAATGTATATACTCGATAAAATAATTTTCTCCTTGCTTCTAGTTTACATCATCTCGCTCTCTCCCGCTCATCTTGCGATCACCTGAATCATTCGTCTGTTTTTTACCCTTCATTTTCCTACTGGCTTCCTTATTGTCCTACTACCTCTGACTCTCTGTAACATTATCATTCAAGCATCGATAAATCTGTACCACAAGGGAGCAACCGTACATATGCCTTATGGCACTGGTCCACAAGTGAACTACATACTGCGCTAGTGGTTTTGTTTTGAGTTGAAGGGTTCCGCCATGCATCAATGTTTTTCCAGCTAATGTTTGTGCACACAGGATTTCTTCCTCGTCCAGGTCCCTGTTGATGAATAATATCTTTCTATTTATACTAAATGTGCTGCAAGTAATATACTGATCTGGCAGGAAAGAGGCTCGAAGAGTGGTATGCAGCATGATCATGCGACGAAGACGACGACAAATTGAAGAGGCCCCGGTCGACCGGATGGGTGGTTGAAGTCAAGCGGGTTGAAACGAACAATCAAAGCGCATGAGTGATTTTAAGCAACCGACCCGACCGCCCAAGTTTTTTTTTTCTTTTTCTCCACTGCAAGCAGCACCCACTCCCCCTAAACCCCCTTTGCCTCGTTGCTTCAGCACGCACATTCCAAACGTTACTTGCTTCAATCACCTTTTTGGGCAAGTAGGGTAGCGCATCCACAGCATCCACAACCACTTCTCTTTTCCATGAGCGGCTTTTTTGGTTCCAGCGAGCCAACGCGATGGGGTGGTCTATTGAAACAGGCCATCTCTAATGTTGAAACTACATTTGATACTCTACTCGAACAACAAGAGAACCAAGCCAATTCCCAGTCTATGGGAAATATGAACAATGCAGCGAATCGGTCGCCTTCTACAGCCAACAACAACAACAATGCATCCAATGGTAACAATTTGATACAAGTTATCTTGCGTTTTTTGGCGTTGAAACGTTATATATACTCAAATCTAGTTTAGGCCAAGAAGGCGAAACGGAAACCGAAACATATGTCGATCCTATCAGTGGTATGGTTACGACTGTTCAACGTAAAAAGTCTTCAAAACCTCAGCAGCAGCAGCAGCAACAACAACAACAAAAGGAAAAGCAACCGCTACAACAGAAGCCGCAACATATACCAAAACGGTCAGAAAGTCCCAGCCAAGGAAGTGGACCCAATTCACCAGCCAATTCGACGTCAGATCTATCTGCAAGACTTGCAGCTGTCATGGCAGATAGAAATAGTACCAAATCAATGTCTCGTACTTCGTCGTTGTCCTCGGTATCAGGGCGACAGGAGCGCACGAGCACAGATGGAGCGGTTGGATCACCGAAAGTGGGAGAAGCAAAGGCAGAAAAGAAAGAAGAGATTCAAGAGACAACACAGGCAGGAGAAGAGCCAGAGAAAGTCGAGGAAAGCGAAACAACGAGTTTAATTGAAGACAAGGAGGGAGCTATGAAAGTGAACAGTGAAAGCGAATCCGAAGCTACTAAATCTGACGGTGACAACGTCGACGATACCAAATCCACAGAGGAAACATCGCCTATAGAAACTACGAGTATAGTCCCAGTTGCTAGTCCTGATCCCACACAACAACCTGAATCCAACGAGAACGAAGATAAAAACAAAGACGATACCATCAAAAAAGATGGCGAATTCGGTGATACTGTCGATTTATCTACAACACCACTGGCACCACCAACCGATACTGAAGAGATATCAGCAACAACTGATGACCCCGAAAAAACAGTCGAAGGATTGAGTAGCAGCACCGAGAAAAGTAAAAGCCAGGATACGATATTGCAACAACGCGAAGAACAACTTTTCCAGGCAATGCAAAACATTGCCAAGTTACACGATCAAATCCATACACTACAGGAGGAGGCTGAGAAGCAGTCGGCAGAGCGAAAGAGCACACAGACACACTTAGAAGAGTTAGAGAAGCAGTTGAAAGCAACCAATCGAAGCTCAGTGGGTGCGGATCAAAAGAATGTGAAAAAACTGGAAAGTACAATCGAGGATTTACGGCAACAGTTAGCTACAAAGTCAGAGCAGGCTCAAGCTCTGATGGAAGAAGGTAAGAATGGGAGAGATAAAGAATGCAAGCAAGTATTTTATTTCACTTGTATTGGATCAGTACCGCTCTAATACAGAGTTCTTTTAGGCGAGAAACTATCCAAAACTGAGCTGAAACATATGACTGCGATCAAGAAATTGAGGGCTGAGAAGCAGGAACAAGAGAAAAATGCCGCAGAATTACAAAAAAAGATTGACAGGACTGCGTCTGATCTGATCGAAGCGAACGGCAAAATCATGAAAGCCAATGAGTTAGAAAAGCGGTTACAAGGTTTGTAAGAGATAGTTTCTTCAAAAACGAGGGGATCCATGCATATATTTCAAGCCTCCAGGTGAACTTTGTTAGATCTGAACATTGCTTCTTATTCTTTTTACAGAAAAAGTCAAAGTACTATTGGATATGACGGAACGACAGACAAAACACATTAATAAGTTGGAAATCGAATTGAGGTCTTTAAGAGAGCAGAAAAACCAGGCTGAGGTAGAATGTCCACTCGCTTTACAACTTGGCTATTACAAGATATATACTAACCTTAAGTCTTGAATCTACAAGATGGCCCTTAAAGATGCAATGGAAAACTTGGAAGCCGAACGAGACAAGATCCACGCAAAATCTAAGGAAGCACACGCTGCTATGTTGGAGAAAGAAGTCAAAGCTGGTGAAAAATTGCGGGAGGAGCTCACGAGCGTTCGAGAAGGCGCAGAAGCAAAGGAAACCCGGTTACATGAAGAAGTAATACTATTAAGGAATGGGAGTGTTATTATATACATACTTTAAAATCAATGTTACTCATGGATCGTAAAACTAGATTCGCGAACTGCAAGCTGCTTTGCAATCATCGCAAAATACCTCTGGTGAAAGAGAAGATACGCTTCGCAACGAAGTTTCGGTAATTACGGTTATCTGGCACTGAACTATGTTGAGAGGTTTCGGTTTTTATGGACTGACGTCATTGCTTTCGTTGGTCATATGTGAATTAGGAATTGCAACAACGAATACGAGAACTCGAATCATCAACCGAGGACATCGATAGTACAGTTGCAGAAGCAACAGCATCTTTACTGGAACAGATTGAAAGCCTTCAAAAGCAACACTCGGTTGCTATCAAGAATCGAGATCAAAATGAGCAAGGGTAATTTTATCGCATAATAAACAAGAGCTAAATGATCCAGAAGACTAAACAAAACATTACACAACCATATGAACTCTGTTAGAATTATTCTTCGATTACAAACAGCTGAATTAGAACGAGACCAAGCAAAGCAAAAACTCAAAGAAACTACTGACAATTTCAATGGCATGGTACGCTTTAAAATGGATAGGAAATACATGTTTTCGATAACCGATCTCATTCTATTGAAAATACACATCTACTTCAAAATCATAAAAAGTCAGAGCGTCTGGAACAAGCTGAACGAGAGTTAGCTCAAGAGAAGCGAGATACAGCAAAGGAAAGGGCAGAATATGAAGCGGACCGTGCTACTGTTTCTAGCCAAAAAGAAGAGCTTGAAAATTTGCGAAAAGAATTGGAGGAGCTCAAGGCAAAAGAAGATAACATGGAAGAAACTATCAAAAAACGTTATCAGAAGTTAATGAAGGAGCGACTCCAAGAAGAAAAGAACCAGCTCGAACGAAAATACAAGACCGAACATGCAAACTCACTGCGGAAGCTAATCAGCAAACAGGCAGAAATTCCTGCTACTGTTGATCAAGAAGACGCATCCAACGATGGCAGTTCAACAAATGAATCTCAGTCTTATCCCAAGGTACCTGTAGTATGTATACTGCTACTGACAAATCATCAAACTCTTTTTGGTCATCTTAAATTCGTTTCTTACGCACTTTCACTCTATAGTCAAATAGCCCTGTAGCTAGCCCGCGATCAAGTTCGGATAACAATAGTTACTCTGGTATAACTAATACTACGACGGCTACGTCAAATATTATGGTGGATCGATTCCAATCCAATATGCGTCGCATGGAAAATCAATTGAGCTTCTATCAGACTCAGTTGGAAAGTACAACTCAATCACGAGGTAAGATGTTTATTCGGATAATGATACTTACTATCTTGCCTATTCATTCTGAAACCCGCAATCTATTTACAGATGAGTTATCGGAAGAGGTTCTCAATATGACCGTAGAGATCGAAAACTTGTAAGTGGCATCAATGCGCTGACGTTTTGTAGTAGCGGTTTCCGTTCTAAATGCTTGCAATATATAATAGGCGCAAAGAAACTAAAAGGGTCCAAGAGCTGGAAACCGAATTACGGGATCTCAATCAGCGGTATAACAGTTTTGATATTTTACCTTTTACTACAACATGTCTTCAAAATCTAGCTGGTTATTAATACCGTATTTTAGATACCATGCGTCTTTGGAGCTTCTCGGTGAGCGAACTGAGCAAGTAGAAGAATTAAAAGCGGATATTGCAGATGTCAAGGAGATGTACAGGAATCAAATTGTGGAACTTGTACAAAAGATTGGTAGTCAAAAGTAATATTAGATGTAAATATTTTTAGTTTCTTTTTCTTCTATATAACAGGTTCTTTTTATGTGTTGTTTGTTTTTGTTTTACTTTTTAACCCCTTGTCCCTCTCCTCCTCCTTCCTTTATCACCTAATGTAATCTATCTACACATGTTTTCTGTTTTCATGACGATGTTGAACTCATATATTCGATCATGCCAAGCATATTTGCAACTTCTTGTTCAGTGGCATTGCCGTGAGCGGTCCAACGAATTCGACATTTTTCGTCCACCAAATATACGTATCCGATATATTGGTTCGACATGTCCAGCATTTTACGTGTTCGAGAGATGTCTTTAAGCAGAAGCGTATAGTTTGCCTGTTATAATTGCGTTTCCTCATATCAGTAAATCTTTTTTGAAAAGACCAAATGCCTCTAAACGAACCTTCCGTTCCTCTGGCAAATTTTTGCGGATGCTAGGAATAAAGGCTTTCAACAGCCATTGTTTCATCAAGTTCTCTTGCACATTAACCTATCATGCTTTCCTTATCAGCTAGCCTGTCTTAACATGCTTTTATCGGCGATAGTTGACGAAACGGTAGATATTATACCTCGACAAGCTGGACTTTTTGATTATCTTTAAAGTGTTTAAGGAATGGCTCAACGTATGAGTTTACATGCGCCTGGTCAGGTTCGAGGGGAGTTATTAGCATTAATGCGTGCTTTACACATACACACACACTCTCTTTCCCTCTAACACAAATGGTCCACATACCTCACCATATTTGGCGTATACGAAAGACATCAACGAAACCTTGCCAGCAAGTAAATCGGTGGTATGTACTGGTTGCTTGTTAAGATTAACGCCTTCAAAGTCAGGCATGTATCCTGCTCTCTAGATAAGGGGTAAAAAATCAGTTTTTCTCTTTTATTGGCAGAAATTCAAACAAAGGATGCGGCCTATTTACTTACATCGGCTTTAATAAGTTTGTCGGACGCATGATACATTTTGCCACCATGCTTTCTCATTTCTGTAATAAGAAACGCCCGCATTGTGAGTATAACCATGTGTCGATTGGCCTCTTGGCGTTTTCTTTGTTTCCCTGGTTATTTACCGTGTGCATCCGAGAAATATGACTTTGTAGCTTCCTCGACCCTGTAAGCATACAAAGAGAGATTCAGCAATTATCAATAAAGACGGTAGTGAGAGAAACATGGGGTATGCTGTATAATAGCCCCCCTCTCGTACTTCAATATATGTTTAAATAATGACTTACAAGTGGCGACGTTCAGCTGCGTGAGCTGCAAAAGCTTTCTCGTAGTTTACCAAGTCGCGTAACTTTTGCTTTTTACGGTCTATCCAGCCATGTCTGTCAACATTGGGAGCTTCTCGTAAACCCAACACAGCTGGAGGCTGCCGAAAATCTACCGGTGATGCTTCCGGTTTGGCTGTATACATTCGTCGACAATGATGCGCAGCGGCATGTCGTAGTCGTTGTTGGGCATAAAGTCGTGGCAACATTGCTTATAGTATTTTTGTGCGGGTTGTTAAAGAAATAATAACAATAAAGCACAGCAGGCGGCGGCGGCAGCAGCAGCAGCAGGTAGTGGCTGAGATTAGCAACAAGGTCGATCAACCCTTCTCCCTCTTTTTGGTAACAGGCCCTAGGCGAGAGTTCGCCCTTGCCCATCCGTCTCCGCCCCGTTCGTCCGTCCTTAAGTTGGGGCGTTTACATAGCCGTCTATCCTTCTTGTACACCGTTTCTGCCCTCATCTCAATTTTTTCTCCTTAACTTTTTCAAAATACGGTTCATTTCAGATTTGATAGCCTCTGCATTGGGCTCTGGCGCTGGGAATGCCAGCGATGCAGAAAACAAAAGTAAGAGAAATAAAACTTGATTCCGAAATGCATAATAGCAATAATAGTAATGGAACCCTGTCGATATATTTAATAGTTTCCCTCACACAATTTAAGCTCATGCGAATTGTTGGTCGAGGAGCCTTTGGAAAAGTGAGCTATTCTTCTTCTTGTGTCTTATTTTCACTATAGCAACGAAAGCTTGCGGATACCCGTATGAAATTGTTGTCACGGGGTTCCTCTATTTTGTTCTATTAACGTTGCCAAGTGTTTATTATTATTGTCGTTGGTCTTAGGTCCGTATCGTCGAGCATCGAGAGTCTCACCAACTTTATGCATTGAAATATATCAGTAAAGAGGAATGCATTCAGATGGAAGCAGCTCGAAACATCATACGCGAACGGACGATCCTCGAACAGCTTGACCACACTTTCTTATGCCGCTTGCGATTTGCTTTCCAGGACGATGAATTTATGTATATGGTGACAGATCTAATGTAAGACTTACGCTTGTGTTATTATAATAGGAGCTTAAAGTAAAAATCTAATACACATAATACAATAGGTTAGGCGGTGATATGCATTATCATATATCTCGAGAACATTTTAGTGAAGATGTGTTGAGATTTTGGTTCGCGGAGCTTGCAACTGGGATCAAGTACCTTCATTGTAAACGCGTTGTTCACAGGTACTACAATTTAACTTTTGTCTAGTTTGGTCTCGTTTATTATATACTGACGTGGGAATGTGGATTAGAGATATCAAGCCGCAAAATATCCTGTTGGATGATAAAGGACATGTACATATCACCGATTTCAACATCGCAACGTATCTGCATAGTCGAAGGGTTCTGACATCGAATTCAGGCACCGGTTACTATATGGGTAAGGAAATTATACTGCTTGAAAGCCATTCACTCCATGTTAGTCACAGGCATATACACTCATGCTTTTTTAACGAAAAATAGCACCTGAAATTTACAAAGGCGGCGGTTACAATGAAGCTGTGGACTGGTGGAGCTTAGGCGTCACCTTATATGAATGCGTCTATCAAAAGGTGAGTTCATAAAACCCAGTAAACAGATCATTACAAAAAGGAATTATGGCACTGATGCTTAATCTGGGATGAATCGGACAATATTGCGCATAGAGACCATTTGAGTGCACCACTAGTGAAGAACTTAAAATGGCTGTCAGGCGCGGCGTTATCCATTACCCTGATGACAGTCCAGTATCTGGCGAGTGTTTGTCCGTTATTCAAGGGGTAACTGATTAAGCTACAGAAGATCTTCTTTATGATTTTGATGTTGCGTGTCACGAGAATAGGAATGCACTGATGTTGGCGTTATCTTATTTATTTGTTTTGTTTTCTAGTTCCTGGAGATGAACCCTAATAAGCGATTAGGTCAAGGCGATGAAGGATGGGCTGCACTGGTGCGTCATCCATTTTTTCGACCTATTGACTGGCGACGTCTGGAAACCAAGAGAATTACACCACCTTTTCAGCCAGCAACTGATCGCAATAATTTTGATCCCACATTTGACCTCGAGGAGTTGATACTAGGCGACACATCCATGTCAGCGCAAGCGCGGCGGCAATTGAAGCAGCAGCAGCAGGCGCGTATACCCAAAACTATCGATGAACAACAAATGACGAAACGCGATCGGGACCTGCAGCTCATCGAAGAAAAGTTTGTGCCATTTGACTATACAGTGTTTGAGAAATATGAAGGGTTTAAAGATCCCTTGCGAATGACGGTCGGAGATCCGCCAGATTGGGTGAAGCCGGCCTTTGAGGGAGCTGAACAAGGCGATTTGTTACCAGTAAAACGAATCACCACGGTTTCAGTTGCTGACTGGCAACAACAGCCAGACGACGAGGTGGGTGCTACTGCTGCCGCAAACAACATGCCTTCGGTTGTACGAGGATCAGGTGCTCCCGTACATCACCCTCATCATCCAAGATCGCCTGTTGTTAGTAATAAGCGCGACTCCTGGCGGGGACCTAACCGATCGGCTTCCACGAGTAACATCGCTGCAAACGTTGTCGGACATAACTTCGGTGATGTTCCATGGAAGCGACGCAGTCTGGGTGTGGTCCGGGTAAAGCATCAAGGCGGTGACCATGATCTAGCAGGAGCTGATAACGCCGCGGCTACAGCTGCTGGTGCTACTAGCCCTGGATCTCCCAGTAGCGCTGTTGGTGCCAGCCTTAGTGAGGAATATGCCATTTCATTACAAGGCGTACGGAAAAAGCAGAGCACTAAAAGCTTCAGAGATCGTCGAGAACGTGACAGAAAAAGCATCAATCATCATGTTAACATCGACACAACAGAACCGTCCGCAGAAGAACGGTGATATATTCCCCCAGTATACTACTCTTATATTACTAAAGCCGCCAACTATATACATCAAAGCACATCAGAATCCTCATCTTGTTTATTTTTTTTTCTTTTTTGTTTTTACTATTTGTTCTGTTATTTTTAAGTCAGCTCACTCACGCACACATATAGTACCGCACACCCAATTTCCATAGCGCATACCTGTCATCAGAATAAAAAGAAAGAGCGTTTTATCTATAATAAAGGCATATGAAGCATAGTGCAGCGCCATCTTATTTTGTGTTTCGTCAATAAACGCAAGAGAATTGTTTACTGTCAAGTTACACGTGAAACGTGGACGGAATGGACGACGATTCCCGAGATCTTTGGTACATAATATATGAAAGATATAGTTTATCATCCTTAAGCAATAGAGGCGCGTGCACATCTCCGTTCTGTACAGATCTGGAAAATACCAACAGTCATACCCGACGCTCTAAACTACTCTTTCTTTCTTTCGCTCTTCCTATTAGTCCATCTATGCACTGGGTACACACATTACACAGGGACCTTGTCATGAGACCTTTATAATACAAGTTCGGTTACATGTGGTTTGTCGTCGAAGCCAGATGACGAATGTGATTGAATAGCAGAAGACCGATAATATAAATAGGGCTACTTGTCAACAAGCTTTCGTAAGATGATAGATATCTGGGAAAAAGTCTTTTTACTTTATATTCTCTTCAAAAAACAAAGCATGGATTATTATACCTCTAGCACTGGTGCCAACAGCTTCTCCACTGTTTCTACCGTTGCGGCTACTGCAGCAAATGCAAGCACAATGGCCGTGCCCGCTCCTGCTTCTACCCCTGCCACTTCTACTACGGGAACGACAAAAAAGAAGACAACTATATTGAACAAGACCACCCTTGGTCAAATTTTGGTCAACGAAGTCAAGCAGCTCTATCATGCACTCGCGTCATCTGTGTCACTCGAGCCTAGTGATTTCGTTAATAGCATATTTACCAAGCTTGTCGATATCTGTATATCGCATCGCGATCCCGAGATGGCTCGCAGGGTACTCAAGCACCCTGATATTCAAAGACTTACACCCCACCTGCGATCACTTTGTGCAACCGGCGAGTACCTTCTGGAGCTACAATGGGCCATGAAGCTTACGGCCGACCACACAGAATACCAAATCTCGGACTTCACATATGCAGACAACTACAAGCTGTTGGTTCGGCTGGAGCTGCACGCGTTGCTAGGTATTGGCGCCCATATTTCACACATTGTGTTTATTGGCAGTGGACCACTGCCACTGTCCTCGATCGAAATGGTGCGACAAGCGCCCTCTATTGGCCGCATCGACAATGTTGACCGCTGCCGCGACGCGATTACAGTCTCGACCGCACTCGCCCAACGACTAAACCTGGACGACAAGCTCCAATTTTATTGTCAAGACGCGATCAAGTTCGAGCACTACGGGTCAGCGGACGTGATTGTGTTGGGTGCACTGGTGGGCTCAGACAATACAGAGAAAGGGGCCTTTCTGTGTCACATTATCGAACAGATGAAATCCGGGGCGATCTTGATGGTCAGAAGTGCACACGCCCTCAGGGAACTGCTATACCCTTCTTGTCGTCTTGAGCAACCTGGGCTCGAGCCACTAGTGGAGATTCACCCGCAGAACGAAGTTGTTAACTCCGTAGTGCTGGCACAAAAAATTTAGTAACATAAAAAAAACCTTGTTTAAAATAAACCACCATCCAAGAACCACACAGGATAAATAAGCTTCGCAGAGGCTGGCTGGCCATTTTGTAATACTCATCGACATACTGTATAAATAAATAAATAAAAAATGTCCGTATCCTGCCCCATCTTTTTTCCGAAAGGGCCAAAACGCTACCCGTTCTTTCTTACTTTCACTTGATTTTTTCTGTATTTGGTGTATTCCTATGGCTTTATCTAACTACTGTGTGCGTACGAGCGCGTACCGTGGGCGGTGCTAAATTTATGCACACACACACACACATACGAAACAAAAAACATATAAAGACATACATGCAGAAGGGATTGAAATGGCATCATAATGATGCTGCTGCTGCTGCAATGCTGCTGCAATGCTAAGCTGAGTTTATAAGACCCGCACAGGCAATTCGCCTCGGGCAACTGGAACGGGGTTTGCTGTCAGTGCTTCTGTTTGTGTGTGTGAAGTGCGCGTCTTCTCAAATTGTTGGGGTTCTCTCATCTTCTTTCCTCTCTTTCAAATAATCTTCCCTGGTTTTTCCCGTATATTTGCTGCGAACAACACCAAAAAAAGATGAACCGCTACGGTGCTCGTCGTCTTGCCCTCGTCCCTTTCCGATCGACCGCAAGCAGATCCCGCTCTATCCATGCCACGACGTCCGTATTAAAAAAGCATGCAGAGCTACATTTCTGGGACAAGTTGCCCGGTGAGGGTCAAGAACCGGTAAAAGGTGTTGAAAAGCTTCTCGGTCCTTTGAGAGCTGATCGATTCGCAAAGTCCATGTTCCCCATAACCACAACTCCCAAAGATGTTTTTGACGTTGCCATAGGTAACAATAACTCTCCTATCTAGAGTCTTGCGTGCTTTTGGTCATATATGAAGATGAGATTAACAAATCAGTGTTTGTTCTTGTTTCAAATGTATGTTCTTTCAAGTGGGAGGAGGCATTGTAGGCTTAGGTAAGAAATTAGAAGACTTGGACCTCTTGCCATATCGAGCGCAAAGACTTGTCGTTATCTTGATGCAATTTATTAACCCAATTGATTATCAGCCACTGCTCGTGAAATTCTTCAACGCTATCCAGAAAAAACGGTCGTTGTGCTTGAAAAGGAAGACCAAGTAGCTGCTCACCAGACGGGCCATAATTCTGGAGTAGTACGTTATCGAGTACAGCTAATAGAGACAGTTTCAGATATCTGGTATTTGGCAGAAGGAAACTGACTTGGTCATTATAATTACGTGTAGATTCACGCCGGATTATATTATATCCCTGGATCCCGTATGGCCCACACGTGTGTTCGCGGTGCTGAGCTCATGTATAAATACTGCGATGAGAACAACCTTCCAGTCGAACGCTGTGGTAAGCTGGTTGTGGCATGTAACGAAGATGAACATGCTCAGGTGGAAAAGCTATACAAACAAGGTACTGCCAATGGCGTACAAGGGCTTGAAATTATATACAGGGATCAAGTAAGTTATATGAATATGGATAATTTGACAGCTATCTATCAGATGCAGCGATGTCGTGTTTACTTACTTTCTGTATCCGTACACGTTGTCTGTATAGATCAAAGCGATGGAGCCCAATGTCGAAGCCTACAGTGCATTGCATTCGCCCAACACGGGTATCGTAAATTATTGGCTTGTTAGTCAGTGTTTGGCGGAAGAAATCCGACAATCAGGGTAAACTCTTGTGTGAGGGAAGAAAATTTTACAAGCATCATGTATACTGATGATTCCATTATGTCTCGTAGTCGTGGCGACATCAAGCTCTCATTCGAAGCACTGAAAATAGACAAGGATGATGATAAGCGGCAAGTGCTGGTAAGAGGATGCTAGTTATTGGTTTTTATATAAAATCGTCATCTAGTGCTATATGATTAGAGAATAAGTGACCTGATTGTTATAATTTTATGGTTAGATCAAAGGCCGAGAACCTGGTCAAAATGGACCGAATCTCTATGTTCTAGCTAAAAATGTCATTACCTGCGGCGGTTTCTATTCGGATCGCTTGGCAAAACTTACAGGAGGTAACCCGAAGGAGCACCGAGTCGTTACGTTCCGCGGTACATACTATCAATTGAAATCTGAATATCGAGCGATTGTGTCTCGTAATATTTATCCTGTACCAAGTGGAGGCGGTATTCCAGTTGGCGTGCACTTTACCCCTACTGTAAGTTTTCGCAGAGTTTGAGATGGATCGTTGTTCATAGCATAATTTACATGCTTCACGCTTTGTAGGTGGATGTTCGAAGAGGACACCAAATGATTGTTGGTCCAGGTGCATGGTATGTATTAGTTGTTTTGATTTCCGTTTCTTTGAACATCAACTGTCACAAGAGGTAGTAGCGTGCTAAATCAAGTCATACCATATACAATACTATGTAGCATCACGTTCTCACGAGAGGGCTACAAATTCTTTGATTTTAAGCTAAAGGATGTGCTTGACTTTGCAACCAACATGGCATTATGGGCATTCGTCCTTCAGAATTTCTCACTGTCCTTGGGCGAGCTCTACAGAGATCTCAGCAAGCGTGCCTTCCTAAAGAGCGGACAGCGATATATCCCAAGTCTCACGGCTGATATGGTCGAGCCAAGCTTTACTGGCGTAATGTCACAGGTGTTCGAGGTACTTGGCTGGATAACAAAAATAGAAGACAATACATGATTAGCTGCTAATAAATCTTCTTTTTATAGCCTGGAGGTGGAGCAGCAGGCGATTATATCCTTGAACGCAACTGTTTAGATGGTCTCGCACTTAATCTTAGAAACGCACCATCTCCTGCAGCAACAGGATCCCTGGCTATTGGTGAATTGATGGCTGACGCAGCTGCTGAAGATTTTGAATGGGACAAAAAACAATAACGACAGTTGTAAACAAATAAATGTACATATGATAAAGAGTATTATGTATTATCAGTGTTATTATTTGCTTCGTCCTGTTGTAACCGTTCCATGAACTGGATGACTTGGGGTAAGTCCAGATCGGGTGGATTGCTCTCTACCGAAGCTAATAACGGTTCGAGTATACTGTCTACTTCGTCAATCGTCATGTTACAACAGGCCGCAATCAGTCGCTTGCATTGCATTTCTTTTTCCGATGAATAGGCTTTGAGCTGTTCGACTTCCGCGGCGAGTTCTTGCCGTATCTTTGAATGTGCTTCAACCTGTGCCTGCAAAAGCTGGACTCGTTCTTCCAACCATTTTTCGCGTGCTTGTCCTTCAGTGTCTATCTGCTTGTTGCTGTTGGATTGGAGCGCTTCTTCAAGTTTTCGTATTAATTCGTGCGATTCTGCTAGTTTCTGCCCTTTGCTTTGCTGTGCTGCGAGTTTTTCCCGTTCGTCGTTCAGTTCTCGCGTGACGGAACGTAGCCGTGCTTGTGTCCGTTCTAGTTGTTCGTCACGCTCTCGTAATCTTGTATGATAGTCTTTGTCGAGTTCATCTACAATTTTTTGCACAGCTGGAGAATAATCATGGATGCATTTATTAGTAAACCCGCGATATCCACCAAAACAGCACGCCACGCCAACTTACTTGAAACAATCTCGCGCCCGCGCGTACTTGGTCCATATGTTTTCTTAGAAGTATCAGGAATAGGGGTATCCAGTGGCTAAATCACTTGATGTCAGCTTTCGCTGGACACATCTTTCCTTCATTTTCTTTTTCAAGTACCTCTTTTGCTTCAGCGATATTCCGGGTGATCGAACTAAACTCGTTCAGCATGGTCACCATGTTTTGTAATCCAAGTCGCATGGCAATACTTAATACTGTATCGCCGTTTATATCTTCCGCGTGAATGACTGACTGTAAATGACGTGAACTGCCGATCGTGCTTAGGATATGCTCCATGTAAAACATGGCCGCGTTATATCGTCCGTGCATAGCTGCCGTCAACGCCGTATGGTGAATGACTGTCCTCCTCCGCCGATCTATCACAGGAATAGATTCTTTCAAGTGCTCCAGCAATTTCGGGAAGCATTGTGTTTCAAAACAGTGAGGCATCATCACGCCACGCATCAGTGCTGTTTCGCCGGCATGGTTGACACGACAGGTGTCAGCCCCACGTACGATTAGTAGTTCCAAGGTTTTTATCCGTGCCAATGATGCAGCCCAGTGTAACGCTGTGTGGCCTTGGTCGTCGATTACGAGGTTGATATCAATATCCGGCGGCTTTAATAACTCTGGTATTTGTGGTGAATCGTCTGACGAAACGAAAAGACCCATCAACAAACTGCGATGCTTTTCGTCGTCAATTACTTTTATTTTCTTGCGCGGTCGTTCGTCAATGGATCGTCGATGGTTTGGATGCGGTGATGAGGCGATAGACATGGGCGTTGATGCGGCGCTTAACGGTGACGGAGGAGGTGAGGATGTATGTGCTGGATCGTAATGTGCAAGTGCTTCTTCTCGTGTAGGTAATCGATTATACTCGTCGTCGTACTGTGATGGATCTAATTCGAATAACGGCCGTGCGACATCATATACACCATATTTTTCTGCAAGTCCTTTGCCAATCTCCACGGGAATCCTGTAATTATAAACAATTATTTTGTTGAGGTTACCTTAACTTTACAATTCCAAAAACTTTATTTCCTCCTCTGTTTTTCCAGCAGACACGCACGCATACACAGAGACAAAGTTAACCGAATATAACGAGACAAACAAAAACAAAAACAAAACGGAAGGTGTATATTTCTTACCAAGTGCCTTGGAATTTACCATAACCCCCTTGTACCTTTTCATGTACACCCGACGAGAGTTCTCGTTCGACAATGCGCGTTCGTTTTACTTTGCCAAAACCAGCGACTTTCAGAATTTGGGTGGAGTTCATGTACGAGTCTTTTTGTCTTCGCATAAGTGCAATCCCTCGTACAAGCATCTCGTATACGGCTATGCCGGAGTACATTGCTCGATATACTTCGGTTGTGTAATTATTATAATCTTGCATAATGGGTAAAATAGAGGAATAATTAAATAGTGTTGGTGTTGAAAAATAAAGCAAGAGAAAAAAAAAGGGGGGAAGAAGTTATGAGTGTAACTGGAAAACGCGTTCGGACATGAAATCAGTTTCATACGCGTTTATTCGCGTGCTCGCTTTTACCGTGGCTGGCGTAGTTCAGTCCACCGATTCATGCGCCGGTTACGGATGATATATTTTCTATTGTGACAAATCTGGTTCAATGGATAAGCTCTAATTAATCATAATACAAGAGCTTATGATGATCGGATACATTACGTAAGAGCGATCTGACAACATTAGTGCTATTATATGTGTTGATGTGGTTTTGCGACAACATCATACATACTGTCAAATGATAAATCACATAAATACACACCGTGGATCCTAAAGCGGTGATGAAACGATGTATAAATCCGTGATAAATTAGCCTTATATCCCTAAATACCAGACGGCTACATACAGGTGACTTTGACATGCATAATAGCATCAGCTGCTGCCAGAAGTAAATGCGGGAACTGCGATGAAATCTCAAAATAAGCCATCACCTTCCTAACTACATTATTGGAGGAAGAGACCATGAATTATTGAGAGCTTACAGAAAACTTTCTTTCATTCATCTATTAGCTCATACTCTGCACCACTCATATGTGGCCTCACTCTTTTTAGAAGCTAAATACCAGCTAAGATTAATCGGAAAACGTGGGGTTTAGGTCTTTCTGTGACTGACTAAAAAGAAGAAATTAATCTGGGTGCTGTCCGCGTATAGTGCGCTATCATGGAGCAATAGAAATATTCTGAGACAAACAAGTAGCTCGACGTGCCTTTTGAAAGGTTGCATGATAATTCCTGCCCCTGATCCATAGCTAAGAGGAACTACGCAATGAGCGTTTTCGGGGGAAGCTAAATAAAAACTCTTGCTAGGTTTGATTTGTCCGGTTATAATATGTTGGTACACTTCAGCTGTCTTTCTGAGCATCAGATATAGCACCACGTATAGTCAGCTGCTGCAAAGAACAGAGATCAATAATATGTGAAGTACACTACAGCTGTACCCCGGTTTTTGCAACCGAGGGTTTTCCGATTTTTTTTTGCAAAATGTGAGGATTTGCAAGTAACGGGGTAAACAATTCTGCTTCAAATAGACACTGGATAAGTCATCCTATAAACACTAGCCCATTGTTTATCTGTCAGAGTTGATGTACGATACGTTCTGTGGGATTACACAGCTCTAAATGTTACTACTTGCATATATAAGACCGTTCTTTAATTGAAGCTGTCTAGTGCAGTAACCGTATCATTTTATTCCTCGATAATACGCAACAGATGCTTCTTTCAGTTGATATTGAAGAAATTGAAGCTGTTTTTACCCCGATAACGTGCAAATCGTATAAACTCATTTGCAAGTTGCAAATTTGCGAAAGTACTAAGTTTTTTTTTGAATTTCTCAATAAAAAGTTGCAGATATACGAGGAATTGCAAACCCAGGGGTTGCAAAAACCGGGGTACAACTGTATTGGTCGCCACATTAGTTTTGCATCATAGCAGCAAAAGAGGGAAAAAGGGGTGCTGCGTAACAACGATATAAGGTACATACACAAAAACATTGACAAGGCAGCTTGTGGATCAACAACACGTACGAAAAGAGCAAGCATTGTTAAAGGAAATGGTCGAGAAGGACCTTAAGAAGTCGGCAGCTTTACGCTGCAATACATAATTAAAGAACGCGGGGGAGCTCGCTCATTAGAGTGAATTGCGTTCAATAGGAATCTAGTCGCCGTGATAGCTACCATGCTTGGTGTTTTGACAGGAATTTAAAGCACAAGCAAGAGGTTACTTACTGAGCCCGACATGAGGGTCGTCGCTGGCAAATGGTATGGTGCCGAAGAAACTGTGGCTGGTACGCAAATTTTGTGTTTGTCTTCTCATTGACAATCTTGCCAACTTTTAAAATAGCAGCTGGTAGCACTAGCTGGTAATACAGTTCCGTCGTCGAAATTTTTTTATGGCAGCCCTTCAATTTCTATTACACCAAACAATGACCAATGACGACCACGTTTTGTTTTGAGCAATATGATGCATTGACGCGATTTTCAAAGTGTAAAAGCAGAATATGTTAGCTAATAGTCAGTTGAAGATACATGAACTCTGAACTTATAAACATATTCGAGATATTTTGAGTTTGACAATCCTTATCAATCCTACAGTTTATATGTTGAAATAATTGATCCCAATAAACATGTTGCTCCTTCTTCTACAAGTGCAAGGCCTTTCAGTCTGATCTGACAATCTTGGGGTGTACGCGGCATGGGACTGTTATTAAGCTCACCATTGCCACTGTTGGGCAGCCCAAGAATAAGAGGAGAGTCTCCTCTACTGCATCACACGTTGACTTGGTAACGCTCTTAGCATAGAGATCACCCGAGTCTATAACATCGTCTGTCCGTAACAATTTTGACAGGCAAGATTTGATATGGGCTCTACCCTGCTGGTTCTGACAGCTGCGTTGTAAGAATCACCAGCAACATTAATACCCGAACTGGCCTCATCTGTGCCCATGCAGAAACACGCAAAGGAGCTGCAAGTTTTCAGCCAACAACAGTACATCGTAGCCATTTTATGGCGTTTTCTCTGTTATGCTAGCTGTACAACGGACGCTAGACCTGGTCAATGTGGCATCATCATCATCATACCCACGCCCTCAATTATACACTCATAGCGTCTATAGACAGCTCTTCTCACCCCACTTCTTACATCTTCACTTCTCGCTTCCTTTCCTAACTTTTCTTACTTGTTCGTTACCTCTCCTCACCAAACATCTTAATCCGGCTTGACTTTTTCCCTCTCTAGGAGGGCGTTTTCAATTATATAATCACCTCCTACTATGTATTTTCTTCTTTCCTTTCAATCACCGCACCGCAAGGAAGCGACAAGAAAGCTACATTCATATCGTCATTAGCCTTCCAATAAATATAAGCTTTAAACTAGCTGTACAACGACAGTGTCTGCCCAGATACTTACAATCCGGAACGTGAATGGGTAGACAGTGTGAATCAATAGAACAAGGTGAGACTCGAATATATCAAAGGGTAAAACAATAGGGATCCATATAACTTAGGATCCCGTCTTCATATATACATTGAGTAATAGAGGGCTAGCTATTTTCCTAAATTGATCTACATCATACTTCTATCTAGAATATCCACGCCTATTACTCCTTAATCAACATGCAGATGACCGCAGTCATCCTATCGTCTTGATCATGCATTGTCGATCGGCATTTATGCAGGTTGGGTATCGTCGTAACGGTATGCACCGTTACAATCTTGCTCAAAGAACCTAATTGTCGAATTCAGGGCTAAGATGAAAAGCAGTGAGTATTTATATAAGCTTTTGTTTGATTTCGCAAATTAAAATGAGACTCTTATAGTTGGTTTTCTAGCTGTGTATCTCACGGCTGGCTTTTACAGCTTTCTCATGTCAATGTCAAAAGAGCTTCTTGATAAGCACTTCTCTTGGGATACAATGTACATCATTTAGTGGAATGATCGACAAAGATATAAATTCCGAGAAACTGTCTTTCTTCGCATAATTGATATCGTCATGTTTTGGCTGCTCATATTCTGGCAGCTGTTGCCTATTTATGCTCTCGCATTACAGAACGCTTTTGACCAGATAGTCAGTGGCAACTCTGCAACTGTTACGCAGGAAGCAGCTACGACAATGCGTGTCATCTCCAGCATGCGCAATCCCAGTTCATCGATTCGTCTTCTGCAACCAACATTGTGCGATCCGAATGTAACGCAGGTAATTGCAAAGCGATAAACTGTGGTGCACTGTTATACAAATTATAGATCTAGATAGGTTTGCATATCAATATATCATCAAGCGCAACATACAATAAATTACGGGTTATCCCTTCCTCAATGATAGTATTCAGGCTACTTTGACGTCAAACCGGACGTGCATTACTTTTTCTGGTTCTTCGAAAGCGTGACTGAAGACGCGCCCTTAACATGTAACAAGGAAACGTTTATATTTGCTATTCTTAAAGTTGCTAACTTTCATTTTGTCATGTGGTTGAATGGTGGCCCTGGATGCTCGAGTATGGGGTAAGTTGGTCGAGTACTATATCTTATTACACTCAAGAGTGTGCAACTGTGATCTGCACTACAGAGAGCTAATGATATACATATATATAAAAGAGGTGTATTCACGGGACCTGGTCCTTGTCGAGTCACAGACGACGGAAGAAGTATGGAAGCAGTTTACAACCCTTATAGTTGGCATCGTTATTCGAACATGCTGTTCTTGGATCAGGTGTGCATATCGTATCATGATATTCACTAAGGAGTATATCTTCACTAAACTAACAGCTATGTTTTCCTCTCAAAAATAAAATAGCCAGCTGGTACCGGGTTTTCATATGGAAACGGAACTATCAATAGAACGGAAGAAGGTGCTCCTTTACTGTATGAGACCCTACAGCTCTTTCTTGAAGCCTTTCCGCAATATAGCAAGCTGCCGTTCCACCTGTTTGGTGAGTCGTACGCGAGCCGTTATGTCACAGAATATGCCCGATATATCGTTGAGAGGAATACTGCTGCACTGGCATTGGATCGCAAAATTTTGCTTCAAACGGTCGGATTCGGCAACCCTTGGATCGATCCACTGTATCATTAGTAAGCAAAATATGTATTCAACGAATTATTTGACTATCACAATTTTGTTTTTTTAATAATCATCAACACATTATAGTGAATCAGACCCTCAAATGACTTGTGACTCTACGAGTTAGTATTATTATAATAATAAACAAGAATAAGTTCTTTAATTATCTGCACGATCTGACTTTCGATTTTCTTTTTTTGCTAGACCCATTTACTGCACCACCAGAAACGTGCAAAAAGATGAAAGAGATTTTTCGTCACGAATGCATGCCGTTGTGTAAGTCTTTCCGTAACATACTGCGCATACACAGAAGCAGCAACACGCTTTATTTAAGTGAGCGATAAAGCATGTTATTAAGATGGAGTCTGATAACCTCGTATTTCTGCGTATACGTAATAAATGAATGTATCTAGTAAATCAATGTTCAATCATGGATACCATTCGAGACTGCTCTGCGGCTGATAAAAGCTGTCAAGCTATACAAGATTTGTTCGATTCTACCGGCCAAAGCAACACCGATGTTCGTATACCTGCAATTCAATACACTCCACCTCAAACGTATGCACGATTTCTAAACCTTGCGTCCACGCAAAAGCAAATTGGAGCTACCGTTCGTTATACGGAATGTTCCAATGATGTTAGAGTAAGTTCACTTCGAACCGAGCGAATAAAAGTTCATGTAGAAAGCACACATTACTGTTATATCTAACACTCTTTTGACATGTTGCTTTACATAACACACACAATCTAAAAATCAGCAATCTTTCTCATATTCCGGTGATATGTAAGTAAATCAAAAAATTAATTAGATTTTCTTTTTATGTATTAAATACATCTTTTTTTTCTATTAAGTGCACGGAGCTCGAGACTATCTGTTACATTTCTTCTCGACCATGGAATACACCTCCTTGTATATGTCGGCGATGTCGATTTTCTTTGCAATTGGGTATGTAAGAGTACGATAAAATGAAAAAAAATACCAAGATAAGCTCACATTTGTAGATGTTGCAATAAACTAATCGGTTCGCCTTGTTCTCGCAACAAAGTACGGCAATTATGCGCTGTTCAACGACCTGAGGTGGGATGGTGCTGATAAGTATCGTGCAGAGTCGCTGGTACCTTGGATATTGAATGATCGTGAGGTTGGGCAGATAAAATCGTCAGGCCCTCTAACCTTTATTCGTGTATACCAAGCGGGGCATGTGGTGAGTATATCAAGATTTATCATGTATAGCTGCAAACAGAGTGTATGTAATATGCATCTCAAAGGTTTAACGACAAAAATGATTGACCACTGCGGACTATAGGTGCCCTACTACCAACCACTTCCATCTCTAGCTATGTTTCGAGCTTGGATCACGAATACTCCTCTCAATCCACTTCCAGCCATCTATGCCGGGTCAAAGGAAAGCTAATTTACAATGTGGGAACCCGACACTGTTTTGACCGTGTATAAGTATCAAAATAAACTTAAAATGAAACGGGAATGCCTACATTTGAAAGAAAAACGCTTTACGTGGTTATTGTCATGAAGATTGGGAGTGGAAAACTCCTGGAGAATATATGCACTGAGCTCAAGATGGTTTTTCTTACGTTCTATCATGTACATACAATGGTAAAAAGACGTCCTACTGTAAAGCAGTATAAATGTACAGTTACGTTTCCCTAAAACGGGTACAAACCGAGCGCAGGTGCATTAAGGGGTGCTCAACGTACCTCCATTGACAGTTATTAGCCAATGGCAAAGCAGCTATGAGATAATAAAGAAAGTGAAATTACGCATATATATGACCTTCAAGGACAGCACATTCGTCTTCTCTTGCATTATCATTACATAAACGTTTCGGTAAACTCCTGCTCTAAGGAAATGGAAACTACACAACACCACCGCGAAGTCATCAGTGCTACCACATTCCGTGTAAGCGGCGGTCGTCGCCTTGCAGACGATGTTAATGTTGCGTACATTCTACCGAGCGACAAGGATGAAGTAAAGCGACTTAAGCTCAACCATGACCTTTGGAGGTACATTCTTTGGAATCTCCAATAGTAATAATGCAAGCTTGAAGCCCAATAACTAAATAGAATTTGACTTTAATGTTTAGGAGCTTAATGAACGGGTAAGTCCTAAAGAGATGCTGTTGATTATTTGTATATGCTCATGATGTTATTATCTATAGCTTATACAAATCTGACATGCACGATCAATTGAAGAAAGGGATACGCGTGCTAGATGTGGGATGCGGACCTGGATGGTGGACCTTGGTAAGGATATCAACATCGGTAGCATTTTCTCACCAATAGATTACATTTTCTAAAAGGAATATTAATTTGAAACAAATAGGACATGGCCGCCTTATATCCAAATTCCCAATTTATTGGTATTGACATGGCAGATGTTTTTGTTACCAAAGACTTGCCTTCCAATGTCACTTTCAAACAAATGAATGCCGGCACTGGACTTGACTTTGAAGACGCGTCGTTCGATTTTGTTTTTCAACGTTTCTTGGTGATGGGTTTATCGGTCGACCAATACAGTTCTTCGGTTGCTGAAATAAAACGCGTGTTGAAGCCAGAAGGCGCCATTGAAATTTTGGAACTGATTAATGACTATTCCAACCCTAGTCCAGCCTTTGCACGCATTGGATTATGGAGTAGGTCTATTTTTTGTTACCTTTTTTTTCTCATGATCAAAGGGACGAGATGGACTCATAAATATGCTTATTTCTACTAGTACAACAAGCCATGAGCGCTCGTGGCTTGGATTCGTTCATTGCGGATAAAGTGTCTTCAGTTCTTGAAAATGCAGGCTTCCATAATATAAAGGATGTCAACTACGACGTGCCTATTGGTAAACTCTTTTTATATATACATCTCTTCACACCCCCATATATCAGCAGGAAGAAAAGCGAGAAAATAAGAAAATAGCTAACTGGTTATAACAAAATTTAGGACCATGGGGAGGCGAACCGGGTGAAATGTTCCTTGCTATCCAAAGATTGGCACTTCCCGCTGTCAAGGTCATGGTTACTGAGTTGACGAATGCAACTACGGAGGAATATGACAAAACTGTGAAGCAGGCCTTTGAGGAGGCAAATACTCACCAAGTCTCGACACGATTCAGACTTATATATGCTAGCAAATAAAGGATGATGGAGGAGTAATTCATAACGCGTACAGTAGCAATACAATAAAAGTCCCATGTTCAATTATTTTGTTGCTAGCTTACTAGCTACACATAAGGCCGATCAAAATTTGAAGTAACCAGCGGCCCCGAACTTTTGTTTTCAGTTGACTCACTACTACTCATCGGTACGATTGACATTTCACGAGAAACAAAGTTTTTACTTTTCCTAAATCACCCCCCCTAAACTGCGCGCATATAGTTATAATCATGGCAGACACAGCAAATGGCGAGACCGGTGTGATTGCCTTATACCAGACCTTTTTGAAGGATCCTGTAAGCACAGAAAAAAAAGTTACTATTACACTTCTTGAAACTTGAAGAAACGAAATAATCATAACCAATCTTAAAATCGCAGGAAATATCTACTCCTGTCGCAGTCTTTAAAGCATTAACGGAATTCGTTCGTGATAACGCAGGTAAAAAGAGCTGTCTATAGCATTTCAACCTCATTTATAGTCAGGATCTCGCTGTTAATAATAGCGGACGTGTTGAAAATCAATATAGCACCCACAATGTCGGAATTCATGGAGACGCTGGAGCGAGCTGCGCAATCGATCCGAGACGATTCTCAAACGCGACGTGCAGAAAAAGGTCAACACAAAGCAACCATTGCCACCCTGGCTGGTGTCGATCTATTTATGCGATTCGTGACAAGGAACTCGCATGATTTTTCAGTACGTCCTTATATATGTTACTCACAATATACGTTCGGATGGATGGAACTGCAGAGAGATTAAGTGTGTTTGATGAATGTAATAGCTTTCTACCAAGAGCTTTGATGATTTCAAAGACCATCTGTTGTCGCGTGCAACACTGATTCTCGAAAAAGCATTCACAGCACGTATCAAAGCAGCCGAGATCGGCGCCGAGTTTGTGCAGGACAACTCAGTCATTTTGGTACATGCGTATTCTCGTGTCGTGATGAGCGTCCTGTATCATGCAGCAAATGTACAGAACAAAAGATTTAAAGTATATGTAACGGAAGGTCGGCCAAATAGTGAAGGGTAAGCACGGCAAGAGGAAAAGGAGGGAATGAGGATTAGTTGTTTCCGAGTGATTAAACTGGATCATTAGATTGAATGCTGTCAAAGCTCTTCGGGAAGCGGGCATTCCTTGTCGGGCGATTCTGGACTCGGCTGTGGGATACATTGTAGACAAGGTGGATATGGTCTTTGTTGGCGCTGAAGGTGTTGTAGAAAACGGGGGTGTCATTAACCAGGTAAGGCAATGAGATCCATTTTCCATCATTCCTCTTTGCTGTGGTACTATACAATGTACGTGTCTGGATACAAACTCATCACATCCAAATAACTAGGTTGGTACATATCAAATTGCACTTGTTGCCAATACACTTGGTAAACCCGTATACGCCGTAGCAGAAAGGTAATGCACTAGTTGGTTACGTATATCGAGAAGCTGTCAGAAGGGGGCCTTTTGAAACTAACTAGATAACCGGGGGACTGGACCATCATAGTTACAAATTCGTTCGTGTATATCCTCTCAACCAATATGATCTGCCTGCCGCTACACCCGAAATTGTAAGCTTCACTTCAAGGAGAAAGTCGTTCAGCAACAACGGAGACTCCGACGCATCACTGGAGGCATCCAACCCATCCGTAGATTATACTCCCCCACAGTATGTCACCCTGTTGCTGACGGATTTGGGTGTGCTTACCCCTAGTGGAGTCAGTGATGAGCTTATCAAGCTATACTTGTAAAAATACTTCTTTGTACGTAAAGTTTTATAAAACATATCAAAAGCATTACTCTAAGCGCAGATTGTGTGAGCAGTGTATGATATGCTTAGAAGAATTGAATCCGAAGCGTTAAAGACGAACTAATATTACTTATAGTGGCACATAATGCAATAGAGCTCTTTTTCTTTTGCATCTTTGCCTCAATGTCACGAATCACACCATACTTATCGTTTGTTTTGGTTCGTTGAGCTACTGTATGTGTTATGAAAATTATTCACATAAAGATTTTGCTGGTTACATGCGCCGTTCTGACACAGCCATGATTTCACGTGTGCCTTCTTTGAACTTCTCCCCTTAAACCGAGTTTACAACGAGTATGTTATGTAAGTACAACTGCAAAGGGAAATGATCGTACTGTGACAAGAGTGAACAGTGTACGCGCATGTGTGAAATACAACGAAAGGAGGGGGGCTTGATCTTGTCATGTTCGAGCAGTGCGCAGTGAGTGCAACAACTAGTGATTGACTAAATTCTTCTTTGTAGTTCCTTCAACAACACCGCTTCATTTACTTGTCAATCGCAATTGTCATTATTATTCGTTTTGTGCAACGGTAATATCTCTTCTATTAAACGGTACCTCAAGGAAGTGACCACATGCTCATGGGCACCGGTCCGTTCAGCAGTCTTCCAGAAAATTTTAACTCCTTCTACTGCTTCCAGAATTTCCTCCGCTTCATATTCGCCTCCTACTCCTTTTAAGTCGCCCTCTACTGCTAAGTTCTCCTTAGCTGCTTCGTCTAATAAGCCCTCTTCTCGTGACACACCGAGATATAGATAATACATGGGATTATCTGGCATCGATGTAAAGCGGCTAGAAAGCCCATTCAGAATTGCCCCCAGTACGTTCACTTCCTTTTCCATAAAACCAAACACACTCTTAGGGCAGCTCGAGTGAATTTAGAGACGCGAGAAATCTCCTTCGAAACGCTTTGAACTGAGTCCGCGACTGATTGTCATGTAACGTGTTGTCACTGTAGAAGAACAGAGCGGTGGAAATTGCACGATGCTTCTTAAGATGTATCTCACACATCATCCTCATACCTCCCACGGAAAGAAGAGATTAATGCACACAGATATACTATATACCAAAGGGCCATTATTCATCCAATCATTATACCTGCCGAATAAAAAGAATTGCTAATTCACTGCTACCATTATTTTACGCATTTGATATAAGGAGCGCCAGTACATTCAGTGAGCGTGATATGAAAGCTATATGCTTATGCTCAGTTGAATACTATTAAAAATGTTATCACAAACTTCTTCTCGAACGCTAACCAACCCTTCACAGTCACCATTTCTATTCATTACTCACCGAAAGATGTGGTGAGTCCACAATCTCAACTAAACGAACAAACAAATTTCTTGCCGATCTTCCAATTGAACTTTGTATATTTCGTACAGGAAACACTAGAGTATATCTTACGAACTGCAACATATTCCGATCGCACGCACGCAGCAAGCTAATCAAGCGTACAAGCAAACGCTATTGGCAGGATTAGCACAGCAGAAGATACCAACAAATATATACTGTAAGAACAATGGTAATAGCGAGGAACAAACAAATTCAAACAGAAAAAAATGGCACAGAAGGTGGACGCAAGTTGGACAGAAGGTGGACGCAAGGTAGACAGAAGGTGGACGCAAGGTGGACGCAAGGTAGACAGAGAGTCCACCTTCTGTCTACCTTGCGTCCACCTTCTGTCCACCTTGCGTCCACCTTCTGTCCACCTTGCGTCCACCTTCTGTCCACCTTGCGTCCACCTTCTGTCCACCTTGCGTCCACCTTCTGTCTACCTTGCGTCCACCTTGCGTCCACCTTGCGTCCACCTTGCGGACATCAAGACAATCACGATCAACAAGAAAAGCGAGAGCTCTTCTGCGACAAGTTATCACAAAATAACGTGAACCCTCAAAAGTAAGAATTTACCAAAAGCATTTGTCGTGTTTACTAACCACTTTCTAGAGCTCATGTTTCTGCACTCGATGCTCGTTTAGTGCCAAGAAAGCGTGATTGAGCAGCAGTGAGTGAAAGGTACAATCTCGCTCTTCTTGTTATACAAGGTATCGCTTATACTTATCTGTACTTGTAATAAATTTCTAAAATCGACCTCTCGTCCAGTTTCAAAACCGTTGCTCTATCAGTTTGGAGAAAATGAGGGTCGTGGAAGTTGGCGGCGAGTGGTACTTAAAGTTGAAGATATCAATCATCAACATGGTTTAAAATACGACCTTTGAGCAGTAAGTATATAAGCAGTAACTCGAATTGCGAACTAAATGACACGCATTATGAAATCATTGTCTGTTTACATATGTAAACAAAACAGTAATATTTCTATCTTGCTATCATCTTAATTATTATAACGTGTATACAAATACTAAGTCGAACTTGGATTATTAGTGACCAAGCTTCAAGTTCTGTCAATCACACGTAAAACGTGGATCGTAAAATTTCTTTATTAAGCCAGCGTCAGTGCGCGGTCAACAAGCCTTGGCACAGGCGGACATTGCTGTAAGTAGAACGTGATTTAAAACACATCTTGAACTGCGCTGCTTGGATTATATAGCGCAGCACTGCAACCACCAAGCAACCAATGTCATCTCCTAGTTAAGTTCGTTCCAATTATGTGTCAAAGCAGCGCCGGGTTAGGAGACGGTAGTGCTACCACAGCAACAACACAAAGCAACACCAAACTTATACCATAACCAGACTGTGATCGAGTTATCGGCGACATGCTAGATTACCGAAGCTGTAACGACCTCTATTGATGGAAGTATGACAAAGTCAAGCGATGATGCACATTTTACAGCTGCCGGGCACTTATTCAACGCTTGAATCCAAATATACAGAGATTTCTCGTTAATGTCTATCTGGGTAAAGCCCTTAAAAAGGTTGACGCTACGAAGGGCTGGAAGTTAACGAAATGTCGGGCAATCGTGGTAGTCGCGGTAGTTATCAGCATTACTTTTCGACGGTGCCTTAAAGGCCTACTGGATGATGTACATAAAACGATGCGTTTTTTGGCAACCTTCACTACAGCTTATATAAGTTACACTGTCTAAAATAAAATGCATTATTATACAAGTACAGGCAAATAGAACCTTTGGTGTACTGCCGCATATCGAAAAAAACGAAGGCTATCTATGATTGCAGTGAGTGATAGTGCCGTTCATTGCCAAACATTCGTTATTTTGCCTTGTAGTTTGGGGAATTGGGGTATATGGAATAAAAAGCCGGTGTGTATCTATTTGTTGCAGTGGATGTGTAAGACGGTGATTATAAAGCGCATCCGTACCTTTGTAATCGAAAAGAAGTGGGAACCTATTCGGCCATTTCAGTATATTATTGTCTGGAACTGTAGCAAGGGTCAATTTTATCGTTGTTATCATACCGTTATGAAAGGAACTTTGCCATCAAGTAGTATCGCAGTGTACCTCGTCCCCTTCTCCCGTAGTATTTGCCGAGCCCGGTTGCATACAAACAAATAAAACGCCATTTTTAATCATTTTAAGGTGTTCCCCGCTTTTCTTCTTTGTCAGGGAACGCGTTTATGCGTTTATAGAAGGTATCTGTGCATCTTTGAGCTTTGCACAAGTGTTAGCGAACGATGGATACTCTCAGTAGGTGACTAAGCAATTTGGATGACCATTTAAACATGTCGGCTGACTCCTTTACGATATCAAATGTGCTTTGCCTACCACGGTCTTCATTTTGGTAATTCGCTCCTCATTACTCCTCGAAACGCTAGTCCTTCAACAGTAACGGGAATTCTATAGGTAGTCCCGACAGAGTTTGGTGTTCTTGCTTTGAGCGGAGTGAAAGACAGATTACATGCTCTATCATATCATAAACTCGTTGTCCGGTATATGCACAAATATGGATAGAAATTCATGCATGGGTGGGGAGAACAAGATAAAACATGCAAACAGGGTCTATGTGCTGCAACCAGCGTGACTTATACCGTCTATAACCTGCAGGCAACAGTATTTTTGGGGGGGGGTGCGCCGAGTGAGTAGGTTGCACAAGTACAAGCCGCGCGTTATCGGTGATCTAAAAAAGAAAACTCTTTTTTTTCCGTTCCGCAGATCTTTCCGCAGGACATCGACCAATTAAAATTTTTTTCATTGGCCTTTATCCATAAGACCGGTCACATGCAGTCAAACCCCGCCGAAGGTATAAAAGAAGGTGCGAACCACGTCTCTGCTAAGAGGGGGGGCTTATAAGCCCCCTTTCCAAAACATACTTTTTTTTTATATTATCAATAAATATTCGTACATCATGTCCCAAACATACCTTGATCCTGCCCAGGCTCTTGCCGCTTTGGCTTCCTACAAAAGCCGTGATGGTCTTTCCGTTGAAGAGCTCCTTGATGAGCAATTGAGTGGAGGCTTGACTTACAATGACTTCTTGATCCTTCCTGGCTACATTGATTTCTCCGCCCACCTTGCGTCCTTGGAGTCCAAGATCACCAAGAAGATCACGTTGCGCACTCCCCTCATGTCGTCCCCCATGGACACTGTGACCGAGACTGACATGGCTATCTCCATGGCTGTAAGTGTGCTTCGAGTGCTGCTGCTTGAACGCGTGTGAAAAAAAAAGGAGGCAGACGCTTTGTTGTTTGGATGGAGCGAGTGACGAACCAGGTGCTCTTTTGTTTATTCTCTCTAGTTGCTTGGTGGCATTGGCATCATCCACAACAATTGCGCTGCTGAGGAACAGGCCGCCATGGTCCGCAAGGTCAAGAAGTTCGAGAATGGCTTCATTGTCGATCCCGTTGCCTTGTCTCCCAACCACACCGTTGCCGATGTCAAAGCCATCAAGGAAAAGTCTGGCTTCTGCGGTATTCCCATTACAGGTATAGCTTGCATATATTATTTTCTGCCTCCGGTCCGACGGTTAGCTGGCCTGTCCGTCCGTGCTGTGCTGTGCTGTGCTTTGCTGTGAAACCTAACTTCTTTTTCATCCTCCCCCCCCCCAATTAAAAATTTACCAGAGACTGGCAGTATGAACGCCAAGTTGGTCGGCATTGTGACCGCTCGTGATATCCAGTTCCACAACGACGAGTCCTCGCCTCTCAAGGAGATCATGACCACTGACCTTGTGGTCGCAAAGACCGGCGTGACTCTTGCTGAGGCCAACGAGATCCTGAAGACCTCCAAGAAGGGCAAGCTCCCCATTGTGGACGAACAAGGCCACTTGGTCTCGCTGTTGGCCCGTTCCGATTTGCTCAAGAACCAAGAATATCCCCTTGCCTCCAAGGCTCGTGATTCCAAGCAGCTCTTGTGTGGTGCTGCCGTTGGTACCCGTCCCGATGACAGAGACCGTCTCGCTCTTCTTGTCGATGCTGGTCTGGACGTTGTTGTTCTGGACTCGTCCCAGGGCAACTCCATCTTCCAACTCGATATGATCAAGTGGATCAAACAGACCTTCCCCAACCTCGAAGTCATTGCTGGCAACGTCGTCACCCGTGAGCAGGCTGCCAACTTGATCGCTGCTGGTGCCGACGGTCTCCGTATTGGTATGGGCTCTGGCTCCATCTGTATTACCCAGGAAGTCATGGCCTGCGGTCGTCCCCAGGCTACTGCTGTCCACCGCGTCTCTGAATTCGCCCGCCACTTCGGTGTCCCTACCATTGCTGACGGTGGTATTGGCAACGTTGGTCACATTGTCAAGGCTATTGCTTTGGGTGCTTCTGCTGTCATGATGGGTGGTATGTTGGCTGGTACTACCGAATCCCCTGGCGAATACTTTTATCACGAAGGCCAGCGCTTGAAGCGCTACCGTGGTATGGGCTCCATTGATGCCATGAGCAACAAATCTGCCGGCAAGGATGGCAATGCTGCCACCAAGCGTTACTTTTCCGAGGGCGACACCGTCAAGGTCGCTCAGGGTGTCGTTGGAAACGTCGTTGATAAGGGCTCTGTTCGCAAGTTCATTCCTTACTTGATCACTGGTTTGCAGCACTCGCTTCAGGACATTGGCTGCCGCAGCATTGCCGATTTCTCGCAGGCTGTCTATGACGGTGTTGTTCGCTTCGAGAAGCGTACTGCTTCTGCTCAGTTGGAGGGTGGCGTCCATGGCTTGCACAGCTACGAGAAGAAACTCTTCCAGTAAATCCCTCTTTGATGATGTACATAACATACATACATACAAGCAAAAGCATTTCTTTTCCTCATTCACCACAACGCACTCCTCAATTATCCATTATTTCGCACTTACTTCATCAATCACATCAAGCACACGCACTATCTTGAAAAAGCATACATTATTCTATTATTATTCTCATCCAAAATAAAGAAAATCATCGATGATAGCATACCATACCCATTATCTCATATTCGGACTAGATTAGTTTTAATTTTTTAATGCGCTGCGTACGCGTACAGTTTTATCAAGCACTTCCTTCCTTTGACGTTATGCCTGCACCCGACGCTCCGCCGACCTATGAGTTGCAGCAGCAACCAGAACAACCACAATCACAATCCTCACAGCAACAACAGCCTCAGAAACTACGTGGCTACACGCCAGCTGCTGTCCTTAACTACATTATAAATAATCTGCGGATCGATGACCATGCTCCTTGTAATCATTCGCTTATATCCTTCCAAGAGCCGGCACAAACCGATGACGACAGCAGTAACAACAATAGTAACGATCAAATCGAAAAAGAGAACCTACCACCGCCATCGGCAATAACCGAGCAGCCAGGAGAAAAGATACCACAGTTTCTTTGTTTAAACTGCCATGCCGTTATTACAATCGAGCCAAATGCGGTCGAATTACGCGACACTTGCTTGGCTGAAGGCTATTCGACGCATCACTTTCACGAAAACAGTGCCACGCAGTTCGAATGTTGTGGATGCCATTACGGAGTGGAGTTCTCGATCCAAGCACCACCCATTCCACTTGCAGTGCTGCACAGTTTGACGGACGAACGCTCAATATTTCGCACCAGCGTGGAAGCAGCTCGCGGTGACCGTTCGCCAACGGTGATTGATGCGCTAATTTTGTTACAGACCTATGTATGCGGTTTGCTCAAAGGCAGCCGCAGGGACATTAATGCAAACAACGCACACTTTCGAACGCGCATCGGTGTAGATCAAGCCAGGTAAGATAACGGGAGAAAGTAATGGTTTGTTTTTATGGGGTGCACAGGTGCATAGATTGGGCTATATTATCTAAACTGCACTCTCTTAGTCAATCGGTTTTAGCAGCTATTGGTTTTACATATGATGAGCAGTCGCTTCATTTCAAGTCGCCAACCGATGGTAGTCCAGCACTAGAGCGACAGCGGTTATTGCTATGCTATGGTCAGCTCTTGGCCATGTGCTACGAATTACGCCAAGAAGTGCCAGCCACTGCCGGGACTGACCAATATTATGACGCTGTAAACTCTGTTCAACATGCCGATCTGGAAGCACGCACTGCATTAGGCGCCAACAACTTTTTGGAACCCGGCGTACCATCAAATACCAATCCAAAAGTAGTCGCTTCATATGGGGCTCTAGGCACAGTGCCAGGTGCACAGGATGATCTAGTGATATGGCTGTACCGCAAGATGGTGGAGGAGCAGCCAAACCAGGTTGGCTTTGCAATGGATGCGTTGGTGGCGGTTGCTGAATCTCGAAGCAGTGAGACTTTGTTGACGGAAGTGGCTATAGAGCGAAGTCAGGGACGTTTGGGTGAAAACGAGGTCAAGGATGCGTATACCTATTTCGGTTATAATGATGATCCGAAAAATGCAGACGATCGATTGCTTGCTGGATTGTATGACGTCAAGGTGTCGGACGAACCAAACGATCAAGCGACACATCGGATGAAGCTGGGTATCATTGCCGAAGCCCGGAATAGCGAGGTGCTGCATGATCTTTTGCGCGGTCCAAACTCAGGTAAAAGGAGCCCCAAGCTCACTACATATTCAGATGATAAGCGAAGGCTTAGTGTTGACAACTTATTTCTTGTTTTTCATATTTGACAATTGTCAGGGAAGCTGCAATTAGGCGACACGTGAGTACCGGAAATGGGAGAAAGGAAAAGAAGAAGCGAATGGAACGCTATGGGTTAACAAGATATATTGACATGCGAAAAACTTCATTATAGACCTGTTGGACTAAACAATATCGGAAATACGTGCTACCTCAATAGCTTGCTTCAGGTAAAAATAAAGAAGAGGATAGAGAAGAAGTGTAAAAGGCAATTCATATACTGCATAAGCTGGTTGTCATTGACAAAACTCAAGTATTATTTCACTCTGACGCCGTTTCGCAGGGCAATCCTTCATGTAGACGACTACGTGGAAAATGAAGATGACCCAGAATGGTCACCGAAAAAGATCGGTGGTATAGAAGTTGATCAAAAGGAAGTGTACCGGGCAAAAAAATGTAAGAGACAATTATAAATATTACGCTTCATCACTGGGGTAGATTGTATCAACAAAGTAGGACAGGATTGCTTACATGAACTTTCGTTTATAAAGTCGTGTTTCTGTTGAAGGATCTATTTACAAATCTTGAAAATGCTTCGCAACGTGCTATCTCGCCCGAGTACGACCTCGCGTATATGGCACTTTTGAACGGTCGGTCCGTTGAAAATGATGCGCCTGCCGATACAAAAGGAGAATCATCGTCTGGCTCTTCTAAAAAGGAGCCCGAGCAAGGCAAAGCGGCTGAATTACAAGTAGAAAAGCAGGATGAGTCAGAGTCTCAACAACAATCTGCGGATCTGGATACGGAAATGACAGAAGCTCAAGTACCAGGAACTCAGGAGCAAAAGCAGCAGCAGCCAGAAGAAGTGGAAAAGGAAGAACTATCTCCGACTACACCGGCTCCAGTATCGAAAACCGCAGACACTCCTGGCAGCTCCGAGCCTTTGCCTCAGGTTCCAGACAATGACAACATCAATGAAGCTGTTAAAGAAGAAATCGAAACAGCACCGCAACCACAGCCGGACGAGCTACCACCCGCTTATGAGGACGTAATCATGGAAGACGAGCGGCCTAGCATTCCAGATAAGAAGCATCTACTGGACAAGCCGTTACCAAAACCACTTCCAGGTACGCCACCTGCTCTTCCGCCACGCGATCCACGACCTAGCGCTGCAAACATCATGTTTGGCAAACAACAGGATGTTACTGGTAAGAAATCTTCCCTCGTTCCTCAAAAAAAAAAAAGGTTACACAAATCTCATTCTTTCTTATCCGGTAATAAGAATGCATGGGCAACGTCATGTATCTAGTCGAGGCAGCACTCAAGCCATTAGAAAAGAAAGAAAATGGGGAGCAAATACGAGACATCGTGCGAGATCTATTCTATGGCAAGGCACGACAAATCCTGACATACGAGGACACTGAGACATCGAAGCAAGTGCGTAAAGTGCAAGAGGAAGACTTTAGTCATGTCATTGTGGATGCTGCCGAAGGCAAGGACTTGTATGATGGTCTGGACGAGTACTTTTTCGCGGATCGGGTAGAGGATTTCCATGCCGGTCGAGGAGCCATGCGTGAAGTCACTGTTAGTACGTTCCCACCAATACTCCAGATCCAGGTTCAGGTAAGATAAATGGCAAAGGAAAAATGGGTTGAAACAGTACTTTTCCGATTTATTATTTGGTTCTTGATTAATAAATTTCTCTATTGAAATAGCGAGTTCAATTCGATCGGACAACTGTCAACGTTTACAAATCCAATGCTTTTGTGAAGTTCGACAAGATGCTTTATCTCGACCGATACTGCGAATATAACTTTGAGCAACTCGCCGTTCGTCGTACACAAGTAACTGGATGGCGTAAGGAACTTGAATCCAACCAAAGCGTCATTCACAAACTTACTGACACCAAGGTAAAATATAAATTCTGATTAAACTACCTATATGGACGGGATGATGCAGTTGTATCCTTAATATAGTTGGCATTAACACTATTAGGATCAATTATGAATTATTTTCTCTAAAACTCAGACATATCCGATGCCTATACCTGAACTGCTGGAAGCAGCATCATCTATCTTGGAAGAGCATATAAAAGACAGCGATGATGCAGCAACAAATGAAGAGGACGTTGCCAAGTACAAGCAAGCGTTGGAGCTTTTGCGACAAAACGAAAGGGAGATTCGAGAAAAGATCCACATTAGTCAAGCCAATATACAAGAATTGCAGCAAAAGATCCATGGTCAATACGATGATTTGAAACAAGTTGCTTATCGCTTGCACGCAGTGTTTATTCACCAAGGTCAAGCAAACTATGGTCATTACTGGATTTATATCTACAACCACCAAAAAGAACAATGGTGGAAGTACAATGATTCAAGAGTTACCAAGGTAATCATGGAGTCCTCTTTTTGGTAGCGGGTGTGTGGCATAGTAACTAACGTGGTATTATTATATATAGGTTGAAGAATCCGAGATTTTACAAAACACTACAGGATCGACTGCCAACCCTTACTTTCTGGTATATATCAAGGACTCTGACGCAGATGAGCTTGTACAGACGTCGGTCCCCAACAGTGATGAGAACAGCGGTGCTGAACAACAAGGAGAGGAACAACAGCAGCCAATGGAAGAGGTGTCATAGCGAGACAAGTTTCGTGTGTAAGAACGAAAGAAAAAGAGACTGTAAATAGTACTACTACACGCCAAAATACAGTATAGCGAGATTCATATCCTTGAAACTATTCATTCTGTCTGTACAAATCGGACAGTAATCGGAGAAGAGGTGTGGATAGGAGATTGCCCGGGGTACTGCCAAGCACTTTTGATGGTTGATGATGGTGGCACGAACTACGTATTTAAGTTCAGTTAGGTACTTTTATGCAACCAAGGAAATGAACCAAAACGTCGATGAGACTGCACTGTCGATCTTTACAGTTGCTGGTGCGCATTTTAATCTATGAGTAACAGTCTCTCGCGTAAATGGTCACAACAGCAAGCCAAGGAACCGAGCTGCTTTTTCGACGCTGCTAAGAAGCGGTTAATAAAACGGGAGTTGCTGGGATAAAAGGGTAATAGGCAACATCATCGGCAGGAAGCTTGTGCAGAGTAATTTTAGCCGAACCAGCACAGCAGTAATATTATTATTAGGTCAGCTGGTGGTGGTAGTGGTCGCATTGTTATTGTGCAAGTTGCTTGGCGTATTGTCCCTCTTCTTTGTCATAAACCACTTTTCATTTGTCCCCTTTTCTCTTTAACTTTCTTGTCAAAATGGACTTGACACCAACCGAACTCCACTACTTTAAGCGCGAGCTTATTAGGCTAGAGCTACTCCGAGAACTCGACCAGCTTCGACGTAACCCAGAGATTACAACCCTGCTCGCTCGAAATGTTGACCCAGCCAAGGATACGTACCCATTCCTGCGATACATTGCACAAGAATTTGTTATCGAGTTTCCGTTATTGAAGCGTGGCGACAAGCCTGAATTCTGGGAGAAATGTCAACTGTTCCTGGACGAGTTTTCCAAAGTCAAGCTCGACACGTACTCGCCACGGCGGACGGGGGCTTCGCAACGACGCGTACTCATGTACAAGGCCGAAAAGCTGTTAACAGTGGCCATGTGTGCGACCGTGAAAACGAATCAAGGACAAGACCAGCCGTTAGATGTACGCGACAAGGAGCAGAGCAAGAAACAAAACAAGGATGAAGAAGAGAATCTGGCCGAGTCGCTGGATAAGAACATGACGCTGTTGGAGAACGAGGACCACTATTTGGAATGGATGGGATTCAATGGCCTGCAAATTGATGTGGTCACTGTGCGTGAAGTGAGCGAGAAACGGACCCTGCGCGAGAAATTACACGCAGAATTTGTCCTTTCTACGACGATTGCTGGGGAAGGGGACAAGCAGTATTTCGTTACTCGACGACACGGTGATTTCCGCCAGCTGCAGCAAGACCTCAAATCCGAGTTCCCGTTGGAAAGCGTCCCTAACGTACCGAAAAAGGCGAGCGACCCGTCGTATGAACGTGCTGGTACGGGTGAAGACGGTGAAGACGACGGACAAGAGGATAAGAGCAGTAGCGCTAGTGGCAGCAGTGGCAACAAGAAAAAGGCAGAAAAGACGGGGTCCTCGTCGTCCCTTCTGGGATCATCCCTGTCGTCTCATTTCCATCGTCGCCGTTCACACTCGAACGCAGGATCCGACAAAGACAATAACAACGGTCAGCTCTACCGCGAAAAAGATCGACTGCTGCTCCGATCATTCCTGCACAGAGTCGCCACGGACTCGGAGCTGGCTAAAAGCGAGACCTTCCGCAAGTTCCTAACTCGAGATCCAATCACGCTGACGCCAGAACAAATGGCTGATGCTGAACGACGCCACCAGGTTGACCTAGCGCGTGCTGCTGAAGAGGCGAGGTTTAAGGAAGAAGTGGATCGCAAGATGAGCGAGCTCAATGACCTGTTGGATATGCTCAAAAAGCAGATCATGCAGCCCGGTGGATTGAAGGAGGTGTTTCAGATTATCAAAACAACCGCGCGTATCGAGGATCTTCCGGAGCCTATGCGCAAAGCTTTTGAATGGGGTCGTATCAAGTAAGTGCATCGAGCCTTCTTCTTTTCTTTTAACTAGTATAAGTTTGGAATATTCAAGTAGAGGAAGCACACTAACAAAGCAATACTGTCATAGCTTTGCATTTGTGCTTCATACACAGTTCGTCTCTTCGGACAGGGCGGCAGAGAATATTGCCAACTTGAAACGCACGCATATGTTGATGCCCTATCGTGCCGTAGCACAAATATTGAAATTGTCCAACCCGTTTACTATGGTCAAGGGCGTACTGGACCTTTTCCTTGCCCAACCATTGGGCCGCCGTAGTCTGCTCCAGCGTATCATCGTCTCGACAATGCAGGACGGCGACAAGGAAGCACAGCAGGATATCAGCGACCTCGAGGCTGCGATCAACGATCCTATTCTCATTGGCAAGGTCAAGAATGCTGTGGCCACATCGATGCCCGAAGAAGAGCAAACACAGCGCGTATACAACCGACGTGCTGATCCGACCGAGGAAACGCTCGCCATGCTTAGGAACCCTGATATTGAGCCATCGCTAACACCGAAGCAGATTTTGAACCTGCAATCCTCGTCAGAACTAGTGAACCAGGTACATCGTCTCTGGACCCTTTATGCACGCCAACGTGAGCACAAGCTGTTGGGCGACCTCATGTTCCAAGGCACGACGGGTGAACTGTTGCGCGAGATCTTTGCCATGTTCTATACACCGTTGGCCCAAGTCTACCGCTCTGCCAACATTGGCGATTCGCTGCAGCATTTGTCAGCCTTTATTGACGATTTGGTGGGCGTTATCAACTCGGTGAATGTGCTTGACGCACGAAACACGGCACAGCCATTTGTGCAGCTGGTACAGCGTCACGAGCAGCAGTTCTATACGTTTGTGCATAATGTCCATGCCAACGATACATCGCACCTGTTTGACGAACTGCTTTCCTATGTCGACAACATGTTCAGTCTGATTGCAAACGGATTGCCGAATCGTATAGATCTAGACAAGGCCGCGGCCGAGGCACAGGCGGACACGCAGTTGTTGCGCAAGGATGCGGATGCACTGTGCGAGTACCATTGGAAGCGAAAGGAGCAACACATGAAGCGGACACGGCAGAAGCTCATGATGGAGCAAGACGACTTTGACAGTAGCGACGAGGCAAAGGCATTGGACTTTTTGCCCAACAGCGCAGAAATGCTGCGTATCATTGATGACCTGGCCGAGTTCGATCCTGAAGAACACGATGCAGAGGATAGCGACGAGGCACTGGAGCACGAGATGCTGATTGCGCCTCCGGAGCTGCAGGCGCTTCCCAAGGTGGTTCCAGTGTTCGTGCGTCATGTTGCTCAAGTGATGCCGTCCAAGAATGCGTGATGAAAAAATAGAGAACTATTAAAGTTTTGCTCGATCTGCTGTTCATATGATCAAATGATGCTGTGACAATAAAAAAGTATGAGTTGATTTTATTGCAATATTGTCAAAAAGAGCATGCTGTTCCAAAAAAGAAAAGCATAAAGATATAGTAGTGCTAGTACTGGTGCTAGTGCTAGTACTGCCCCCCCCCCTCGTTGTTATTGTTGTTGTTTTTTCTTGCCACATTTTTGCTGTTAGGTTGAGGCACTCGTTATGGTGTGGAGTATGGACAATTTATACATAGAAGCTTTTACAAGAAAGAGTGGGAATGGGTTTGTTGGCTGGATGTTTTGGTGCTGTTGGCGCTGGTATCAGAGTACGAAAGAATGAAATGAGGGATAACGCATACTAGAACAAAAAAGAAGGAAAAGGAAAAAAGAGGAGGTATGGCTGCTGCTGTTGTTGTTGTTGTTGTTGTGCTTTCTACTTCTTCCGAGCACACTCGATATGCTTTTGGACAATCGACTCGGCGATCTGCTGGACGCTTGCATTACGACTTTTTGGAGTCGAGCAAGGTGTTCGCCAGCGAGGAACACCAGGGGCGGATTTCGACCGTTTTCGGCGGTTGGCACTCCGTTGAAGGTGGGCAGCACGCATGGCGCTGGTCTTTGACCATTCGAATTGGTAAGCTTCGTACATTGACTGATCGAGTTCGATCGCGTCCAACAGCACCTCGAGGGACAGACGTTGTTTTTGTTCGGTCTGGCTTGGCAAGCGAGCAGGCATGGATGTGGTTCGAATATGGTTCTTGTTATTGCTATTGCTGCTACTAAACGGTGTTGCTGTTGCCGAGGTTGGTGTAGGCGTTGGTGGTGGTGATTGTTCAATTGTTTTACAAAATGCATGAAACGAGGGTAACACATGCTGCTGCTGCTTGTGTTGCTGTTGCGGCTGTGCAACATCCTGGACCATCGCCGCGGTGTTCAATTGAAGTTTAGTCTTGGGCATCCACATTTTGGGTTTATGTTATTACACGCACAAAAGAAGAGATGAAGAGATGAGGGAGAAATGCAAAGGATGAGAGAAGGATGAGAGAGAAAAGGTAAAGAAGAGGAAGAGAGGGACTTGATCATCTTGTCCTCGCTTTATATTACTACGGTTACTCCTGAATTCCAGTCCATTTTGATATCGACCAGCCTTTTTGTGTTGCGCATCTCAAATCCCCATTCTAGTTTTGTGGGTGTCTGGAGAAAAGCAAAAAAGAAATGCAAGGTGTGTACCGTGGTGGGATTAGTGTATCCACATGTACTGACTGTACTGCACTCATAGCCAGCTATTGCTGTATTATGTAGACGGAAACCGGGGAATGCTGATCTGTTTTGGCTCGTCGTCGTCATTTGTGACCTTGTGCTCTTCTTCGTTAACTCTATAGAGAGGATCATGAAGGTGATGCTGAGTTTTCCAAGCCAGTCTTTCGGATGTGAAATAAGAAAAAAAAGTGCCCTTTCTCGTCTGGCCTTAATCCTTAATCATTTTGCTACGGTTCAAACAAAAACATGAGTAACTAGTAGTCGTGTGCTTTCCAATCTAATGCTACGGTGCCGCTGTGCCCTGTGTGTGGCACGTGCGCGCGGCACTTTGCCAAAATTCAGCCAACCAAAAGCATCACAATTGAGTTGTGCCCTTTTAACGATCCCGTTCATTTCCACCCCCGTTCTTGACAATAGGATCCGACAAGTGTGGCACTTTTTACGCGTCTAATCGTTGAGACCAAAAAATACACATGCCCTAGGTAGTAGCAGCAGCGGCAGCAGCAGCAGTAGCAGTGGTAAAACACACTAGCAAATTATACGTAATTGTTTATATCTCTTGATGATGCTGTTGTAGAAGAGCTTTTCTTATGCAGTCAATATGCACACAGTCAATTGCGCATACACAGATAAACATAAGAGCTTTCTTGATCTTTCCTACTTGGATGCTGCTGTTTTTATTTTTATAATGAACTAACAAGAACATTACCAGGTAAACTTGCCAGCCAATAAGATTATCGTAATATCTGTTCTTACATGATGCTGAAAAGAGTAGTACTCCACCATCGTACGATTTACGATATCATGGAACGCGTCATTATCAGTAATGATGTGATCGTGAGATTGTGCAACAGTAGCTGCATTCCATTTTCTGGGTATGGGATGTCGGACCAAGTTGGCTATTGCGCGGATCACATCCCAGACCAACCCGCTAACAAAAAACATTTGCTCCTTTTTTCAGGAGCTGCACGGCTACAACAACATTCCAATGGACTGTTGGTTTTTTATCTTAATTTTGCAGAGTGCATACTCTTTAACGAATTCATACAACAAAACTCAGCAGTTCTTTTTTGATCTTTCGCTCTCTCTCTCTCTCTCTCTCTCTCGCTCGCTCGCTCTTAGCATGCGTATCTGCTAGCTTGTATAGTGTAACTCCCTCCTTTTTCCCAAAATGCTTAAGCTGGCACTGTCACTCCTTCTTTAAATGTGTGCACTTTGGATGTGTGCTACAGTACTGACAATAATGTGCATGCGGGGGCGCGTGTGTGTATGGAAAAGAAAGGTAAGGAAGAATAACATCATCATGACAGAATGACACCGCACCCAACAGTTTGCATACTGTAGTAACAACGCGTAGCATCTTTAAACTTTGTTACCGGGTATATGTAGAAATTATCACATCAGCCAACAAGCACGATGCCCTGTATCCCAGCTTTCTTATGTCGCTTCTCTCCTCTGCCTCAACCTGCCCCCCTTTTTACCTTTTTCGCTGTGATCATCCTAATATCATTATAAGACCCTTTCAATATAATCGATGTATATTACGCACAGCTACAATTATGCTGCTGCATCATGCTCCTTTTGAGAAACTAATCTAATATAATATAAAATATGATCAACCAGCATCAACACTCTGTATCCCTCCCTCCGCCCCCCGACCCAATCCATCCACCATGCTGCGTTGTATCTGCAATGATTGATTAATAATATATAATAATGATGACGATGCGCACCTGCATTATCATCGCATTCCTAGCATATCATACTGTACATTTGCAAAGCCCTTTTTTAGGGTGATGGTATTCTTCTACGCATAAAAGTATACATCGTTTGCGGGGGTGAAAACAAACCCTGCGTGGAATCTCATTTGTTGCTGTTTCCGTATGATGTGTGTATAATAACAATATATATAATGAAGTAATAATAATGATATACGAAATGCACAACAATTAAAAATATGACAGCGTTGATAGTTAATGAAATCAAAATTTTCTGTGGGCAGTGCAAATATTTGTCTTAATGATGCCGGGGTCTACAATGTGCTGCTTGTGTTGTCTTGAAGAAATAAAATGTACATACAAAAAGATAAGTGTGAGAGCGAACGAACCAGCTAGCTAGAACTAATAACGGAAGGGATTATGTTGACTACCACTGTGGCTTCGATTGTTCTCAGATGCCCCATGTCCTTGTCGATAACTATCCACAGCTGCCCAGGATAATTCACTTGTTTCTTCATCGTAATTGTCATTCTCATTGGCGTTTTTCTTATTTGATTTCTTGCTTCCTGCTTGACCATCTTCACTATCGTTGTCGTCATCATAGCCCAATCCGCGACCGCGGGTGCTACCCTGATAATGACCTGAATTGTCTCTACTAGTCAAAAAACTCGTCATCGTTGTCGTTTCCGTAGCAGTTGTATGGTTCTGATGTACACCATTACCACCACCAGCAAATGGACCAATTACTTGCTGCGCTGGCGGGAGATCGGATCCGGTGTTAAAGTAGGCTTGTTGGCATTGTTGCAGCTTGCTGTAGACATTGAACCGCTCGTACCAAATATCCAGATCTTCGTGACGTGCTACTTGCATAAGGACATCCGTCTGCCCAGTGCCATGTACCTTGAGGATGTACCCTCCATCCATAGATGAAACAATTGATGCCTCCACGTAATGGAAAACAAGGCCTTTGTGTGATTTTTCCTATGTAGTTTAGATAAGTGTCGACTGTTAAGTAACTATCAGTTGTTCAATCCATTGTATTCATACTCACCGAAACAAAGGAGAAGTATCCGATTCGTGGAAACAGAACAATATGCTTCATGTCCCATGCACCGAGATGGGCAAAGTATCGATAGACGACTTGAACGGCCATTCGACATTCATATGCCTCGGCATCGATACTTGAGCCTGTCGTGAGTTGGTGTCGCTGATGAACACGTTGACGTGCGCTTTGAGACGATGATGATGACAAGCCATTATTGTAAACAAACGGACCAGACGTGTTGTTGATCATTCGGTTGATACTGACTATTTCTCCTGCAGGCGTAAATGATCTGCCCTGGTTTGATTGGAGCTGCTGCTGCTGTTGCTGCTGATTGCCCCACCGTAACTGGCTGGCATTGGAAAGTCGTCCCAATGATTTACGCGCATGAGGATTGTCTTTGATATAAATAGTATGCAGCTTGGGTAGGTAGAGCACTAAAAGTGATACAGTGCTACCCCATACTATCATGGCTGCTGAGAGATAATGTCGCGTAAAGTAGTCAGCAGTGGCTGTCCGAAACACAGTGAAACCAATAAAAGTGGAGAAAAAGATGTTGCTAAGAAAATGTATGACATTTTAGACTCTTTTGAATAGGGATCGTGTTTGGTACAGCTAAAACGTAGATATACAACTTACTATACGGCGAGATTGATGTATTTGACTTCGCTATATTTGGGTGCTCGCCCAGGTACACCGCGCGTTCTCAAGGCGAGAATGACTGCCACGGCAAGGAACAAAGCAGCGATTAGGCTGATAAGGGCAACAAAAACCTGATGTTGGCTACCATAATCGCATCGCGTATAATACGTGTTAGTTGACACGGGAGTGTTGATTGTTTGAATGCTCGAGGACGTAGTTGGCAGCCAGATGAGTAGCCCGATCTTTGTATTACAGAGGCAACCGAAAAAATAAATAAGTATATGTATAATGGAAAATGCAAGAGATGAAGTCCCACTTACCACTGGCGCAAGCAGAGCGCCACTACAAATCTGAAGGAAGCGTCGATCCGACAATAATGGACCGGAAATGTAGATATTATTATGCACTTGGTAGATATGATATAATTTGATGCTGAGGCAGCTATAACAACCATCAAGGGTTTGAATGGATATATCGATTAATACTACGATGTTGCAGTGCATGTAAAAGTAGGCAAACAAACAAATAAGCGTCTTGAGCTTTTGATTCCCACTTACCAAAGCACGAGATCGAAACCTAGGTGAAATGAGATAGGGATTATAAAGCAATCGGACCGAGCACGATCGGCTGAAAAGAAAAACACAGATATATACAGCAGGAGAAATCCCGTCAATTCGAGAATACTTGATTTGAGCGTGGAGATATTTGTTTGATGACGTTTGTACGTGATCACTGAGCAGGCAGAAACGAGGGCTACGAATACACCGAATGATGCAAACGAAATAATTATAAGTGAGATGGCAGTATGATAGCCTGGATTGATCGACTCTTTTCCAGGCATTCCCGTTGGTGTCATAGCTCCCCCATTGAAATAGAGAGGTGGCGAGGTTAGATTCAATTCGCCTGCAAAAATTGTTCCAATTTGGACATCTTCGCCGTGCTGTATATTGAAAACACGGAAATTCCTAGTAGGTTATATCTTCTTTTAGCTGGAAGCATTCTTTTTTTAATGTATCAACTACTTTTGCCTACCCTGTGGTTCGATCGCCATCCTGGTTGTAGACAATGGGACCTTCAGGACCTTGGTAACCAGTGTTGAATGCAGTTGGCACAAGCGTCTCTCCTAGATCACCGCTGGTTAAATTGTGAAGTGCAGCCGTATTGTTTTGTGACGTATGGAGGAGTGATTGCGTGAAACCTCTTGCCATCGTCATCATGCATGAATATGCCATCCTACATATTCCATTGTGAGAAACAAGTGATGGCCAAGAAACCCCTCTTTATCTTAATTTAGACATGGAATTACCCGACATGCGGACTGACTTGAGGTATTCCTGCAAATGGATACCTATAAGTATCATCGTTAGCGAACTTCCAAAAGGTAATGCATAGCTGAGAGCCCCCCAAATAAACAAGTGTTGTACGCACAAAGTTGGGTCTAAATGAGACCATTTTTCCAAAAAGTCGTCGAAAGGCTGATATCCACTCAAATCTTTGCTTGATCGAAACGAAAATATGCCACCTGAAAAGGCTGTTTGATACGAGATAGATTGTGTATCACTTGTTGTCCATGCAAGATAGTCCAGTGGCGTGACCCAGCTTTGCGCCGTTTGGTTGCTATCGAGCGTCTCTTGTGACACATCCTGCATGCCGACATGGTTCGCCTCATTCAATTGTTCGCCTTGGCTTCGACGAACGAGTATCGCATTAAAGCTGGCAATGCTCTCTTGCAAGTCCTGGACAGGTGCGAGGACAATCCACACGTGATTCTCATCCATGTATCCCCGATGCGCTGCAACAGCAAGTGCTGTCAGCTGTGCATCACCTTGTGCAGCAATAAGAACAATGCGTACGCCTGTCGATAGAAATGCGTCGATGTCCTTGGCCACTTGACTAATGGATGCAGTGTCGTCGTAAAACGACTGATACGACTGCATATGCACACCTTGATTCTTGGCCTTCATGATTGTATACTGTGACACTAGATACGCATAAGTTGTAATTTTCAGTGTGCTGGATTTGCTTCAATGATATAGTGGCCCCGCGTGAGAAGGTGTGTCACTTACATTGTTTTCCAAACTCGTCATTTGAGTAAAGCATACCCACACTTGGCCACCCCCGACTAGTGACAAACGAAAGCGCTGCATCAGCAAACAAAAAAGGTGTCTGCACCGTACGGAAGAAGTGACCATACTGCGATCGATCGGCAAGCGATGCTTTTTTGTTGTTGTTGTAGAATTGCAATTATTAATATACTCTTGATTTTTGGCGTTGTCTCATCCTTACTGATTTACCTGCAACGGCTGTATATGAACACTGAGGGATCTGCAGGGTGCTAGTGATAAGTGCTGACAAGGAAGTCCAGGACGATGAAATATCACCAATGACGCCAATGACGCCTTCTTGAACAAGCGATACGGCAGCAACCACAGCTTGGGTGATGGCACCCTGGCCTTCAACATCTTTTGGAAACGAGTCTTTCTCGACAAGTGTAATGTAAGCCCCCGGAATCAATTCCTGCACGTTGATTTCTGCAGCAGCCATGCGGATCGCTGAAGTGCCGCTATTTTTGGAATGTTACGCAACACCGGGTTAATCAATTTTCCTTCTAATAAGCTGCTCCCTCCTCTTTCTCCTTTGTTCGGCGTCTCTCTCTCTCTCTTTCTCTTCCCTTCTTTAGGAGGACCCTAAGCCATTATTGCGTATTACAGACACACGTACTAGATTTCTCACACCCTCAATCTCTCAGCACTCTTTTCATATGCTTGTATATATGTGAGCCTGTAGCTTTCTGTAATTTTTTTTTTGCTATTGTACCTGAGTGTTAATTCCCTGGTGTAATTATCGTTCTTTTGATGAAAAGGCAACAAAATGCCAATCTTGAGCTCGACGCGTTGTTTTTGTTTGAATCGTGGTGAAACATAGGTGGATCCATTGTAGCGAGTGACACTGAATTCATAACTGTTGACTTGATCTTGAAAGTATGAAACACTGCCAAAGTTGGTGACATCGGTGTCTGCGTCATCGACAGCTTGATGATGATCCATCATGGAGTGCAAGATGGGTAGCAAATAACCCCTTTCTTTATTTCGCCCTTTACTTTCTCACTGTCTCTCTTCCTTTGTCTCTCCAAACAAGCACGCAAACAGACATACATACACTCTCTCACAGAGAGTGAAAAATCTCCCCCCCTTTTTTTATTAATACCTTTGTGCGTGCGTTATAACGCACTATGCTTAGCGTCATGTATGACTATGCTTTACTACGCACATACAGCCCTTGTGATCCTCGGCCGGTCAAATGTGAGCGCGAGAGAGAGAGAGAGACAATCGTGCATATCGCCCGTGTATGTATGACCGGAATGAGGTTTCAAGGTACACACACTATGACAATAAATAACCTATCTTTTAAGTTTGCAAAAAGGAACAAAGTATAATGTATATTAGCCGATAGAGCTCCTTGTTCATTTTCCCCCTGAGCATCTTCTTGGCAACGGTAGTGCATTTATATTAAGGTATACATACATGCATCTTGCTCATGCGGCTCATTATTCCATTTAGCAGTAAGGTAAGATTTTTGACAAAAAGGATGATACCCGCAATCCGTTAGAGAGTGAGCTTTGCGACTCAGAGAATTATATAAGTCTGCAGCGTGTAGCTCATTACTTGGTAACCCACCGTGATTACGACTAATTATTATACCTGTGTCTATATCATGAACCATATAAACGTAATTACATTTGTCTGCATGAAGATATTCAGTGAAGTACTACTACGACTTAGTGCATACGTAGAACATTACTACATCAATCAGTTGTAGTTACATAAATCGGCTTGCTTTGACTCTTTTCCTGTTACTTTATTTCCTGAACTTCTACCGTATCATAGTGAAATGCTTCAATGTCTCGATATATGCTTAGGAGTGATGATCTTTGATAATAACAACGAAACTACATATTTATATATTTTAACAAGCGAGAAATGTGAGTAATTGTACATAGTATTCACACAAAGTCTCAGCTCATGTTGAATCGTATACTGTAACTTGACATTCAACTGCTATGTCGTGTGCTTTTTCCTGCCGTTAGCAGGTGCTCAGCACGCTGTGTAAACGACAAATTGAACGTACTTTCCTCTAGTCTACTCATACTTGGTAATTTTGTCGAGAACTCATCGTTAGTGGGCGGTGGAGACTTTTATTTGCTGATAACACGGTAATTGATCGGCTGTATCAAAGAAAATAGTATTTAGTTATGTTTCTCTCTCTTTTATGTATGAATAGATGTTCATGTTTTTTCTCTCACAGAGTGGAGGTCACTTTTTTGTAAGTTACAAGTAAGCGAAGTCGTAAGTTAAGATTACTTGACTACTCGATGCCAAGAACTTCTAGCAGTTCACTTGTCAGATAAGAAAATATTGCTTAACAAACTTACAGCCATCTCACAAATTTGGAGGGCTCTGTCTTTGAGACAAAGTTGCTGTCGTGAATATGTTTACATAATCCGTTTATTTCTGGTCCATACAGTATGTTTTGGATGTAAGGATGTCGACAATCCCAGTCTATATATCTTTTAAATGCACATACAAGCACTTTAAGGGTCCATGTGATGACCACATCATGTACAATTGCTTTTTCTAGAGCAAGCAAATTCTTATAATATACGAGACTTTCAACTTTTCTCGCTTGTGCTGATTCATGCTTATTGTGCAGAAAGAATGAAGTAGAAATAAGGTATTCTATAGATAACAGTAAGTTAACGAATTAAGTTGACCCAGCGGCCTCAATCCACATAACTTTCTGTTGGAAGCTGTCCATAACACTTGAATCTCATTAGTCGAGACACGAGCTAGGAATACAACAATCACAGGCAAATACTGAGGCGGCCTTTTCAGATATTATAATGAACACAGTTCCAACTGCAAATAATGACCTATAGCGAGCAAATAAAGCCATGATCATTTTCTGCTATGTAGCAATAATATTACAAGAGGTTTCCAATATATATATATCAAAGTGAGTAGCTGTTTTTTTGTGTTGGATTACGGGATATCATACGTATATATCACGAAAGACGAACAAAAGAGCGGCAAAGAGTAGCATAGACAACCGTACGACGCACCGGAATACTATCTGATCAGAACTCAACTTAATATCGACGATTATTAATAAAGCCTCAAAAGAAAGGAGGCTCATTCAGGTCTATGGTGCATACTGTCTAGTCCCGTTAAGAAAATTCAACTTCGATCAGTTTTTTCTTGAAGCCTACTGTGTCTTCAACATGTCTTTTTTTTTTCAATAAACAGCGCGTCAGATGCGTTAGAAAGGGCGTTCCGAATAGATTCAACGCGAGAGATCATAAAAAGGTGTGGAGATATGGCTGAGGGCCTCAGATTTCGAACATGGAAAATAGCAGTGTGTAACCGTTTCATAGTTTAGCAGTTATCACAAAAGGTAGTTTTCTGTTGTTTGCATGAGCGTACAGAGCACATTTGCAAGTTCTACCCACGATACCACTTTGAAACGAACTGGATAGAGCATTATTTTGAAGGCGCAAAAGCTATTGCACGTCGAGAATATGATCATAGCTTTGCTTCATTACGTAGTAATCTACCAGGTTTCTTGGATTCCAATTCTATCGACCAGTTGTCGAAAAAGATGGAACCGTTTCGCAGCCAACTCCCATCAAGATCCACCGGTTCTACAAGCGCTGTTAGAATTATATTGAAGCCTACAGCCAAATGAAAGATCGAAGGCAAGCCCGTGAATGTGTTAGCAGTTTACTAGTCGTAGTGACAGATCCCACCGCCGAGTTGGAGTTGTTGCGTAATTGTATCCTAAACCATCTTCTAACCATGCAATATTGCTAACTATGCTGCTTTGTGAGAATGTTTCCGGAATATATAACCGCGGGATTAAATGATTTCAAATTTCGAACAAAATTAGGGTTTAACGGGACTAGACAGTATGCACCATACGATGAAACTTATCAATGTCGGATGTCAAGAAGTATCAACAACCAAGCGAGTAAACCATTAAATAATTAATTAGAAAATATCGAGCAAAGTATAAAAAAGAGAATAGCCAAGTCTATCCAAGATCAGGTACAATACTATAAACACGAAAATAAACATCATATGTATCAAAATTGAAATCCACTATAAAAAAGAGGAGCTAGGAAAGAGGAGCCATTACATGCAACAAGTTGATTATATCTGAATGGCTGCGGTGACAACCAAGAGTAAGCGATCTCAAGCGACACTCTAGAATACTCGTTGCTGCTGTTCATAGTCATTGATTTCCACTACTAAGAGAGCATGTACGTATTCTCGAATAATATTAAAGTTTGGACATTTTAATACAACGGAACGGTACAAACATTAACCCCGTTCCGCGGCTAATGCTTTGGGTACAGTATTTTTCTTTTGTTCGCATCTCTGTGTTGATTCTTACTTTATTGCGTGGTAGGAAGCAAAGAGCGACTTCATCTTACAATGATGATCTAGGTCCCTTGCTCGAACTTCGTTGCTGGAGTAGAAATGAAAACACTCAAATAACGATTCCGCGAGTTATCGCTAACTGTTCCCGTATATCATATATCAATAACAATTGAAGGAAGTATTTGAGCTGAGGTGTTGCTTGCTTTCTATGGGTCGCTATTATGTTTACAATTGGAATTAAAGTTGATTGTGACGATAGATTATGCACATCATCGTAAGTTTCCTTTTTTTCGGTAGCCATCCATAAAGTAAAAAGAGAGGCGATGTCCAATCATAGTAGCTCGTGACGCTCGTGTTTCCCCTTTTTTCTTCGCGCCATCTGTAATGTTTGTCACACAAAAATATGGGGAAGCGATGCGATAAGATCAACGGCGCATCAAGCATATAAGAAATCCATAACACTGGGAGCGTTTCCATGACGACATTTAGAAAACGCAACAATCAATGACCAGTAATGTTATTCGGTAAAGAACATTTACCGAAACACACGGCGAAATTAATTATGGAAAGGTCGAAAATAAATCGTTTTTGTCTGATTTACAACCAAAAAATAAATAATTTGTGTTCTTCAATAGAATGAAAGCCTACTACATAAAACAAAGAAAAAAAAACAACGAAAACGGGAGGTATTTACAACAGAGAGAGTGAAAGAGGTATATGCATATTAGAATAAATGGTTTGGCAGTAATTTTGGATTGGGTGCTGATAATGGATTTTTCCAAGTGGGATTGACAAACTTTTTTTGTGGAAAAAGAAAACGGAATGAAAGCATAATGGATGGTAAAAATACGATACGTCAGAGTGTCAAGAGAAAAGAAGACAATAAGGGGGGTGGGTAAATTTTGCTCGTGGAATAAGGCCAGTTCGTGCGTGTATATGAGTGCGGGAGAGGAAGATAGAGGCGTGCCTAGATGCCTTGTTCATCGATGATGAAAGATCATGCTGGTAACGATATTGCTGTTATTTGTGGCAACTTGCTGTGTTGCCAGATGATGGTGGTGTGGATTTAGGTTTTTCTGATTCGGATCGTGCATCGTCCGACTTAAATCTAACTTGGGAGGCTGTGGTAGTTCAGTTGTCGTTGCGGATCGCAGCGATGATGCACACGAGGAAGTGCTTGCGGTAGTAGCTGTCAAGGTTGGAGACAGCGAAGGCGAGGATGTCGATGAAATACACGATGGTCGTTTGTTTGATGACGGATAAGGACGTGGAAAATCAACGAATTCTTCGTAATTGTATCCGAGTAGTGGATGGTTGCGTAACGCATCGGCGCGTAGACATTGTTCGCTGCAATAGAGGGAGTCCTGAATGGACAGCAAATAAATTAGCCCGCTGTCATGCTGAATAGATCGGACTAAGAGAGTTTTGATAGCTTACAGAGAATGCGCTAATGGCATTATCACAGTACGTGCACCAGTTAAGATCGGCCATGATTTATGATGATTTGGAAAGATGAAGTAGTATAAAAGAGGTGTATTGTCAAGGAAATGGTAATGGATTCAGAGTAGACGAGAAGAAGAGGGAAAGAAATTGCCAGCAAGTTGGAAAAGAGAGAGAGAGAGAGCGAGAAAGAAAGAGAGGTAAGAGGCTTTTAAAGAAAAAAGAGAGTAAGTGAGAAGAAGAAGGAGAAGGGGGTCTCAGGGCCACCGGGTCAAATTCCCTTTTATGCAACTACATAAACGCATATCATCTCTCTCACACACACTTGCACTTGCAAACTTGCACACACTCCAGCTCACACATCCTAACGTCACGGGCAAAAAAGTGCTTTTTTTTACGCGGGTACCTGCAATATGCCCTCACGCAGACCAATCACATGAACCTCAACAAAACCGCAGATTTGTGGGTGGGAACACTTTTCTGATTGGTAACTTGGCCTACGGGGCTCGAAAAAAAACCAAATTTGGCCAGTGCTGCCATTTTATCATAACTCGCTTTTGCTGGATCTGGTGGGAAAGATTGCGTGGGTTAGGTAGGTACGCGTATGATGTATGCGCATGTAACAAAGAGTGCTGCTGATAATGGGCTTGTCGTTGAGGATATCGCCAGTTATACCACTGTCTGGTCAGTGTCATATTGTAGAAAATCTTGTTACGCGCCATAATATATATCCATGCACAATGCATAATGACAATGTGATGCAGGAAAGCGCGGCAAAAAAAAAGGGAACATTACATGTGTTGTTTCCGCCAATATCCACATATACAGCACACATACACACACACATTCTGCCCCTGTTCTCCCTTTAATATTGATTCGAACATTTCCAAGCGGATAAGCAAAAAAAAAATTTTGGTGCTAAAAAAGAACCCTATCAAGGCAGTCGCTTTTCCATCAAATTCTTTTCCCGTTTATGATAGTGTGTGTTTATTCATGGATTTTATGTGTGGGGGTGGAAAAAAGATGCGGCGGTCAAACCTTCTTTTTTTCTTTTTCATAGGCTACTACTATGCTACTTTCAATTCTCCCCACACCCCGGTTATCATGAGTAAGGAAAGGAGGGTTGGGGGGGGGGGCGCAAGATAAGCCGAGTTGATATGTGTTTAGGTTTTCCACAAAGTAGTATGTGTACATAGATAGATAGTACTGTATACTCATTCTGGGTGGCTGCGGTGGTACAAGTCGGTCCATGCTCGGAAAGTACTGCTGCCTGTTCCTTTCTATCTTGAGCGAGTTGGAGTCATTACGTCGTCCGTGCGACATGGCGTGACCAAAGTTAGTGAGAAAGATTATCATTGATGGGAAAAGGTCGACCAGACTTGCTGGTCGTGGTGGCCGTCGTCGTAATCGTAATAGCAGGCGGACTTCCCTAGCTTGAACGTTGGCGGGCTTCTACTGTGACATTCTACCGCTAAGGCCGATTCGGGAGTCAGGGCCGGCGATGGTTCCTCTTCATCATCCGTAGACGTTGCACTGTGCAACAAAGACGGAAGGAAGTAATCGTTGCCGTTGGCGTCGTTTAATGATCCGGTTCCTGCCAGTGCTGTTGTCGTTGCTTATCATGCTTCCACAGCTGCCATAGAGACGTTTGTCATGAGAACGGTTGTCATGGCTATGGTTGTTATGACGATGGTTGCTGATGCGACGCTCTGTAGACTTTGCCAAGAAACCCCTAAACTCGGCGAGTTGTAACCAAGCAACGGATGTCGACTCAATGCGTCATGCTGAAGACATTCGTCGGAGCAATATAACGTTGACTATAATTTTCAGGAACAGGTTAGCGAAACCTATCATCGTGGTATAGCAATGAAGAACAAAGAATAGAGTAGACAAAAGTATATGTACCAATGAGGAATGAATGGCTTTATCGCACACAGCGCACCAGTTAAGATCGCACATTTCTGTATATTACTTTAAAAAAAACCGCAAGCAGTGTCTGGTGTAATAGTGACAAAGAGCTATTCTCGCATTTATGTGCCAGGCTTTTATAGAATGTGCTCTCAATATATGTTAGAGAAAAATTTAGTTTTGGATGGGACTGCTGGGAAACCTGCAAAAATTTATTATGCTGAAATTTTCTGATCATCATTCCTGCATGGCATCACCCCCGCCGGTAGTTGCTGCTGCTGCTACGCTATCCTCATCTCCCTTCGCTGCTTCTTCCAGATCTTCTGGTATAGGCGGCCCATAAATAGTACTTGCCTTTTATAAAAGAGCCACTTGGTAAATTTTTGTTGTCACAAAGCGTCACTGCTACTCTCTCGCTCATCAAGATCCAACATACCATCTGCCACACTTGTACAATGTTATCCTCAGCCGCACTTGCCAGCATCCACGGGTCTACAGGGTTCCAACCAAAGTCGGAGATCTTGTTGGTGTGACCCCCGTGCATAAACTTCACAGCAAAAAAACAAAGAAAACAGAGTTCAGGAGCATTAAATAAACGGTAAAAGAGATCGATAAGATGTTGCGCTCCAATCAGATCAGCACATAAATCAAAAAGAGAATGAGGGCGATGGGCGGAAGAACGTTTCCACCATCTCCCTATCTTGTCCTTACCAATAATTCTGGCGGCCCGTCTTGTGCATCTTCAGGCGACTGCTCTTCTCCTATCCTTGACATATCCCAGACTAACACTCGTCTATCGTTGCCTGCCGTCGCAAGAACAGATTCGTGATGGGGTGACCATTCAATTTGAAGAATTTCCCCTGAGTGACCGTGCATTTCATGTAATTTTTGCTGAGTATTTCGCAAATCCCACAGGGCGGCTGTCTATGAAAATGGGGGAAAACCCATGGAGTCAATTTAATCCAGCATATAATCCATTTACGCTATACACAATGCGCACATGGCGCAGATCGCGAAATTACACTGCTCTCTTCATCTTTCGCTTTTCTTTTCATCCTTTTACCTTATCGCCGGAACCAGTTGCTAACACAAATTGGCTGCTCGGACAGAATCCGACGCAATTGACCCCGCCATTATGTGCATAAATGTCGTGCACCGGAGAATCAGCTGGTGAGCTGCTTCGGACATCCCAACTAATTTGCAGTAAGTATATGTGAGAGTAAGTACTAAATTAATCAATGTGGAATAATACAGCTCTAACAACTTCTTCCTTCTTTACTTCCTTACATCATCAACTTGCAGTCGTCCCCAACAGACGCAAATATTGATTCGAATTGAGGATGCCAAGCAACATCCTCAACAGGGGCTGTATGTCCAGTATATACTCGCAACGGCTCGATGACTTTGTTTTCTTTCGATGTGGCACCAATATCCCAATAACAAACGCGTGCATCAAAGCTACCACTGATCAGATGCGTAGATTTGCTCTTGTGTGGGTTCCATGCCAGTCCATATCCTTCCTTGTCGTGTCCTGATAGCCGCAACGTAGGATTGAAGCGCTCAAATACGCGTGGAAATTGGCTAAATTCTTTTCTGTTGAATACATAGACTTCACCAGCCCTTGACTTTGTCGCAATCATGTCGGTATTGTCGCACTGGTAACGCGCTCGGTTTACTTCGCCTTCATGTACAATTTTCTGTTCAATCTTGATATGCGAATCGTATGGTGCAGTGCCGCTTGTGTTGTTATCGTCGTCGGTTTCTAAGAATAAGCTTTTCTTGTGAGAAAAAACTTCAAGCAATATAGTATGAAGGATAGTGTAAGCAAAAAAAAGGCGTTGGCCTTTACCCATGGCATTCTCATCAGTGCTCTTGCCATTTGGAGCGTTTTCATTGTTGGGTAGTCGTACGGTAGCAATTTGGACGTAATTCCGATCGTCATCGTTCGTGTGCGTGCCTAGCAAAAGTCGCTGTATTTTATAATTCTCATCGGGATGACTATAAGAGAAAACACAGGTCAAAATGCATGTCATATGGTGTACCAATCAGTCAACGGTACATTTCAAGAGTGCGCGCGATTAAACAATCGACTTATTTAATTATTACTTTTCTACTTCTGGAAACCATTGACACGTCAAACTTGGCCATTCTAGTGCATGTGAAATCAGCAAGTCATAAAGAAAAGGCGAGTTCTTTTTCCATGTCTTGTACTCTTCGTTGATGAGTTTTTCCACTTCTTGTTGCTTTTTAGAATTGAATTCTGTTTGGACAAATAAAAGTTCAAAATTAAAAAAAAAACGCGTGCCATTTTTCTTTACAGATAATTTGGGCTGTAATTTTTTACCGTGATTCATATTAAAAGTTGCTATGTTCCTGTTCGAAAGAGAAAGAACAGCAGACGGAGTGTGTGGGTTTCTTTACAGCGGGAAACCCAAGGCTGCAGGGTGACGGCTTCCTCCTTCTGCGTGCTTATTCTGCACCAGTGTGCCCCACTATCGGAGGTGAGACAAAGCCTTCCATAACTGGAAAATTCTTTGATCGCTTCAATAAAGGTGGTCAGTAACCCTGACTACAGTAGCATGCTTTATTTTCTGAGGTGTACATGAGCAATGGCTATACTTGAAGGTCAAGATACGTGCTATAAAGAGACTACTCTGCCTTTTTTCTTTTGATTTCATCGAAGGATAGGTGCTTTCCTGCTTTCTTTAGTTGCAAAATTTCGGGATAAGCGGCAATGGGAATGCCGTATACGAGTGGGGCTCCTGGGTATTTGTTGGCACGAACACCTCGATCCTGGGCTTGGAGTCGAACAGATGCCGAGGGAATCTTTACGAACAAATGAAAACCCGTCTTGTTTTGGTCATAGTCCATAAGGTTGCCTTGTCCATTCTCCAAATACGGGACGAGTTCGATGCTTTCAACATTGTGCAGTCCCAGGCACTTGACCACTTCTCGCGCAGCTTCCTCTGTTGTTGTCGGTTGATTGGTAAAATCAAACAGAACGCCGCTATGAATCCACTCGTAGAGGCGGCCGTCCTGATGTTTTGGCCGTTTCCGACTAGATTCTTCTTCGTAGCCAAAAGTTGTGGTGTCCTGTTTCTTGCGTTTGATGTTCCCCTCCATGTTATGTGGTTGCATCCAAGATTATTTATTCTTTTAGAGGTAGTGGTAAAAGAGAGCACCAGTATCAATATATACATGAGTTCTCTCTAAAATAATAAAACAGTCAGTCAGTACTGAGCTGATATATCAGCATTGCCATTCTCCCATGCCGGTATCTTTGATCAGTGTCGGTGTTGTAGGCTAATGCTGATTTTAAATAGGGTCCCTAAGAACGTTTCCTTTTTTGGCGAGCATTTTCAAGTCAGAAACCAGATTTTTTTTTCTTTTTAGTTTTACTATTTTGACAGATCGTCTCCATATTCCCTGCCATGAGTGATCGACCAATTTCGGGCGATGCCCTTGAAGACGATTTCTATTTGGAAGGATCAGTTGAATCTGACAACGAAGGGCCTACTGTAGGCAGTAAACGTAAAGTTGAAGACGAAGACGAAGACGACAGTAATACGACACAACAACAACAAGAACAAGAAAAGAAAAAAAAGAACAAACAAAAGAAGAAACGAAAAGTCAACGATCCATTCCGCTCGTTAGATCATGTTTACAAGGCTGATCGCGAAACCCAATTCCAATACGTTCAAGATCGCCAACGATCTGCCTTACCCAACCTGACTCAAGTCGAACTCGAAGAACAAATCTTGCCGGAAGACCAGTTTGTCAACAATGCTCAATTCAAACAACCCGAACATACCCTTGACACGTTGCCCAACTATATTAAATTCGGCATGTTGCATCACAAAAAATTGGACAAGAAGCCACAAGATCCGGCTGCACCGACTGTATTAGTCTTGACACATGCAGCTATGCGAGCTGCTGATTTGGCTCGTGCTATGAAACCGTTGGGAAAAGTTGCCAAGTTGTTTGCGAAGCATATGAAGGTCAAGGAACAAGCCGAGTTTTTGCAAAAGGATCCAGTCCATTTGGGTGTGGGCACGCCGAACAGGATCAAAGCCTTGGTGGAGCAGGAGCATCTCAATTTGGACAACCTCGAGCTGATTGTGGTAGACACTGAACGGAATGCTAAACGGTTTACGGCATTTGAGAATGATGCTGTGCGGAATGATTTGTACAGTTTCTTGGGTGCGTATATTGCTCCACGCATGAATGAGAAGAAGACGCGGTTAGGTCTTTTCTGATTTGTTGTAGTTTATTTGTTTATTTATTACTTTTGTATCTGTCTTTTTGGCTTTAATAGTAATTACAGCATATCTTTGTAAATTTGCACAAGCTTTTGCAAAGGATTTTATTGTTAATCTTCCTCTTCTTCGCTATCAGAAGTGTCTACAGCAAAGGATGCTTCGTAACAATCTGAGCAGTCTATTTTTGCATTTGTTGCGTGCTTTAAAGCTTGTACTGCTCCTGGGGTGATAGCAGCAAGAGAATCCAAAGTTACATTCTTGAGAGTTTTGACGTTGTAAAGACATGCTAGAGTACTGTCTGTAACACATCGCAGACCAAGCATAACGAATGTATGAAAGTCGGGAAGACGAGACAGATTTTCGCAAAAGCTATTAATGCCTTGTGGTGTTAACCTCCGGCAATAACTAAGAGTGATATTCGTGAGCGATCTAATATCCAGGAGCATGTGGAGTAAAGCGTCGTCCATGAAGCTGCCTTCAATTAGAGCAATATCTTTCAATCGCTGTCCATCCAGTGGTTGCGCGAAGCTTTGTAATAGATGCTGCATGTCCTCATAGATAATATCGCACTTGTTCACCATCTTGAGGTTGTTCAGATGTTTGAAAGTCTCGATAGCACTAATGATACCCACATTACGCAAATCGCATCCAATAAGTGTCAATGACTCTACGGACGGTGATTTTTGCAGTAGAGAAGCCAGTGTAGCGTGAGCATCAGTGTACGATATCTCCAACCTTTTCAGGTTACTCAGTTCACCGAGATCTCGAAACCCGCTTCCGTTGTCAAAAAAGTTCATGGATATGCCTAGCTCCTCGATCGTTTCTCGATGTTCGTTCAAATATGGTACAAATTCGCTCAGATCGTCCAGATTGACAATAGCATATCGGAGTCCTTTTCGTGTTGCAGAGTTATCGTCAAGAAGACTTTTTGTCCACTGGTAATGGAATTGGTTGAAAACCAGGATTTCTAGATCGGGGCAGCAGCGGTGGATCAAGGAAAATGTAGAAGATCGGCATCCATCCAAAGTCAGAAAGCGCAGTTTTTGACATCGCGGAAGTATCTCCTCCAAGCAGTCTCCTCGAAAACCACGCATGCAAAGCTCCAAGTGCGTCAGCGATGACATAAAAGGGGTACCAAACGAGCCGAGCGACTGTTTAGAATAAACAACCTTGTGCGAATACCGGAATTCTCTGAGATTTTGGCACATCCACAGCACGGTGCCAAACGGTATAAGTGGCAGATTCTCACGGTCAGAAATATCCAGCTTGGTCAGCGTACTTGCGACTCTTGATACAGCAAGGATCAAATTACTAATGTTTTGAATTTTGCAGTCTATGACATAATACAATGAATGATTAGCATCGTCAGAGGCATTTTGGTTGCATGTACGTATTCTTGTATACTGTAGTATTAATAACACATACCACAAATTTCAAGTTTTTCTAGTTTCTTATATGTCCCCCTCATGATTTGCACGAGTGCTCCCTCACAAAAGTGTTTGTCTGTGATATCTAAAAGTTCCAGATTCTCTACATGATGGCTGATTTTTGCTAGTTGCGCCAAGTCTGCCTCGGTAAAACCTAAATGACCTTGTATCCTGATCGTCGACCATATGCCAGGGCAGTCCGATAACCGAGTATGCCATGTTTTGGAGATTTTGAGGGTCCGTAACAGATTCTTTGTGTCAATGTGTTTCATGATATTTGACACGATCTCAAAAGGCACTGGAGCAACGATATCGATACGGCGTTCTTGTTGAGCTTTCGCTACTTTATAGTGCACTTGCAGTAAACTTCGCTGCTCATCATCCTTGATAGCTGCAAATCCTTGCTCGTAGATCTTGATTGCAGCCTGTTGATGGCCTCACGTGGAATGTAATTCACCGGCGCGCAGGTACCCGGTAGGTAACGAAGGTGCTGATTGTATTATCGTTTCGGCAACGCGCAATCCAAGTTCGAATTGCGCTTCCTTGCCCAAGGCAGCAGCGCGAATGTCTAGGAGGGCTACACGCTTGTTTGCCAGCTTTTTAAGATCGAGTGTTGTGCTGTCGATCGCAGATCGGTAGCGGCCCTGGTTATAATGCTGAACGTTGTTTACGACAGATTCCAGAGAAACGTTGAGTGATTTGTGGTATGCACAATGCAAGCTGCCCACTTGCGACGATACGTTGCTCCAGTTGTTGATTCGGTGCTTGCGCTTAGGATTGTTATTGTCGACCTTGGAATCGGCTTTTCTTTTCATGATCACTCGCTTTTGGTCGGCACTTGTGGTACAATGGGTTTAAGAGCTAACAATGGAAGTTATGCTGTCCTATGCGTGCACCAGTTTTTAAAGTTCGTACGTGACACAGGATCGGGATTCGAGGCGACAAAGTCAATCTTCGGCAGGCCATCACACTTCAATAGCTCCTCTACAAATATGTGTCTGTATGTAAAAGCAGGCCGGATCACTTTTTTCCATTGTTATGTTAACATTTGCTATGTACTAGGTGAATTTTAAGACGGCCGTAAAAGTAGTTGTAATTGGTTTCACCCCTTTTGGACACTTCATTTCTTACTATGTATTTGGTATGTGTAGTACCAGCAGATGGTTGCGTTTTTTTAAATGCCTATACCTGCAAAGAAGCAAAGTATTTCATTACGATATAGCAATTATATCGTTAATAATTGTTCTTATATTTTCATATCAGAATAATCAACATAATGATGTACGTACTATGATCGACGTATGTAACATTATGCTAATTGAAATCTTAACAATCGCCATAAATATGCAATAACTGCTGTATACATACAAAGAATGGAAATCAAGGGCTATTATCGCAATCGTTAATACGCATAATTAAGCTACTACATGGTAAAATACCTTTAGCTGTGGGCATTGTAGTTTCTTTCACGATTTATGATACGTAGTTCTACACAAGTGGCTGAGGTAGTAGCAGACAATGACAACAAAGCTGGAATCGATGATAACGGTAAATAAAGTTCAAACTAAAATGGTGTACATGTTCCTATCAAGCATGCTTCTTGTCCTGCGACCAGCTAAGAGAAGAGACGACAGACATGTGCCATCCTTCCTGTATTTATAGCAACGCTTGTGCTGTCTCGCAGAGAAATCTAACCATCCATTTGCCTCATAGTATACGAGTGAAGTGGCTGCAATACATCATTAAACTACACCATCGTAACATGCGAAGAAGAATCAAATGTCAGCGATCATTGTTTCATCGTCCTGTCTTATAGGGTATGCTGTAGCATAGATAATAATATGTGTAAACACGTTGTGTTTGTTTCGTGAGCGTAACATTTACGCGCTTAACACGAGCAGTTTCTCATGCTATGCTTTGATGATTCAAACAAGGGAAAATCCTACCCTTTTGAGATAAAATGAGCTAGAAGATGATCTCCATAACAACGTCATATATCTGTGATTGTATACGGAAATGCCAAACATAACTTCGCGTACGATACAGGATGACAGGATGCCAGCAAAATCAGGTGACGGGTGTCATCCTATAACACGGGTCGCGATTCCGGAAATCGCGGGGTTCTTTATTACAAACGCGAACCTTTGAGCCCAGGAACTTTTTCACCTGCACCTTAACAAAAAAAAAAAAAGAACAAAAGAAAATGACAGAATCCGACACTGATTCTGAAGAATTTCCTTTCGATTATCGAACTACAAACGATCGATTTCAAGAAAAGCTACGCGAAGCTCAAGAGAGTGCTGTTAATCGTCAAATAGAAGGAGATCTTGTATGCTTTGATTCAGTGTGCTTTTCAATTCATTATTGCCATTAACTCTGATTAAACAAACCTAATAGGAACAAAATCAAAACAATAACGATCCTTTAGAAGTACAAAGTAGGGTGCTACGATTACAAGTTAATGCTGCTGAAAAACAAGTCCAGAAACTGCGCCAGCAGTTGGAAGCACGGAAGAAACGAAGAGAGCACGAGGCAGCCATTATGAAATTGACACCCGAGGAACGTGCAGATGCTATGGAAGTGGATCACGAAAATATTGACAATGATATCACTGATATGAAAGCTATATTGTAAGTATACCTGTTTATAAGGGGAAGGAAAGTCGGATGTGTCTGCTCGATGGTGTATATATATATGTGAGCGATTCAACCATCACTTACTCAATTCACTAACATTCACGACGACTGCAGCGATTATCTCCTCCATATTGGAAGTGCACCACTCCCAAAAAATGCTGCTGATCTTTCTGGATCAAGCTTCGTACAACCGCATGCAGAGATCCGTGAACAAGCAATTAACAATCCGGAGGTTAGTGAACAATATTGAGACAAATGCTTATACCATATGCGTCCGATTTCTTTTTCTAATATGCATGTATATTAGATGGATCTTCAAGCCAAGTTTGGCCAGATGGTAATCTTGAAAGCAAACAATACAATTGTTAATGCAGCTGATGACAGCGGTAAGTGTTGTGATGCTTGTAAGAGAGAATATGTTTGTAGCATTGTTTTGTTTCTGATATAGTTCCCATCTGTTGTGTATAGCCATACGACGCTGTGAGCTGTCTGGAAACGCTTATGATCAAGAATTCTCGGTTACGTTTGAAGTACTTGAATCTAAACTTTCAATTCAAAAACTGGACTTTACTACAAGCATTGATCTGGATGTAGATGCGGGTCCATTACTGCACAGGTAACATCAACTATACAAGACAGTATACATGTAATATACGAGATAGTTAGCATTGCAAAAGTAACTCCTCCTTTTCATTTCGACTTTAGTATCAGAGAAGAACGTAATCTTCTCGCGTTTTTTCGGTTGTTAAGACATTATGCCAAACTGGAGCATGAACGCAAAACAACGTTCGAAAAACTGCTGGCGGTATATGCTAATCGATCGGTTTCGGTAGAACAAGTGGAGCTCGATCAATTGAAGTTCACAAGCACAAAGTATGAGACGATCTTATCTCAAATTATTATCTCTTTTTTTTATACTTTTAATTGACATTCATCTCTTTTATTAAGTGAAAACAATCCTTTGGTGCTTGTATTACAGTGGCGAAACTATTTGCAAGAAATTGACAGACCTGGTGTTCCTGTGAATATATGCGATGTTTTGAAACCTGACGTACAAATGAAGGGATCAGGTAACTTAATATAAGCTGTCGTTATCATTCTTGATATTCTTATGTTTATAGCACATTTTATTAAGTATATAAGCTTATTTGTTTATAACTGTGTATTAGGTGCTCAAGAGAGCTTAATGCAGAGTCTGCCTCATAATTTCCACCAGCTAATGAAGATGAGAGGAGTCTTCCTAGCAACACAGATCATTGTAAATACTGGACTTCAGCCAAATAAGTCATGATCTAGTCACTTACTTGCGCTATCCCTCTTTTTACTGTAATAATAATGTACATAGTTAATATACTGTATATCCATCCGTCCAATTGATTAGTCATTAAGAAATGATGATAATCCACACTCTGGGTGATGGCAACATCGCGAATTATTTTGACTTCCCGCTCTGTCGCTCTGTCGCTTTTAAGTTTGACTGTCACAAAACAGCCTCTGCTGTCTTACCAACCACACTCTCACTTACTATTCTATAATAACGCCCATTTTCTCTTTCTTTGGCGCGCGATCTTCGTAAATCCTCTTATAAAAAACCATGGATGATCAACTTTATGACGAATTCGGCAACTACATTGGCCCCGATCTAGAGGATGAAGACGAGGATCTGGGGCTCGAAGAGGAACAAGAGGAAGAAGAAGCCATTGGCGGCTTTGAAACGACACCTGTCCGAGGCGCTGGCAGTGGCGAGGAAGGCGAACGCGAGGAAGAACCTGTTGGAGAAACAGCTTTAATGCAAATTGATGGTGAGTGTATATAAAATGGGGTTGCCAGTTGATATTCTTGGGATTATGGAATAGTTTTCCGTCGTGATGCCATGACTTGGAAACATACCGCGCAAGCGCATTAAATTTGTCAATTACCACTGTTTAGACATTCCTCAAAACCAAATTGTTTTACATGAGGACAAAAAGTACTATCCTTCAGCTGAAGAAGTCTATGGTCCGGACGTGGAAGCCCTAGTACAAGAAGAAGATACACAGCCATTAACAGAACCTATTATTGCACCCGTCAAAGTGCGCAAATTCTTGTTGACCGAAAAGGATCTGCCCGATACACGATACAGCAAAGAGTAAGCGGTGTTCTTTTGTTTTCTTCTGATGGACAATGGACACTAACAGAGAAACTTAAAATCTTTATGATAGATTCATGACGGATATGATGAATTTCCCTGATCTCGTTCGCAATATTGCTGTTGTCGGTCATCTTCATCACGGAAAAACGTCGTTTGTCGATATGCTTGTTTCGGAAACGCATTATGTACCTATTAACGTTGATGAACCGGTACGAAATCGTTAAACATCTCTATATACTCATATCTCGCTGAACAACTGTACAAAAATCTCAGTTTTACGATGCAAAACAACGACGAAAAAACTCACTCTGTAATACTTATTCAGGAACGATACACCGATACGCATACTTTGGAACGTGAACGAGGTCTCAGCATCAAAAGCATGCCTATGTCAATGGTGATGCAGGATGTTAATGACAAGTCGTATCTGTTGAATGTACTCGACACTCCAGGTAACATAATACTGACTCTCTTAACCTTTCTCTTGGACTTATGTTCGGATTCAATGGTTTTGAACTAATTGTATATGTGTGATGTTAGGCCACACCAACTTCATTGATGAGGTCGCTGCTGCAACACGTTTAGCTGACGGCGCTGTCATTGTGGTCGATGTTGTAGAAGGGGTATGGATAATTTCAAGTCTAGTCTAATATGCGTGAAGGAGTAAGGAAAAGGAATATTGAAAATGTTATTGTGGTGTAGGTTATGATCAACACCGAACAAGTTATCAAGCATTGTATCCGTGAAAAGATTGCCATGACTTTGGTTGTCAACAAAGTTGATCGTCTTATGCTCGAGTTGAAGCTACCTCCCACAGACGCGTATTTTAAATTGCGCCACACCATCGAAGAAGTAAACTCAATTATTAAGTAAGGCAATACAATTTATAAGGAAGAAAGGTTACTGTGATTATATGGTATTATGTACTCATACGCATTTTAATATACCAGAGCTACCCCTGGTGGTGAAAACATCCGTTTGTCGCCTGAACGAGGCAATGTTTGCTTTGCTTCAAGCCAAACTGGCTGGTGCTTCTCTCTGAAATCTTTTGCACGGCTGTATAGCGATTCTTATGGTGAGAATAAAATCTGGAATATTGGGAGTATCTTTGCTGTCGTGGAATTATACTTAACGCGCGTTTTTTCTTTTTGCAGAAGCCGAAATCGATGCTGACGAGTTCGCTAAGCGTCTTTGGGGCGAAATATTCTTCAATCCCGAGGAAGGATCGTTCCATCGCTCATCGCAGGGACGTGGCAGTAAGCGTTCCTTTGTTCACTTTATTCTCGAACCACTGTACAAGTTATACTCTCAGGTAAGGGATAAACCAAGCTTCATTTTTTAGTTGATTTTCACCTAAGGACAAGTCGATCTAATGATGGGAATTTTCTTCCTTTAGGTTATCAGCGAAGATACTGCAGAGCTGAAAAGAACCTTGCGCTCGCTCGGCATCCGATTGAAGGAAAAGGATTATGGTCTCAACGTCAAGCCATTGCTTCGTGTCGTTTTGTCTCAGTTCTTTGGTCCTCCTTCTGGATTTGTTGATATGGTGGTACAGCACGTCCCCTCTCCTGCCGCTAACGCGCTTAAACGTATACAGCAAATCTACACCGGTCCACTTGATACCGAAATTGCAGAAGCCATGGAGAAGTGCGATCCTGAGGGTCCATTGGTCATTCACGTCACCAAGCTGTTTGATAACGAAAGCGCAACTGGCTTTGATGCTTTTGGACGGGTGTTTAGTGGTACAGTACGAGCTGGCCAAACTGTACGCGTGCTCGGTGAAAGCTACACTATCGACGATGAGGAAGATATGACCATGCAAAAGGTGTCTGATGCTTGGATCTTTGAGTCACGGTAAAATCCTCTTTTTCTATGTTTATATATACGACAATCTGCTGGTCCCTCGTATGCTTATCTATCCTACGATGCTTAAACAGATACCGTGTGCCTGTGGATGGTGTCCCTGCTGGCAATTGGGTTCTTTTGGGAGGCGTCGACAGCTCTATCATTAAAACTGCAACCATCGTACAACATAAATGGAAGGAGGACTCTTACATCTTCCGCCCACTCCGTTTCCCAACTGCAGCTACGCTCAAAGTTGCTATTGAACCTATGAACCCTTCCGAATTACCAAAGATGCTGGATGGCTTACGGCGAATCAATAAGAGTTACCCTGTAGTAACTACAAAGGTATAGACATATATATATATTGGAAGAATTTAATTATTCGAAAATGGAGTATCTGACCAACAATATCAATGCTAGGTTGAAGAATCTGGAGAGCATATTGTACTTGGTACTGGTGAACTGTATCTCGACTGTGTGCTCCATGACCTTCGTCGAATGTACGCCGAAATTGAGCTGAAGGTTGCAGATCCAGTTGTGCGGTTCTGTGAAACAGTCGTGGAAACATCAGCGCTCAAATGTTTCGCAGAAACACCAAACAAAAAGTAAGAGGAACAGACATCATACATCACTTACCTGAAAGCTGTTTGCTCTTGAGGGAGGAATAACCAACTCTAACTATTATAAAAATAGGAACAAGTTGACATTCATCGCCGAACCTATGGAAAAGGGTCTTGCAGAGGATATCGAAAGCGGAAAAGTCAGCATCAACTGGCCAGCAAAGGAACTTGGCAACTATATGGAAAAGAACTACAACTGGGATGTTCTCGCATCACGGTCAATATGGGCATTCGGCCCGGATGACATGGGCCCCAATATTCTACTTGATGACACATTGCCTTCAGATGTCGATAAGAAACTATTATTCTCTGTAAAAGACTCGATCAAGCAAGGTTTCCAATGGGGTACCCGAGAAGGTCCCCTTTGTGATGAACGTAAGTTTATATTTTGTATATCATGATGTTTTCAAAGTGAAACGTGAATCTAATGAAAATGTTCTTTTCCTTCAGCCATACGAAATGTCAAATTTAGAATCCTAGACACAGTACTTGCAAATGAACCTATATATAGAGGTGGTGGTCAGATCATCCCTACTTCACGCCGCGTTTGCTATTCATCGTTTTTGACGGTAAGTTTATTAAAGACAAAGAAAGCAGACAACCATGCTATTTATTAGATCCGAGATTAACGGTCGCTCTTACTTTCAATGACAACGAACGATAGGCTACTCCTCGATTGATGGAACCAGTGTACTATGTTGAAATTCAGGCACCTGCCGACTGTGTTACTGCCGTATATGCAGTTCTACAACGACGAAGGTAAAAATGACGCGGAACATGTTACAGGGAAGTTAGCAATGTAGAATTAGACTGACAAAATTGTATAGAGGACATGTGACACAAGATATTCCCAAGCCTGGATCTCCATTATATACTGTCAAGGCATTTATTCCAGTGATTGATTCGTGTGGTTTTGAGACTGATTTGCGGACACACACACAAGGTCAGGCATTCTGCCAACAGATATTCGATCATTGGCAGATTGTTCCTGGAGATCCTCTTGACACGAGTATCGTGCTCAGACCATTGGAAGCAAGCCCAGCACAGCACTTGGCTCGAGACTTTATGGTTAAGACTAGAAGAAGAAAGGTAATATTTGTTGGTTATGAACACAAGTAATCTAGCTCCAGTGTAGCATTTGCTAATTACATGAGCTTTTTAATTGTGTATCTTGTAGGGTCTATCTGAGGATGTCAGCATAAACAAATACTTTGATGATCCAATGTTGTTATCTTTGGCTCAGGGTAGCATTTTGTAAAACCTATGTTTTTTAAATATTAAAAAAGTGTGCTTATTTCCGTTCCAACAAGTTAACTAAAAAAGTATACATATTACTATTATCTCTCTAACATGAACAACCAAAGCTCTTTTATTTGCACGAAAGGAAATTGGCTACATAAAGAACAGAAAATATCTCCCTCCAATATACGCATGTAGAAAGCAGCGTAATTAAAGAGGCGGAAGAGGTGGAGCCGGTGGAAGTGGAGGGAGAGGAGGCAAAGGCGGGATTGGACCTATCACGATAGGTGGAAATAGAGGGAAAGGTACAGGCACTGGACTAGGGAATTGAGGCCATTCATAGATGGGGTTACGGCCACGCTGCCATGCTTGAGATACTTCTTCATCAGCCTTTGCAGCTTGTTCATCTGCAGAAACAGTGGCAACAGTGGCAACGGCAAGGAATGGCAAGGAGAGAGCGAATTTCATCTTGTTATTGTTAAGTTGCTGAAGTAATAGGTGTAACAATGGTCGATAGAGTCGGTGAAAGGGGTTATCTACAGTGTCAGCTTAAATAGATTCGTCGATCCACCTTTCATTTTATCATAAACCTAATTGAGTGCCCACATGATCCCTATAGTTTATCATCTAGTCGTGATACAGTAGGTCGGGGAAGAGCACACCAAAGAGCGGAGTACTTAATAATTCACCGGGCTCATACAAACGCGAGATCTCGAACTGATTTGAAATCAACTCTTTGACCATGAACGCTTTCCGTACACTCGCCAGACCCGCACAACAATCAGCCAAGAGTAAGAGAGACTCTTGTTTTACCACAAGTGGAAATATAGTGCGTGTATATGCTATGCTAATGGTTGCTTGCACATAATCAGTTTCCCAGCGCATGTTCCATGCTGGTCTTCCCCGCTTCACGGGCAAAACCGTCGAAGCAAGCAGCACGAGCTTTGCTGAACTTGTCAACAAGGCCGATCACCCTGTCATTGTCGACTTTTATGCAAAGTAAGGAAGAAAAGATTTGAAAGCAGCCTGGGTCGCGAATTCCCTTCCTAAACCTCGTTGTTTAACATAATAGCTGGTGCGGCCCATGCAAAATGCTCGGCCCATTGTTGGAAAAGTCGGTTGCCGCTAACCCCAAGGTCACTTTGGTAAAACTGGATGTCGATGAAGCTGTTGAGCTCGCTGCCAAATACCAGGTAAGGCTTACTAGAGAAGCAGACTGGAGGGAAATGGGCTTATGTTTCCTTTATATCATGCAAAACATACTCACATACGCCCAAAACGTTTGATTAGATTGCCGCACTGCCTACTGTGGCTGCCTTCAACAAAGGCGAAGTTGTCGATCAATTTGTTGGTATGCGCAACGGCCCTCAGGTTGAGACCTTCGTCAAGAAGCATGCCGAACTTGCTTAAACTCACACCTGTACACCCACGCACTCAAAGAACACAAAACTAGTAATAAAGAGAAAATAGACTTTTGATATTAAAAGATAAAGCGTGGAAAGGAAAAAGAGAAAATGGAGGGCATAAAAGGATGTGATACGCATATACAAAGGTTGGGAGGGTTGTGACATTAATGTGTTTGTGTGTTTGATGGTTGATTATGCAAAGGGAGGTGAAAGGGGGGGGGAAGTATGCAACGCTCAATACGGAAACAAAAGGTGGAGAACTGATTCGGTTTCCTTCCTAGAAGGATACTGAAGCGAAGAAAATGTGGGTATGTGTGATAGAAGCGGGGAGAAAGGAAGAAATGCAAAAACGTAAATACATAGAAAACGGACCGAGAACATAATTATAAATTATATAAGATAGAGCGAACAGCAGCGCAAGATTACAGTGGATGTGCGTTCATGTGGTACATCTTCTCTATCGCTTGCTTCTGTAGAACGCCTTCTTGAAATCTAACGATGATGCGTTAAGGCGCTTTTTGAGTTATAACGATATTGACAAAGATGTTTCTTTTTGGAATATGTACGTTTGCTGCTGCTGCTGCTGTTGGTGCATTACAGTCAGGTCGATAGGTACTTACTTTCGCAGTTGTTCATTCTCATTAACGAGTCGCTCAAGCTCTGCCAGAATGGATACTTGAGTGCTTTTGAGATGTTGGATATGTTGGACAGCTGTAATAGTTACATAGCAAGATAAGTACTGGCTGGTAAATATGTGGCTGCTATGGCGACGACGATTTTGATGGCTGTCAACTTTAAACTTACTTCTGTGTAACAATGCAACCTTACTCATCTTCTTATTCAAGCAGCTTGGTAACTCGTTCCGCAGATCTTCGAAGCCGTCTTTAATTTGTGCACGTCGCTTCTGCTCAGACTGAATGTGGATTTGACGACGCAATTCAGAATTTGAGATCAACGATCTATAAAGACAAAGATTAGATCACAGCAACAAAAGTGCTGCTACTTCTTCTATTCCTACTAACGCAACTGTTAGTAGTGTTTGATATTTACTGTGGCTGATGCTGTGATGCGGTAGCTTCAGTTTTAATGTGATCTGACCATTCGTCCGTCGTAGGCGACGCTGAGTTAGTGCCTTGATGGCTGTCATTTTCTGCGACATCATCGATCGCTGCTCCTGCTGCTACCGGAGGCGTGCTAGGGGTAACTGCATCAGAATTGCCACACGGTGCTTGATTTCGACGTTTTTTCCGCCCCGACGACGACTGTTGATTGGGCTGCTGCTCCTCATAGCTTTCTCTAGAGTACTGCAGAAACTCTGGATAAAAACTGTCGCTGGACAACTGTTGTTGTTGGTGCTGTGGTCGTGGAGCCTCACTTATTGCGCATTGCGCAAGCGATGAGGAAACGGATGCTGATGACGATGGAGATGGCGACGACGTGCTCGGTGATGTCGGTGTGCACGGTAAAAGACCTAGACCAATGGGGGCATTTGCCATTGACGTGTTCATCATGGGCGCAGGTGCAGGGGAAGTGCAGCAGGACGTCAACGTTGACATTGGCGTGTCGGGATCGTTCCGTTGCATCCCAAAACCACAAACTTCGTGTTGTTGTGGTCGTGGCGTCATTTGCTGTGAAGCCACTGATACTTCGGGAAACAGCTGTTGTGCCTGTTGGTGGTGGTGGTGGTGTTGTTGTTGAAAGGCGACACTCGACTGATCAACCATGGACGCTGTCGAAGCGTCTGTCGTCGTCGTCGTCGGCGTCGTTCCTCCAACAGAGATTGAGGTGGCGTTAGTATTCAGATAGCTCAATGCGGCTTCTACAAGCACAGATGTTAGTAACAAAAAACAAGAAAACAACATTGGTTTCCGTTCGGAAACGCGTAGTGTTGTATGTTGGAAACGGAAGGAGGGACTGAAATCAAGCGCAAACCTTGATACAACACGGGAGCTTCAGAAAGTTCAACTTTTGTCGCGTATGGAGGCGGGACGGCAGCGTAATCGCTCATGTAGTCGTCGGTAGGGAAAAGGAACTTGTTATCGGTCATAGTAGTATTCATCAGGGATTATAATAAAGAAAGGAAAGGATCCAAAAATATGAATAATCAAGCGAGTTAGAAACGAAAGTGAGATATCAGAAACGGTGGGCGGGTGTGTGTGCTGTTTGCGGGAAGGAGGATGAGGAGAGGGAGGGTGGAAAGACGTGTGCAATAGGGAAGAGGAAGAAGAAATGAGTGAAAGAGAAGCACGTAAATCGAACCGCCATATCGCGTAGTGATGGGTACGTGCGCTCCTAACCGTCGTCATCACCATCATCAACAACAACATTAATAACAAAGTGTATATGTACTACAGACACAGCGAGGGGGGGAGACATCGTATACTCTGTAAGGATAATCAGTCGCTGTGGAGGGCTCTTTTTTCTTTGGTACAAATGTGCGTGTGTGTAAGATGTATGTGATGTGTTCATGTTGGTGACGTGCCTGCAGCTCACACATATTATGCATGGGAAATAGTAATCTTGTCGTTTCGTTACCGACCGGCCTTGATGACCGGCGGCCTTTCCCATCCAGTGCTGAGGATGAAACCATACAATATAGTATCCACACATGCATCTCTCTCTCTCTCTCTCGCTCTCTCGGCAAACTGGTCTTCTCATCTAATTCCGGTCTTGGATTCCGGTCCCTGATGTTGACACAGCATCACGGGGACCTTGCCACATTTTCTTTTGTATGTTACAACAAACAAACGTTACAACAAACAGATGCGAAACCCTTCTCTTTTCCCCTTTTATTATCTCTGAAAATATCAGTATGGGATTTCCTCGATCGTTGATTTTGTTGTTGTGATGTGAGAAAAAAGAAAGCAAATGCAACAGAGTAGCTTTTTTTCTCCTGCGCCAATGATTTTCCCTCTCGTCAGGATTGCAAGACAAAACGATGTGTAAGTAGCTGGTGACTATTATGCAGCAATATACGTAGTGCACAGCATACTGCACTTCAAACCATGCTTTCTTTCTACTTGGCGAGAAAGAGACTATCCCCCTTCCTTCCAGATGACGAAGATATGATAATTAGAAAAGAAAGAAAAGTAAACCAAAAACTTAAATTGTACCTTTGCCGCGTCAGATCTCCTGCTTGATGTGTATTGGACCCCTTCATGTTTTATGTAATCCAATATTATCTTCTTCCCATGAAAATCATATGCAATGGGTGCAACTAGCACTTATGGGTTGCATATCTGTTTTGAGAAATGACCAAGACAGCTAGTGAATCGAACCATCGTCCGCAACGCTTGTTGTTGCGACTATATACATCACTCATCCACCTCATCCACAGACTATATATAAATCAAACCAACACTACTTTCCCCAAGTTTTGTCTCAGCTTGTGCAATGGTCAGTTCGTCCCTGATGATCGCCATTTGCGCACATTTAGAACATACCATTTTACGCACACGGCAGCTTTCTATATACAACGTAGTACATAGATCATCATTGTCATTATCATTACGACAGAGTTCGATACTTGCCACAGTTGTTTGTTGTTGCTGTAGCAGGTACAGTAGATGCAAGAGCAATAACAATTGCCAAGTCAGTATATTTATGTGCCCTTCGCTCAAATGACATTTGTATATCTCACTTCATGTGCAACAGCATACTTGCTATGATTGGGATCTTTAATATGAAATGATTAGTGGATTGATAGCTGGTCGTACACATTATATCGAAATGCAATCCGTTTGTCAGCTGTCACTGTTTGTCTTCCCTTTTTTCTTGTCAAAGCATCTCCACATACAATTTTCCCAAAAGGAACCAAATGATCTGGCCTATGCAGGGACCTTATCCAGCATCGAGGAAAAAAAGTTTTTTTGTTTTTTTTTTACCCCTGACATCACACTTGGGGACACGGTCCCCGCTTGCTACCACGTAGCAGGAAGCCCACTAATTCGTGCTCGCTTTCTTCTTTTATAGTTTCACCCACTATATAATTACTTTGTGTATGTGTGTCTACGCCACATTGCTGCTGCTTCTGCTTCTGCTTGTAGATCAAAATCGAAATATCAATAGCTATCATCAACACTTCCTCCGGCACCCGAACTTTTTGTTTAGCATTCAAGCTTCGGTTAATTCCTCGCTGCTAATTGCCGCTTATGATGCGCACACTAGTAATTGGTACAATTCTAGCTCGTGTATATTAGATATTGTGACAATTAATACATTGTGTATATTGAAAATAAGCCTAAAAATTGCTGCTCTGCAATGTTTACTGCATGAAGCTTACCTCTTTAAGTTTTTCAGTAAGGGAAAAGTACGTATACTCTACGAAAGAATTTTCTCCAAAGAAACCGAAAAGTCCTTAACACATCATTGGTGCTCTTATCTGATTAGGTATACTGTGGTACTTATATATGAAAAGACTCTATACCGCTACAAAAGTCATACTGCTGTGTACTGGTATCGTCACCACATGCTATCATCCTCCTGAACGACCTTCTCGTGTGCATATTAGAATTTAGACTCTTTTCACCCTCCCTCGTCTCTCCTCTTGTCACTACAGTTGTACCCCCGTTTTTGCAACCGAGGGTTTTCCGATTTTTTTTTGCAAAAAGTGAGGATTTGCAAGTAACGGGGTAAACAATTCTGCTTTAAGTATACACTGGATAAGTCATCCTATTAACACTAGCCCATTGTTTATCTGTCAGAGATGATGTACGATACGTTCTTTGGGAATATTCATACAGCTCTAAATGTTACTACTTGCATATATAAGACCGTCCTTTCATCGAAGCTGTCTAGTGGTTTGATAATTATTAGCTCTTTTGAGCATGACAAAATCGTTCCGCAAGTTCACATCCAAGCAAGAGGATCGAACGTACGACGAGCACTTGAGCGGGCGGTGGACCAAAGCGCTGATTCGCCTATTCCAGGGCCAACGTCGAAGGAAAAACAGGTTGCAATTGCAGGAGTTTTGAGCTTTTTGGATAATATCGATAACTACGACTTAAAAAAGTCTTTGCGTAGGATTCCAGAGAGTCTCAGGCAGCAATCAATCTCCCGACAATCATCCCTTGATGACTTCTTCGATATGTAGTCAAAAGCTCCTTTGAGCAAACATTTTATTTCTATATCTATATGTAGTGTGTTCCCTTTTTCTTATATCTTCATCATTTCTTTTGTGGATTCAATCCAACCAGTGCTATATATGTGTCCCGATTTTACTGGCTCAACTACCAAATAATAATTTTTATGTATTTCGACAATAAATACATCTTCATATTTACATATTTATCTTGCAGTAACCGCATCATTTTATTCCTCATAATTCGCAACAGATGCTTCTTTCAGTTGATATTGCAAAAATTGAAGCTGTTTTTACCCCGATAACATGCAAATCGTATAAACTCATTTGCAAGTTGCAAATTTGCGAAACTACTAAGTTTTTTTTTTGATTTTCAAAAAAAGTTGCAGATATACGAGGAATTGCAAAACCAGGGGTTGCAAAAACCGGGGTACAACTGTATTACTGTACACTACTTTTTAATCGAGCAACATTATACATACATACATACATGCTTTCTGCTATAGATATACAATTATTTTGCAGAATCCCTGTTGGATTCTACCGTCTACAGGGGAGTAACAGCTACAATCTTTTGATTGCATTAGTGCTATCATGACAACTGGTATGGCAAGAATTATAAGTGACCTAATTATTTTTCACAATTTTGTAATCTTCTTTCACTTCTTGTGTGCGCTACCAGACAGATATTTCTGAAAAATGTGAATTCACGCGTTTGCTCTAATATCAGAGTATACTCCCGCCGTACTAGCATACTTTCCTGTAAGGTAATATTTTGTGCTATGATACTGCACACTAAAATTTCTATGCACTTGCTTATTGTAGCACTTCAAAAGATAGGGTAGACCTCACTAATTGTGGTATAAACATATAGTTGAGCATCGTACCTGTATATTTTCAACGAAGCGTGTATGCAGCTCTAACTCCCTGGAATAAGAGGGCAATTAAGATCACGGTATAACGTAACAAAATTAGCTACGTAGTTTTTTACCAACATCTTAGGCGGTGTATATATCAGAACCTCTGATACGTCATCAGCTAATGCAATGCATCCACTGAGATGATCATGTTTCGCTTTATATTATCATAGGCTTAAGGTACCATGGAAAATATGCTTAGTATATCACTGCTTGATGCTCACCACGCGATTTCATTTTTGACAGCTGTTGCTGAACCACTGTCCAATCAATCAGCGGAATTTGATTTGGCCATCCATTTCGACATGGTAACGGCGGTGGCTTTTCCTAAACTTGCCCTTTCTCCCTTTCAAAATGTTGCCCATGTACAGAAACACGCTTTGCAAGGTGCGCGCAACACCCACCAGCTTACGCAGCATTACACAGGCACGGTGGAATGCCACCTCGGCAAATGACGAAGGAGACAATACCCCAGAGACATCAAACGCTAATAACAACAAGGAGACGTCTGCCAATGTCACCGGTATTTTCAACATTTTGAGCGACGCCTCTCAACGCAACAAAACGCTTTTCAGCAGTGGAGTCGACGACGTAAAAAGTGCCTTGAGCGATTCCATGCAACGACAAAAGCAAAAAGACGCACAGACTAGTGATTCGGACAATTTCGATATGGGTCTCCTTGCTCGTTCCTTGGCTCATGTGACCCAAGAATTCCACCAACTTCACATTAACGCTACACCCAACAACACCATTCTCACACTGACACGACCCAACGGCTCGCCTCTGATAACTACATCTGGAGGCTCTGCAGGATTTAAAAAGGCAGCACGCAGCGGTTACGAAGCAGCCCATCAAGCAGCAATCCAGTTATTGGAAAAGAAACAGAGCAAGAATTTGCAGGTGAACAATATCCATATCATCCTCAAGGGATTCGGTGCAGGTCGTGAGGCTGCTTTCAAGGCATTGATTGCTGGCGAAAAGTGGAATGTCAAGCGACTGACCGATGCAACCCCGGTACCATTTGGTGGATGTCGACCAAAGAAGGCCAGACGTCTTTAAATAGTAAAAAGAGCTCAGCAGTTGTTTAATAATTTGTATTTCTCACTACATTCATCCCTCTACATCCCGTTCAACCCCATCTTCCGTAAACATACACACAAAATTACATAAAATATCAACTAGAACATCTGTATTTATCTTCACTATACATGGTTGGATTTTTGGAGGGCGGGAATATGAATGCGTTTCGTGGATTCTTGAGCAGTTGTTATGTATTGGTGAGAATATGCCAGGTTTATCATCATGATACCTCTCATGGTTTTAGCGAAATCCAGCACGAATTTACTGCATCAAAGGTATGATTACACCGACCTTGACATTACGGATGTTCCAAAAGTGATAAAACTCGATAGAAAGTTTTACACGCTATGATACAGTGAAGAGTACAACTGAAAGCCTTCTTGCGATTATTGTTTACACCTACTTTGCTTTTCTCTTTCGCGTATTCGATACAATCACATCTTATATTGTAACACTTTTCCACTCCTAACCGAGTGAGCCTAAAAGAGCTGGCTTTATCCATCAACTCATGGATACCTTGATCCGTCACCAATGCTAGGCGGTTTAGCTTGATTTAATCTATTTTCGAAGGGTAGTTGTTGTTCGTAACGGAAGACATCTCTGCGAGCTTTTCGCAAGTCAATTGGTCGACGAGATTGCTATTTAAGTGAGTGTTACCGCTCTTTGTAGCGTTATCCGAGCTAGCCAACCTAAACTTGAAACAGTCCTGCAAGTGTCTGGTCCGATATTCGATCAATATTGAAAGTAAATGGATTGCAACGATGAATGTCATGACATCGTCTTGCCTCCGTAAGAACCGCGTAAATTTTAAATAGCTGCAATATGCTAGGATAGAATACGGCATTTGGCATATTTGAGCAACGTGCTAATTAGGCCATCCATGTCGTATACTGCTACCACTTCAAGGTCAGTTACTGTTGTTGTTCCTCGCATTGCCCGCAACATGAGCTGTTGTGTACCAGTCTAAAATCATAGGGTCAACTTCTTAATTAATCGACTATCAGGATATGTCGTGTAGAATTGCTGAAGATCGCTTTCGTTATTGATACGAATATAGCAGTGATTTTGTCAGCGTCGATTCGTTTTTGTATATAAGGAACATGAAGCTTGCTGTCGATATCACGCTGACATCGGTGTTTGTGTAGATCATGCGCAAGCCTGCTGCGTACACACATTACGGTATGATATAGAGATTACTTTTGCGCTTCTTCCACGAAACTTGATCAATAATACTTACAGAGGACCACCTAATCACACTTGATGTGTTTGTCGGTGTAGAAAAATTCGATGTAGCAACACTCCCTCTTTTCTTTCATCAGTATACATGTTAACGTCGCCACAGCAGCGGTATGTATTTAACACTTGATTTAAGATTATGCAACTACTTTATTAGCACACCATAGCGATAATTGTTACTTTATTAGGACCGTACGGAAATCGGTAGATCTTGTATGCATTTCGTAATATTCACCCACATCCTTTGATTCATGCATAAATTTTGACTTCTCGTTCTATCCCTTATCATCATCATGCTGTTGTATCGCAGAGTGACCGGTAGACTCTGGATACAACGGAAATGAAGTGTGAACAAAAGGAAACAGGCAATTTATGGGCCTCAAATATGCTATGAGAGCTATTATGATGGAAAATGGAAAACGGAAAATGAAAGTTCAAGAATCGGGAATGTTTACGTCCGAAAAACCATTCAAGAGAATTTTTTTGTGTGAAGAGATGTTGAAAAGGAAAAGGATAAGATATGAATTGAAGTGATATTGAATGAAAAGAGAAAGGTTATTTATACTAATTGGCGCCCTTTTGTCTTTAGCTACGGGATTACTGGGTTGCTAATGCTAGTGCGATGAAAGCTCTTGCTAATGCGGCAAAAGCATTTGCTAATATGGTGGACTAAAACGGCGAAAGCACTTGCCGTGTGGCACTGGTGACTAACCCGACGAGGGTGCGGAGGAGATTGGATTTAGAGCGGCAAATTGGGGTGTGGTAATGTGAAGTAAGGTTTTTATTATGAGGCTACAAATCTGCACTACAATGCATTGACCTTTGGATGTTCCTGTTGTCAGCTACAGCAGGAGCATAATGTGTTTAGAAACACAGAAGATAATGAAACAATGACAAGTAGCCTCTAAGTCTTAAAAAGTCCCTGCATTTGATATGAAATGAGTTTCGTAGCAAAGCAAGCAAGGTTCTCCTACGACAATAAGCACCTTATATCTTGAACTTGGCGCCGCTTTTTGTATTAGACACTCAATCGAATTGTCATGACCATACGGAAGTCGATGCACAATTTGTTTTTCTTCTTCTGTAGTCTAATACATATAATCTGTTGTTGATGCCAGTTTAGGGCGCAAAGGAAGAAAAAGAAGAGAGTAAATCAAGAAAGCTTAATTTCTTTTGGCCCGACAAAGCGAAACACATGTAACGAGCACTTCGCAACAGAAAAAGAATCAATCAATAGGGATCTCTGAGGCTGTGTAGACAAATAGTTAGCGATGGTAACAAAGAGGAGGGCTTGGAAATGGAGACTGCCTACCATAGACTCTCGCCCTCTCTATGCATTAACAATCTCTCCCTTTTTTGCACGTAATGCGCTTTCCACACGCAGAATATCTCTTCTCATACACCTACAGTGTCCGCCCTTTAAAGCGATCAATATTAAGCCAAGCCGATCACTTGCTCCCAAAACCAAGGTGATCAGTTGAAGGGGCAGATATTGTATCTCTGTGCTCATGTAATACTGGGTACAAAAACAGTAATGCTCATCTTCAGTAACAAATTCTAGTAACCGATTACTTTTCTACTCCAGATTACCCTGTTGCTGAATAGAGCGATATGTTTAAACACTAAGCAAAAATAGAAATCTTTATTAGATACTGAGGCATAATTCTTTGGTATTATCCTTGTTTCTTTCACTTTTCTCTTCATCTCAGTCTTTCAGCCTTACACGAATCTGCTGCTCTGACCTTATTGTGTATATGGGTCGCGGCGTATAACCCGTATTCGATTTACACAGAGGACCTCGAGGTTGGTCTAAGACCCTGTGGTATAAAGCGCAACTTTCTGCCTTCCCTCCTCTTCTATTTCCTCTAATCTATACGTATTCTTGCCTTTGCAGGGGTGATCATTGTTATGTTTGAGAGCACGTTTTATTTCTCTGACCTTTGCGTACATCAATACTAAAGGAAAGTAGCAATTGTATATACAGCACCGTCACAATGATAAAATCCCTGACGACATCGGCTTCACTCATACTTTATTTCATCATTGGCTACTTTTAAAATATCTGTTTATTATGACATGGATGTCGTCCGTTTGCTGTATCAAAACAATCCGATGTAGTAACATAGGGTTCAACAAAATAATATCAAGGTCAAATCACTCGTCAGAGTCGATTGAAAACGGCTTGAAAATTGCCTATCTGTATACACGAATACATAAACCATATGTAAGAATAGCCAAGAAGATACAGCATATGAAATATGTGACAGGTAATGTGGTTACCGGTACAAACAGTGATTCTGATAAGTGTATAGGCAGCCAAAAGTAAGACATTGGATGAAATAGTACAGTTACTTTTGTACTCAACGGAAAAAATATATATCGACGGGAATGTTTAGCAATGGTTTGTTTAGCCGTGAGAACTTTCTTATAAACAAGTTGTAGTTCAACAATACAGGTACAGGAACTTGACAGCACAACAAATGCTCACCGATTTGGGCAGTTTGACCGTGTAATGCAGTAACTGGAACCATCAACAAGGGCTTTCACTTAATGAATAAGCCAATTAGTGATCGCCACTGCTCAAAGCACTTTGATATACTCTACATATCAAATTATAAAAGCAACCACTATGCCTTGAATGTACGTTATGGTATCCGCTCGGGTTGAAAATACGAAAGAAAAATCTTTTCAATATACTACGACAACAATAGATCCGACACATTAGTTCTTGTAGAATGATTGGCTCACCCCATCTTTCTCCACGACATACCGATAACAGCAGTTTCTGTCAGGATCGTCTGCGGTTCAGGTCCGCTGATCAGATTCAATGTAAGAGCAGTTGCGACGGTGGAGAGACCCCCGTTGAAGGCAGGCTGCAGCACTAACCGGCGATTCGGGTTTCTTAAGGTTGTGTGCTGTGCATACGTAAGCATGGTTGCGACTATGATAGTCGTTACCAATCCTATCGGCAATTACGATAACCATCACCGCGCTTGACGTTTTGATTTGATAAAAGATCCTTTTCTGGTCAAATCTAGTCGAAATAAAGTCTTGCGCTCAGCGAATCGCTGAGATCCGAGAATGAGGGTTACACAAATTCGTTAACCAATAGCCGTGGGAAACGAGCGCGGGAAAATTTGGAAAAGGGTGAGTCGCCTCTTTACGTTGTCACACGCACAATATCACTTTGATACGTGCAAAAAAAGAAAAAATCATGTTTGCCACTCATTAAAGAGGTTACACAAGAGCTTCTTTCCCGGGTGCCTCGATGTCCCGATCAGAAGAAAAACTTTATTCCTTTGGAAAAGCAAAAGCATATCATTCGTATCGAAATATGTCTTATCAGCGCTGCTGTCATCTATTACATGTGCAAAATGCAGCATGGTCGAATGTAACATACAATTCGATCAAAAGCAGAGCATGCAGCAAGTCAATTAACCTGCTGTTTGTAGCAAATGAAGAAGAATGCCTAAGAAGACGCTAATAGCGCCTGTCGCGTGTCCTGCTTTCTGGATTAGTCATAGTATATTTGTCTCCACTGTTTTTGTTGTTCAGCGGCAGCTATGTATTGTTCTCTAAACAGAAACAGCGCCAGATCAGATCCGACTAATTTGCAATGTTCAAAGAAAGATACGTAGAGTGACCCGAAGTGCTTTTTCCAAGCGATTATATCCATTTAATGCAGCATCGCCTCTTCTTTTATATAGCTTGTGAGCGCTTAAAGAAAGCATAGTGATGTGAACACATTGTTTGCTTAGTACGCTTGTGCCACCTGGATTTGAGTAACACGCACTGTTAGCCTTGGGTATCAAGTAAAGAGCAACAGAATTCGCACTTTATATCACAAGAGCGCTATGAGCACCAGCTTTTTGATTCCTGGCAAGCAACGTCGTTTTACCATGATTTCCCAGCGACATGTGTATGTATAAAAAGGTCGATCGGAAGGCTCCCTGCATGTTCTTACAAGCGGAGGATTCAAATTAAGACAATGTCTTGACATGAAAAGATTACTTGGATCATACGATGCAGCTACGGCAGGACCCTATTATGTGAGCATGCTCTAATGAGAGGATTTTCAAGGGCCAAGGTTTGCAAAGGAAGCCTGTCTATTTTAGGATATAATTTCCTGTTTTGCCCAATCTCTTGAGAGAAATACATGCCATGTAGTAGTAGTTAAAGTGGTTGTGGCTATAGTGAATCAAACAGAGTGATTTGGACATGCTAGCATACACATGTGTGCGTATGTGTTTGCTTCAGCTTGCAGCAGAACTGGTAAGAGAAATGTACTCCTCGAAAAAAAAAGATGCGTGTGTCGCCATTTTTGTGAGCGACGATATTTTACACCGACACGGCGTATTTGCCCACGACCTTCTCTCTCGATCTTTTTTTTTTTTCACCTTATCGGGATACGTAATAGTGGTTATCTTTGTTGTACATAAAAGTACAAACTGGACCGAATTGGGCAAAAATACCCTACTTCTGGTACATTGTAGCAGTTAAGGTGCATGACTTTTTCTTACCTATTATGCATAAATCAATTTTGATTAAGAGGAATGAGCCACGTATGTGTCGAACGTCCGTTACCAGAGCAACAAAGAAATCCATAGTTACCTGCAGTCGATAATCAGCAGCATCTTAACTACTGGGCAACCCGGTAATTTCCTTGTTTTGACACAAAAACTTCGAATCAAGCGGAGTTGCCTGAGTTGGCCACTTGGCGGGTGCACAGGCAAGTCATCATATGGCAGCAAACCAGGCCATATTCTCCAAAAGGGGTTAATCTTCCAAGGTTCCATGGACAACAGACAGAGTGAGCTCAGTGATCAGGTACTCCTCAAGCTGTGTGCAACCAATCATGTGTGGCATTCCAATACTGCCTACAGAAGAGCAAAAGCCAGAGGAAAGACACGATGTATAAAATAGCGCGCTTTCCACTCGTCCCCTTTCACCCTTTTCTTTTCTTTTACTTGCTCTGTCTCCCTGCCTCTCTTCGATCATGTCAGAGAAAATCGAAGAAAAGGACGATTTTAGAAGCGTCGACGTCGTGACAGTCCATGATGATTCAGAACACCCTGCCCCTACAGAAGAAGACTGGAAGAACCTGCGCGAGGTACCTGAACGAGACAAACCGCTTCGTCAATCTTTTTCTTTTTTAATTTTGGTCCATCTGTTTACTGACCTTCCCTTCTCTCTTCGTAAAGGTCGGCGATCATGTGCCCTTCTCTGCTTTCCTTGTCATTCTGATTGAGCTGTGCGAGCGTTTCACTTACTACGGCTTAACTGGCCCTTTCCAGAATTACATTCAACAGCCTGCGCCTCCGGAAGGCTGTAAGTAGGATTTTTGGCTTTCTCACGCATACGCTGTGCGCACTCAACTAATCATGTGCGCCATGTTTCTTTTTGTTCAAAACGTCAGATCCCGCTGAACAGCCTGGTGCTATGGGCAAAGGACAACAGACTGCTACTGCCTTGACGACTTTCTTCCAGTAAGTAGAATGCAAAGTTTATCTGACGCAAAGTACACCAAATCACATTACGCCCAACGTTCTCACGTATTTTCATTTTCTTTTCTTTCAAAAGGTTTTGGTGCTATATTACACCGGTATGTCTTTGAATGTCCCTGCATACAAGGCGTAAACAGGGTTTCGTAAAAATGCTAACCTGTGTGGCTTTGTTGTCATTAGATTCTCGCTGCTATCGTCTCGGATCAGTACCTTGGAAAATACAAAACCATCCTCGCATCATCTATCATCTACATGGTTGGCTTGCTCATCCTTGTGTGCACCTCCATCCCCACTGCTATCGAACACAATGCCGCATTCCCTGGCTTCATCGTCAGTATCATCTTGATCGGTTTGGGCACCGGCGGCATCAAATCCAATGTCTCGCCGCTCGTCGCTGAACAATACCAAAGCAGGGCACCTTTTGTTCGCACCCTCAAGAATGGCAACCGCGTCATCGTTACCCCACAAGCAACATACCAACGCATGTTCAACATGTTCTACTTTGGCATCAACGTCGGTGGTCTTTCTGCCATTGCTACCACCGAAATGGAAAAGAACATTGGTTTCTGGTCAGCTTACTTGTTGCCCCTCTGCATGTTCGTCGTCTGCATTATCGTTGTCGTCCTTGGCCGCAACCGCTACATCGAAGCCCCACCACGTGGTTCGGTCTTCTTGGAAGCTGGCAGACTTATTCGGTTTTACTTCAAGACCAAGAGCATGGAAGCCTGCAAGCCATCCAACCTCATCAAGACCCATCCCGAATTGGCAGCCAAGGCTACCTGGGACGATATCTTTGTTGATGAGCTCCGCCGTGCTCTCAAGGCTTGTGTCGTCTTCTGCTGGTTCCCCATCTACTGGCTTTGCTACCAGCAGATCACAAACAACTTGATCTCCCAGGCTGCTACCGTAAGTTTCTGGCCTACACTGTTGGAACGAAAAAGAGGAAGGGTCATTGTTCACTGACAAACCTTTTGTTTGATCTGTGTTTATAGATGTTGACAGGTAATGTGCCCAACGATATCATGCAAAACATCGATCCTATTGCTTTGGTTATCTGTATTCCCATCATGGACAGAATTGTTTATCCTCTCCTCCGCCGTTTCGGCTTCCCCATGCGTCCCATCATGCGTATCTCCATCGGTTTCTTTTTTGCTGCAGTCGCAATGTAAGTTTCTTTGTTGGGTTGTCTTAGAGAAAGTGTATCAAAGTATACAATTATGTGGCCAGTACAGTATCTGACCATTAACATCTTTTCCCTTAATGCACAACAGGGGTTACTCTGCCGGTGTTCAGTCTATGATCTACCGCACTCCTCCCTACTATGATCATCCTGATGGCAACACCAACTGGATTTCTGCTGCCTACCAGATCCCATCATACTTCTTTATCGCCTTATCTGAAATTTTTGCCTCTATTACCGGGTTGGAATACGCCTACAAGAAGGCTCCTCAGTCCATGAAGTCAATCGTCATGGCTTTGTTCTTGTTCTCCAACTGTTTTGCTTCCATCTTGAGTTTCGCCCTTGTATCCGTGACCGTTGATCCCAAACTCACCTGGATGTACACTGGTATTTCCTGTGCTGCCGGTGCTTGTATGGTCCTTGTTTACTTCTTCCATCATAAGCAAGACAAGACCGATGTTGAAGACGATGCTATCGCTCGTGATGATGCAGAAATGGAGAAGTATTATCACAAAACCGAGAAAGAAACGGAATTCGAGCCCAAGGAACTTGCTTAAGTCCTTCTTCTTTCGCCGCCTTTTACCATCCCTCCTTTCTTCCTTTTCATACTCCTCCCTTCCCCTTCCACATCTCCTCCTCTCTTTTCTACCCTTACATAAGGTCTTTGTGACCTCTTTATATAATCTACTATTACACAACACTACTCTTGGATAGCAGGCTGTATGGCTCTGTGTATGTACCTATTACTTACGATATATACTTATTATTTTTGTAAACCTATCTACTACATAAAATATCATTCCTTGTTCACTGGCTGGTATCAAATCAAACCCACACTCACTCACAAAGTACCGCCTTCTCTTTTGTGAGTGACATTTTGTACTTGGCTTCTTTCAAGGAACCCCCGATTTTTTATCTACTACTAACTGAAAATAAATCTGCAAAAAGGATCCGCTCAACAGTGTTACTTATTGATAGAAAAATGGTCCATAATCAGAATTCGGATCAAAGTATCTAGCATATTGCAATGTCACTGGATAGTAGCCGCATGATTGGATACAGTAGATCCAATACATAACTTTGTGCAACAGCTATTTGTCAAATGCCTGTTGTCAGAACAAGCGTGGATCCTTTTATATATATATATAATTGTTCACCTGATCTACAATCTTTTTTTTTGGGGGGTTCGGAACACAAAGTGCATCTGTTTTAAAGGTATTACGGTTAATTGGAGAGAGGAAGAAGGTGGATGGAATAGCAAATTGTACACTGGGTTGTTGAGAGACGGGAAAATATGACGGAAAAGAAGATGCGTGATATGCAAAAGGAGAAAGAGAGAGGTGGAGGTAGACAAAAAAGAATTATTCATCGTTACATTGAATAGAAAAATTGCAAAGAGTACTGTTTAGAATCTTGATCCCAATGTGTCCAGAACTTTCCTTCTGCCCGATCCACTTCCTTGCTCTCCACCTTGAATGCTACAGTCTCATATGGTTCAGCAGCCACCAACAGATATTGATAGCCCTTGTTAGGTGCCTCGATCCTTTGCTCATAGGCTGACATAAACCGATAGCGAGGAGTGATATCTTCTGCAATTTGTGGATATTGGATTTGGAACAAGAGGCCGTGCTGTCGAGTGACTGGGTCACGTACTTTGGTGATTCGATAACCAGGTCGTCCGATCTTGATGACATTGCGTCGCTGCACCGAAGGTTTCGCAGGGCCCACTGCTGGCTGAATAGCTGACGATTCTTTTGCTTCCTTGGCTGCACGTCGTGCGAGATTGGTCTGATGCTTTTTGCCTTGGGTATGTGCAAGGTAGGATCCTTCGCTGGTGTGTAAAGTCAAACACAGTTTACATTCGTACGATCCCAAGTGATTTTTCATGAAATAGGGATCTTTGGAAATGTCAATCGTTTCCAAAGCAAGCTTGCGAAGACGCTCTCGACGATCGACGTTTGATTCGGACCATCCTGCGACACCACCGCTTCTGATTTTGCTGCCAACTCGATTTTGGAAATCCATGTTTTATATGAGTGTGCGTATGTCTGTGAAAAAAAATGAAGCGAGAGAGGTTTGCTTTGTGTGTGCAAGGAGTTTCAATATAAGATTTTGGTATAGGTGGAACGAAAAAGCGCTCTGAACTTTTTCTTTTTACCAGTTATTTAAAAAGAGAATGAATCAACCAGCAAGAGGCTCACGCGTAGTGTTCGGTATATAGTTTTTCTTGCGATTAAAAAGAGCCGCTCATTGTTTGCGAGAATCTAACGAGTCGAATATACATTGCTTAGTGGGCAACATCCCTTTTGAATTAACTGAAGAGCAACTGATTGACATTTTCAAAGAAGTCGGCCCTGTCGCTTCATTTCGGTAATATAGAGGGAGAGAGACTTTGTATGTTACCATGCTGAAGGAAGAGATAAATCTTAATGCTCGTACGCACCTTTGTTGTGTAGTTTGTTATTCGATCGTGAAACAGGACGACCGAAGGGATATGGATTTTGCGAGTTCTATGGTTCGTGAATAGCGCGTCGTATTTTTTTCTTGAATAATTTGATCATTGACAGTTGTGATCCTTGAAATCTAGATGCTGAAACGGCAGCAAGTGCTGTGCGAAATTTGAACGACTATGACATTGGCGGTCGACAGATCCGTGTTGATTATGCTGCCATGGATCCTCACTTGGACAACCAACGACACCACAAACAACATCAACAGCAGCAGCAGCAGCAACCACCACAACCTGTAAATATTCCTATCAATAACGAACAACAGCAGCACCCCTTTTCCTCTTGGACAAATACTTAAACTTATATATCTATCTATCAATACATGATTTTAACAGCCTAGATCCGGACCTCCTCCACCGCAGGCACAAGCACCTCAACAGCCACCACCACCCATGATGGGACAACCGCCCGGTATGCCACCAAAGCCGCCGGGATCTGGTACCTCAGTCGATGAAATCTCCAAAGTGTTGGCGTCCATGAGCTCACAGGATCTATTTACATTAATGACGCACATGAAGGTTTGTATAACCGTCAGCATACATGCGTCAATGGATAGTTGCGTCCGTTGGATATCACTAACATGTGCATACAAATAGCAAATGTCCTTTGATCGACCAGGCTTTACACGCGAGTTTTTGGGATCCAATCCGCAGGTTGCATACGCATTATTCCAAGCAATGGTAATGATGAACATTGTTGATCCAAACATTATCACGGTAAGTGCTAGGTTGCCCTTAGTATCCCTTTTAATCGAGGTATGAAATAATATTAAACAGATACTTGTTTAATATTACCTGTTATTTGCAGAGAATTATGAGCAATCCAACCGGCGCAACACAGTCGCCAGTTGCTCCACCTTCAGCACCGACACAGCCTGTACCGCAGCCGATGCAACCGCCTATGCCTATGCCTCAGCAGCAACAACCACAACAACCACAACCACTGCCACAACCGCCACAGCAGCAGCAGCAACAACAACACCAACAACCGCAGCATTTACCACCACAAATGGCTCCACAGATGACACCGCAAATGCCCTTTATGGCGCCTATGGGAGGTGCAGCAGCAGCAATGGGAGCAGCACTTGGTGGAGGTAAATTAATTGATAAAGTATTCTTTTGTTACGGACTGCTCATACTAGACCCGAATGTGCTAATCCACCATGTCTTGTGTTCAGATGTCAAAGAGCAGCAAAAGGCATTGTTGATGCAAGTATTACAACTGACGGACGAACAAATCAATGCACTTGGTCCAGAGCACAGAGATCAAATAAGGCAACTGGTAAGATTTTCAAAGAGATATGTGAAATGTTGTTTGGTGGGAAAACAGTATTGTATTATGATTGTGGATGTGGTGATATTCAGTTTCTAACTGACAGCTTATATTCTGTTTTGCTTTGGTACCTGCAGAAAGCACAGCTTATGCAACAGCCGAGATAGCTCGTAATGAAATAAAGTATCTTTGTGGGGTGTGTCATAGCAATTACGGCTGTTTTTCTCTCTTTCGCTTTCTTGATGGTGATTTGTTTGTTTGTTTCCTCAAAGCAATAAGCTCTCTTTCTCGGTTGACTTCCTTATATTTTCCCGGCTGTGTGGCAGTGGTGGCTGTGGCGCTCTTATGATTAAAATGACAGCTGCGCAATCTCTTGCTGTACACTATTCCTTCGGTTGTGTTATGAATATCACTTTTTTCTTTCTCTCTCTTCCTTTTCAAATAAACAAATCAACAAACAAATGGCCCACATCTCTCTGGCAGATCATATCTCAAAAGAGAAAAGGTATATAAAAGCACATTGTTTTGACAGGTGTGCCAAAAGCTGTTCTCCTTGGTGCAAGAGCACAACCTACAACAACAATGCTATACAACGCCTACTCTCAAAAACTCTCCGGTCAACAGACCGCTCGATCACGCAAGGAGCCGATTTCTTATTTCAATGTCATGGTGGCTGGCCAAGCTGGCACGGGCAAGACCATGTTCGTCCGAACGCTTTGCGAACGGCTCAAGTGCAACATTATCCAGGGAACCCTCGAAGAATCAAGACCCATGGTGCTCAAGGAACAGCTGCGTGCCACTGAGGACTTTTACAGCGTATCCATGCATGTGGAAGAGGATGGCGAAAGAATTTCGTTTACGCTGATCGACACACCCGGTTTTGATGATGGCTTGGCCATTGACCACCAGCTTCGCTACGTTGCTAAATACATCGATCATCAGTTTGAGCGCACGTTGATAGAGGTATACCATTGCTAGCATTTGATGTGTGTACTGTACGTCCGATATGTAACTAAGTGATATCTGAATACTGTATTCCCGTTTTCTGCTTCTTTTTGTCATCGCTGCTTTTAGGAAACAAAAGTGAAGCGTGATACAAAGGCCCTCGATACGCAGATTCATGCCTGCTTGTACTTTTTGGACACCATGGACAACTGCCTCAGCGACACGGATCGTTATGCGCTCCGAGTCCTTAGCTCCAGAGTCAATGTTATCCCTATTATCGGCAAAGCGGACACGCTCACCGTCTGCCAACGCGAAAATCTCAAGAAAGGTTTCCGAAATGACATTTTCGATGCGCTGCAGATACCAATTTACGGCTTTATTGATTTGGAAGACGACCAAGAGGATGAAGCAAGCAATGGACGTGACGGCAGCAGCAGCAAGAGCGCCAATAATGATGATGAACAGCAACAAGATCAACAAGAAAATGAATATAATGATCACAACGAGCAACGCGACGTAGAAGCTCTCGAACGAGGATCGCTTACGATGACATGTATTCTTGAAATGTTGCGCGAGTGTGTAGACGAAGACGACGATGAAGATGCACGTACCATGATCGGGTACTTGGAGCAAATGCCATACACCACCTTTGGATACGAAGAAGACCCTGATACTGGCCGTCCAGTGCCGCTCACACCACGCGAAACACAACAGTGCAATCATCACGGATCGCAAGATATTAAAGATTTTGAGCCATCCTCACCAAAACCAGCCAACGCAGCCCGCAGGAACAGCAGCAGCAACAACAACAACAACAGCAACAACAACAAACGAAACATGGCACGGCCGAATAAAAGCATCTTGGGTCGACGATATCCCTGGGCGGTTGTCGAGTGCAGCAACCCCGATCACTGCGACTTTGAAAAGATTCGATCTATGATTGTCACTGACCATCGCGACATGTTGCGTATTGACACTTTTGAGCGCTTCTACGAAAAGTATCGTACCGAGCAGTTGTTGAGCCGACGAGTCAACAGGCTTATGGCAACAGAGGTCAAGAATGGTAAAGTGTTGGCATGATCAAGAGTGGCAACAGCAGCAACAACAACAACAACAACAACAACAACAACAACAACCAGATATCCAGTCTCTTTTTCCTCTCTTTCCTTGTTCATGCGTTCTTCTTATGTTTGCTTTTTGTTCTTTTTCCCTTTCCCTTCAATTTGTTTTTATATATATGGTCCAAATAAAAATATGACGTGTATGCAAATTGGTATGCTGCTGCTTGCTGGTTCTAATGACGGAATCCTGCACGCAATGTTTCACTAGCCCGGGTAGATAGACTGCCTGTTGACACACTGCCCGATTTCTTCTTTGCCTTGTTCATCTCATTTATCGCTGCCACGATCTCATTCATGTTGGTTTCGAGTACCATGCCTCCTTGTACTATCTCTGACAGAATATGATGCACCTATCTCCGAGATATACATCATCCAATCAATATGACATGTAACTTTGGTATCATCTCTCCTCTACGTTAGCCTGCTTGTTTGTGGTTACCTCGTCAAAATGGAAAATCTAATAGGGCGAACGAGCAAAAAATTGGCTTTTTAGCTCTCTATACTATCCAACGATTCGGATATGGTAGCCGTCGTCGTCTCTCTATCCATTATATTCACATACCAGGTCCAATTCACACACGTTTTCAAAACAGCGATCCAAACTTTCGACAAACACCTGGATATGCACGTTCGTTTATGAGTTTTGAAACAAATGGAGTAATGCCTGAAGAGAGATAGAGAGTGAAAAAGGCGCAAACCTGAATCAAGTCTAGAATGCCAAGCTCGCTTTCGCTTTCATCGACCACAAATACAAAATAGAGTGTTGCATAGTGACGGTAAATTACGCGTGTGTCTTTGCCACCCAAGAGTTTGCTTCCTTCAAGAAAGTTGCATACTGTGTCAGGTCGTTTTGATACGAGTGAATATATTTCTTGAACCAGTGCCTGTTGTGTTGCGATATCCTGTAAGCGAGAGGGAAGAGCCCTCGCATTGTTAATAAAGTGCTGCTGTGGTCAAATGACTCCACTCGATGGAAACGTTACAATTTGTTGGTAAAATTTAATTAACCGAGGTTTGCCATGGTTGTTGAAGATTAAAACAGATTTGATCATTATAAAGTACAGTGAGGAAGTTGGCCACTCTAGAGCAGAAATGGCGACGGATTAGGTGGGAGGCGTCTAGCTCCGACAAGGTCATCCGTACATCCGAGGCACTTGCGGGTTTTCGGTTGCTTGGAAGATGTGCTTCATATTCTGACAGCACTCGCTCTTTGTCGCGTATATGTCAGAAGCTAGCACATCCTCAAATCTTCTGTAATCTGGTTCCATACACCTCGAGCAATCTGCTGCTTGCATGAAAATCATCGAACAAGAAGCCCGTACACGGCGGCAAATCATCCGTTTTAGCAACTTTATTTTTTTCATATAAAATCCAGATCGGGCACAAAGACAGCAAACCGAAACAAAACTCAGTTACATACTAGCCTTTCACCTGCTTCCTACCTTCTTTTCCCCCTTTTTTCCTTTTTAAAAAAATAAACCCTCATCGACCATCTCTTTTAAGAAAGCGAATTCTAAATAAACTCGGTTATGGAAGTCAAGTCTGGGTCAAAACTTCGTCGTAGCGGGCGCAGCAAGAACCGCACGGCGAATCCAATGGCCGTATACGATTACGCTCTACGATGTGCACTTCGAGCATACCTGGAACAGTCAGGCAACAACAACAGTGCAGCATTGAATGCATCGAAAAAGGACCGAGGCGACAACCGTCATTCCATCCATATGGGTGTGAGCGGTGTACTCGGATCGCTGACGGACAAATTTGGTGATGATGAGAAAAAGTCGGACAAGTTGACACGAGAGATAGTACGCGGGCTCCTGAAACGACTTGACGAGGTGAAGAAGAGCAAAGACTTGTCGAAAATGGATCGCGAGGAAAAGATATTTCTGGCCATCATCTCGCAGTTTCAATCCAAGCTGCAGCAGCAACGGTATCGACCCACCGGTACCGTCAACGACCTTGTCATTACATTTCTGAAAACGGCTGAGGCTGAGCTTCGCAAATCGGATCCGAACCCTGCGATCTGGTATGAGGAACTCAACCGTCATATCGCCCGGTTTGCAGAAATCGTCAAGCAGACCGTCCAGGAAGATGCACCTTCGTCCGCCACCCCCGAATTGATGGAGAAGCTCAACCATTTCATCACGCCGACGAAGCGACGCCAGTCGGATCGAAAGCAGCCTGCGCCGCCTTCACCAAACTCGCCTCAGCCGGCAGACGGTTCGATTGAAGCTCTCGAGAGTTTCCCCATGATATCCTTGATCCAGAATATGTTCCAAGTCAGTGATGCGGATCATCGAAAGAAGTTGAAGGAGCTTCGTGCTGTTTGTACTGATTCTGTAAGGAAAAAGCGAATGTTGGGATGTGGCACAGAGGGGTAGGAGCAGGAGAGAAAAGCTGGTAGCACAACTGCATATCTTGCGTATCCATGATGTGTGTATATGCATATGCTAACGGTGCTTTAATGTTGAAAAGGCTATTTTGATGGATCTCAAAAAATGTATCAACAATGTCCATACCAACCAATCGTTTCCCGGACGACGAGAAGATTTCCCCAGTCAGCAAGCGTACGATAACTGGCATCGCCGTGAAGTCAAACAGCTGACAGAACTGATGAACACAATGATGCTGATGAAGCCCAACTTGGCACTTAATTCAGCAAGCGAAACGGACATGGGCTTCTCCAACTTACTTGCGAGTGAAGGAGCTCGCTCGAGAAACTCGCTCCAACAAGGCGAAACTGATAGTGTAAGTTACAAAATTGAAACGGGGGGAAATACGTGTTGATAACATAGGCAACATTGATTGACATGTGAATTTATACTAGCAAAACACTTTTGCTTTCATTCCAAACGATCCTCGCTCCTATTTCCGCTTGCTCATGTCCATGTGTATCGATTATGATAACGAAGTGGTGCCAGATTGCGAACGCGCCAAAACGAGTGTTCTATCACAACAGTCTGACGAGCTTTTGCGTGAGTGCTGGCGAACATGGCGTCTGTCGTCTCCTTTCCGTGCCGTGTTGTATCTCGAACTTGTTCGGACCCGCTTTGATCAAAACAAACTCGATTTGGAAGATGTCAAGGATGCATCACGTGCTCTAGATAAAGTTATCAAGGAAAATGATTCCAGTTCTTGGGCGATCAATGATGTAAGCTTGAACTATTTTTTTTTTCGTTATATTCATTATGAAATGTACATATCACTCATTATGACACTTTTTGAAATGTGTCAAGCGAGAGTCTCTCATTCGTGCATATGAAGGTCTTAACCATACCCTGCTGCATGAATTGGAGGCCGCTCTCTCAGAATACTGGAAAATAAGGTAAATTTCATAGACCACGTACGCTTTCTTTCGTCGCTAAACTTACAAACGAAAACAATAATGTTGACCTTTGAACTATAGACCTTCTTGGGTATACGATCTTGTTGGAATGCTCGATAAAATATATGAAAACCCCGCATACTTAGAAGACCATGCCGATCCTATGTTAGCATTCTCTCGTTTGGAAGAGACAGTAGAGGTATGGTAAAAGACAGTGGGGATGAGTGGGTCTCATGTGTATCGGTTGCATTATATTTAATCCTGTATTTCTACATGTAGGGTGCTGCTGTGAGTCGATGGCGAACACTCGAGAAAGCGATTCTTGATGATACCCAGGACAGTCTTACCAATTTGCTTACATTGGCTGACAAACTTATCAAAGAGCTGGTATCTATATCTAAAAAGAAGTTTAGCACGCCAATCAAAGGGTAAGAGAGGAAATTTAAGACATGTTTTTTCTCTTCTTTCACACAAACACTGACATCTTGCATATTGAACATGATAGTTACTTGGAAGTTCCTGGCATTGTAATGGCACGACACATGCCATTTTTCGCCTTGGAAATGGAAAATTGGGCATATTCACCTGAAGCACGAAACGCACCTGTCGAGGTCACATTTGAATTATACCACAAAGTTCTGAGTCTGAAGCGACTCTATGATCAATATGGCCCTCGGTAAAGAAAAAACACTTTGACTTTTAGCAGTTGCATGAAACCTTTGTTTTATAACAACACACTTCGTTGAATGCATTTGTAGACAAAAGGCGGCCTTGTTTAAAGTAGAATCATGGTTCTTACAGCATGTCCGACGATGGCTCAAGACCACACACGCAGCAACTCCAGAATGGGTGGAAAATGCTATTAAACAAGATGAGGTAGGAGTGATGGATTTCCATATTACAAGGAATATGGACAAGAGTGTATAGGCTAACTTAGCAATATACCGTATCATCACCTCATAGTTTAAACCTATCAACGAAACAGCAGTACACTCTTCCTCTATTGTCGATCTATTCAGTATGTTCCACCAAGCTGTGGACTTTGTACAAAACTTACAATGGCCTAATGAGCTCCAGCGCTGCCGGTTCCTAACAGCATTATCAAAGGTAAAAGAGAAATAACAATGGTGCTCTAGTAGTATAAAGTTAAACTTGAACCCACAAATTTTATAGGTAATTGCCATTGCTCTTGATCAATACACAAATACCATTGAGCACTTCATTCTTGAAGAAGTCAGTCCACCGCAGGAATTGGAAGCCGACCCCTCCTCGACAGGCTCCTTCCTTGACAAAGCACGCTATCTTACTGGTAGCCATAATACTGTCAAAGAAGAAGCCATGCCACCCGATTTTAATCCAGAGGTAAAAATAGAACTGAATACATAGGTTTCTTTCGCAAAGCTCGGATCAATTAATACAGAGAAAATGATAGCTATGCGTAATGATCAACGACATTGAAGCAGCTCGTAGTCGACTTGACCGATTGTATCAAATTATGGACGTGGACGAAATTGCAGACAGAATGCGTGAATTCGGCTCTCCCGCAGTCGAAAAGACCGAACAAACGAACTTTTTGTACTCGATCCGTGTCGTTCGTGCCGAAAATTTACAGGCACTGGACAACAACGGCCTGAGCGATCCATATGTCGTTCTGGAAATCAGCAAAAGGGAAGTCGCAAAGACACGTACAGTTTACAAAACGCTCAATCCACGCTGGGATCAAACATTTGATATCTGGCTAAACGAGCGTGATGCCGACGCATTGGCCGTTGTTTATGATGAAGACATGATTGGTGCCAACCAAGAATGCGGCAGCGTTTGGTTTAAACTGTCGCCCAGTTATTTCGATGATTATCAGATGCATGATCTGAATCTTACACTACACCCTCAAGGCAAATTACATTTGCGTGTAAGTCTGGTCGGTGAAAAAGATGACATCCAGTTTTGGTTCGTCAAGGCATTCCGTACTCTGAAACGATCCGAAAACGATGCAGCAGCGCTCATCGTTGACCAGGTAAGATTCATTCTAATTGCCTCATTGACTTTATTCAGTCATGATAAACATACAATCGTACTAATCATTCCTTTGTTGGTTGTTATTGTTTACCAGATGGGTCGATTCATGCGATACTGTTTATCCCGACGCACATTGGATAAACTGATGCGCAAAGACAAGAGCTTCTTCTCATCATTTAGCCGCTCTAACAAGCAAGTTGAACCAAGCTTACAAGAGTGTGAAGATGCGATCGCCCCATTATTGGACTATCTGGAAAAGAACCTCAAAATTCTAAATGATAACTTGTCAGAAACCAATATGCAGTTGGTTGTACTGAAGATATGGAAAGAGGTGCTATTGACCTTGGAGGGTGTCTTGCGTACTCCCAAGACCGAGAATAACCATCAACAAGATGCCTCACTGGACGAATACGAGGAACACATCGTTCTCAAATGGCTCGAGGTAAATGTCCTTTTTATTTATTTTCATGACTGGTCAGCGAATAAACAGATATCCATGGACGCGTGAACTCATATTATGTATTCAATCAACAGCTCCTGAAAGTCTTCTTCAACGGTGGTGAAGATGGAGATGCAGTACCACTCGACAAATTGGAAAACAAGCATTATCGCTCGCTTATTCAAGATGTCCGTCATCACAGAGACTCTGCTCCTATCGAGGGTTACTAATCTTCTTTTGCTTCTTTACTCTTATCCTTTGCCACCATCACACCAGTAAAAAACGTCCCTTGTCTTCCCCGTAATATATATCCTTTTCTTTTGCAAGTCAAACCAACGCGCACATGCATGTACTATTACAAAACTTCCCCTCGCTCCTTTTTTTCTCTCTTCCTTTCAATCTTATACATATATATATATATATATACTATGCCGTTTTTCTTTTTTTCTTCTTTATTACCATTATTATTACTGCTTGCGTGTGTCTTTTGAAAATTTAGTCCTCCATGCTGATTTCCGGTATCTCAAACTCCTCGTCGTTAGATTCGTCCTCTTCCATAGTAGTGGTTCCTTTGTTCTTGCCGTTGGTTTGCTTTGGTGGTTGTGTTGATGATGTAGATGTATCACTGAATGATTCAGCCGTAAAGCTGGTTACGACCTTATCTGAATTATCACCATCGGTTGCCGATAGTGACGACGTTAAAGAAGAGAATACTGGGGCTACTACTGGTGGCTCTTGATTAGATTTTTCTTCTTCATCACGGCTCGCGGAAGGGATAGTGGTAGCTGATGCAGAAGAATTGCTGTTTGGGTGTTGATTTTGCATCATCGTTATATCGTCGTCGTCGTCTTCATCTTCTTCAGGAACACGTATCACGTTGGAGCGAGAAACCACAGGACTTTTTGTTATTGGTGCCGCTTTCTGTACAGGAGATGCTGGTTGCTCTACTTGTTCAGAAAGCTTTTCGACCTGCTCTTCTTGGTCTTCTTTTTCTTCTTCAAGGAAGAAACTTGTGACAGTGGTGCTGGTAGTAGTAGATGTTGCTTGTTGTACTGGAGGAGGCGGTGCTGGTGTTGCGCGTTGAATTGGAGGCATTCGAGTATGCATACAAAGATCACAGATTGCTAAGCCTTGCGTACATATCACACGAAGCTGTCAATGATAATTATAACAATCCATCAGTAAACGTCTCTCACTTTTCTTTAATATACAGAGCGGGAGTGGGAGGAAGAAGAAGACCATATATACCTCATGTGTCTCGTCATTCTGTCCAGCACTGAAAATCCTGACAGCATGCGGTAAAAGACTGGCCTGGTTGGTATTTGGGCTCATGATGGAACTCAGCAAGCATTTGTACAGACAACACTTGACAGCAGAGCTTTCTTCGTTAGAGTCGCCAAGATATGCTGCTTGCAAAATTCTTGAGACTACAATAGTATCGATCGAGGAGCGCAAATTGGCGTCCATGGAATTGCCGTGTAAGGTCAAAAGATCTTGAAGTACTTCGAGTGCTGCCATTTGAATATCGCACGGCTGATAAGAGATGGAATCGGCGTTTGTAAAAGCGTCGGAACTGATATGCTCGGCGCGTCGTTTCTTGCCTGCGACCTTCTATTATATTATAACAAAACGGTTCAATCTTCACTAGGAGATCAAAGTGCCACTACAGTCACAATATATTCCTCTTACCTTCTCTGGTACAACGACATCCAACTTTTTACGCTCAATTGCCTTCAAATCGTCAATAGCAGAAGAAATCACGGCTTTCAAAATGGTGTCGGCAAAAGCGTATCCGAACTTTCGCAAGCATAAAGAGATAAGGTTATACACCGATATTTTGACAGCTCTATATTAAAATTGACAGAGTATTAGCTACACACAGTTGTGCCACTTTTGGCTTTTTGATAGCCACATTACCTCTTTTTGCTATTTTCACTCAATAACCGTAAAAGAATACGAGCCAGCAGTTTGCCATATTGTGCCATACCTGCATCCGCACTATAATAGACCCATTGAAATGTATGATAGTCAATAGCCATTCCTCTTCATCCAAATAAAATCGACATTGACGACGGAACGAACATACCATAAAAGTAAGCTTGCAAGCAGCTTGTTTGTGCCTAAATGGAGTGCTGGGAGACATGTCATAAGACAAGCATATTCATCCTTGGGCTTAAATTCCCGCATCTTTCCAAGAGTAGGGTTAGTAACTTGAATGGGAAAAGCACACATGAACAAGTAAAAGGTACTCACCACACAGCCTTGGTAGACGTTATAAATTCGGCAACAGAGTCGCGTGAGATGAGCAATAGGCACACCTACCGGTACCATCGTTTTTGACCTGTCAAGATTTTTTTTTTCATTTATAGATTAGATAACACTGGGGGAATTATAGCTTCTATACTGTAAACTTACGTCAAATAAACAGCAATGGTATCTTGTATGTATCGAATTCGTTTCAAAAGTGTCGGGAATGCTTCAACGTAATCTGGTGCAATGGAGGACAATGGATAACCTGCCACTCGATCCGGAACATTGTCCTCTAATTCACACATAAAATTTAACCAGTGTAAGTTACGAAAAATAAAACCTTTCGTCTTCTTCATCTTTCCTCTTGCATCCTTCAATATATATGTATACCTTCATCAACCGTATCAAACAACCGATCCAATGCCTCGTGTACTGAACCAACAAGTCGCATCAACATTTCTTGCCAGTTACTGGCAAAGTTGGTCTTTGTACTAGTTCGACAGGATGCGGCCAGACATCTGCCAATCAAGTTTGGAGACACGTCTGTGGTGCCATCCAAACATGAAATATACATCTTCAATGTCTGATCCGTAATGTGGCGTGACATGGATGGGAAAAGCTCCATGTTTTTCGATAATGCAACGAGTGTTACTGGCTGTATACAGCATACTTGGTTAATTCACCTCATTCTGCTATCCTGTTTCTCCAATAAAACATACTATCAATTCAGGGTTACGGCCAAGAGTAAGAAGGAGCTGGTTGAAGCGGGGTAGCGACTTGCTTGTCACTTCGGCATGCAACTCGGTCTTGCCGATCGTCTTTTCAAAAAGAACAGAGAGCGTTTCGATAGATGCTGTGATATTCATGGTACTTTCTGGTTTCTATATAGCGAAAAAACAACAACAAGCCATCATCATGTCAGCTCGTATACTTTCTCTCTCTTTCTCTTGGAATCACTTTCAGAAAAAAAGAAGTTTTCTATATGCGTCGCCACCACATTATGATTGAATGAATGATTATTACCGCAAGGATACCCAACAACTGTGCTGCCCAAGACTGTACGCCCGAGGCATACAAGCTTTCTGACTGGTCACATGTTTCTTTTATCAGACTGATCGCAGCCCAGCGTGTCGTGGCTTGCTTAGATCCGAGCAACGCGTTTAATCGTACTGTCCATTTGCGTTTGACAATGGCGTCGTCGTCGTTTTTAGCATCGTCCGTCAAAAGGTTATTGTTAGTGATCGCCTCGAGAATGAACGGAAGAAAAGTGCAAACGCGTGACTCGTCTGCTAAATAGTCAGAGAGGATCCGTGATAATTGTGCCGCCACCGTTGTCATGCTCTAGGTTTTTTAACGGCGGAAATGGTGGTTCGTGTAGACAAGTAGAAAATAATAATAAAAAAAGTTCAATGGGTTTTGAGTTCCAGCGGCGGCGTTTCATAACTCGCAAGTTTGGAAATTTGGGCGCTTTGCTCTCTTTGTCTCCCTTTCATTCTTATACCTCCTCGGTCTCGTTCCTCATGTTTACTCAAAGAAACAACGAAGGGCGCGGTGGCTCCAATGCACCACGCGGACGAGGTCGTGGTAACAAGTACATGGGACGGAAACATGGAGACGGCTCAAATGCTATTCCCCACAACAACAACAACAACAACAACAATAAGAATCATAACCCTAATGCTGGCAATCAGAAAAACGTGCCCAAACATCGCAACAAGCAGTGGACACGTCCAGGTCTTCAGCAAGATCACGACATTTCGTCAATGCAACCACCAGCAATGAGCTCAAAGAATACATCAACAGCCGAACAACGACTGAAACGTTTTGGCGACACGGATAAAAGCATTTTATATACCCAGGTATATATATTTATAGTTTGCAGGATCAAAAAATGAGCAATCCTACTATACACTATATTACTATGCTTCTATCCCTCCCTGGTCTCCTCCACTAATAACGGCATCTATGTCTTCAGATGAAAGAAGATCGTGTTATCGAACGTCGAGAAGCTATCAGAACCGGTCAGATCGCTGATCCTGATGTTCCTAGGCGCCTCGAAGACGCGATTGACTTTAGAGGAACATGTCAATCGATGTGTCCTGCTTTCGAAATTGTTGAGCGCGAAGTTCAGAATATGTTGGACCCCTTAGAAGTCGTAAGTCCCCACCAAATGCTCTCTTATATCGGATGACAGGCACAACATGGTACTGAATGTATGCTAATTTACTTGAACGGACCATACGCACGCATACGGAATAGGATGCATTTGGAAATGCGGATCCTAATAAGGCAGTGAAAAGATACCGCCGTTCTGCTGCAGGCAATGAACAGCCTCTACCATCCGATGTTCGTCCTCCGGCTGTCCTTACGGTATGTACTACTGCTTATTTTAATGGTGACTTGTAATATCGTGCAGAATAAAAAGGGGCTATTGGGCATAGCAATGTATATACTGACTCGAATCAATGCATTATACAGAAAACACTCGACTATTTGTTCAACAACGTACTTTCCAATAACCAGTTCATTTCTTGCCATGCTTTCTTATGGGATCGAACACGTGGAGTCCGTCAAGACTTTACGTTACAAAATATTCGCAATGTAGTAACTGTTCAAGTTCATGAACGCATTGCTCGCTTTCATATTTTGGCACTGCACGAGCTTTGTGAATATGATGAGGACAAGTTCAGTCAACAGCAAGAAACGGAACAGCTTGGAAAAGGTAAATGAACAACAAAATAAAATAAGCTGACGACTTATTCTCTAACTTGTCCATCATGGTGCTACTACTACTGCTATAGTGCTTATCAGTTTGATGGAATTTTACAACGATCTACGACAAGAGAATATCCATTTGCCAAACGAAGGCGAGTTCCGAGCATACCACTTAATATACAATATCCGAGATCATGAACTTGCATCGCGCATGATGACAATGCTACCCGAATATGTCCGCCAACATCCTTATCTAAGGCAAGCATTCCGATTCTATGAAAGTATTCAACGCAACAACGAAATTATGCAAACGTCCGAACGAAGAAACAAACCAGAAAACGTGCTGGCTGCGAAGAACTACTATGCAAAGTTATTCAAACTCGTTGGCAGCAGCGAGACACCCTTTCTCCTCGCCTGTATGATTGAAACGCATTTTGCGGAAATCCGAAAAGGTGCTCTCAAAGCCATGTCACGCGCGTACATCTTCAACTACAAGGGCGTGGACTCTGAATATCTACGACAGCTACTTGCATATGACGATGTAAAGCATTTCCTTGTCGAGGCAAATCTATACGGACTCGTGATTGAGAAAACAGACAACACCGTTCTCGTTCGATTTGGTCAGAAAATAAAAGGCAAAACAACCTTGTTCGTCGGTAAGTTTACTGCTCTTCTAATTGGCCTTTGCTTTGTATCTCGAAAGAAGACTGTACTCTGAAGAAAGTTTTGCGAGAGATCTAAATATAACAATGGTATTCATTAGAGCCATTATCATTACCACGCCAACGTCGATCGTGTCTGTTGGTGGATCCTAAAAAGGGTGGTAGATCGTACAGTGATATCATTAACAGTGATGCAAATTCCGAATTACATATCAGCACCTCAGTCACCGTTCGTGATCTCCAACATCCGCCTCTAGCCAACGTTGAGACGAAGAATACGACGTTTTTAAGCGGAAAAAGAACTTTACTGCCGACGAATGTAGTCACTGACTTTCCTGTCGTACGGCGCATCGTCAATGCGACTCCAACGTTGTCAGCAGAAGAGCTGGCCGAGCGAGAAAGAAAGCGCGCAGAAACACAGCAGCAGCAATTGAGGCAAGCCGCCCTTTTACAGCAACGACAAAGACAACAAAAACAAGAAGCTGCCATGCAAGCACAGCTAAGGGCGGAGCAAGAACGCAAACAAAAGGAAGCAGCAGCGGCCGCAGCAGCAGCTGCAGCAGCGGAGACGGCTCATCGACTTAAACAACAACGAGAAGCTCAAGAACGGGCTGCAATAGCCGAGCGCCAACAACGCGAAGCGATGCTTGCGGAACTGACCAACTCACTTGGTGCAGAAGTGTTCAATGCTACAGTTCTGGAAGAAGTGCAAGTCGTTGCGACGAGCACGCTCCACCAATATAAAGACTTGAAACGCAATATGCAACCATTGTTGAACCGCACACGCACTCGGATTACTTATAATCAACGGTTAGCAAAAGAGCGTGGCTGCCTCCATCGTCTAGTGGATCGATTATCAAAGCGAATTCTGAAACCCGCGTGCAAAGCTGTCAAAGCACAACGCGTACGAGAATGTCTATACTTGGAGAAACGTATGCTTGAATCCGTGAGAAAGGTAACAAAGATTGCCATCTGTTACGCTACAAAGAACAATGTCGCTCATCAAAATCGAAATCTTGTATAGAGTAAAGTATCAAGGGAGCAGCAAGACGCGTCTGTATGGGCGACAGAAAACTTTGCGGACCTGATACATCCCTTAGTCAAATGCTCCACTGTCGGACAGCAACAGCAACAACAACAACACAATTGGCAGCTCTGGATACACGTTGAAGACACGGCACTACAATCCACAAAGTGGTTCGCAAAGAAGTTTGGATTGGACGATGAGTTTGGACGACGGATCGAACGCTTCAAAGACAACACGATCATCACCATTCGCACAGTATCACATCAAAACCGCCTGTACGGCAAGGCAGTGGATGAGATGGGTGGGATCATCTTTTCATTGTCAGAAGTGCGCATACATGGAACGGATGACTGCAGAAAGTAAGTGCATGTGAGAGCCATCGTAAAACTACTACTCGTATGCTCACAGTACAAATAACAATTTAGTCAAAGGTACTGGAAGGCAGAAAAGGACCGTCTGGATAAAATGACAAACCAACTTTTGCAGTACAATCCACACATGCGCGTCCCGTTCATCTTTACGTACTGGCCACAAACATCGTCACTTGAACAAGCCGTACAAGAGGTAATATAACAAAAGAGCACTGCTGCTGTTTGGGAGGTGCACTATTAACCGTGTGAACATGACGACGATAGATTCCCGACCTGTTGGGGCTCCATGACAACTTCCTGGTCCAAGATTATCATATCGTCATCATGGATCCTTTCACAATCGCCGGACGACTCAGAGAAGAAATCCCATGGTTGGCCAACGCCAGCAACACCATCCAATCCTGTACATAGCTTTTTCTCCATCCCAATTCGTTTTTATGAACAAATATTTAGCAAAATAGTACAAAGCTTGCTATTATTTGTTGCGCAAAGTATATCAGATGGAATTTTACAAAGTCAAAGTTACGAGAGAAAGGGACATTTTTTTAAATGGTGGCATTTCGTACAACGAGTACTGGACACGGGCATTCATGGATACACTTGTCTGATACCGAGCCCAGGAAGACGCTCTTGACTGCGCCCAGACCGCGCGATCCGACAATCAAAAGATCCACTGGCTGTTGTTGTGTGAAGCGCGGCACGAGCGTCTTTGCATCACCCCACAGAATATGCTCCTCGCTCGAAATCTTCAGTGATCGTAGGTGGTCGCCCATTGCCTCCAGCCGTTCGCGTGCAGTTGCGCCTCCCTGTGGATGGGCCTCTGCTTGTTGGATGGCGTCGTTCATACGTGTGGGAGATGTGGATAGCATGGGTAAGCCCGATGTTCGTCGCTGGTGGTGACGCTCGTCTGAGGCTGACACGCCTCGTTCCACGGCAGAGAGCAGGATAAGGTGGTCCATTTCTGGACGGATGATGTTCTTTAGCGCCCAGTCGAAAAGCTTTTGGGCATCCTCGGTGCCATCGTATGCCAAAGCAACGCGGCGTTTATCAGTGATGGGAATATTGGCTGACATGGTTTTTTGTTTCCTTCTTTGAGTGGTTTGTAAAAAAGAAGAAGAGTGTTGGAAAACAAAAAGAAGTAATGAAACCAGCCCGTGCATTTTTATGCATACCCGAAACATCAGATGATTTTGACCCAGATTCCGGCAAAATGCTTTTTCGATCCCAGACACTACCGGCCTGTGTTTTTCCTTGCTTGTCACGCCAAAAATATTAATCACCAGAACGCACTGCGCATGATCTTCTCTGCATCAAACCAAGTCATCACCAACTACGAGTCCCTATACAACGCTCTGCTTAGATAGTACTGCTTACATGGCTCACGCAGTCTGGATATGATGACAGGTGAACATGTATTATGACGCACAGACTCGCCTTATTTCCGAGGAGAAGAGAAAGATTTCTCACTTTCCGCGTGGCTAGGTAACATTCCTTAAATGGAAGAATGGCCGATCGCCTGTGTTTTTCGAGTATGTACTTGGAATTCCACGGAATGAAACATCCACACGCAAGTACGCATGAGCTGTTTAAGAATAGCATACTTTCTGATATGAGTCATTTGCTCATCCTTTCGTCGCGTATTCCTTGAAAAGGCAGGTGAGTGAAAAAAAAAACATCCAATGTGTCGGCTCCATACCATACCACTTGACAACCATCACGCCTGTCATTTGTGGTAAAGTCCGACTTTCATGCTCCTGTCGCTGAACCTGAGGTTCCTAATGAACAATCAATAGCTATGACAGCGAGTACAACGACCAAAATGAAACAAGGACTACTAGACCGAATATAAGCGCATAGCTCTATATGCTCAATATCATAACGCACAACCAAACTGTACTTTGCCACCAACTAGAAGGAGCTACTGTGAATCATGCAGAAGATGGGTCAAAATGATATGTACAATAATACAGTCATACATGTCACCAACGATGGAATTATACCTAAGGCATTGGTGGTTCCCATTCACATCTTCTGGATCAATGCTTCGATAGACATCAGTAAGCTGTTTGTTGTTTAATCTCTTAGTATCACACTTAATCAGAAGAGCAGTGATGGGCAAGTATAACATACAAATAAACAAATTCACATTTAGGTGTTCCATGGCTAAGAAAGTTGCCTAGCCTAACAGGACAATCTGGCGCGGATGATGAGCCTTCATTCAAAATCTCTGAGCGAGAGCAGATGCTGCTTAACCATTGTGGTGAACAGAGTCAGCCTTACAGTGTCCAATTGCCAAAAGCAGTAAAGGAAGCTGCCTAGCCTGACAGACTAACCCGGCGCGGAGCACGGGAAGAACCTTCCACAGACTTGATTGTTGACCACGGTCGAGTCAACCTGATCGCAAAGAGTAGCAATGGAACAGAAAGATCAATAGCATTTGCCTACCTCGTTTTGCCTGTGCAAGATTTTAGGACAGAATGAAAGATACTGGTGTTGAAACATTGTATACGCAAAAAACTAATAATAATACAGTAACAATATCGTTTTGTTCAAGAGTGCGACTTACCATAAGTGCTACACCATCAAGGGTACTTTGTTTCAACGTTTCGTGGTTTTTGGGCTCAAAGTGTGCTCAGTCAAACCTAGTAGATTCTCTCGTTCTGATTGAGCTTCTCCAATATGTTAGGATGTGCATGACTGTTCCGAGAAAATACAAAAAATAATTTTCTCAGCACCATAGAAACATAACAATAACCCGTTAACTTGTCACATCATCGTTGTAAGCTATAAAGGAGCCAAATGACATAGTCATTAAGTATTTATGAGTTCATATTTTGAAGATTCAAATATTCCTAATGGTGCTTCCGTTGAAATTGAACATCATTGTATGTATGTCAACTCGAAATTCCGATAGCAGAACCAGTGGTGTAAATGCAGTGCATGTATACATCTAATATGAGCAGCTGTCTTGGGCACTTCATTTGGATATATCGCTTGCGCTAACAAGAGTATGTGCTCGAGAGTGTGTCTATAGTATATGAATATTTTTGTCCCCTTGCAGTTTACGCGCGCAAACTTATTATAAAATGAACAAAGAAAAAAAATAGCATTTCGAATAAGCAAAAAAAAATGTGGTTAGCACAACGTGCAACATAGTAGTAAATAAGCATTAAAGAAATTTAAGATGCCAGCAGCTGTGGCTGAAAACGGTCTGCCTTATCCGTGTGCTGGCTGTGGAGTCCATCATATGCGCTGGAAACGAATTTGCAAATATACAACCTTCACCTATTGCTAATGTCGCTGGCCGATCGCATTAAACAAACAAGTCATGCCGTTTTGACAGGCACCTCGCTCTCAGGTAATAGCAAAACAGTGAGATAAGAGTGCACTGGCTAACAAAATTTTACATACATTAGTCGTGGCAGGAGCAACAACCGGCGCCGCGGTAGCGATTCTCAGAAATGCACCTGTCAAACAATATACCGTTACAACTGCACTTAATTGTGGTGTTTTTGGCGCAACGTTCTTCAGTAAGTACATATAATATTGTATGAAAGAATAACTAAGTAGTTTAAAGCATCACATTTATCTTTATTCATTAGTTGTTCGTGAAACGTTTGCCAATCATCAACGAAACAAAAATCCTCAGTTTGGCCTGGAAGATTCACAAACACGCGACTTTGACGATCTAGTGAGTAGTACCTTAGCAGGTGCTACGACAGGTGGTTTATTATCGGCTGTCTACCGTAAGTTTTCCTCTAGCAAGAAGAAAAGTATATGTAATTTCTCACAATTAACGAATAAATATCATACAGGTGGTCCACGAGGTGTGCTGCCGGGCGCTTTTATGTTTGGTACGATCTGTGCTGCCATACAAACTGTATATACAACGGGCAATCGATGGCGTCAAGAAGCCATTTTAGGCTCTGTATCATCACCAGTAGAGCAAAAATCCATCTGGGAATCATTCAGCTTGCCTTCCTGGGTGCCCATGCGCATGCTTTCGAACGAAGAATACGAAGAGATGCTGGATACACGGTTAAAAACTTTAGAGATGGAGGTTGAAGAAATTGAGCGTGAAATGAAGCACAGCAGCAATAGCAGCGACGTCAAGTCATAGAAAAAGAGATATAGAGATCCTTTTGTATATACAGCCAATGGCAGTAATAAATTGTAGATAAATTCCAGCAACGAAGACCTAATAATATATATGCTGTCACTCCTGGATCATAAAAAAGCATCTTGCATTGTGTTGCAGGTCCTTTCTTGCCATGTCCCATTTTTATAAATATAGCACGATTCATGATAACCCACTTCTTTCTCCAAACTTCAATAAATAGAGAAATGGCAGCCGTTGGCGTTGATGATGGAATATATGGTGTATATGGGAGAAAAAAAAAAGATATTATAACTGATGGACTTTGACAAAAAAATTGTGTCTACTTCCAGAGCTTCTTCAAACTTGTGTTTGCATCTGAATCCTTCTTCATCACCTTGGCAACAGCCATTTCAAAGTCTTCTTGAGTAACATGCACACGTCTTTCTCGCAGAGCAAACATACCGGCTTCAGTACACACAGCCTTGACCTCTGCACCACTGCTGCCAGTCATCTTCTCCGCAATTTTCCGCAGGTTGATACCGCGGGTCAAGTTCATTTTGCGAGAATGGATCTTTAGGATATCAGCGCGAGCCTAGTTTTACGTATAGTTTCGATAAGTAACTGATCTTCATATATATGTACTCAAAGAAAATTTCATTCTTTTTATGTAAAAAAAACTTACTGCCTCGCTCGGTGGTGGGAATTCAATCTTTCTGTCGATACGTCCTGGTCGCAATAATGCTGCGTCGAGAATATCTATACGGTTGGTAGCCATGATGACCTTGATGTTTTTGGTAGGTTCGAAACCGTCGAGCTGATTGAGCAGTTCCAACATAGTTCTTTGTACTTCGGAATCGCCGCCGCCGCCGCTTTCTGCACGTGCAGAACCAATGGAATCGATTTCGTCCATAAAGATAATTGATGGTGCGTGCTCTCTAATAGATTATACCCTTCTATATAAGCAAATTGATCCAGTCCGTTTTCCTCCTTCTCTATTGTGCATTGACTCGCATATTCTTTGTTTTTTTTACCTTGCCATAACGAAAAGTTCTCGAACCATACGACTACCCTCACCGATATACTTTTGTACAAGTTCTGAGCCTGACACACGGATAAATCGACAATCCGTGTGATGAGCAACTGCTCGAGCCAACAAAGTTTTACCAGTACCAGGAGGACCATATAGCAAGACACCCTATAAGTAGAGCCCCAGTTTATGATGATGTAAATAACTTGTAAAAATTCGTCAAGTCCAACATCAGCAACATCATATGATATGTTGTTGCGTCTGTCGATCATATAGGTGAATGTATATACCTTTGGTTGAGCGATACCGAGCGATTCGAACAATTCGGGATGCTTCACCGGTAATTCGATAACTTCTTTGATTTCTTTGATTTGCTGTTCCAAACCACCGACCATTTCGTACGTTGAGTCTGGTACCTTTTCGACCATCATGAGCGATACAAGAGGATCCACTTTGTTGGGCAGGATTTTGTGTAACTGATACGAATCGTTGCGAAGGGCGACGCGTGTTGTAGGTGTCAACTGTGCAATGTCAATGTCGGAGCCAATGTCGACGACGTATTTACCTTCGGGATGGACCTTAATTCAAATAAATGTATTATTCATTTGTTAGTTCTCCCTATATCTATGTTTACATGAAGAAGGTTACAGTAGAATACCACAATCTACTACAGATTATGTACCTTGACCAAGACTTTTTTCTTTCCCATCACTTTAACGACTTCACCAACATACGATCCCGGTTCTTGCAAAAGCTGTAGTTCTTCTTTGAGCAAACGAACTATAGAGAGGAAGAATAACCATCGCGTTTGTGTAAGTAACTCGATTAATTAATCTTGCGCGTCATAGAACATTTGTATATCTGTATATTTTACCTTTAGCGTTCAAGGCATTTCGTTGTGCTTCCAACCGTCGCAAATCTTGTGTTTTATCATTGATAACGAGTTCGCATTCTTCAATTTTGGCTTGGTAATACGGTTTAACACCTTGTTGTGCCATGGTTTTTAACGTTTTGGAAAAAGTTGAAAGGAGAAAGGCTCACTAAGGGCAGGCAGCAGCAATTGCGTGTTCGTTCGGAAATCGAATCTCTTGTGACGCGCCATCATCACCGATTACCATAAGCAGCTTTGCATAGTAATACGTTTAAAAGTTTTGGTTTTATTTAACGTCTCTTTGAACACTGCGTCTAAGGGGGACATTTTGCTCGAGACAGGACTGAGGGGGTATGACGGGGTAAAAACCCTGTGTGTGGCACAGGGAAAAGGTTGTGAGTGAGAAGACTGAGTATCTGCTTTAGTTTAGCTGGATGAGAAGATATAGGTGTGGGAGATGTATAGTTGAAGACGTGCGAGGGATAACGTTATATGAATGGGGCTCTCTTTTTGTTTCTTTTTGTTTTTTTTTCTTTTTTG